TTTTCACTTGATGTCATGCGTGACTGGGCCCTTCATACAAACGAAGCATATCCAACAATGAAGGACAAAGTCAGCGTGCTGCAGAAAATGACTGGCTTTGAGACCCGTAGCGATGCGCTATTCCACAGCTACCTGGAGCTCATCTACGACATCTACACAGAATCTTCATTGCGCAGGAGTGATTTGACGTCTCGACTAGAACAATGTTTCCTCCTTGGGTGTCGTGCTCGAGATCCTGTGCTCAGAGAACGATTTATGGACCTTCTGGACAGTAGTATCCCTCGTTCTCTTCAGGGTCGTCTAGCATATATCTTGGGAGTCCAGAGTTGGGAACCTCTCGCGGACCATAACTGGATTTATCTTGCACTCCATCTCCTTCTCGGAGCTGTTGACGGCGAAGTGCCATTGATTTCGGAACGGAGGATCAACATGGTACCCTTAAATGGCCACTTCGTTGCTCGACAGAATGCAGCGTCCGTTGTTCGTGCTATGCAGAGATTGGCATTCCTTGACCCTCAAGTTGCACACGACACTTGGGTATCAGTCTTTCCTGCGGCGTGGGCGTGTCTTTCCCGTCGAGAACAGGCGGATATGACACTCCACATGATCAACCTGCTGAGCAAGGATTTCCATGCCAAGCAGCTCGAGCTGCGCCCCAATGTCATCCAGACTCTATTGTGTGGCATTCACGCCTGCTCACCTCCTATGACTCTACCACCCTACCTAGTGAAATACCTCGCAAAATCATACGGTGCATGGCACGTTGGGATGGAGATTTTGGAGACGTCTCTGGACTCCGTCAAAGACGATGATTCCACTGTGAAAGAAACAGTTTACGATTCGCTCGCGGACGTTTATGCTGAATTGACGGAGGAAGATGTGTTCTATGGTCTTTGGCGCCGGCGAAGCCTCCAACTCGAGACGAACATGGCGCTTTCATTTGAACAGAATGGCATGTGGGAGTTTGCCTCCAACTGTTATGAAGGGGCGATGACCAAGGCGAAGAGTAGCCAAATCCCATTCTTAGAAGTGGAGTATTGTCTTTGGGAAGACCACTGGATGCTCGCAGCAGAAAAACTTCAGCAGTGGGACACATTGCATGATTTGGCGAAGAGCGAAGGAAATCAGGAACTCCTACTTGAGAGTGCGTGGCGCACGAAGGATTGGGCCGATCAGAAAGAATCCCTTGAAGAGCAGATTAATCAGCTGCCCGACGTCGCAACTCCGCGAAAGCGAGTCTTCGAGGCATTCATTGCTCTTCTGAAAGTGCCTGGTGCGCTCGAAAAGAACACCGAATTCACGAAGATCCTCGAAGATGCAATGCAGCTGTCGCTGCGTAAATGGGTTGCTCTTCCGTTCCATATGTCGGCTGCTCACGTTCCGCTGTTACAACACTTCCAGCAGTTTGTTGAGCTCCAAGAGGCCGTCCAGATTTTTGGTTCTCTCTTTACAACCACCGCTCAGAATCTGGAGAAGAAGTCCTCAGATCTCAAGATGGTTCTACAAGCTTGGCGAGAGCGCCTTCCCAACCTGCAAGATGACATCAGCATATGGAGTGACTTGGTTGCTTGGAGGCAGAATGTTTTCAACGCAATCAACAAGGCGTATATCCCTCTTATCTCCAATACCAACCAGAACAATAATTCTGCGACAAGCAACTTCAATACCTCGGGCTATCGCGGGTACCATGAAACGGCTTGGATCATCAATCGCTTTGCCCATGTTGCGAGGAAGCACGATCTTCTCGACGTCTGCTTCAGTTCATTGAACAAGATTTATACACTGCCGAATATCGAGATATCGGAAGCTTTTCTCAAACTACGGGAACAAGCGCGCTGCCACTACCAGAAACCCAATGATCTGCAAGCAGGACTGGAAGTCATCAATAACACAAACCTGATGTACTTCTCTAACCCCCAGAAGGCCGAGTTTTTCACTCTGAAGGGCATGTTTCACGCGAGAAGTGGGAGGAACGATGACGCCAATCACTCCTTCGGCCAAGCGGTCCAGATGGACATGTCTCAAGCCAAAGCATGGGCGGAATGGGGACGGTATAGCGACCGCATGTTCAAGGAGTTCCCCAGCGAGATGTCGCACGCTGCCAATGCTGTCAGCTGCTACCTCCAGGCAGCTGGACAGTACAAGAATGGAAAGAGTCGGCCCCTGCTGACTCGGGTGCTCTGGTTGTTGAGTGTAGATGACGCGCAGTTTACGATCTCCCGAGCATTCGATACTTACAAGGGCGAGGCGGCGTTCTGGTACTGGATATCGCTCATCCCACAGCTTTGTCTTTCTATCAGTCAACGCGAAGTCAAGCAAGCGCGATATATCCTCCTGAACCTTGCCAAGTTATTCCCCCAGGTATTCAGCCACTCAGTTCTAACTTCTTGTCACGAGCTCATCCTGGTTGCAGGCATTGTTTTTCCCATTGCGAACGACGAAGGAGGACATGCAATTCATCAAGAAGCAAGCTTTGGTTACGGCAGCAGCTCGTGCTCAAAGTGCAATGACTGCCAACGCAAACAGACGTTCTGACGGCGACCAAGTGATGCAAGACGCCACAGCCGAAGTCCAGGCAGATATAATCAAGAAGGAGAATTCGTCGAGCGACGCTATCGAGTCTCAGCTTTCCCAAACTCAAACCCAAACCCAACAAGCCCAGTCCAACACAGAGATAACTCCTGCTACTGCGCAAAACGCAGGCGCCACTTCTTCCGCTCAAAATGCTCCAGGTGCTTCTGACACTCAGCCGACTTATGTCGTCCGTCAATCTTGGGAACATGTCGATGAGGTCGTTCAGATTCTTAAAACGGCCTTTCCGCTGCTTATTCTGAGCATGGAGACTATGGTGGATCAGATACTACAGAGGTTCAAGGCTACCCCTGAAGAAGAGATTTATCGGCTGATCTGCATGCTCTTGCTGGACGCTGTGCAGGTAAGTAATTCATGCGCTACCCATAGACAGACGTGAACTGTGCACTTCCAGAACTACGTGATGCGGACAAATACGACGGAGGATGACGGGCAGCTTCAGCAACATACCGTACAAAACATTTCCAAGATGGCTGCGAACTTGACTGGATCGGCTAGGGTATGCTCTTACTGCTTGAACAAGGACAAGACTAACCTTGTTGTAGCGAGAATATGAAGAAGACTTTGTCAAGAGTAAACTCACGCATTACGAGTACATCCGAAAGCTTCAGCAATGGAGGGACCGGCAAGAGAAGTATCTCGACTCTCGACCACGCATTCAGTCTCTCGACCTCCTTAGCCACTATCTCACCGAGTTCCAATACGGCAAATTCGACGATATTGAGGTTCCAGGTCAGTACACCGAGGTGAGTCGCGTACTTGATTTTGTTGACTTGACCTTACATTTTGCCATAGGATAAGGACAGCAATCAGAACTTCATTCGGATCCAGCAATTTGGATCCAAGTTCGAGAACTGTCGATCATATGGTTATTGCTGGCGCAGATTCACGGTGCATGGCAACGACAACTCGCGGACATCGTTCTCAGTTCAGCTTCCTTCTGGCCGACACTGGCGCAGGGAGGAGCGGCTGACGCAAGTGTTTCGGACTTTCAATTGGTGAGGCCGTCTCTAGCTCACATGCTCTACTTACTGACCTTGACTACTATAGTGCCTTGGTTCGCAGGAAGGAATCTCGCAAGCGAAATCTGCTGTTCCATATTCCAGCTGCTATCTCCTGTAGCCCTAGTCTTCGCCTCCTGCAGACAGATTCGTCGTACATCACGCTCGGAGACATCTACGACCATCACTGCGAGGAAGCTGGTCTATCTCGTGAAGACCCTATACTTGTCTCTGGTGAGAAAGTCAAGAGCGTGTTGCTAGAATTCAAGCAAAAGAGTGGCAGGGCGGTAAGTACATTCGCAACACGTCCTGGATCCATTCTTATAACTCTCGCGATAGCCGAGCAAAGCGGAATACTTCACCCTCCGAAAAGACATCATGGATGAAATTGGCACCAAACTCGTTCCAGATGATGTTCTGTCCAAAGTAAGTCATTTAGTTTCTTTATGTAGCCAGTACCTCATGTTCTGGCGCCCAGTATATGACAAGTGCCATGGCCACGCCCGCAGACCTTTGGCGCATGCGCAAGCAGTTTGCCCTCCAAGTTGCTGCGACGAGCTTCATGACCTTTGTCTTCTGTCTCACCAGCCGTGCACCCTCGCGTTTCCATCTTTCTCGGTCCACAGGGCTTATGACGATGAGTGAAATGTTGCCTGGTATGCCTATGACCCCCAACTATTGAATCAGTTACTAATTGGGAATACAGGTCTAGCAGGTCAGGCGCCTGTGTTCGCGTCTAATGATGCGGTGCCCTTCCGCTTCACCCCGAATATGCAGAGGTTTTTGGGCCCTGTGTTTACTGAGGGGTTATTGACGACAGGCATAATGGTTATCGGAAGGTGTCTTACCGAGCCTGACGTGCGTTCCTCTCCCCATTTACCTTTGTCTTCATTCACCGACATAGACAACACAGTTTGGTCTTGAACAACAACTTTGTCTCTTTGCTCGGGACGAGGTAATGACGTGGATGCACGGAAAAGGACATCCTTGGACGTTCGATTTATCGTTCAGGACAAGCTGTGCGGCGAACATTGAGGGTGTAGTGAAGCGTGCTGAGATCATGGCATGTAAGATTGAGCGAGAGACGGTGGGTATACGTTATGAATCATATACAAGTTCATGTTCTGATTGGTTTGTCGTCGTACAGGCCCAATCGACTACAAATATGGGTGGTATACCAGTCGTACAGACTGTTACCAACTTGATCTCGACGGCTACGAATCCTGTGCAATTGATGAGGATGAGCGAGGTATATCATCCGTGGTTCTAGGTCATCGAATGTTATCAAATGTTGTCTTAATGATCGTTATCTGTCGTTGTTTGACTGCTGTGCTGGACATTGATTGCTTTGTATACATGCACGTTGTACACTAGACATAACATACTTAGCGTTTGTAGCAATGACTATTTCTCTGACATCCGAGCAATGTGTGTGAGAGGCGTTATTCCAGTGCAAAGCATGTATTCATGCGAACTTCCCCTAACATAAGTTCACGCGCGGGTGTTGCGCAAGTAACCTTCTGTTTGCCGGAAGGAATTGATATGATTCTCGCTCTCAAGCATCATCTATCAATCACAGTTTCAGGTTCAAAAGACAAGTTTCATCAAAGAAAAATACCAACCTCTTCCGCCATCAACGCGATATCACTCCCTGGCCTGTTATACATGATCGCATTGGCAAACATTAGATACACATCCCTCTGAAAATCTCTGGAGGTCCTGATAACTCCATCTTTGATCCTTGCCTTGATGGTCTTCAAATCCATGGGGCGCTTGATGATATCGTGGTAATCGGGCGCTTCGGTCGGTTTTATAGGATTGTGGAAGATATTACCGTTGCGGTGTTGTGAGATTTGAGAGTGTAGGAGGTTGATGACAGCCTGGAAGCGCTTGTTAGCAATGGGTTGAGCTTGAATTGTGGATTGAGCGGTGGAGCCGGATGGACCGGATTGAAGGGGTGTGGAGGGGCGTTGCTCGCTGCTTGTTGTGTCGCGTCGGGGACGTGTGGCTACTATGTACTCTTTGGTTAGCGGATGCTCGGTCTTTTTGAGGGCACAAACCTTGTTCCTCCTCCTCTGGTGTAGGAGGCGAGCTCTCCTCACGTAAACGTTTCTTGTCGGGTTCTTCAGTGCCTTCGCCGTCGTCAACTTCCACTTCGTCCACCTTGCGTTTAGCTACGCAATATGAATTACCGATCTTGTTAAGCCCAATGTAAACGCACCTTGCGAACTTGTCTCGGTATCAACAGATAAGTTCTGCTCCGCATCGACTTCTATGGAAGTCTCTTGCTCTGGTTCAGTGTAGGACTGTTCAGTGTCTTGTGCGTGTGACGCCTCCTCCTCTTCATGTTCGAGTATCTCTTCCTCATGAACAGGCGACTCCTCTTCATGTTCGGGCGACTGTTCGCTAACTTCTTCCTCGACGGACCCCTCTGGCGCGCCAGGTGTCAATATTGCCTCTATCTCACTTGCCTCATCGTCTGGGGATGTGGGCTGTTGCTCCCATTCAGACTGTTCTGCTTCTTCCTCATGAGTTGAGGCTACGGGTTCGTCGAGTTCAATTGGTTGCTCATCATTTTCATTCTCAGGCTCGTGTTCCTCGGTTTGTGGCGGGAGAGGGGATTCTATTTCCACAGGGACTGGTTCAGGGGCTTGTTCAGGTTCAATGTTCTCGGGTTCTTGCATAGTGACTGGTTCTTCTGGCTGGGGGATAGCTTGCTCCTGGATCTCATGTGAGACTTCAACTTCAGGTTCCTGCACAATTGAGTTAGATCGAAAACGAAGCAATCAAACATACGCACGACGACTGTTTCACTCTGCGTAGGTGCAGCAGCGTGTTCTACCTCGTGGTCGAATTCTGTTCCAGATAGCTTGGCACGAATCTTATCGTCCCATTTCCCAGCCCGAATATCTTGAATTTCTGCAACGATGGTTCTGGGCAGGGTTAGTATGACGCAAACTGTATGTTTCAGGTACTCACTTGAACTTGACTTCCTCTGCTGCAATCAAGTCACGCAACTCCAGGAGACGTGCACCATAGAACTTCTGGGCAAGCTTTAGATTCACAAGAGCTATGTGACTTTGAGTAATATTTTGGAGTGGTATTCGATTCGGGCTTACCATGTGGAGCATTCGGGTCAGACTCGGTGCTACATGGTCATTTATGAGGACATATACAACTTGGGTTAGCACAGGCATCTCACCACTCAAGCTGAGCATCATTCATTAGACGATTGTATATATCACGACAAGACTACGAACATGATCTGAGTACGCCATACATAGTAAAAAAGTTGAAACGGGCTGACATTAGCGGAAAAGAAAGTTTTTGGGCGAGAGATGATGGGATGCTTTGAGAGCAGCTTTGAGACTTGCTGCCAAGCATTTGCGCCGTGCTCGTACACTGCTTGTGCGAGCAAAAGACATTCTACGTTGGTTAATGGACTCATGACTGTGACTGAGGCTCTCGTCACAAGTCGTGTCGATCGTTGAGTATCCGTGAGAATTATTGTCGCCGAACCCGCTCCGGAATTGACCAAATCGGGATTGTGCAGCGGGAAGACGTCAGCCCCATTTAAGACCGTTAACTGCTGCGAACTTGCCCGTGCCTCTTTCTCTTTACACAATGTTACTCTCCGCGTTCGTCCACAACGCTCTGCCTCCTTCCTTTTGCTTCAGCTGGTGTTCACAAATTAAAGCTTAACAAGCTACCACAAGTATCACCAGGTCATTCACTAGAGACTGCCTACCTTGCCGAGAAGTATGGCGCAGTACCTTCCCAACAACTACCTTTGATGGGTGCTGGCGGTGCTGGCCGTCACATTCGCCCACCAACGGGTGAAGATGACCTCTTCTGGACCCAGGAGGTCATCAACGGTGGACACGACGTCCCCCTCACCAGTATGTGACTGTCATCTCCTCTCTTGCTGTCATTCACATTTCTCAGACTTCATGAACGCTCAGTATTTTACTGAGATCCTCATCGGTACGCCTCCTCAATCATTCAAGGTTATCCTTGATACTGGGTAATGAATTTTCCTTTCATTTTTTGTCGTGTGTTTAACATTCACTTCCTTCTAGGTCGAGTAACCTCTGGGTCCCCAGCTCCAAGTGCACATCTATTGCGTGCTTCCTCCACGCTAAATACGAGTCTAGCTTCTTCCTCCTCGTACAAGGCCAATGGATCTGAATTCTCCATTCAGTACGGTACTGGCTCCATGGAAGGCTACGTCTCCTCAGACGTTCTCACCATCGGTGACCTCACTATCCGTAGCCAAGACTTTGCAGAGGCCACCAAAGAGCCTGGTCTCACTTTTGCCTTCGGCAAGTATGTGCATTTCCCTTCACAGTATTGGTGAATTGCGGTTGACCCGTGAATTAGGTTCGATGGTATTCTCGGCCTTGCCTACGATACCATTTCTGTTAACCACATCACTCCCCCATTCTACAACATGATTAACCAGGGTCTCATCGACGAGCCTGTCTTCGCCTTCCGCCTTGGTGAATCAGAAGCTGATGGTGGCGAGGCCACGTTTGGTGGTGTCGACCACGCTGCGTACACTGGTACCATCGATTACGTCCCTCTCCGCCGCAAGGCATACTGGGAAGTTGAGCTTGAGAAGGTCGCATTTGGAAGCGATGTACTGGAACTCGATATGACGGGCGCTGCTATTGACACCGGCAAGTACCCTCTTTATCTGATTGATTCTAATTTCTCACTGGATTGCATATAGGCACCTCCCTCATCGCCCTTCCCACTGACATTGCCGAAATGCTCAATACCCAAATTGGCGCCACCAAGTCCTGGAACGGCCAATACCAAGTGGACTGTGCTAAAGTCCCATCTCTTCCCGAGCTGACCTTCTATTTCGGTGGCCGACCCTACCCACTCAAGGGAAGCGACTATGTATTGGAAGTTCAGGGCACGTGCATTTCCTCGTTCACCGGTATGGATATCAACCTGCCTGGAGGTTCATTGTGGATTATTGGTACTTGATTCATATATTTGTCACCACGGACTTCCTTCTGATAAATGCCTTCAGGTGATGTGTTCCTCCGCCGCTACTACACGGTTTACGACCTCGGCCGGGACGCTGTTGGGTTCGCCAAGGCTGCGTGAGGGGTTCCTACGCAACATTGTACTATGACAAAGCTGGTATCTATACCATGAAGTGGCACATGCATGTCTTCTGCACGGTTTGAAAACCTTCAATTATGAGTGCTTGGGTTATCCGCATGCGTCATTACCTGCTATTGCGATGCTCTGCTGTACAGTTATAATATGTTGATCCGATGCACCGCATGGCGTATAAACAATGATGGTGAATCTTTATCCAAAAATTGTGTAACAGACTGGAATCATAGTAGGCGGTATGGATCACATGACACGACAGGAGTATGCACAGCGCAATGCGTGCGCTAGCTACAAGTCTATCGTCTTTGCCAGTAAATTCCCATCCAAAGATCCATTTCTATCGAACATGGACGACACCGATGATCTTGACGACCTACACCTACGTTCTCCTTCGTCCCTTCGTACACCCTCCACATTGAAATGTGCACCTGTCAACCGTCTAAAGCGCGCGCGAGTGGCACGTGCACTAAGCGAAAGGCTAGATAGGGTGGGCGTGCTTGGAGGAGAAAACTGGGGACATAGTGGGTGCGTCATCTTATTTGACAGGTCTTGTTCATCGTCCAACCCCGATGGCTGGCGACTGGATGGTGAATTGCTTTGGGCCTGGTCTCGGAGGTCATACCTGTTCTTATGATCGCTCTTACATTACGTAGCTGCGTCAACGCGGTTAGCTGGGCGCAGGATGGAGAGCTGTTAATTACCAGTGGGGACGATACCAAGTGCGTGTGCTCAGCAAGTTCTCAACTCGGATTAATGACTTAGATATGTGCTTTGTAATATCATTATGATAGGATTCGAGTCTGGCGAATGGACCCGTCAGGTTCTACTGGCGCGGACGCATCTGGTAGCTCCGGTCTAGACCACTCGTCGAGTGTGACCGCAAACTCGGCTGAGAAATCGTCCAATGCTGCAAGTCAGGAAGAGTATCCATTCGCGTGCCAGAGTGTAATCAACACGGGTCATACGCAGAATGTCTTCAACGTGCAGATGCTTCCGTTTTCCACAAGGATGTAAGTCTCGACTGCGTTCACTTTCGATATGACCATAACTATATTGGTAGTGCGACCGTCTCTGGAGACCAGCAAGTCCGTGTGTTCGACGTGGGCGAAGCGGTGGGACACTCGCCTACGGGAAGCGAAATGGAGTATACCACGCGGGAGTCGTGTATTCGCGTACTGCGCTGCCACGCTGGGCGCACGAAACGCATCATCACTGAGGATAGCCCTGATCTGTTCCTTACCGTGGCCGAGGTGGCGTGTGTTCTAGTTGGGTTCTAAATTTTATTGACTAGATACTCAGGATGGCCAAGTACGTCAACACGATTTGCGTACATCACATTCATGTACATCAGGCGCGTGCCCCGCACCGCTGGTGACTCTTCCACACGAGCTTTCAACAATTGCACTTTCACCGCTTACACCGTATCAGTTCGTTGTAGGTGGTGAATCGCCATATGTGCGTGTTTGTCATTTGATATTTTTTCCTTGCCGTCTCTCTTGATATGTTTGAAGTTGATGTGCCTGGGAAACATCATTGGCTTAGTGGTGGTGCTCTTTTGTCTGTAATTTCCCTTGCTCCGCTTTGTGGGATTCACTATTCTTGGACTTTTCTCACAATTGCGATCCTTAGGCGCACTTGTTCGACCGCAGGCATGCGGGTCGTTACTTGCATGCAGAGTGGGGCGTACCTCCTGATGCAGACAGTGCAACAACGTGCGTCAGGAGGTTTGGACGCCGCTCACGTGCAAAGGGAGAAAGAAAGGGATATGAACAAATTACTGGTGCGCGGATGTCCGCTTGGAATGGGCATGAGGTGAGTTGTTTTAATCTCGCAGTATGAAGGTTTGCTGAACGTCAGGTCAGGTGTTGTTATGTATGTCCATTTACTTGACTGTATGTCATGAGGATTGATGCAGCCAACGCTTCGTAGCATATCACTCGGACGGAGTGTTTCTTTATTCGACGCGAGACGAGCCTGAAATTTTCGAGGACAAGCGAGGTCCACGCTCGATCCTCACGCCTAACGCGAAGCGGAGACAGCTCAGCACGACGAAGTCGCCGTCTTCACACAGTGAACCTTTAACTGGTCCGGACGTGGAGATGATTTTCGAGGATCAACTGGAATCAATGCTTGCAGACAATGTAATGAACGACATTGATGATCCATCGCAAGAAGATGACGAAGATGGCGACGACGAGGACGATGACGAGGACGAGGACGATGACGATGACGATGACGATGACGATGACGATGACGATGACGATGACGATGACGATGACGATGAGGGTGACCGCCTGTTCATCCTCCAAGACACAGATTCACATCAGGCTGTGCCTGTGGTATATCCGCGTACGCGGTTTACTGGGCACTGCAATATCGAAACAATCAAAGACGGTGCGATCTGGTTGATGTAGATGTATTGATTGATATTGAATATCATCTGCAGTGAACTTTTTAGGGCCTCATGACGAATTCGTAACTTCAGGGTCAGATGATGGCAACTTCTTCATCTGGCGGAAGTCGACTGGGGAGCTTGTTGATATTCTCGAAGGCGACCAACAAGTAGTCAATGTGATTGAAAGCCACCCGCACTTGCCTCTGGTTGCTGTCAGTGGGATCGATACGACAGTCAAGGTGCGCATCCTGAATGCTTTCTATTATATGATGTCTCATTTCTCGCAGTTATTTGCCCCAGCTCGTGGAGTGCCATCATTCTCGAGATGGAACGATGCTGAAACGATTAAAAAGACCAATGCGCGTCGTACACTAAGGACGGATTTGAGTGGCGGTGCGGAGCTGCAATTCGCACGTCTCCTCCTGAACTATGAACAGGCACTACAGAGCATCCGAGATGGTGGAGGGGAGCAGTCGGAGGCGCAGCTCACGCAGTGCATAAATCAATGAAAGATTTATCTGTTGTATGAGTAGTATATATACAGTACTTACGAATAATTTTGGTTTCGGAGGTGGTGGACATATCACACACATGAGGCCAAAGTCGTGGCTCATTGACAATTTGAAGTTAAGTTCTGCAACATACAACCTTGAACTAGGAATACGTGGTAGCTTTGCTACATCTCAAGATACGGCCATATCATTTGGCGTCTCTATCAAGTGAAAGTATTCATTTCCTGGCTTTTCGTCGCTCTGGCGTTTCAGATGTCACTTTGAATTGATGTTTGAGTCGTGTATTACTCGGGAGTGGATCATTAGGCCACTCTTGTTTGACTCACTGCCGCCGTGGCACCACACAAATCGGACGGAGCACTGGAAGCATACTTCATCACTTCAGGGCTCCCGCAGGACCTTTCAAAAACTGAACCTATGGTCAATGGTATAACTGCGAACCTCTGCTGATTTGTTTTTCTCCTTGTTATGTAAGTTCAATTATCTTGCGCCCTGCACCCGAAAGGCTCCTGCTGACCCTTTGCTCTCTGTGTTCAATCACGCTGCCTACTGCTTTGTGGACGTTAATCTCGTCTTTTTGCTTTCAGTGTTACCCTGGTGTCATTCTGTGTGATTTGAGCGTTCGTTTTGCATTCATTTTTCCCGAGCCTGTTCAGTCTATCTTCCACCAACTGCAACGGGACGTCCTTTTTCGCCCGTTCAAAACAACACGTCACGTCTTTGCTTCTACCACCCGTCTCACCCACCTCTCAAGCGCTTCAACGCCGACATTTGAAAACTAACCATGCACACTTCTCACACCAGATCGAGGCGCAAGCGTGGCAAAATCGACGACGTCGAGGACGATGGACCGCCTCTGCATGTCTCACGGGTTGAAGACACCCAGTCTGAAGCTTATTCTCGCTCTCGTCATCAACAAAGAGACTCTTACGTCCCTTTCGCAACCAGAAATTTCTCTGACATGAGTTGGGAACCTCCTCCAGCTTTTGACTCACTGGTAGCACCTGACCGTTTTCACTCCCGTTCGTCCGATGTCCATCATCGTGGTGGCAGAGATAGTTACGACCTCCACGATGATGATCCACCGTGGTCCGTGCGTCCTAAACACGATTGGAACCACCAGGGTAGGGAATGGGCAACCAACCAAGGTTCTTCGGAACAACAAAATTGGGGAGCATCTACTTCATATACGGATAGAGGTCGCAGCCACGGCTGGCAACCGGACGACAGATGGGGGAGGATGATCGGGGGGACAATCATCATCATCCTAATAATGACAAGCCATCACCACAACCGCCGTCGTAATAATCGAAAATTTCAACAGCGAGACAATGGTTGGGACACTCGCAGAGACAGGCAACCTCGGACGCAGGATGTGCAGGAGGAACCACCCAAAGATGACCGGTCTTGGGAGCCTGGTCCCGGATGGCAAGCGCGTGGCGCCGACCAAGGGGGCAAGCACAATCGCAATCGCAATAACGGAAACAAGAATAAAAACAAGAAAAATCAGAATAAAAATCGTATTCGGATGGAGAAGGAGAGAGATAAAGAGCGGGAGAGGGAGCAGCGTCGAAATGACGATGACGATGACCTGAACAAGTGCTTTATGTTTTATATTGTGTTATCTCTCGCATTCTCATGTTGTTTTGTCTACAGCTGGCAGAGACGGGAGTTCCATCCCTTGCCTGCCAAACCTGTTCGCATCTCCCCTGCCAAACCGAAACCGGTACCCTCCAGATCACCGTCACCTGCGGGGACACGATCGCGCTCACGCTCTCCTGATTCTTACTACTCTCGTATGTCTTCGCGAGGTCGTTCGCACTCAAGGTCCTTGTCTCCAAGATCGCAGCAACATAGTTACAGTCCAGTCCGGCGGCGTAGCCGGACGCCCACTGACAGGGGACGAACTGGCAGGGAAGCCCAAAGTTGGAAGTCGTACTCCCCTGGATCGTCCGATCGTAGTTGGACCATGCGTAGAGGGCGTCGACGCAGCCCTTCGTCGGCCTCGTCTGTAAGCCGGAGCAGAAGCAGAAGTTCCAGCCGGAGTATGGATGACCGGCCCAAACCTAAACACCGTTTACCACCTGCAACTTCTATCAACGATATATCACTGTCTATATCACAAACCACCATCCAACAACCACATGGTGGTCCTCTCCCTACCTCAAGGGAATCTGAATCGCGGCCCAATGGAAAGACGAGAACGAATGGAAAGCAAGGCAATGTAAGCACACTCAATGCGGCCTCAGATAGGTGCTGATTATTTTGCAGCGACGTCGACATTTCTCGCCGGCTGCTGAGCAAATGCCTCCTCCAGCCAAGGTTCCACGAACGTCTACGAAACACCATCTAGACGATTCTCCCATCAGCTATCATCCATCATCCGCATCTGTCCTGGCTGATCATGACTCTCCTAAAATCCGAAAGACCTCGAAGGCAGGATTTAGGCCCATTGGGGAGCCTAGTTCAGCGGTTAAATTATTTTTCCCACGCGACGAAGACGACGATGAAGCTGGCCCCGCCCCTCAACATAAATCCCCTACCCCCCCAAAGATTCATTCAGAAGTCCCTGCGAAGCGTGCTCGCGATGAAGGTGCGACCAATAGAGATGAAGATGTGCGCGGAAGTATCCTCCCACGGTCCCTGCCATTCCAACAAGTCCCTGGTCCTCGCGAGCCCGTTACAAGAACACCTCTAGTTCCCCAGCCTATGCAGGTCCTGCCTTCAGCTGTCAACGAGTCGCTGAAGGCTTCCATTGCGCCGAAGCCAGGCAGTGGTGATGTTTCCGTCAGTCCTGCCCAACAGTCGCATACAGTGGAGCCAGACGCGGAAGGCACGCCACGACCGTCCTCTCCATCGGGGACGACCTGCAAGGACCTCTATGCCATTGTCTCCCAAGTTGGCGAAGGCACATTCGGCAAGGTTTATAAGGCTCGCAATGTCATCACCAATGTCCACGTGGCGCTCAAGCGAATCCGCATGGAAGCAGAAAAAGATGGCTTTCCAGTTACTGCCATGCGAGAAATCAAACTACTGCAGTCCTTACGACATCAGAACGTCGTCCGCCTTTACGAGATGATGGTATCAAATGGTAACTTTTTTGGGATCTATTGCTGCCTCATCACACTGATTCCTTTTTTCAAGGATCTGTGTACATGGTGTTCGAGTACATGGACCATGACCTCACAGGGGTTTTATCTCAGACGCAGTTCTCATTTTCGCAGGCCAATCTGAAGTCACTGTGCAGCCAAATGCTTGCTGGCCTGGCATATCTGCACCGCAAAGGCGTCATCCACCGTGATATCAAGGGTTCCAACATTCTTATCAATAACCGAGGGGAGCTGAAACTAGCCGACTTTGGTCTGGCGCGCTTTTACCAGAAACGCCGGCGAAGTGATTATACAAATCGTGTCATCACTTTATGGTATCGACCGCCAGAGTTGCTCTTCGGTGCTACGGTATATGGGCCGGAAGTTGATATGTGGAGTGCAGGGTATGCTTTGCTCGTGCCTTCTTGCACCGCCCTTTACTGATGGTGTTGTCCAGCTGCATCATGCTAGAGCTTTTCACCAAGAAACCTGTGTTTCAGGGCAATGATGAAATCCATCAGTTGGACGTGATCTACCGTATTCTTGGAACTCCGTCTACTGAGCGATGGCAAGGGCTCACCGCACTGCCATGGTATGAGCTGGTGAAGCCGAAAGATGTGATTCATGGTCATTTCCGCGAGCTATTCTCTCGGTGCGTCCATATGCAGGTACAACGATGTGACATTCGATGAGCTCGCTTTGATCTTAGATGGTTATCGCCCGCAGCCCTCGACCTAGCTGAGCGGCTTCTTGCTTATGATCCGACGCAGAGAGTTACTGCCCTTGAGGCTCTTGAAGCTCCCTACTTCAAGGAAGAGCAACCTCCACCTGAATTGCCTGTTGAGTACGTTGTGATTCATTTTTTGCGCCTTTCAAGTTGTTCAACGTTTCTTTTTCTCTGAACAGCCTGTCCACTTTAGAAGGTGAATGGCATGAGCTAGAGACCAAACGGGAGCGAGCCAAGAAGCGTCGCAAATTGGAAAACGGGCTCGTATAACATATCTCATTGGTATGGTTGATTATAATGTACTGGACATTGTATGCATGGCACCAACTACACATCGTAGTTTACAAGAATTGCAACCCATTTCATGCTGTAACTGCTGGTTGTTGGACAAGACCCTTCTCAGCCAAGTGTTGCACAATAGTTTCCACCTGCCAATCAAATCAGCTCGAGGGTTATCTGAGGGGACTCCCGGAACGTACACTTGCTGCTGTCATGCGAATTTGCAGGTCCCACCGCTTAGTGAACGGAGCACCAGTATCCTCGTTTATCTGCTCAACGTCACCGAGACCACCTGCTTTGCCTTGAGCGTCATCTTCCTCTCTTGCTGCATCGAACCAGATGAGCTTATCGACTTGATCAATCGACCCTTTCAGACGTCCTTGCTCTATCATTTTTCGTGCCATTGTCTCTGCGGCTCCAGGTGCTAGATCTAGGAGAGCACCGAGACCTCTAAAAGTGATGTTGTTATAGATTTTTGAGCTCGCTAATAGATTGTGCTCCATAACCGCTCGATCAAGAACGGTTGATGGCCCCCTGCGAGTACTTGTCGACGGTTCGGCAGAGTCGTCGTCGTCGATAGTCGAGGCAAGCTGATCATTGGAAGAAATAGCAATCTTTGCCAATTGATGAGGGCGAAGGCGCTCCTCGAAGGTTCTGATCTCAGCTGGGCGGAGGATGTGGTCGAGGAACATTTTAGACAGGATGTTGTATGAGGGTAAATTAGCAGAACGCTCGTCTCTATACAGTGAAGCAAGCACGCGCGACCTGTTTGGACCAGCTGGGGCCAGGACTGCGCAAGTCACTGCAGCCGACCTAGTGTTGTCAGTAGGGTACAGATATCGCTAGATGCGACCTACAACATCTCCTTTCTTTCTTCTTCGTCGATCTCGGCAAGCCAGCTCAGCTCGTGATAACGCATTGCGGCCTCGAGGAACTTCCGTGCATAGTCACTGATTCTGGCTTGGCAGAGCTTGAACTGAAGTTGTGTCTCTCGGTCTGATGTCGAATTGGAAAGGGAAGCGGCGCGATTGTAGTAAGTCTCCGCCTGAACAGAATCCTCGTCCTCTAGGAGCAACCTTACTATCCGGATATTCACACGGAATTTTTCCTCGTCTGGTAGCGACCTGCCACAGGCTCAGATGAGTGGGGCACATAGGGACTATACTTAGATGAGCGAGGCTCACCGAGAAGATATTCCCATAAGGACACGAGCGGCTTCGCTCCATTCCTCTTCTGTTTCTAGTAAATCTGCGAGTTGAAAGCGTAAAGAGTTAACCTGCAGAACATGTTATCGAACAGCATCTTCAGGGGCAATCACGCAAACACACCTGCTCCTCATAGCTTACGATTCGTGGCTGAAGCGTGTTGAGAGTTTCCTCTACGACGCGTTTCCGCAGGTTGTGATCTGATATGCTTCCGGTACCAAGGTTCCTGACTAGTTCAGAGAGGACTTGTCTTCCGACGACGATGCCTACACCCTGGACGACTGTTTCCACCAACGTATGAAGATCAGGAGCTATGAGAGACTGATCTTGACGAGCGAGGATTTCTGACACCAGAGATAGATAGGCTGGAGCTTTGTCCTTCTGGTTGAGAGCTGCGAATTGTGCCAGTCTAGAGTCCATTATAGTTCCGTGTCAAAGAGCTTGAAATCATAAAAGGAAATAATCCTGGGCGTGCAAGTGGCGGTGCCGAACTTCAAGAATCTGGTGCTTGCATCGCAACCGGGGTCGACGGCTATCATTGATTATCATCATGTGGAACAGCCATGTCAGATTCAGCATGGAATTCCCTGGTAGGGTTTGCTTCGGAAATTCTTACTCAGCTCATGCTTTACCAGGTTCACCGTGGACAGACTGGAGGGAAGCCGTTTGAAGGAATGGTATGAATCTTGGAGCTACTCCGTGAACATACTCTCACCGTCCAAACGGGATGGCATGGCTCAATTAGAAATTTAGAATCATTGACACGGTCGCCCTGACAATTTACACAGTCTTTCTTGTGATCCAATCCCGGGCTGTTCACTCAGGTCCCGCTGAGAACTTACTCTCCTGTTCCTCCCATAGCCTCGTGCTACGTACTGCATACTTATACCCGTTTTATCTATCGTACTCGCTCACGTTTCTCCCGCAGGCTTCTTCGCTGCTAGCCAGCGACTTGATTTCCAGCCGCCTAGACTGACCTCGGTTTTTGCAGAGCCAACGGTCTCCTGTGATCAATAGCTTGTGCTCAGTGTCGCTAATTTTTCTGGACATCAGAACAATGTCTCAATTTGCTAGCCACCCATACTACCATACCATGCCAGCTATTCATTCCTCCCGAAATAATCATCCACTTCCTCTCAGCCCACCGGAGACCGATCAAGAATCCTTACCTGTTCAACTGCCACCAGCTTCTCTCGTCGCCGGCGCCGAGCTGGAACAGCTGACGCATTCTGCTTTGAGTTTTCCAGAGCGTTCTAGATTCCAATCTCGCAGGACGTCCACTTTGTCATACCAGAACTCGGGAGTGCGAGATAACCGCGACCGAACCCCTTCACGGGCCTCAAAGTCTTTGATCGTCGTTCTTCCTCCACCAGAGTTTGTGGATCATGGTCAACTGGGCAACGTGCTGTCCATGGGACCTCGTGATCGTTTATCTCAAGGGATCCTTATGCCCCTATTCCCTACGGTTGGTAGTCCCAACTACCGAGCAATGGGTGTTCTAACTTTGGGATTAGATGTACGGGCAACTCACTGCAATCGCACGGGAGTTTAATTTCCCGAGCACCGTGGGCTTGTGTCTCTACCACCATATCACTGAAAATGGTATCACCATGACGCCGCGCATATCTGACGATGCCTGGCAGTACCTATTGGCACATCTCACCGAGTCACGTAATGGCTCCCAACAACTATCTATCGGTGGTCGCATAGAATTCGACATCGACCCCAACAAAGCTCGCTGGTTCGATGCCTGGCTTGCCGGCACACTGCGTGACGACACCATTGTTCCTGCTCCGCAGTCCCATGCATCTATACTGCACTTGCATGGTGACAGCAAGACTACGTTTGCAGAGGAGCACATTGTGAATGAAGACCGCTGGGATAATCAGACCATTCAGTCAAATTCAAGGCCTATAACCATCCGTCACGCGCCCAAGAAACTCTCTCTCCTTGACCGGCTAGATTCTACTGCCCTCCAGGATTCGTACAAAGCATCGCAAGCAATTTCTCCACCTCCAAACCATGTTGCGCATCAACTGTCTCCTATCCCACAATCTGCCGTTCCGCAGACGTCGAAAGCCGAGCTCCGTCGGCGAGTCAATTCATGGAGAGCGAGCGCACTCTTGGATCCTGCGTCAATGACGGAGTCATACCAGCCCATCCCTGATGCTACATTGGGTGCTGCGGCGATCGAGGCTACGGATGAGTACCCCTTAGAGGTAGAGGCAGGAGTCCAGGAGCCTCTGAATTTGGCAGACTTTGCCTGGTCCGTCACATCCGCTGGGCCACTTAGTCCACCTCTGCATTCTCCATCGTCTTCCCACCGCCTTCCTTCTGTCCATCTTGATCGTCGCATGCAGGAATCTGTGCTGTTGACACCAATTACAGCAACCAGCTGGGGACCTCCAGATGATGATTGGCTTTCGGATGTGTCAAGCATCGATCGTTTACCTTCGCCTGACATTGGTAAACGTATGCTTGAGAGCGCGCCCCTGACCCCCGCTACGGCCACCAGCTGGGGGCCTGCTGATGATTGGCGGTCAGATGTGGCCAGCATTGATCGCTTGCCGTCCCCAGACATTGCTCACCGAATGCTGGAAGACACTTTAGCAAGTCCAGCCTCTGGAGCTCCCTGGCACAAGGTCTGGCCATGGTTCAAGGTTAGAAACGTATCACCGGCAATGGAGTCATACAGCCCATGGGCAGGCATGTCTGCTTCATCGTCTTCATGGTTCGATGTTACAAAAGCGGTGACACTTCCATCAACTACTTCTTATAATCCTTGGGCTGGAATGCCATGGGTTCAAGTTTGGCCTTGGTCCGAACTTGACTGTGCAGAGTCTGGGGTTTCTCAAAGCCCCTGGGCCATCGTGCCTGCTATCCGGGCATGGCCTTGGTTCGATATTCACGCTTCCCAGGACAAGGGTGACCTGGAGTTGCAGCTCAGCACCTCTTCAAATCCCTGGGTTGGCATGCCCTGGTTCAACGTTGGGCCGTGGCATGAAGTTAACGGTGCACCGCCTAACAACTCCATGCTGGTTTCGCTCAGTCGAGGGTTGAAGTCCGAATATTCTAGTCTAGACACCTGTAAGCCGTCATTGATTGTGACTAATGAGTGTTGCTAACTTTTCAGTAGACCCAGCTTCCTATCCTTATTTCAATATTTATCCCGCGTGCGCAGAGGTGAACAGCGGCCTCAGCGACGCTAGAGGTTATCCTATACTTGAAATTTGTGAGTTGTCGTATTGATTGGATTTTAGGGTGATGCTCAGTTCGAACATTAGATCCTGCAGTTTACCCTCATTTTAACTTATATCCTTCGATTGCATGCTCAGCTATTTCTTCTCCTAAAAAGACAGCTGCCTTTCAGCCACAAAAATCTGTCGTTGTAGAACTTGCTCCAGCTTACCCTCTGTTTAATATTTGTGGGTAGTCGTTAGCGTCGCGCTTTTTTCTGGGCTGACTTTTTTCAGACCCACCTCTTTACCCGTATAATCTCAATTCGATTTATCCGGCACCGGGTGTCGAATTATCTTCATCTGTGGTGCTCCCAAGTAGCTATCCGTGGTTGATTATTTGTGAGTTGTCTTGCGCCCTTTCTTGAACAGGGTCTGACGTGCGCTAGATCCTTCTGTTTACCCTCATGTGAACCCATATCCACAAGTTAGTGCCGAGGTGACCGGACCCCGGAAAGCGGAAGACGAGATTGCGCAGCTTGTTCAAGTGAAACTTCGGCCACAATATCCTGTTCTTGATATCTGTATGTGGAGCATGCACGTGTTGATCACTGGCTTGCAGCTTATTCCCCCAGATCCTGCAGGCTATCCATGGAGCCTGAAAACAGTATATCCCCCAACCGAAGTTGAAAATGCCTCTGAAATCACTGTCCGCTTGTCATCGCGCTATCCATGGCTAGACATCTGTGGGTTACCCAGTATTTGTCAGTATGAGTCACACTAACTAGCGCGTTAGATACCTCCGTTTATCCTTTTGTTGAGCCATATCCGACATTGAACAAGACATGCCAAAGCTCTATGAGCAGATCTCAGACTCACTACAAGTCGGAATGTGTGAAAGTTACCTTGGCTACATATTACCCGTCATTCGATTTATGTAAGACCTCACCTTCACCCTTGAGTCTGTATACTGAACTTTTTGTCGTAGATCCCGCGGTATATCCACACTTTGACCTGTATCCTACCTTGCCAAACATCAGGTCCAGAGGTTCACAACAACAGGAGTCTGTCAAGGTAAAGCAGAAGACTTAATTCGGTGAATAGTGATTCAGAATTTTTGCTCCTTTCAGGACAATGTCGATGGTGTATCAGTTGACCTTGCGGGCACTTATCCATACATTTGTCCTTGTGAGTTGGCTCAAGTGGAAGTAAGCAGTTGCCCGATACTTAACTTGCTTCATGTAGATCCTCCCGCTTATCCTCACTTCGACTTGTATCCACATGTTCAGATACATGCGTCCCGTGATGGTAAGGATCTGACAACTAGCAAGTTCTTCGCCTCGAGTAGCACGTACCCCTTCTTGGTCATTTGTGGGTTCTACAGTCCAGTTCTCTCACAAGCTTTCTGACAGAGTATGTAGACCCTGCTGTGTATCCGCACTTCGATCTATATCCCGCACGTGCCGCAGAATCAGCGAGTCGGGGGGAGGACACGGCCAACGGCAAGTTCTCCGTTTCAGCATACCCCTTCCTTGTCATTTGTGAGTCCTACATTCCGCTTTTCTCGATTGTCTTCTCACAGAGTATGTAGATCCTGACGTGTACCCTCACTTTAATCTGTATCCCGCCCGTGCGGCAGAATTAGCGAGTCGGGAGGAGGACATGACCACCGGCAAGTTCTCCGCTCCAGCGTACCCCTTCCTTGTCGTTTGTGAGTCCCACATTCCGTTCTTCTTAGTCATCTTCTTACAACGCATGTAGATCCTGATGTGTACCCTCACTTCAATCTGTATCCCGCCCGCGCGGCAGAATCAGCGAGTCAGGAGGAGAACATAACTAACGACAAGCTTGTCGTTTCGAGTAGCACGTACCCCTTCCTGGTCATCTGTGAGTTCTACATCACGCTTTCTTACTCCTCTTCTCACAGAGCACATAGATCCTCATGTGTATCCTCACTTCAATCTGTATCCCTCCCGCGCGGCAGAACTAGTGACCCGGGAAGAACCAAAGATTTCTAATGTAATTGCTAGTTCATATCCCTATCTCGTGATCTGTACGTCTTTCAAGTGTACTGCAAATACTACCCATACTAAATCAGCAGCAGATCCATCTGTGTATCCCTATATCGATCTATATCCTGGTATCCCCCCGAGAGCTGCTGCAAGCGGAACGTCAACTGTAAGGATGGATCACGGGTACCCAGTCTTGAACGTCTGTGAGTACGCGTGCCCACTTTCTTTCTGGCTTACCTCAATTATGATTTTAGACCTTGCTGTCTACCCGCACTTTGATATTTACCCTGCGCTCGGAACTGTAACACAACCATCTCAGAAGGCGACCGATGTGCCAGTGCACCCACTATCCGCGAAAAGGCGCAGGAAGACACACGCCGAACTACACGTCGAGGTGACACCGTCACCTAGGCTCCTTGTGGCTAGGAGAAAGTCTGCGAAAACACACTGTCAGCTACATGCTGAGGTTTTCGTCAATGGAGTCACTTGGACACCTAGCGGATACGTGCAAGACCTAGCACTTCCTGACAAGCCACACGAAGACACCAATCGTGGCCCGCGGCGTCGAATACCCTCTGTACATGAAATCATGCCTCGACTGCCGCATTCCCGTTCGGTAACCCTCTCTAACCAGCAATCGCCGACTAGTCCATCGTTGCGAGAGAGACAACAGCACGTGTTGCATAACACTCCACCAATTCCCCCTCTCCGCATCAGCAGTCCAGGGGTACCAGCTGTCTCGGAGTTCCCAATTCCCACACTACCACCTGCATCACCTACTAAATCACGGCTGTCGCAAGTCGTGAGATCCTTTGGATCATCGATAATGCAGGGACGCAATTTGACATCGACCTCAGATGACCGCAACGAGAGGGCAAAATCTCCCACAAGGTCTATGTTCCCTTCCTTTGATCGACGCAGCTCTATGATTCCACCACTACCTCCCCACGATCCGTCAGACCTCTTGGGACGCAGTCGGTCGCCTGTCCGACAGGGCGCTCAGAGCCTTGTTTTACAAAGGGCTAGGGCTTATGAACAATCGACTTGTATGTCATTTTTTTCTACGTTTGCTTGGAATCAAAAAAATCTGACCATCGGATCCAAAGCTTCATCCCGGTATCATTCTCACAGTGTGGGAGGCACGCAACTGCCATCGCCCTCACTGCTTCCCATTCCTGATTTTCCCCCTGCAATAGATCTAGGTTTGAAGACTGACGCGTCAAGTCTCTTAAAGAACACCACTCCTTAGACCTCGTCTTGAGTTGTACATATATTGTGTTGCTACAAATTAATCGATTCATACAATAATGCTTGACCGTCGGTCAGCGTAAATGAGAGCATATTAGATCGGCAGGGATTAAAAACTGTCAGTCTCGGTATGGGGGAGGTTCATCTACTACAGGGTCAGGTGACGACAAGACGTGACCACTGCCTGGCATTTCTGCATTGGAGGGCGGCGAGGAAGGGGATGTAGCTCCTTCGCGGTCTACACTTGGAGAGTGATGAGCTCGAACTTCGCGATTATGGCGATCGCGTTGGTCACGAAGCATCTTGGTTTTGCGGTCATCCATGAAAGCCAGTAGAGCCTGTGATTCGATGAGGTCTGGACAATTGAATACTTAATTGTTCCAATGACGTACTTTTTGTGTGGCAGCCTCAGCAGCAGCCTTCGCTTCAGCCACATTTTTCTGAGACCTGGCTGATTTTTGCTCAGCCAGTTCTATAGTCTCTTGTAATATTTGAGCGCCCAGGCGCAATTCTTCGCTTTTGTGCTCATTCCAGACGTAGAGGGGCTGAAACTCCTTAACCTACAAGGAACTCGAGATAAAGCGATGTTAGCACGGTGCTGACAGGGGGGACACACCTCCGGACGAAACCCCATCTATCCTCTCGAGATCAGATAGGTATGTACATAAGTTGCTTCAGTCAAACGCACCTCGATTGCATACTCGAGCGCACCCTTAGTTTCAATCAGGTGCCGTCTGATCGTATCATTTGTTGGTTTAAACTGCCGGAATTTGGGGTTTTCAGGCTCTCGTATCAGGTTCTCAGAGATCTTTGATAATATCTTGCGAGAAGCCCATCATCGATAGGTTGTTCATATATGATAATTAATGCATCTATTGCACACCTTCAAGGAAGCCATCGCCGCTTCTTGGGAGTTAGGCCGAGAGATTCCAGGATTTATCAGACGTCGAAACTTCTGCCGTTCCTCATGTTGTCGAAGGAGTTCAGCAGTAGGAATTGCTTGTCCTGTCGTGACACTGCGGCGTTGAGCTGCTGCAGCAAGAAATTCTGGGTCAGGTGGTGGGCTAGTTTCTGAAGACATTATTGATGTGGTTGGAAGCCCGAGAGTTCGATCTGAATTTCCCCGTGACCTCTACTTCATATTTACACACTGGTATTCGGCTCAGCCTGGATCTTACGGTAGGTGTAGGAATAATGTTATTGTAAAGAAAGCGTCGAAGCATTAATTGCCAAAGGTGGTCTACAGTACAGTGGTCAATCTGAATCGTCCCATGATTCTCGTCGCGCACACAGAACCTAGGTCCTAAAACCTCCCATGATAATCGACCCATGCCATGCCTCGAGGTATTTGAAAAATGGGTTCGCTTTCTTGTCGAGCCATAAATTACTGCTCGTTCACTTGAAGCTCAGTCCGCCTACCTGTCACCGGCATCTGCGTAGGCACAAGGCTGGGCGTCTCCGAATCAACTGCCGCCGCTGGGCGCTATCACCGTAGTGTGCGTAGGGGTGTAGTCGAATAGGGGTGGTTACGGTAGTTGTTAAATTTCGGCAATCGCCGGAAGGCCAACTGCTTCTACAATATACACGCTAAGTTACAAACAGAAGAAGTGTTTCGAATATCATTGTCTGTGCTAAGAATATGAGAACTTGAGATTCTCAACAGAGAGGGAGTGCAGAAATACATGTTTGAAGTCATGGCTACAGTCAGTATACAGTATACAAGTAATAAAGACACTGGATCAGTTTGAATCTACTCCTTCTCCATCTGAAACTGCATCTTCATTGAATTCGGTATTCAAGTGAAGAGCAGGCTGTGGTTGGAGGTGATCTAATTCATCCTCCGATGAGCTTTCACTGCTCCAGGCAAATTCTGATGCATCTACACTCAAACCCCTCCCATTGGATCTGGCAGGTCTATTAGAACCCGAGAATGATATCGACAACGATCCTGGCCTAAGATTTCTGAAGAATGTGGATGAATTAGAAGCGTTTTGCCTTGGATCATCAGCAGACGGTTCTGGCGTGGTTGTACGCGGGCTTGCAGACGAGTTTCCAACTCCGCTATCGCCGTTGCGATCGAGGAGATCAGATGCCCACTTGCGACGCAGAACAGGAGAACGTAAAGGGTCGGTAGTATTGTTATAGTTGTTTTCATGCGATGTGCTCGTCTCAGATTCCCGTGGAGTGACAGATGTAGGGCGACCACGACGGAAGTACCAAGCCGTGCCATTGTCTTCGAATGCACGTTCGGTATCCGAGTCCAATGGTATTGGCGACTCGGACCTTGTACGAAGTCGTGGACCGGTAACGGGCTCAGGGACGGCTTGACCGTTAACAATAATATTATTATTCCGGGTGTCACCGGGATTTGTACGAGACCGAACCCGGTCAATTGCCATGCGGACTGCCTGTCGACCCATGAGAATCTCATTCTCTATGCGAAACCGATTTTCGATCATATGCAACTGAAGTCAACGATGAGCAAAAGAATAAAGACATGGAGCGCCAGTAGCTCCGACCTTAGGCCATGTTACAACTTGCCCAACTTTCATCATTCGTTCGAGCTCGGCCGAGTCTGGGTCACTCAAGATATGTAACCAATCCTATCATTCAATTAGCCATCAGCATCGTATTTAGAAAATGCTGTGCGGACTACGCACCAAAATTCGCGTTCTCGGCCAGATTCTGAAGCCGAGTGTGAGTGTCGTCAGATGGTCGGATGATTGGTACATACGTGACAGCCCCATCAAAACGTTGCAGAAAGACGCTAGACCAGTCTTGTCCGAGTAACTGCGGAAGAAGCTCGAGATCACGAATCACCTGGTCGGAATGGTTTATTTAGAATCTACCTGCACAATCAAATAAGCATTTACCTTGAAATTCTTTGTGAGCTCCAGTTTGAGCCACTGTTCCGCCGCAGACAGAAGAAAATTGCCTCGCCAGCCTGTAAGCGCATGAAGCACTGACCAGAAAAAATAAGGTATTCATCCCATACCCTTTCCTTTCCTGTGAGCTACCGGTTTTCCTGCCGACCCACGAGGTGCAAAGAAGAATAAATGGACATGAGGGTTTACTTGCGACACAACCGGATGGGTAACTCGAATCATAGTCAGCCGGTCATGAGCGTCCAATAACAACAATCTCACCATTGAAGTACATTTTGAGAGCTTGAAGAGGAATGTCAACCCTGGTTGATGTCAGAGGCGCGTGAAAATATTTCGGCAGATCATGCCTGCTTACCTTAAAGACCCGTCCTTGAACTTACTACCCCAATTCCATGGCACTACGCGGCCATCGTGGAGTTTTTGCATCAGTACAACCGGGTTGAGAATCCCGGGTACAGCTGCTGAAGCGAGTAGGGCCGTCCAAATTATCGTGTCCGGTGCAGTCATGTAATTCAGGAGCTTCGTGGGACTAAAATGAATATCAGCTGTTTTAGACTCACGGCCCAGATAACGAGCTTACGCGTGGCGATCAGCAGGGACGACAGAAATGTTGAGTATTCGCCCGGTCCGTAGATAGGCTTCCCGAAAGGTCATAGAACCTCTTGTAAAGAATGTGCACTGTAAAAAAACAGGTCAAAAAAAGAAACGTCGGTTGAGTATGCCTGCCAACTTTACGAGCCCATGCGACACTGTCGAATCTTGCGCCGGTGGCCCAAAAACGCTTTATCCATACAGTGAAGGTGTCTTCACATGCCGTCAGTTTTTGGGCGAGTTCCGGAACAAGAAGAATCTTCAGTTCCGCATCTGTACGTGTGCATACCATAGCGGCGACCAGACCACCAGCGGATGTTCCAGCAATAACCCGGGGAAGCAACCCTGCATCTAGGAAAGCTTTCACTACACCAAAATGGTCTAGAAGAGGGAGTCAGATGACAATCGCGTGAAGTAGTTTCCGACTTACAATATCCAAAAGACGCGCCACCTGAGAGACACAAGGCAGATGTTCCCAGATTAGTACTAGCATTTTTGAAGAACCTCCTCTTCTCTTCAATAGAAAGCTCTGAGGACTCTCGAACGAATTGTAATGCGCTTTGCAACTCTGTATGATATGCTATTAAAGGGGAATCAGACCGAATAAGATACATCTTGGTAGAAACTGACATTCGATTAAGTCCTTGGTGCCCAGAAAAGTCTAATCCCTCAAAGGTGTGGATTAGGCTCCTATTTGAAGGATAAAATGCTTACTTCACTGTAAAGCCTAAGAGAATCATGAATGGGAGTAGGATTGGGTAACTTGAAAAAAACTCACCTGGAAGATTCGACTCCCACAAAATTGGTTCGGATACATGTCTCTAATACACCGAGAACGCCGCGAACATCTTTCTTCTCTCTCAAAATCTTCAACGACCGATTCACCTGACATGTGCCGCTTGAGCCCCTGTGTCTGATATACAGCACTTTCTTCACCTTGCGCAGAAGTTTCCAATCATAAAATGCATCCTCGTCAACCTTCTTCCAGTCATTGAATAAAAGGTATTTGTCGAGCATCATTGCCGTTTCCTTCCATTCCTAGAGCCAAAAGTGAGAGACTGATGCATATATCAAGATTCAAGCCATGTCGCACACCTGATATGTGCGTGCCCCACGAAGACGCTTTCGTAGAAGGCCTTTCTGCCCTCGCCCTGGGATTTTGGATGAGCCAAGGTGTCGGTACAGTCAAGGTCAAACTTGCATGCCAGCAGCCATTCTTTGGTATTTACAAGTTGTCTAATAAGGATGTAGAATCCGAATTGAGCCGCGATGAGGACAAATATTAGAAACTGGTAAAGAATGAATGTTGAGTGGGGTTAAAACAGGGATATTGATGCTCACCAGGAGTGGCCATCGGAGTACGAGAAACGACCACTCTTGCCTCCTACCCGTAGACCTATCCCCCTTTCGTTTTCTAACCACAACAAGTTCAGCAGTATCAATTAACCAGGGAATGGAGCTCCGTACCTCTTCACCTTCAAGTTGATTGGAGCGAAATCGGAAAGAGCGGAGACCTTCCTCACTCGAGGACTCTGTGGCACAGGGGAGCTAGGAACGGTGTGGGGTGAAGCTGTTGATAAAGCATCATGTCCATCTAGGTCGTCCGACTGTAGGGCGTTGATGAAAGCCTGTATGTGTCTGTAAGGGATTCCGTCAAACTAGAACCGACTGGAACCAGGGCAAAGGACCAACAATTCGTTAACGTAGCCTGAATCAAATAAATCCGCTGGCGCTTCCATCAGTCTTCTATTGCCAGCGGCGGTAAGTTGTGTGAAAGAGTTAGCGAACACGGTCCAGGTCTCCAGGTCGTATACACACGGCGGCAGCAGTTATCGATAGACACGTGATCTCTGATTTAATCCAAAGCAACTTTTGACTTGACGGCAGTGGCACAGCACCGTGAACTGGTTCGTATACATACAGTTTCTTTCTCAGTTTCTTCAGTGTATACTACCAATCAAGTATTGCACGAAATTACCACAGCATACCTAATTTACATGCTGTTCTGTCCGACATGTGCTAATCTGCTTGTGATATCCTCAGAAACAGGCTACAATAAATGGGCATGCAATACGTGCGCATACGAGTTTCCGATCTCGAAGCAGGTGTGTATCTCGGATCTTTACCATCACTGTACAGTTTTTAATGACAATGTCTAGATGACATCCCGCTCGCGTATGAAGCGCAAGGTGGTAGACGATGTGCTTGGAGGAGATGAGACTTGGCGGGATGCTGATTCTACTGCCAGTCAGTCCCTTCTTTTTTAGGATGTTGGGATACTGACCCATGACCAATAGTCGCTTGTGACAAGTGTGGTCACCCACGCGCGTACTTCTATCAGCTACAGATTAGATCTGCAGATGAGCCTATGACGATGTGTGCGTTTAGCCTACCTCCTCTTGGATTTGACTTACGAAACGTGGGCTTCTTTGGATCAGTTTACAGGTAAGTTTGACTAGTCAGTTTATTCATAACCCAACCTAGCCCGGCTGACAATGTTACAGATGCGCCGGATGTGCCTATCAATGGCGTGAAAATTAATAGTTTATCAAAATGCTTGAATGACGCTTTTCTTAAATGTTGCCACCGACGGAACGAAACGGTTGCTTTAACTTGAGTGCACGCGTGCACCCTGGATTCCACTTGTTTCAGTTATTAAGGGTGACATGTTCGTCTGACACTCGATCAATCTTATGTTCCAGCCGTCACGGGCCTTGATCGTCACCGTTATTCCCATACTAGAGTAGGAACCATCTCGTACTGTTTTCGCATTCCCCTCGCTGCCACCATGGAAATCATTCTGTGAATTTATAGTCCCCCCGGGCCCTCCAACGACCGCAGCACTTTCTATTCCAGCACAAGGAAGTTTACTGTCACCGCCCGCAGCTACACTAGAAGGTGACGGAAAGCCCTGATTGGATCGGCATTGTTTGCCTATCTTTGCGTCCATCTTAACTTGGACACAGCCTTATAGAATTCACCTCTGATGATGTCCGATCGCGCAATACTCCAGAATCCGATTGCGGGAGATAAGATCTCCCGGATATCGACCATCGCCAAGGTACTATCCATCAAACAGAATGAGGCTATTGTGGTCCCCCAGACATCTCATGTGATCCTAATCATCTTTGACACCGCCCATCATATACTCCGCTTTTGGATTGATAGAACCTTCTGTCCAAAGGTATATAAACACAAGTTGCACCCATCCCCTCTGCATCCACTCACTTATTCCTACTTACTATCATGGGTTTCCTCGACGCCTTCACTAGCTCTCAGTCCCAGTACGACGAGGTTAGTCCCTCTATAACTCCACAAATAACACATCTTCAATGATGTATCTACAGTTCCAAAGCTCAGATGCACCTCACCAAGCTAAGTTAAGCCACGAACTCCTTGGTGGTGCCGTCGCGTTCGAGGTAAGCTCACTCTTTCCCCGCCCTAATTAGTTCTCATGTTGGATTTCAGGCTGCCAAGGCTTACGAAGATCACTGTGCCCGGAATGGCCAGCCCCAAAGCCACGCTTTGGCCAAGGAACTTTTGTAAGTCGCGCCAGACACATACTTTTCGTATTGCTCATGCAGTGTCCAGCGCTGGTTTTGCCGGAGCTGCCGTTGACCGCTTGGTCGAGACGAAGGGTGTACGTATTTTAGTTATTGGGATTAGACACTCTAACGAAACACTGGAATAGGCTGACGCGTGGTCTGCGCATCAGAGGAAGCAAGCGCGCGAGCATGGTATGGATTTCTTTTGCCACATCGTGATTTATTTTGACGACAAGTTACTTGAAGCTCAGACGCAGATCGACGAAACATTCACCGAAGATGTTTACGTGAACCAGCAGTCTTACTAGTTCTGGCTAAAGAGTTATACCACGTGTCAAATGACCTGTACTTGATACTCGAATCCAACAACCTGTATAGCCATGCGAGGCATTTCAATCTCATGGACGAACTATTTCGTATATACAATGCGTGCCAGAATACATACATAGCTTGCACAGATCCTCGATTGATCCATATTCTAAATGGCGAACAAAGCTATGCAGCCACGTCACAAACTTATTGCGCTTTTGTGAGCCACTTTTTCAAGTTCGTTTTACCCATCTTGTCGACTGCCCTTTTGACATCATCCCAGGTTAAAGCGCTTCGATATCGAGCGAATCCTGGAGCGATGCTGGTAGACGAGGCAGTTATGCATATGAATATTCGTTCACCAATCAAGCGCTCGAACCCCTGAATTGTATTTCTAGACTTCAGCAGATAAAAATAGGTCGATAAGAATTCTTAACGCACCCTCATCAGAACTTCACGAGTACACCGGGACATGCCGATGCTTCCTCCTGCAACCTGGATCGGGGCCGCTGCCGAAGCACGGTATTGTTCACGGAAAGCGTCGTAAAGCATCTCGAAGGTTATGGCATCATGGCCAGCAGTATGAGCATGCACGGCAGCTATTAGAAGACAGACTGAGGGATACGGCAATGCTGGTAGAGGGGTGAGCCGAAATCTTCATGCTAGAGAATGTAAATAGACGCACTGCTCAAGTGAGGGAATGGATCACATATACGCTGTGCATGTACTGCTGATATGAGCTGCGCACAAGTGGGAAACGGAGACGAAGGGGCTAGTGCAGCGACAACGCCAATCTATTCGATAGTCAGAAGAGCTCTCGAGCTAGCCACCTAGGCGTCGCACCAGGATTCGTTGAAGTACCCTAATGTCGCGCGTAACAGCGACAGTTTCTTGAATTTGTTCGAGCACTTTCCGATCCGTGATAAAATTGTCGATAGCCAAGGTCCATAACGGCTCCCACTCTTCCTCTTGGGGTTCAATTCGGGCTCGTAACACTCGTTCTATAAGCTTCATCCAGAATGAGAGCTCTGTCGGAGCTGCAGTACGCAACATTCGTCCAGAGAACCTGCTCTTGACCCTTTTCTCCAAAAGGTTGATTGTATCTATCCTCGTAGTTACCCCAATGACTGCAATGCCATTGTGTCCTTGACCGACTTTACAGCTTTGCGCAGTATCCAGTAAACAGTAAAGAAGTGCCTGCCGAGCATGTAACGCAAAGAGATCGAAGGCGTCTAAAATGACTACCACCGGCCGCGAAAGCGTGGTTAAGGCTGATACCAACGCGGGGAGATGGGATGGGGGCGGGATGTCGATGCTTGGGCTGGCGTCCAGGAAAGGATTGTCGTCATCATCTTGGTCATCATCATTATTAAGTTCACCAAGGTAAGTTTTGCCTGTTTGGAGGGAGAGCTGTCGCGCGATTTCTCGAAGTGCGAGGCGATCATTTAGCTCGGTATGACCCGAAAGCCTAATAACAATCGGAGTCTGGTCCAGAGACGCGATAGCTCGATCCACAATCTTGAAACATTGGCTTAAATATGGTTAGACGACGGGAAGATGTGGGCAACTTACGGCAGTCTTTCCGCTGCCGCGTGGTCCTAGGACAAAACAACTATTGCCCTCCCCACGAGTGACAGTTCCCGCAAGCAGATCCTTTAGTTGCTGAGAAGCTGCCGTATTAACAGGGCCAAGACTAGCGCCTTCATCGCATTCCATGCTACAATTTTGTAGTTCTGATAGCATAGCACTCTTCTGTAGACGGAGGCACGTGCCGAGATGAGAGGGGAGACTACGAGGAATGCGGGTAGGTGACTGGGGTCTAGAAGCTGGAGATTGATCTTTCTTGGGAGACTTCGACTGTAGCCTATCCCTACTCGTTGTACTCGGAAGTTGATCAGTCCGATTAGGTGAGTTCTGGGGAGGCAAGACGTTCTGAAAGGGGGAAGGACGGCTTGGCGATGCAGCAACTAGTTCTGCTACGTGACATGCAACACCTGTGGTTGTGGTAGGTATCTTAGCCAGGGGTTGTCGGGTGCTAGGCGCCGGTGAGGCTGTGAAAGCAAGCTTTGGGAATGATCTAGGTGTCGTAATTTCTACAGAATGCAGAAGGACGCGTCCAACGTGAGGTCTAGGTGGAGGCGTTGTGCAATTGGCTGGCAGTTTGAGGGGGGAGAGATTCAGCTCATCGGCGTCATCGGAGTTGTCAGGTTCTTCCGGTTTGTGAGGACTCATCATCGGGTTAGACTTCTGTTTTCCATTCCTTGTTGAAGGTGACGAAGCATCGGTCTTCTTGAGGGGTGACGTCTTACGGGTTCGTGGGGGGCGTGCAGATTGCACTGGCGTATCCAGCTGTGCATCAACTTGAAAGCTTTTGCTACTCTGCTGGATAACTTTCTTCGGAGAGTTGCTAGACCGGGCTGATGGTGCAGCCAGTCCAAAATTGTTCTGTCGAGCGCTGGCTCTAGTGGCGCGCTTTGGAGGAGAAGCCTCGGTGACAACGTCAGGATCCTCACGCGCCTTGCGTTTAGGCATTTGTGTTGATAGGTGGTTGAGATCAGGAGTAAGTAGCTTGTATTTTGAGTCTAACGCGTCTTGTCACACGTCTTGTGGTCACGAGTGGACAGTGTCACAAGTCCACGCTTTACTATTAACCAACTCTTTTGTTTCATGGGATTCACAGGGCAAGTTACTTCAGCACCAGCTCGTCATGGTTGACCTGATACACGATCCAGGCTTGCTCGATGGATCAATGCACCAAGCACAGGTCTCGACCTCATCCGTGAAAATATAATGCGAAACCACCATGTTCGTTGCAACGAAAACTCAATCCTCATCCCGGTTCGTTGATGCCGCTCGTAGGGTCAGCTCCGAGGAAGGTGGTTCTTGAGCGTGAAATCTTACCGCTCGACACTGGGTTCAATACCCGGCCTTCCAGTCCACTCAGAGCGCTCCATGTGCACTCTGACGATGAATGAGAATGTCTTCGTCCTTCTAGAGGATCCTGCAGCACCTACTCGTGCAGACATTGTTCAGAACTCCCAGACTACCGATGGACAGGTTTTCCCAGTCCCACCACATTACCGAACTACTTTCCTCACACTCCGTCCGCCTGGCGCATTAGAACAAGTTCTGCATCAGTTGAGAGCACGCTGGATCCCCGTCAGGCAAACAGCTCCTGGCACGCAAAGAAGTCAGGGCGGTCAGCAACTCTCTGTGGAAGGTTTTGTTTTTGCTATTGGCAATGATTGGCTTGTCCGTGTTGGTCATGTAGTCCTTGCTGGTGGCGCCGTCAAAGGTATGCTTCTTGAGGTGAGCGATCAACGCTATCAGCCTTCGCAGGTGGCAAATTAATTCAATTTATAATGATGCACAGGCCGAGTATCTCCCATTACCGGTTCTCCACTCTCAAACTGCAGACGGAACCTCAGAGCTTCTATCCAACCTTCTCACATCGGTCCTCCCAAATATTCGAGAAGCTAAAACAGTGGCGGTCACCATCAGCGACTCTCAGTGGGAAGAGGTACTTTGGGATCGTGAGGAAGAGGAAAGACAGTTGTCACAGGAGAAAGCAGAGTCGGAAGGAGATCCAGATAGTATATATGTCTTTGGCGACGAAGGATTAGCCTCCGAGAAGAAGGGGGATTGGATAGGAGTTGATAGAGACCGTAGATCGGCTTTCTTGATTATCGGCGCATTAAAATCAGAGGGCATTCTGTAGTTTGCACCTACGACTGCCTTCTGAAGAGTAGTTTATACTACTGGTGATGGAACCATGAAGACGTTTTTAGCGTCTATAGTGAACTCCAGGGATGGTTCTTCAGTGACTCGTATCTCCCACTAAACGGCCCACTCATGAACATTTAAGCCACCATTGGCACCTTCTTCCACCCAACCATGTCATGGCGGTTTCAAAATAGCTGGAATGCAAGCGCTTGTGCCCGAAACTTGCAAAGGCACTCCTCCAGTCAGGTCCAGCCCCAGTCAACCGCGCTCCACTTTTATCAAAATCGCCAACTAGAGCTCTATGCTTCAAAGGAAGCGAACAGGCTGAGCCTCCGACAGCTCGTGAAACTGCTTTTGTAAAACCATTTCTTAATATACTCATGGTATGATAGGTGTTCTTTGGGCGGTCTATGGACGAGGAGAAACTGATAAAGGTGAGCGCTTGAAGGGGCATAATGTTAACGCCAATGTTCAATCACATTTGTTACAGAGCGCTAATTATGTCCGCACCGAGCTGCCTGTCCGCATCGCCCACAGGCTGAGAGACTTGCAAGCCCTTCCGTATGTAGTGGTAACCCAGGAGGGTGTAGCTCAGGTCTATGAGGTTTGCTCAAATAACACTACTTCATAGCTTGTTCTTGACCTCGGGCAACTTTACAGTTGTATTGGTCTGCATTTGAGAAGTCAGTAACTTGATTGTGCAGAACGTACTTTTCTGACTTGTTTATAAGGTTTCGGCGCTACCCTCAAGTCACCACCTTGGAAGAGAATCAGGCCTTTTGTGGGTTCCTCGAGAGTATTCTGGACGAGCAGTAATACATTATTTCTGATTCATTGTATTCCTGGTTCTAACTACTAATATCCCAGTGCACCTGTCATACCAAGTCTGTCGCTGGGACTCTCCCTTTCATCTCCGCACCTTCCACCAGATTCCTTAGATGCATTCATGAGACGCATGCTCGTGTCCCGAATCTCAAGGCGTGTTCTCGCTGAACATCACCTTGCGCTCTCGAAGTCGCTTGGAACCAACAGCCTCAGTCTCCCTGATGACCCACATGTCGGCATTATTTACACGGCGCTCAACCTCAGACATTCCATTGACAAGTGCGTCGCGCTCTTGCGTAGCAGGCCGCACGATATAGAAGATGAAACTGGGGAGAGCGTGCCGAATCGTGGATGGCCGGAAGTGATCGTTGACGGTCATATCGATATTAAGTTCTCCTACATACGCGAACACCTCGAGTAAATCTTTTCACTCGTATCGTGTTTAATCTCTCACACGCCTCATTCTCCAGGTACATTATATTTGAACTTCTCAAAAACGTGCAGGTTCTCGGATCACATCTCAAAGAGTGGTTGGCTCACGGCGTTCTAGGCAATGACGGCTACTGGACTGAACCACCGAAGTTCATCTAGCCTCCCTCCTATACGCGCCACCATCGTTGTTGGCGAGAACGACGTTGGGGTGAGAATATCTGATCAAGGTTGGCATCCCTTTTCTCGTCTACAAGCGAATTTAAAGTGAATATCTATAGGTGGTGGTCTCTCATTAGGTCGGATAAAGTCACCCTCCGACCTCTTCTCTTTCTCTCACATCCGCAATGCAACACGCATGGATGACACGCGGCTGGGCGCACTACGCTCCGCTAGCTCGAGAGGTGTCAAAGCAACTGTTGCGGAGCAGATACGCCCATGGCGGTCTGAACAGTCGAATGTGGATTCGAACAATAAAGACCCTGAACGTGAGGCTGGCATTGCGCCACATCCTGGAATTGGGTTGGGCCTACCTATGAGCAACATATTCACAACGTACGTGATTCTTGGCTAGTGCCTTCATAATGTCAACTGAGCTACCTTTATAGGTATTTCGGAGGCACCCTGGAGTTGGTTTCCCTGGATGGTTGGGGTGAGTAAGATCTGCCCGTTGTATTCGGGCCACGTGTTGACTTTGTGAAGGAACGGATGTATATTTACGCTTGCCCAAGCTGGTGAGTTTCTTTTGGAGTCAGCAGGTATCAACATGTGACGCTGGGCCAAGGGCACGAACCTTGAGGGTATTGAGCTATAGGCGTTCTACTGCTATGTATAGTGCACGTGAACTTCGCCTATAAGTATGTACTACTGCTGCCAGTTCGACTTCCTGTGGCATCAAATAACGCAGCTGGTGAGATTAATTCTACCCGGATATTATTATTTGCCACATCCGTATAGGCTCATCTAGTAACTTCTGTATTGCAGAGTATTATTCAGTGAGGGCTTGTAGTTCATGAACTGGTTTCTTGTGAAGTACGATAGACTTGGCAACCACCACTGCCAATGCGGAGTCACCAAGTGTTATTCACGAGGTGAGCAAACAATGTGGACTTCATCACACCTTGCGAGATCCTCCTGCTGCCTCATGCCACCTGCTTGCAGTTCAAGTCGTACACGATATAATATTAATCCCTCTACTTTGAGTAGTGCCTCCGGGAGTTCGCACGTCGTGACATGAGTCATGATGCGTATGTAATAATAACTTGACATATGTGTCAGTGAGTGTCAGGGCTAGTAGCAATTTGCTGTGTATACATGTTGGCAACACTGGACTCTCCGTTGGACCTGGGCGTTTATCTCTTCTCTTAACGAAACACTCATCTTCGACCTTGTTCGATGTCCTTGCCGTCCCTCTTTAGAGCACCAAACCTGGTTCATAATGAGCAGTGATTCCTGTAACCCACCCCCACCTTCATACGAGCTGTCCCAGCAGGGCCATGACCGGAAGATTGTTGAAAAGAAACTTCAAGAGCTGCTCTTATCAAAGATCCCTATTCATAATGTCGAGGAAGAGCTCGAAGAGGACGATAGTAAAGATTCTAAAGAACCAGAGGAGCAGAAGCAGAAACAGCCTTTAAGTTTGTTCCAGGGCCCAGTACAACCACTTCATATACAGAGGCGTACACTTCGGGGAGCTCGCCCCCTTCCTCCAAGCCCAGCAGACGCCCAATATTCCCGTAGCAAACCAGTTGCCATTTACCCAATTGGCCCTCTCAAAGAGGAACCAGAGCACTATCAAGAGCTTCTCTCGCCTCCTCCGCCTTTCACAGCTGTAGGTCCTTCCCTTGAAGGACCTCCGTATGAATACTCGATGTATCGTGCCAGTGGCTCTGCATCACAACCACCACCCAACCGTACTTCCTTTAATCCACCCCCAATCCGTCGTGCACAGCACCGTCCCTCTTCATCATATTCCCCTGCTGAACCACCCGTAGAGACTTCTTACCGGCGTATTTCTCATGGTTCTTATCTCGAGCCCTCTAGCTCGAAGCATCCAATGCCAACGCCCCCAGGGAAAAGCTCAAATGCCCGGCTAAATTTTAACCCATCAATTGCCTACGCAACTTCATCTAGCTCCATGTATGATCCTTGGGAGCATGCATCTGACTCGACAGCAGTTAATGCTGCTTCACTCTACTCGTATGCGATGCAGTTGTCATGTTGAAGTTAGTCATCTGATTGATGGCGTATATAGGTCAGCGGTATCATCCTATTTACATCCAGCGTCAGCTGTCAATCCAGGTCCGCGCCCATCTCACATGTAAGTTGCCAACCTTCATTCGAGTCCGAAACCTACCTTATGCATGCGATGTGAAAGTGGGGCCAAGAACAGATTCTCAACGCCTCCTCGACCTTCTGCATCTTATGAATCGCTCACGCCTGCAAGCAGCCCAGGATCTCCTGCTTTGCAATTCCATTCACCTTACGTACCTGCTTATTCGGCTTCTCAACAGTCACTGCCTCGATATGTTCAATCTAAGTCAAACCAAACGGGTCATGTTCGATGGGCCTCAGAAGCCGATTTTAAAGATAAATACCCGTGATCTACTGTATCCTTTTGTTGCTATTCACTCAACTGTACTACGAGGTCCCAGGCGTCCTACACTCTCATTACCCCCATTATGATATCTTACTTCGTGTACATGCGTTCCTCAGACGTAGCCCAAATAGTATGGAGTCCCTTGTCTTATCACTAGTATTATACTAGCATCTACATATGAAATCACAACTCAAAAGTTACAATCAGAACCTAGAATATTTTCTTGTCACGTTTACATAGCTAACCAGCCGATCAACATACTCGACCTCGGCTATTAATTGATAGGTGACGCGGCGGGCCCTCACTGTCATGCAACGCTCGAGCAGTCAGTCGACGACTTCAAGTTCGTCAGGCTCAGATAAACCTAGCCGACTATGTTACTTTCGAGCGTAGCGCTGCTGGTTTCTCGGACGATGCTGTTCACCGTGCAAAAGCTGCGCAGCTCAAGCTGGAGCATTTCTACAAAGTTGCCGTAGAGGCAGCCATCGAGCGGAACACCAGGTACGTTGAGAATTGCCGGTCGACTCAGAAGAAGGCTCTGATAGGTTCGCAGACGCGTTGAGCTTGAAAGGAAGCTGCAGGCCGCTGTCATGACGTCCGAAGACAGGAAACATCGCCAACTGCAACAACTGGGAAAGAAAGAATCTACTTATCTTCGACTTCGGCGGACGCGGTTAGGTTTGGATGACTTCAGAACAGTTAAGGTGATCGGGAAGGGTGCTTTCGGTGAGGTGGGTGGTCTTGTCAACTCAGTTGGCATGCACTATACGGTGTCATTGCGTGCAGGTCAGGCTGGTCCAAAAGACTGATACCGGTAAATTTATGCTATGAAGACATTGAAGAAGGAGGAGATGTTGAAAAAGGACCAGGTACGTGTTTCTTCGTCGTGACAGATGCAGGCGACTGGAGCTTTCTTCGTAGTTGGCCCACGTCCGTGCTGAGCGTGATATTCTGGCCGAGTCCAACTCCGCTTGGGTGGTTCAGCTGTTTTATTCCTTCCAAGACCCACAGACGCTGTATCTTATCATGGAGTTCCTCCCTGGTGGGGACCTCATGACCATGCTCATTAAATATGATACATTCTCCGAGGACGTCACTCGGTTCTACATCGCAGAATGTGTACTTGCTATCGACACTGTTCATAAGCTTGGCTTCATTCACAGGTCAGCATAGCCTTTCTTCACGTTACTAGTCTTATACGTTCTCGCAGGGATATCAAGCCGGACAACATCCTAATCGACAAGGATGGTCATATAAAGCTGTCTGATTTTGGACTGTCGACTGGTTTTCACAAGCAACATGATTCAAGTTATTACCAGCGGCTTTTGGACTCTTCCAACGGCGTGCAGTCACCGGCTGCCGCTGCCCGTAACAGTGTCATGGTCAATGCTATACACTTGACTATGTCAAGCAAAGACCAAATCGCTACATGGAAAGCTAACCGTCGGAAACTGGTAAGAACAGTGCTATGCTATGTCCACAGCAAACACTGATTTGGTGGCGTGACAAGGCATATTCGACTGTTGGAACTCCTGATTACATTGCTCCCGAAATCTTTCAGCAGAAGGGTTATGGCAACGAGTGTGATTGGTGGTCGTTAGGTGCGATTATGTTCGAATGCCTGGTTGGATACCCTCCCTTCTGCTCCGAAAATACGCACGATACCTATCAAAAGATCATGCAATGGCAATACCACCTAGTGTTCCCGGATGATGTCCATCTGAGTCGAGAAGCCGAAGATCTGATCCGGCGGTACGATGTCTAAAATATAACTGCTGAATAGTCGTGCTCACATCTTCGGCAGACTCATCACATCTCAAGATCGCCGATTGAATATTGAACAGATCAAGAATCATCCGTTCTTCTATGGCGTGGAGTGGGACAGTATACGCCTGATTGATGCACCTTTTGTACCACATCTTCGCTCGATCACGGATACGTCGTACTTCCCTACGGACGAGATTGACCAAGTACCAGCCGAAGGCCCTGTAGTAGACGCTACCGATGCTCAAAAGGACCTTGCGTTCCTCGGGTATGATGTCTATTCAGCTTTATCTTGTTATTGGTTACTCATGGTTTGACAGATATACCTTCAAGCGATTTACGATATCATCACACGTTGCTTGATGTTGGACTATTCGCTAATGATTGTATAATGTATATATGCGAAGTTTGTACACATGTACGAATCTACGGCGGACTCGCCGTAATTTCAATATTGGTGTGCATGTACCACCTTGTCCGGTCACTATATATTGAATTCGACGACCCAACATTTCGGGTGTCGACACTCGTTGGATTATTCGCACAGCCACCTCCGTGCGGATATTCATGCACCTGTTAGCTGGGAAGTTCCGGAGTATATGTGTGATTGGGCGCATGTTGGCGGGCCATTCAACATGCATTTCATCAGGTTCAGGATTCCATTCAAAGTTCCTTGTTATCGATGATGGTCAGGCTGCCCAAGCATAGTTTTGACATGTCTATAGAATCCCGGTGTATCGCATTCACAGCGCAGCGCTGCGGAAGTATTCTTATATCAGCCTACCAGGACGCTCAGGCAGTGTTTCGAATTTCCAAATACATTGCAAATTGCGACAATTTTAGTTGACCATTCACAGACCGTATTGGGGTTGTAGCATATTCAAAAACAACCTACGATTCGCCCAAGGTAAGTGGGGATTTAGCTGCATATGAAACTAAAATCTCACCTATCTTGTTGAGTTTGAGCCCAAGGAACTTGTGCAAACGACGCGTCTGCAGAACGTCTCGGAACGTCTCTTGACGTGCACGCAGGTGAGATTTTAGTGTTCTGCATCATCTTGTCGCACCATTCATGGTGTAGTAGTGTCCTGTCATAAGTTAGTCACCGCCACCGAATGTCGAAAGATTTGACCGATGTCATGAATGACACCCCGATCCGTTTCATACGTCTATCGGACATGAAGTTCGTTGGGCGTAATGACGTGAAGAAACATTTGCAGGGCTTTGTTCCTCCAGATAGGGTGGTACAGTATCCCTGGCAAATCTATGATCCCTCCCAAACCGTCAGGTATGCCATTCTGTCTCACAAATGGCTGGATGAGGGAGAGCCAATTCATGAAAAGATGAAGAATGACGCGGCAGCAACTCTGGGATACGAGGAACTTTTGTGAGAAGGCTAAGGAATACGATGTGGAATTCGTGTGGTCGGATACCTGCTACATCGACAAGAGCAGCCGTACCGAGCTCGACGATTCGATTTGCCCTATGTTTCCGACACATTCGAAACCGGTGTTGGGAAATGAGTACGACTCAAGCGCATCGTAACAAGCGAGCTTGAGATCACCACATGGAGTCCAGCTGAGGTTCCCGCGCCCGAGAGTCATCAACATGCGCTCGGGATTGTTAATTATTCGCTTTGCCATGATGGATCACGCAAATCCAACGCAGGTTTTTCAGATACTGCAATGGTTCTTGTGTAAGGTAGCTTAGCTACTCACCTGTAGCTTTCGTGATAATATTGTAGAATCAACAATTTTGGATTCAGAGTCTTGTGACTTACAAGGTTGATGTCGCCATCAAAGTTATTTCAATGTTTGGCAACTTGGCGATATCACAACTTATCAGCGAATGTCACATTAGTCATTATTGAATGAGCTAGGCAGATTTACAGCCATTGGGTCAAAGATCACTAGTGCACTTCCAAACGTCTTGCCCAAGCATGTCACAATCTGCTGCATTTGCTGGCTTGTGGTCGTCGCTTCCAACACCATTAACACCATGGGTGTGAGTCCACCGTCATTTAAACTCCAAGTATTCATGTAGTGAAACCAAAGTTTTCTAGTCTGGATGTTATACAGTCGCTGGGGCATACCCAAATGACGCCCGTTCAAGCTTCCACAATACCGCTGTTCATGCAACATAAAGACGTGGTAGTCGAGGCTGTAACAGGTTCTGGCAAGACACTAGCGTTTGTCATCCCTATCCTCGAGCGTCTTATCAGAAGGGATGCTAGACTCAGAAGAAACGAGGTTGGTGCACTGGTCATCAGTCCTACGAGGTGAGTTTGTGAGGAACTCTTAAGTTACTCAACGTCTAATCCTAGTCCTCCTTCGAAAGAGAGCTTGCAACTCAGATTCATTCCGTATTTTCTCTCTTCCTGAACGCCCAACCAGATAATAGCACATCGAAGGAGTCTGAAAATGGAGAAGGATCACCGCCATCCCCAGCAGACACTGAATGCTTAGGAGCAGGATTTCCTCTACCTCTTCTACTTATTTCGTCAGATAAATCTTCCCCAGCTCAAGATATACAGCGGTTTCTCTCCACTGGTGCTGATATCATCATCGGGACACCTGGACGCATGGAAGAATTTCTTATAGGAAAGGGGAAAACTGTTGTTAGCGTCAAGGAGCTGGAAGTGTTGGTGTTGGATGAGGCAGACCGGTGAGCCTCTCCAGTTTGCAGGAGCTTGTTTATTGAAGACATTCAAAGTTTGCTGGACCTAGGCTTTCAAGCTGCTCTGACTCGCATTATTACTCATATTCCGAAACAGAGGAGAACTGGTCTTTTCAGTGCGACGATGACAGACGCTGATGCTCTTTCTGAATTGGTTCGCGTTGGCTTACGAAATCCTGCTCGCATCGTTGTCAAAGTTCAATCAAAGAGAACAAATGGAACGAAGTCGGGAACCTTGCAAGAAACTCAAGTCATCGAGGAAAGGCGGATACCTGCAGGGTAAGGCGTACGTGCTACGTAACATTTCTTACTTATTCCTATCTCAGACTTCAAAACTTCTACATTAACTGTCTCCCATCCGAAAAGTTGGTTCAACTGACACGTATAATCAAGCAGGAGTCGTCATCTCACCACGCACCACACTTCATTGTGTACTTCGCGACTTGCGCATGCGTCGATTATTTTTATCGCGTGAGCGTTCTTACATCGATGTTTTGCTCCTGAATTCCAAATGAGATTTAGATTTTATCAACACTGTTACCATCAAATGTCCAACTCCATTCCCTCCACGGACACCTCCCTCCCGCAGCCCGCACTCGTGCTCTCTCGGCCTTTTCTTCGACTCTGTCGTCGTCCTCTTCCCCTTCAGTGCTTCTTGCTACGGACGTTGCTGCCCGAGGACTTGACATTCCTCATGTTGATGTTGTCGTTCAATTCGACCCTCCATCTGACTCAAAAGCCTTTTCCCATCGGTGCGGTCGGACAGCTAGAGCCGGGAGGAATGGGAAGGCATACGCACTTTTAGTAGGAAGAGAAATTGAGTATATTGGTCTGTTTTCATACGCACTCATATTGCGACTTCGATCTGACGGCCGTAGTCAATAGATTTCTTATCTGTTCGAAAAATTCCAATCAAGCAGCATCCTTACATACTAGCAGATGGAAGCAAGGCGCCGGAAACAGATTACCCCTCGACAGAGGATGATGTCGTCAATACCTTCATATCCCAAATCAGACAAACCGTCATGACAGATCGCGCGCTGCATGACAAGGTAGCTGCCTTTCTAAACCTGATGTGTGGCTATTCTTACAGTTTAACAGGCTGTGAAGGCGTTTGTCTCCTTCGTTCGTGCATACTCGAAGCACGAGGCCTCCTACATCTTCCGAATCAAAGACCTAGACTTGATAGGTGTTGCCAAAAGCTTCGGTCTGCTGCGTCTGCCACGAATGCCCGAACTGAAAGATCGTGATAAATCACGATGGGAAGGCGCAGAACTCGACGTACGTTCAATGGTTCTTGGATATCGCACATGCTGATTGTGCTGATGAATGAAGTGGGATTCATACTGTTATGCAGATAAGGCACAGGAAGCCAAGCGAATTGAAGAAGATTCGAAGAAAGCTGTAGTAAAGCACGACTCCGAGACTCGAGCTGCCAAGCGCAAGCGTAATGCTGCATGGAGTCAGAAAGCTGATGATAAGGAAGATAAAGACAAGCGTCGGACCCAAAAGGCGAGGAAAAGGCAATGGCTTAAAAGCCAAAATGTTGTCAGTGGCGACGCAAAAGGTGCCCTCCAAACAGGCAGAGCCAAGCTAGAAGAGAGCGGCGGAGAGGACGATTGGGACGAACTGGCACGAGAAGAACGATTAGCCAAAAAACTGCGAAAGGGGGCTGTCTCGCAGAAAGAATTCGATCAGGAATTCGGTGACTTGTGAAGGTATGGCGATATTTCGTGCCCCTTAATCTGAAATTTTCATTCCTTGTTCAAGGTGATTCTGAACATGTAGTGACTTAGTGCTCAAATTTACACAAGCGATCCATTCACCCTCGGACGTCTACCGTGAATTACAATAAGAGATGCCTGTACACTACGTGACTCCAAAGCATGAGTAGCGTTTTTGGATACGTGAAATTAAGAGCAAGCAGAAGCCATGGAGGTAAAGAAGAGGAGTATACTTAGGAGAAAAATCAAAGGGTGGAGACACGCATTGGAACAGGTGAAGTACTGACAGACACGGAGATAAGCCCACGACGCGCGGGAACAAGAGACTGCCAAGCGCACACTGACAGTGGTGCACAGGTGGAGTACGCACATGGGAATCACGCGAATTGCTTCAGCCGTTCCGTCCTTACAGATGCTTAGCGTGATCAACATCCCAGGAAAGCACGTGTCCAATTCCTTCAAAGTTAGCTACCAGCTATGTAGTAGTAAGGGCGAGATGTGGTCAGCACAAACATCTCCACAAACTGAGCAATTTGGCTAATGAATACCAGATTTCACATGAGTCTTGTAGAGGTGATAAGATCTGTCAAAACCATAGTAGAATATCGATCGCTGTACAACAGCTTGCGAATCCGAATCGACCTTATCATGTATCCTTTCTACGTAGGTTCGGTCGCATCTACAAGGAAGCAGTGAGTAACAAGTATGAAGTCAAGTTTAACAGAAGCTGACCACTTCCACAAATAACGGCAACAGCAGTGGAATGTAGACCAGATCAGGAGGCTTGAGCATGTTAGTGGATCCCTTCGATTTATGTGATGGGTGATCTGGTGCGCGCTCACGGTTTTCCGCGGCACGTGCAGTTGTGGTGGGGGGAGGTGGGGGTAACGGTTTGTCCGCGCGATGAAGTGATGGCGGTAATGGTGGGACCGGAGGGGCATCTTTCCAATTCATTTGATGGGAGAAATTGGCAGATTTCGTACTCCGTAATGAGATGGATCGCTGGCGGATAGAAGGGGGAGGTTGTTGTATAGGTGGAGGTATCAGCGGGCGTTGTGGGGACGATATATGCGGAGATGGCCTAGCTGTTTGAACTCGGGACCGAGTTGGAGTTGACCTTTCCTCCTCGCTCTCCTCGCTCTCGGCATCTTCGTAGCTCCCCGAACTGTCCGTTTCGTACTCACTGGAAGACTCATCGCTTTCGTCATCCGATTCCTCCGCGGCAAGATCAAGAGCATCACTTTGCACCAGTTCCCCGAAATTAATTTCCCCTACTACACCGTTCACCAGTGCCTGCGTGGCTTCGTCTTCAGCATCCGCATCATCATGTCCTTGAGCCCGCGTGAAGCGCCTGCGCACTCTTTCTTCGTGTGCGATCTTCAGCTTGTAATGGTACCGAGCTACCTCGTCTATCTCGTTCATCATGTTCATGCGCTCTTGCCCGCCATGAGGCAGTAGCCATTCGAGCGAAACCGGTGATCCTAGACCTTCCCGGACGACAGTAAGGAATACCTCGATCCACCGCATCAGGCTTTCAAACAACCCCTTCCCGTTTGCATGTACCTTATGCACGAAGGAGTAAAATGCTTGCTCGTGCCGGCCGACGAGATCAATAAAAGTTTGTACAGTGGCCTGGGGATCCTCCTCGCTCACTAATCACTCGATAGTCAGACTTTCTTCGGTAAGAATCGGTGCGAAGAACTTACTGTCTTCCGTAGCCTCGACAACCCTAATTAAATCGGTGACGAAATTCTGCAGATCTGATATAGAATTTCCAATATTGGCAGCCCGGTATACTTGGGCTAATGGTGCATAGAAAATGGAGATGATATCCTTGAGTAACTCGGCGGTAACACCCTGGAAGTGCGTCAGCGGAGATACTGACAATTTGTCAAGCGAGCTGACCTCGAATATCAGTGCAATCAACTGTTCCAGGTCTCTCAGTCGGGAGTAAAGCTGCACGAGCACTTTCATATCCTCAAACAGCCATGCCTCCTCGTCGATTGGCCCATCGTCAGAGTCAGAGTCCGCGAGTTTTTCCCGCTCCCTTAGATATGCCGCATGTGCAAGATGCGCCCGGTGCACTCGGCGCAATTGGTCACGATTCAACCTGGGTTCTTCTCCAGAACGCAGAACGACAGCAAGTACGGGAATTTTCCCCTGCAATGCATTCGTTCGGTACGTGTCCTGGACCTCGCGTGGGGCGTTGACAAAGAGGCGGAGCTTCTCACACACGACAGGGTCATCAACTTTGGCTTTTACAGCTTCAATATCTTCTTCAATGATTGTAACCTCTTCCGTAAGGGAACTAGAGAACATTCTGGAAAAGTGTTAAAGGCTGATTAACCAGTTAAATTTTGGATTACCGTTGAAGGAGACTTCTTCCACCGAAGGGAGTCGCCAGAAAGATGTCCACCACGCCTAGCCTTCATCAATACACGAATCCTGAGGAGGTATATGCACCTTACTGCGTATCATTGCAACTGGACTGCTTATCTTGAGTGCTGTCTTCAGCAGAAAGTAAGGCATTAATCCATGTAAACGCTTCATGCTTGCGAATGTTTCCGACGCAGTGTCAGACGCGACAAACATTTGGAAAATCGTCGAGGCTAGCCTACCAAAACGATCAATTATCTGGTCACGGAAAGGAACGTATACGCACGTTATTCTGCCCCATTCTGCCACAGCCCGATAATTAGGAGGTAATTGATTTATGTCGGGAGTCACCTTAATTATGGCGAAAATATGACTGAGTCCATCTATGAATATGTGAGATTTGTGATGAATAACTCTTGGAGTTGAGTCTTGACAGACCTTTTCCCATGATATCGCCCTTGACGCTCTTCACTGCATCTCTTAATCTATCAACACGGCCAGCAATTTCGTGCGCAAACTGTTTCCTCCCATTTTCACGAATTCTATCTGCATCTTCTCTTCTCCGAGCATCTTCTACCTCTTCAGGACTTAAACTAGTAGGTCCGCTGAGTAAGAAAGATTTGAGCACGGGAGAGCTCCCGATTGCCCCATTGTTCATGAGAGAGTGCAGATAAGCTCTAAGAGTCAGCCTGTTTTTTTCCCGGGACAGCCGTGGTGGAGATCTCCCGCCTCCAAACTGCTGTGAAGCTGGAGAGTGCGGGAGCGACTCAGATGAACCATCAGAGAACGTGGCACCGTAATCGGAGAGGGTCGTGTGCTGCATCCGTGACACGATGGAGACATCTGGAGGAGAGGTCGAGCGGGGAATATTAACGATCGTACGATCTTTGACGGGCGGGGAAGGTACCATCTCTTCAGGATGAAATTTGCGCAACTATACAGGAGATGGAATTGGCTGTGTCAAGGATTGAAGCGCACAAAGTCGTACCTCATCTGCAAGTGTTTTAAAGTCACCATACCTTCGGGACACGCAAATCTCCCTGTTTTCTGATAGCCGAGTCCTGATGATGAATTCCTATACAAAGCGATAAGGACATCGATGATTGACAATCGATATATGCCAGCAAACCTCGTGAACCCGACTGCGGACCCGACCCCTGTCTGTGACAGTCCTCACACACATAATATTTACTTCGAATACGTCGCGATGTTTGGCTAATCGTGCCTGCCGCTTCTTAGCCAGTTGCTCGAGCCGATCGAGGTCATGTTGGTTGAGCCGGACGACCTCCTCTTGTTCTACTAGTTTTGTGCCAGCGCTGAAAAGTAGAGCAAAGTTCCGCTCCAATTTGTCAAGTAATTTGAGGCGAGCAGCCTTGGGGTCGTTTTCATCTTCAAGTAATGAGGTGGGGGATATGTTCTTCGCAAGAGCAGAGGCAACAAATACTTGTAATTTATTTGAATAGAAACCTTTATCTGCGGCTGCGAGGAAGGGGAATGTTAAAACAAATTGGCGGAAAATATACTTCAAGAAGGGTAAATCAAGGGGCTGAGCACCCACTGGGGGTGGTGTAAATGGGGCCCCAAGGTATGCAAGAGTGGAGCCGCCGTCATCGGGTGCGTTTGTTATACAATTTAATTCTTTGTGGAATTGAAGTTGTATTAGCGATTTCTTCAAGTAGTGAGCACGGAGAGGTGTCAGAGCCAAATAGTGCTCCTCGGAAGGAACAGGATCCCGCAGATCATCATCAGTTGGGTTTGGAACAGGAGGTATCTGGCGAGTTGGTCGACGTGGCCGATGCTTTGAAGTCGAGGAATGGGCCTGAGGAGGTGATGTGGTCATGACAAGGAATGCTGGGAGCCCGCAGTACTTGCAGTCGACTCAGTTGTCGATATACGGCCACATTACGTACATCAGGCCGGCACTGCCACTCCAGGGGCTATTTCTCCTATATTGTCATTAATTATGCCATGAGCCAAGTCAACTACTGCTTGGGGTATACACTTTGGATCCTTTATACGTTCTTCTGTGAGGCTCATCAAGCAACTTTTTAAGCTTAGCAGCAACCTCCTTCACACCCTGACGACAATCCTCCATTCCCCGCCAAGTTCCGGCCACACTCCAACATTCAGAACACGCTTTCGACGCCTCGTTGACTGTCTCAAGTTCCAGCTCCCCTCTGGAATGTAACACAACCATAATATCGACAAGGCGATGGAATCCAGTACACCACGTCTGGATGCCATGTTCGGCATTGGTACTTGTATCTGTCACAAGGTATGATGATGCGAGCCCGATCGCCCGACGTAACATGGCTTGGTCGATAGCGCTCGACTGTTGTGTCATGCGCTTTACAACATGAATTACAAAACGGCCATAATCGGTTGGCTGGCTTTGTCTTGGCTGCTCTCGTGTTTAGAAACACCGAATTACGGACTATTATCTTGAACTTACCTCCATTTCGACCTGGAATTGATTGAGTAATGACCTTGTGACGAGCATTGATGGATCCATTGTCAGTGTCTGAAGGAAAGAGGGAGGGGATGATGGCACTCACGACTTTCTTGCCTCTTCTACCTTGTCTGCTGCGATCTAGAGCCAAGTCTTGATGTCATATCGAATGCTCCGGAAATTACCGAACGGACTTCTTTCCGAAAGGTTCCCATGTGTTCTTTAAGTTCACCAAGTTTCCGAGGACTACAGCTAAGTAGCAAGCCATGGCGAGTCTCCTCGTCAAAATTCTGAGTGCTATGACACCCCCACCATTTGTACAACCAACAGATTATGATGGTTGGGAAGTTAAATGGAAATTTTTAGTCTTTCGTCCAGGACGTATGTGCTTGCAGTCGGTTCTTTCCTAACATACTCGTGCTCACCGCATGACACAGTCTTTCAAAACCAGGCGTATCTTTTGGTTGGATTGTTGGCGTATGTAGCCATAGCCATCTACGGCAAATATGTCAACTCCAAAAGAGCCAATTGCTGGTACGTCTATGTCTTCAATCTGAATCTGGGCATCTTTAACGCACTTTCAGGTATGATGCTCACCTCACGCTCCTTCAGGACCAATTCTCTTCGCCTACATCTGCCTCAGGGCTCATTGCAGATGGGTACACGGACTTTTTCAATTTCTCCACCGGTCGACGTGCTATTGCATCCCTGCACACTGTATTCTCACTTCGCCCACGTCAAGATCCACTGCAACTCATCTATCATTTCGGCTGGGAATTATACGACCTCAGGTACAATCCATATGATGAACTCATCCTGGACTTCAAACTCGACGCGGAAATGGCTGCTAGTATCCCAGATTACGTATGGGCAGTCCTCGCAAAGGATGAATTCGCGAGTATTAAGGATAAACGTTGGGATTTGGTTAGTCTCATACCCTACAGTCATTTTATATTAAACTTACACGCCATAGACGTTCACCCGTACTGCCGATCATGCCTCACTTCCAGCCTCGCTCTCCGTGATGACCGAGTGGGCAGATGTGACTGACAACTTGTTCAAGGCTACTCCCACGTTATCACTAACCAAGCTCCTTTCCGACCCCATTAATCTCAAATACTTCAAATCCATTTCCGTGACGGATCAGCCGCGTGAACGTCCTGCTGTCCCTCTTACACCTGCCGAACGCGAGAAACACGTCATCTTGTGTCTGGCTGTTCCCCCTGCAGACAAGGCTGCCGAGACCATTCCTTTAGTCTCGGCTATGTTTACATTTATTGATGGTTTAACGAAGATGAATTTGCGGCCAGAAACCCGTTCTAAGATGAAAAAGGTCCGGGAGGACGTAGACAAGGAAATCCGGGAAGAGGCTGTCAAGGAAAAGAAGCAGGAAGTGGCCGAGGATAAGAAGGCCGCAAGGCGGAAAGCAGAGCTAGAACGCGTCTCACGCCTGAGCGCTGCAGAACAGAAAAAGGTTTGTCTTTGCATATCGGGTTCTACTTCCTCGCTCACCACTCCCGCATCAGATCATCGAGCGTGATCGGAAACGTGCCTTGAAACGTTCACAGGGCAAGGTAGTGAGGAAATCATAAATATTCCATTAAGATCATATGTAACAAGGGCTAGTGTACATAAAAATATTATTTCATATATCCTTGACCGAGCAGTAGTCCATGCAGCAAATAACGCCGAAGTAAAATATTATGAAGGTAATGATGGTGAGACGGAAGCACTGTTAGTCCGAGAATCCGTGGCAGGGGCACTGCTGTCGCGGGACTGCGTATGAGACTGTGATGGTGACGCCTGCACCCCACTTTGACCCGCCAAGAATCCCAACCTTGCGGTCCATTTGGTAAGGAACTTGAGCAACCACATTGGCTGCATCAAAGCGTCCTTGTGTTCATCTTCCTCTCCCGCCTCGCTCATCTCATCATCCGTCTCATCACCAAGCACCCGCAAATCTCCCAACCCGGCACCTGCACGACGTTCCTCCTCCGCCTCGCTCTCCGTCCGTCCCCATACATCCACCTCTCGCTCCTGGCCGCCAAGCATCCACTGCTTCGCCCGTCGCTTTCTTGAGCTAACAGTGTCCGATCCAAAAACTTTACCCCTAAGCTCGAGCACTTTTGCTCGAGGCGCAATTGCTGCATCCCAGAGGTCTTGCCGTCTGAACTGCCCCGCCTCGTAGTCGAGAGCTGCGACTTGTTGACGACTACTGTGTGCCGCGACCCTTGCGTCTTCCACGCGTTGTAGGACTTCGAGTTGGCTCGACAGATTAGATAGAAATTCACGATGATCTCTATCATCCTTTAGAAGAGCCGCGTTAGTCGCTGCTAGGTTTGAAGATACATGCTAGACCGGTCCATGTCGTAATGAGCGGGCATCCAAGGAACTCATGAACACAAACGCTCACCTCGAGGCAAGCAAGCATGCATTTCAAATGCTCTTCTCGCCGATGCATGACTAATAGGTGGCCGCAAAGGTCTACATCGATTTGCATCCATTTGAAAGGAAGGATACGAAGGTCTCGGAAGGCATCCAGGTCGTGAAAACTATGCCGTCTGTCACGAGTATCAACATATAATATCTTTAGTGGGTTCCATCCGCCTACCTCTGGATATCAGGCCTTAACATTTTTCTCTTCCTCTCTGCCTCGCTCTCTCTTTCAGTAGATTTATCGACAGGCTTTCTCTTTTCTTCTGCACTTCCTACACCCGACCAGCTAGACACGCGACTCTCGTCTCTGGGCCGTCTGGGATGTCGAGCAAGGAAGGACTTCACACGACGATTGTACTCTGGATCATCCTTGTTAAGGTTGGAAGTGGATCTTTGTGCGATGATGGATGCATCGGAAGGGTCAAGTATGAACGGGTTGTGTGTCTTTGAGATCGCTAGGATTGATGCATCAGATCACAATCCAGCCAAATAAGTCACTTGTGTGCATACAGATGGGTGATACCTGGCCGCTGCTCGGGAGGTCTTCGTCATCCCCGCTATTCCTACCTCTTAAAATCGAATGCGAATCTTTCCAGACAAGGGATGGTACTCACGGGGATAACACCACAGATGGTACGGTCAAAACGCTTGTATCGGCATACACGTGGCCCGATAAAGACGATTGTGCAGACAACGGCACTGCTATCAACGATGAGCGCCCTGTAGATCTCAATGGAGATGATAGATCTATCGATCTCTTGGACCGATTGATACTATAATGAAGATGTCAGCTCAGAGCGGAAAAATCTAAGAAGCTACCCACCCAGCCCAGAACTCCAATTTCTTCTGAACCTTTCCAGACCAAGCACCTCCGAAGGTAAGATCAATATCGTCTTCTCCCGCACTTTTCACGATCCCCGAATCGTCCACATCACTTGACGTAAGTCGTTCCTTGTCCTTATCTTTTTCTCGTACCTTCTCCTGGGTTCTGTGGAATGTTTGCGTGGGTTCCACAGCACGCGCCCGCAAACGAACCGCTACCTCCACTCTACCGGTCCAAAGGGCACGCACGCTACCGGCTACTCGTTCCTTTTCATCCACTTCGTCAGGTTTCTCGTCCTTCCTAACACACTCTCTTGCCAATTTGTTTTTCCCGGCCCTGGACCCAACTTTCTCATGCTGTTTATCACGCCCTATGACAGCTCTGACGAACGTGCCCAGGTCCACCACGGGTGCCAATATACCCTCCGCACCAGCCACGCCACCGCGCCCCACAAAGCCCCTGACACGTCCGCTCAACCCGCGCCGCTCATCATCTGATGAGTTTGGCTCAGAAGTAGGGTCAAGAGTTGATAAAATGATGCGTTGCACACGTCGTGAGTCGGAATGCTTAAGCCTTGCCTCATGCGTGGAGGTCAGCGCATTGTATAAGTGAAGATTTAAGTAAATTGAGAGCGTTGGTTGGGGAACTGAGCAACTTGCACCAACGGAAGGCGATGGAAAGTACATGGAGACTGCTGGCGACGCTGACAGTCCAGGTGAGGAGGTGCCTGATGCCGTGACCAGGAGAGGTGTCTCCGTGTGCGAAAGTGTTGGCGACGAATGCGTCCCATTATTGGGATGCGAGCTGATGCCCAAAAGCTGAGCCTGTGCGCATGCACTAATGCAAGCAATTAACACGTGTGGGTGTAGGAATGGATCCTTCGGCACTGCTCGTGCAAGGGATGCAAGTTTATTCCGCGCCGAGAGCACAAATGAAAGCAGTGCGGCAACCGCAGACGGGTCGGCAATACGTTCGGTTGCCTGAAAATGCTTAATTTGGCTAGGGTCTCAACAATGAAGAGCAATCTCACAGACCTCAATACCTGGAAAGCTCTCTCCTACCTCCACCATCCATTTGTGCAAACCATCTATGGTGACATCACAAAGTAGGCCATCCAACATAGGTAGGGTAGTCAGTGGGAACATTCCACACACAGACAATGCAGCTTGTATCAGTTTCACCAGCTCTAGAACAGCGGCTGCGAAGTGCGGGTGACGCTGCGATTGCTGTGCATTAATATTGGACGTGCTATGCTGCGGAGAGGCGCCAGTGTACAATGACTGGACATGTGAAGAAGAGCTGTTCAATGTGTCGGGAAGGGTAAGGGGACTTGGAGAATGCGAGAAAGTGCGAGTCTGGGCACGCGAATTCGGAGACTTAGAGCGAAATGGATGTGTCGCAGACGGCGTGTCAGGAATGAAGTACAATGATTTAAACCGGTCCTTTGTCGTCTCACTATGAAATGATGAGCAAACACATAGACCGAGTGCCTAAACCTTACCTAGGTTCTTCGAGCGTAACAGCACTTCGGCCACTGCATCCCATTCGCAGCAGATTGATGTTGCAGTACAAACGCTCTTGTACTGCTAGAAAATCGCCATCGGGAATTTGCACAATTGTATAATCAGACCGAAAGTTAGCCAATGAGGTGACCATCAGAATGCCCAGGGGCGTCTAAGGCGTATACATTAGCACTAAGCGAGTATACCGCCCAAGTGCCAAGGTACCTGTTTTGGTCGGGCCCCATCTTTGCGAAGGTGTTGTACAGAAAGCTTGAGTTCTAACTCTCCCTCCTGGTGTGTCAAACGGTCGGCAGGCTTAAGCACGGTGACAGTAATCTGGAGCCACAACAAGTGGGATGAACATGTGCTCCCTGAAGTCCAGGCTTACACCACAAGAACGTACCTTATGGGAAGGGTCTCCCGTATATACAATGAGCACCGTAACAGGGCGTACACGCTCAACTATCCTAAGCTTCAGTCAACACACGCCGAATTCCACACAAAGACAAGTCACAAACCACTTCTCGACCGCATACATCTGGTAACCCTGAAGCTCGACACGATTCTCGGCAACTTCAAGACGAGATTTCCTCCCAATCCAGCGCTCCCCGATGGAATCCCCGCTCACCCCTGTCCCCGTATTGAATGCCGCGCTTGTCATGGTGGCAGTTGCCGAGCCGGAGCGCGAACGGATTAATTTTGACGATGCTTGCCTTCGTGTCGGTGGGCTTGGGGGAGATTGTGGTATACGCGGAGGTGCGTGCGGGCGCACGGTTGGCATGAGCAGCCGTGGTGGGCCTAGGGTTGAGTTCGCCATGGCCCACGCTGAGCACTGACGTCCGAGGGTGCAGTGGAATAAGCAGTTCGGAAGAGTGTCACGCTTTGGCTAATAAGGGTGACTCCGTTGTGACAAATAACCTCCGCGCTTGGGCTTGAGGCACTTCGTAACCACTTACACGCTGCGCACGATTACTTTGTTTGCGAAGGTAAGTTAGGATAAGCCTTATTTCCACTGCAACCTTCCCAAAAATAAGGCCGTTGGGGTCAAGATTATTGGCGCACCGTCAAGTATATATAGTACTTCAAGTAGAGTCCAACAGGAAATAATCAAGCTAGTCCAGATCCCAGTACCCGATGCAGAAGTAACCAAGTGAAGAGTCAAAGAGAAAATGGGGATAAATAGAGCGCATTGGTAGGATACATTCCAGCAGGTGGTATCAAATAAAATCGGTGCGGATGATACTGTACGTGGACAGAGTACGTGATACATGTTAAACAAACTCCATTTTTTTCTTGCATCTCCTTCATTGTGATCAGGCTAATTCCATGCTGTAATAAGGGAATATGATGTGAATGAACAGGGCTATATGACGATGCATCCACTCGAAAACCACCTAACCATCGAGTCACAGTCAAGAGTGGGATAGGGGTAAAATAATATGTAGCACCCACCAATTACTATTCAACTGTTCGATCCAGCCCACGACCATTCGCAGACGGAGTCGCGCGCTTTTAATAGGTAGCAATTTGGCCTTTTCATGCTCATCTATTGGGAGCACCATACCCATCCAGAAGGAGAACGCATCAGGGTTCTCGTCAGGCGGCTGCGGACCGTACGTATGGTTTAGACGCTGAACTACCCACGGCGCAGTACCTGCGCGGAGCTGCTCCAGAAACGTGTGGCACGTTTGAAGGAGCGCGGCGGTGCTTAGAGGAGGGTTAGTGGGTGATGATGGAGGTAGTGACACGTTCGACATTATACGCGAAAAAAGGTGCGGGGATGATGATGCATGACCCGAGGCACTAGAAGCAGACGACGATGCGGATAACGAGGAATCAGCGTTCTCCTCGATCTCAGACTCCCAGTCATCAAAAAGGTCTTCATAATCGTCGATCCGCTCCACCCTTCCGATCATATACCCATCTAGAGATCCGCGTTCGAGTATCCTGAACCGATGCGTGCCCCGAGTTTCCACCATGCTCCGCCCGTCTGAAAGCATCTGCACACTGCGGATCTCAAGCATGGTACCAAAATCTGCACCCGCATCAACGCCGAGACCGGCAACAGGCGCTGCACGTGGAGGCATTATCATGCCAAAGGTTGGTGTCGGAGCCTCGAGACAACGTCTCAGCATAAGCCGGTAGCGTGGTTCGAAGAAATGCAGCAGTGTTGGCATTCCCGGAAACGATAATTGGCAAACGAAAATGGGCGTGTCTAAACGCGCGTCACGCTCTTCTGCCGCAATTACTTGTCCTCTTGAGTGATAGGACTCAGGGTAAGCTTTGAGCACTGCACATTAACAAGGAATCAGATGGATGCAACAGCTACACGGAATTTACTGACGGAGAGCAAGAACAACTTTGTTATGCGAGTGTTCATGAAAGTGAGCGAAGCCAGGTAATTCCACGCGACATAGCGGACATAACATGCTATGATCGAGGGACCTCTGTAAGCATTTAGAGCAAAAAGTCTGGCAGTGCCGTCGTCAGGGTCTTCATACAGAACAGAAGTTATATATACGTACATGTTGACAAGGCGTTGTGACAGGCTGGTAAAACAGCATAAAACAGATCTCGCACGTCAACTCCGTAGTGAGGTTCTTGTCAAATTCGGCTAGTGATATAGCACCAGGGTCAGAGGGATGAAAATCCGACAAACGTGAATTGGACATATGACGTCGACGCCGCTTCCGTGGTCGAGAAGATGTCGATGCAGAGGATGAATCGATGGAACTCGACGGGCCAGAGACGGGTGTCACGGGACGGCCAGTTGATGACGAGGACGATGGAAAAGTAACCGGTTCATGCTGTTCGTCATCAGAATCGTCCTCAGAGTCAGAATAGGTCTCCACAAGGTGGTCAGGCTGCTCGCCCTCATCCTCTGCGGCCTTGATTACTAGTTCCACCAACTTTCTCACTCTGACGTCAATTCTTCGTTCAGTTGGTTCAGGAGAGCTTGTATGGTTCTCGGTGGTCGCTGGGAAGAACGCGACTCGAGAACTGGGCGGAATAGTTGGTGTGAAATTGGCTGGAGTAGACGAACAAGTAGGGATTGGGCATAAATCCGAGATTATATGTGATGAACAGACGGTATGACCGCATCGTAGAGTGGTTGGGTCTGTCAGAAGGCGAGACGGCGAGCAAAGAGGACAGTGCAGAAGAGGCAGAATAACATTTGGAGAAGGATGATCCATAACTTCTCAAGGATGTGTTACTGGGGCTGCACTAGCGAAGAGCAATGAAGCAGGGCTATCCGAGAATTATATGAGCACACAAGATGAGAGAACGGAATATATACTTACGAGTGCCAGAGTTCATCAGCGAAGGATGAATGAAAGACGAGCTCGAGGATCGGTATAGATTTGCTCAGTGGTTCCCGCTGCTCTCCGCGGTAAGGCAAAAGGCAGTTTCTTACCTCGCTAGTATGAAAGCAGTATGCAAGCGAATAGAACGCAGATCCAAACTCGATTCAAGCATTCAATCAAGAGATTCGCGATGTTCCCCCAACTATACTTTCCACGCCCTATTTAACCGTTACTTGCTTTAATCAGTTCATACTGCAACAGATCGCCGATTTTGGCCCTTCCAATGACGACGTTTGCACACACCTCCTGTCTCAACCGGAACCGCCACAACTACTGCATATATGTAACAATACTCTGGCACATACAATCATGGCTACCGATTTCCAGAATCATCAGACACATGCAAGTCAATTTATGAAAGTATATCACTTTTCATACACACACCCGAACCTCGTGTAACAAGAGAAAACAATTCTAATACTACACAACCCAATTCATAAATTTGACACGTTTGTCGTGGGCCAGCTGCTGTAGTGCAATCCCAGTTAGCAACATATACCTTCCGAATCGAGCCACGTGTATGCTTACTACTCCTCTGCTGCACGCTTGTAGCCCAGCTTCTCAATGAAGCTATCAAGCTCCTTAGGTCCCCGAGAGCCATAGGGGTAGGGTGAGGGCTTAGGGCGTGGCCCTTCTTTCCCATCTATCCAATGCAGAATGGGGGTGAAAATCTGATACATTGGCGATCAATCGCACTCCTTGACTGCGGCTTGCAGTAGCATGCTTACCTTCCATGCAACATCCAGTTCGTCATCTCGGACAAAGTTTGAGTGGTCGCCCTTGATCGCATCCAGGATGAGTGCCTCGTATGCCTCCGGAATTTTTGTATCCGTGAATCGCCTCTTGTATGTAAGGTCCATCTCAGTCGGAATTGCGCGGAACGCATATCCAGGCGTCTTAGTGTTCAGTTTCAGGTAAACGGCCTCCGATGGCTGAATGCGGATAACGAGTTCGTTGCGTGAAATATCCTTGAAAATTCCCTGTGTGACATCCTTGAATTGCATGCGAATTTCAACCTTTGCCTCATTCAAGGCTGAAGTGCATGATTTGTCAGGGGCTATTGTATGAGTAATCCGAGATGGAACATACCCTTCCCCGCCTTCAAGATAAACGGAACGCCTTCCCACCGCTCGTTGTTAATCCAGAGTGTGGTAGCAGCGAACGTTGGGCAGACAGAGTCTTTCGGCACAGTGTCGTCATCCAAATAACCTGGCTTCCCATTGGCTCCGACATACTGGCCTAGAAGCACGTCCTCCCGCTTGATAGGTGGGATAGCGCGAAGCACTTTGACCTGGGAAGAACGGAAGCTAGCGTGAGAACACGATAAATACTGCTAGTGCGCATGAATAACCTTCTCGTCCCGAATGTCTTCCGACGCGAATGAGACAGGTCGTTCCATGGTCAAGATACTCAGGACTTGCAACAGATCTGAGTGCGCACATGCATCAGCGTGGCAGCCCCTTCCCACACAAGCTCATAGGAGACTCACGGTTTTGCAAGATGTCACGGATAATGCCAAATTCGTCGAAATAACCACCACGACCCTCTGTGCCAAAGGGCTCCTTGAAACTGATCTGGACGTTGCTGATCGAATGCTTGTCCCACGCAGCGCCCATAGCGACATTGGCGAAACGGAGGACCAACAAATTCTTGACCATCTCCTTGCCGAGGTAGTGGTCAATACGGTAGGTCTCATCCTCTTTCCATGACTGCTTGAGTGACGACAGGAGGTCCCGGCAGGATTGAAGATCCTTGCCAAAAGGTTTCTCGACGATAATGCGATTCGTTCCGTTCGTCGCGTAGCAGCACTCTTTGACATATTTTGAAACAGGAACGAACACGGACGGCGGGAGAGCAAGGTAAAAGAGGCGGTTGACACCGCGACCTTGGTAGCTCTTTTCAATAGCCTCCATGTGTCTTGCCAAATTTTGGAAAGAGGGACTATCATCGTAGTTGCCAGAAATATAGGAGGATAATTTCTTGAATTCTTCGATTTGGGCAGCGACTTCAGGATCGTCGTTAGGGTTCTTGATGTAACTAGTGGTGCGTTTGTGATACTCTTCCTGATCCATCTTTGTGCGTGCATAGCCGACGATATGGACATCTTTAGGGAGATAACCGTTGCGGTAGAGACCGAACAAAGCTGGGTACGTCTATCGGGTGCTCAGGATCATACAGGGCGACGATAAAAGACCATTCTCGCCCACCTTTTTCTTTGCAAGATCACCGGAGGCACCAAAGACTAGATGTGGAGAGATTTGAGTTGGGCGCGAGCGGTGGCAGGGACAGGGGGGACTCACCGACGATGAGAGTGTTATCTCTGAATTGGTGACCGCTGGTCTCCATTGATGGGATCGTACCAGACCTTGTGCGTGTCATTGAGGCCATGATATTGACCAAGGAAGATATGCGTTGAAGAAAGATAGATGCAGGGGCTTTGAGTCGTTGTTCTTAAACTTATTGACGTGAGTGTGAGAATGCTGTAGTAGTGATGGAATGAATAGATATATATTTACATTACCGTGAGGGGCCGTGCGTTCGTCAGCGTGAGGATGAACAGGCTATGTAGGATGATGGCAATCGTCTAGTAGCTGATTCAACGCGCAGCTTACTACACTCTCATGATCATCACGGACTCTTTTCGGACCGCTCCTGACGAATCAACCACGTGCTCCCTACTTAGTCTTTCGCCATGACAGAAGACCAAGCCATAAAGCACTTTCAAGAGCTGGTCTCCTCTGACCTGACCATCGTAGACCCAACGTCTATTCAAATCCGTGCCAATACTCTAGTAGCTCGTCTAAAAGCCCTCAATAGAAATGCAAATGCTGCAACAAGAGCATGCAAGCAAGCAACCACAGAGGCCCGCCATGACATGGACCAGACACATCTTGGCCTCCAGAATTTGCTCTATGAAAAGCGTCATCTCGAAAGGGAGATCGACAAGTGTCGGCAATTCGCGTTTGTTGTTCTTTTTCTGTCTGCAATCTCTGCTGATTGTTCGTGCAGTTCCATTTACCAGGACGTACCCTTATATCCACTTCCAGAGTTCAAAACTCTGGCACCTCCCGAAGCGCGCTCAGATGACGTGTTGCAGAATGTTCATCAGCTTATGCTCAATCGTCTGAGCTTCGAACTTGTCGAAAGGCAGAGGCACGTTCAATACACAATCTACCATTATAGATCTTCGCATCTCATCATCAACAACAGACTTGATCAAAAAAGAAAAGAACTCACAGTCCAAAAGGAAGAGCTCCTGAAGCATAGCAAGCTTAAACTCGCAACCGTGGAAAGTGTCAAAACGCAAATAGAATCACTCATGAAGGTGCGAACAATCCCCTGCTCTACACTCACGTTGCTTCAATGAACGTTTTGCAGGCCGCCGCAGACATACAGAAGAAAGTCGACGAACTCGTGCCGGCGCTCCCACCGTCTACTGCAACGACTCCCGCTCCAACCTGAACTTTCTGCGCGCCGAAAGCACTCCCGAGTTACCGAATACCTCTTATCAGTCCCGCGGTTGTCTAGGCAAAATACATACAGTGAAGTTGGCACTGCATAATCCCTAATTATACAACACGGTGAAAGGGATGGGATATTTCCAGAGGTGAGAGGAATAGAGGTCATCAAATGTCGAAAAGACGAGCGAAGAGGGTATCTCCGCAAAAAGACGAGTTGAATGATGATAGCATATAACACAGAGTTGAGAAAGGTTAGGTGAAGTACAGAATGGATATGATATGTGAAATGATATGAATGATGTGTGAAAACCAGTGATAAACAATGCGGGAGGAAGGCATGCCGGCGGAGGAGGTATCAGGATTCTTACTCTTCATCCTCACTGATGCTGCCGATATCGCTCATCTCCTCATCTGCTTCGTCCTCATTGCCGTCTTCTGCGGCATCCATAATATCCTTCGTTGCGAAACGTTGTACGTACTCTGGGCAGGAATGAACGTTACATTCTGAGCGACGATAGGAGGAAACAATCCTACCCTTGACCTTGGCCTCGTATTCCTTGGGGTGTCGCATCATCAGCGCGGCAGCTTCGCCGTTTAGTGGATCGTTAGGATTAGGGTACCGCAACAGTTGCGGCAAGAACACCTCAAAAATGTTGATCATATCTATGAAAGGGGACAGATTAGCGACATAACCGGATGTACGTCGACCGCCCCGCATACCGAACATTGGCGACCACGTCTGATTAATGACGTCCAGGCATACGGAACCACTCCTGTAATGGGTACGTATAAATCGATATTTCGGGAAGCATCACGATGGCTACTGACAGCTCATCTATGTTGGGATGAAAGATCTTGTTCATAAAGCCTATGCTTGGCGACTTGTATGGATACTCCGCTTGCAACTCTACATGAATCTTCCATATACCGCCCGCGAAGGGTGCTGGTGCTGATTAATCCGACGTACACGGAAGAGGGATTAGGGAACGTACTTTCTCCAGGACCATAGAAGCGGACGTAGAACTCGCGCATGTTGTCATTCACGAGGGTCACCTCGTAATCCGACATAAGCCTGCATTGTGGATTGTTACATCAGTTAGGGTGCGGGTCGCCTTGAGGCAGGTAGTCTTTACAGTTTCATGACATCTGTCTCGATACGGCGCTTTGTTGAGGTGTGTCTAGAATGAAACCAAATAAGTTTGCACCACGGCCTCGTGAAGAACAGACTTATCATGTTTGCTAGAATACAAGATGGATGGGTTTGTGGAAGACCCTCAATGTAATATCTAGTGGTAACGTCCAAACCCTGCCGATGCCGCAGCGTCGGAGATAGTCATTTCAAGTACCGAGAAAGGCCGAGTCACATCAAGCTTGTTATATTTTGATTGATACTCTCCTGGAGTAGACTCAAAAAGTAGACTTCTACAACAACGCCATAGAAAACAAGATATACACTCGAAGACTAGCGTTACAACCTCATTACACCTAAGACGCCCCGCTCCATCAGCAATTCATACAAACCAAGAAATACTAGGATCGTATATCTTCATGTACCTTCAGTAAAAGGTCCACTCCTCAACAACACAATAAGCATCGTTCGGGTCGCATGGGTATGGTTTACGGAACCCGGCCTGGGGTTTGTATTGTTGTCGGATATAGCTTGCTGCACCTTGGAGCCGTTCAGACGCCACTGCAGGCGGCCTAGCTTCAACTCCTCGGCTGCCAGCACCGACGACATTGCTTTGGGCAGCACCAGTGCTCGACTGGAACATGTGACGTGGGTGCGCCAGGTCAATATCGACACTACCCTGGTTCCAAGCACGCATAGCCAGGAGGAAGGCTAAGACGAAAGGCCTCTGAATTAGTATGTCGTTTATGTTGAATGAGACAGGCTCACCGAGCCAGAATGCCCCAAACGCCGCAATCAAGATCAACTCCTCCTGCCCTTGCGAAAAGACTCTGTTTTCCCCCTCGGTTCGGTGGTTTTTCACTACCCTGTCTTCAGGTCAGCTCCTGCTGGGGATCAATCTGATATTGTCATACAATACGATAAGTGCCCCGATCGCTAACATCGCTACTGATGTTTGAGTCAGGTGAATAACCTCTGCAAATGATCATTCGTCAAAATATTATTTTAAGCGCCCAAAATATAACGATACTTGCGAATCGAGTGGGGCATAAATTTCATTATCATATGGCCCATCGCCAGAGCAAAAATGCCTGCGGATTGGTGCTGAGTACACCATCTACATATCATAAAGACCCATCCACGCACCTTTGAGGACATGCCTGAACGGGTGGTCTGTAAACAAAGCCATTTCGTGTCGATAGAAGTCAGAAAGAAGTGGAAAAGGGGTGGGTGGGAATCGATAACCAGATATCCTTGTATTTTTCGACCACCACTAGGCCATGAGGCCGAATTACCCTTCTAATTCAGACACGAGGTCAGTATTTCATTCTTCATATTCTCATCAATTGTTCTACGTAATTGTTCCGGGACCAGCCGATATTGGCAAATCGTTACAGGTGCGTTCCAAGTATTCCAAGTACAATCAGAAAATATTGTGGGCCCTATCGTTCCAACACGTCGAATCCGCACATACATAGTAGTATGTACGATTTCCAATGTTAACGGAAGCAGGCACCTAGGCTGGCATGTGAGTGACAATAGGCTGGCCACCATTAATACCTGGCTGAACCATGACGGAGTGACCAGGCATTTGTTGTACATGGTATCCTCCCATCATCGGATATGGCTGACCATATCCATACATCGGAGCTCGCGGGTATATAGCTTCAGTGGGGTATCCTGGAAGTTCTCCAAACCAGCCTAGCTGCGAAATATGTTCTCGCCATGCATAGTACCGGCCAAAAGCGACTGCGCGCGATGTAAGCGTGATCAGGATAATGAAGAAGAATATAACTGCAATGGAAGACTTCAGTAGATGCACTATAAACAAAGGAAGTAGAGCACACATAACACGAATAGAGTCCACGATAGTGCTTCGATGACTTTCATTTCATAGCAATATGACTGTGCAGAGACTAGTGTCATGTGAGAGCTAAGCTTTGATACGTGCAAAAATGACGCATTGATCACTTACTGCTTCCTCTGGCCGTAGGCTGCTGCTGTTCTTGGAGTAGGTAGCATTGCACATATCCGATCGTATCCCTTGAGCGTGCAGTTCATAACCGTTCATGCATTCAGAAACTATGCACTTACGCGGACCATGCGCCCATGGCTGTTGATTCGGACCGATAAGTTAGGAGGAAGGGTAAAGGGTAGCACTGCCAGCTTACCTAGCCATAGTACACTGATAAAGAAGTGGAGTGTCACCTCCACTATTGGCTGCGAGAACTGCATACTGTAAAGGCATGAGTCAAGTAAGGCGGATCAGCGGTGCGTCCAACTCACATCCACAGAAAAGCGAAAATGGTGACTGATGGTGGAACCAGAGCGAAGATGGTGAAATCATCTAAGAAGACGGTTCAGGCGTCCCTATAGCGGATAGAGATGTGGCAATACATACGATTGATATGCGGGAGGAATAGCCTTGCAAAGTTGGCCGTAAATCCAAGGACAACCGCGGCGAGCACAAACGCAAATACTGGATAACATCGATTGATCAATCGATTGGGGTTGAACGTTGAACGAGCGACATACGATATCCGATGCGCCTCATGTTCACAAACATGACAGTCATGATTGCAAAACCGTGATGTTGTCAGATTTCAGGTATAAGGTCGTATGTTGCGTGAATCTTTGGCGACAAAGTATGTCGTGTTGAAAGAAGGGACGGAGTCAGAACGTAACTGAATAATATCGCATATAAACGTTGGTCGACCACTGAGAGACGCTTCTCAATGAATGCTATATTTAGCCATCTATAGCCCATAACTTCAGGCACCTCGTGGCATCGAGCGCTTGAACAACATGCAGGCAAAAACGCAGAGCCAAGAAATTGGTCGCCAAAAGTGGTCACTATTGAGGACGAAAGTGCACTCTGCACGAACCCGTCGCTTGTAGGCTACGATTCAAGACCACAAGAACAAAGTTTGTGATATCATGCTATCTTATGTATGTAGTACAAACTGTATTTATTAGATTTCCAAAGCAAACACAGGTCATGACATTCTATGCACCAATAAAGCCCAAATGTGAAACATATACAGCGGTCACCGCCTGGGCGACGCATTCCTCTTATACTTGTCCGCTGTGTGTGCGGGTGCTGGGGCGTTATGTCCTTGAGCTGACCATCCAGGGTAACGTGAGTCGCTGCGTCTTGTCTCATACCCCCAGGGTGCTGAGGCATTCTTCTCATCGTAGGTCCTGCCTCTTGATCGTGATCGACTACTAACGGGTGCTGGTAACTTGGACATATTCTTTCCGAACCACGGGTATTCGGTGACGGCAATGTACCACACGTTGCGGTTGACGTGGAGATGATGTTTTACCGCGAGCGCCAGCAAGAACAATAAGAACGCCAATACTGCGGAAGCTTGAGATATGCTCCGAGACATGGATTCGATCCACTTACTCAAAATAACATTGAAAAGTGAGAATGCCTCTAGAACCCGATACTGAGCTTGGTATGTCTCTGTAGAGACTTGGAAAAAATGTCAGACTTCTCTATGAAAGGACATACTCTTGTAACTTACACCCAGGAACATCGATGGGATCAGTCTGTGCATCGGACGAATAGCATTCTACATTGGCGTTCTCCGAGTCAGAGCTTGCTAGGAAGGCACCCAAAGCTGGACCGGTCAATCAACATGCAACCATTATGAAGCCCGTGATTCACGTACCAAGCCAGAAAGTCCCAAGCAGTCCGAGGCATCCGAGCTCAATTCTCGTGGAGATTGGATTGCTGGTCCGAATCATGCTACATCCCAGTCTGCAGCGCCAGTCAATGCCGACGCGTCGTGCGAATTTTATGTCAACTCACAAAATGATGAGAATGAGCATGCTGGCACTACATACGAAAATGGTGAAAGGAACGAAACGAGCTACATTCGCGTAAGTTGCGATTGACTACGAAAATATGGAGCAAAATCACTGAGATCTGTGATGACCAGTAGAGACTGGAAGTGAGCTGCAATAGCCAGGCAGATCACTGTCCATATCAAGACTGCGCCTGTCGCTCAGTTAGCAAGGCCGTAACAGATACTATGAATACGAATGCTAACCGTAAATACAGGCCCGAAAGATGTTAAATTTCGATGGCATCGCTTTTCCCGTAAATATTCTGGAGATAGAGATTGTAGGAAGTCGCTTGCGACGGGACGTCTGGCGTTCCCGAATAGAATGATGCTGACGAGGCTGGTGAGGATGGCGGGTGGATTGATGTTGACAATTCAGGGGAAGTGGGCGTGCGGGCCTCATGATATAGTAGGGAAAGTATGCGTACACGAGGTAGAGGGGCGTTTGATTCTCGTAAATCTAACTTGTGACGGCGTGGCGTGTACCGTGCAGTTCAAGGCGTGGCGGACCTCGATGATCAGGAATCCGGGGGAAACACGAGTCGTGCGTCCGCTCAAACGCACTAGGCAAGCCAGCTATATTCTTTTAACGGCTGAAAATTTTCGACTTCTAAGCATCGTGATAGACGGGGTACGGATGTACATCCGCGTAAACGCCTCGAGGCAGATCTCATTTACAAAACAGGAAGTCCAAGGGGAATAGACACACTTGACTTAAATTTTCGCAGGAGCAAGAGGATGACAGTATAAACGCCGGGGAAAGTCACAAGTGATTTTTTCCCTTTCTACCTTACAAACAACGTACGTACAAAACATCATGTGAACATGGGCCACGCGATCAGCGTTTCACAGCCATCAATATCTCTTTTCGGAGCATCTCTCCGATGCTTGCAAACTGAGCAAGGCATTCAGGATTTCGCAGTGTAGCGGAATTCACACTCGAGATGTGGGCTCCATTGACGATCTGGTCAGTTTTCAGTACCACAAATCCTTCGTCAAATTATAAGAGCATACCTTTTTGACTGGGATTTCTACGCGCTTCCCGTTCAAGGTGTATGGGATATCGTCGACTTGGATTATCTATCAAGCCCCCGCGGATAGTTAGCCAACGTTCCGGGGGACTGATAAAAATGGAACATACTCGAGCAGGAACATGGCGTGGGCTCCGTTGTGATCTTATTTCCGATCTAATCTTCTGCTCCATTTCTATCGATAGTGCCTGCTTGCCATTAAGTTTAACGAATAGGATCACGCGCTCATCTGCGCCGCCTTCAATGGATTGTGCCACAACCAGTGCATCCTCAATATTTGCGTCGTTCGCGTTCCGTTGTGCAGAAAACGAGAAGCACGTCTCAAGAACGTTATATATTTCAGACGATCCAAATCGGATCCCTCCAGGATTTCTACGAAATGATCAGAAGTAGAGAGGAGTGTGAAAGTTGTACACCCACAGGACGCCATCGCTTCTTCCTAGCATAATGAGTCCACCTCCATTTCCATGCTGAGAAGGTGTGATCAGCACGTGATCCCCGTGATCTGTTTCAAATTAGGTTAGTAAGGGGGGCGCAATCTCAGGATCCGGGGCGCGTACACCACATGTCCTTGTATTCAGCAAAATAGGAAAGACGAAATCTCTCTGCTGCAGCTTTGACGCTCTCGTCCGTCCCGAAACCAGGCAGGGGCCAAAATCCAATGGGCATACATGGAAATGGCCTAACGCATACCAACTCGCCAGCCTCACCAGCTTGACAGTTGTGCCCGTCATGAGTGAAGGTTTCGACTGCCATTCCCAGCATACGACATTGGATTTCGCCACGATATACCGGCAGCGCAGAACACATCCCGCCAAAAAGTGAGCAGATGTCCGTGCCTCCTGAAAGACCAGTCCAGGGCGCGTAACATAAATAACTTAGTAGATCATACCTGTTATGGATGCGAGAAGCACGTTGGGGTGGATACATTCATACACGTAGTCGAAGAGCACATGAGCTAATGGCGAACCAGTCGAGTAAATATGCCTCAAGCAAGTCAGGTTGTGATGATCACGAGGCTCGTAGCTTATCCGCTATTGTCGTTCAAGTATTGGTACTCAATCACTATCATAGTTAGGGTAGCTGCTCACCGATAATTGATCTAGGTATTTCGCACTCGTTCCGAAAATTGATATTTGCAGTTCATCCACAAGATGCCACAGATAAGAGGGCTCCCTCAGAGGACTTCCATCGTAGAGCACTAGCGTACATCCGACGCTGAGACCACTCACTAAGAAATTCCACATCATCCATCCTCTGCAATACAACGATTTAATACAGTCGATCTAGGAATGAACGAACGACTTACGTCGTGGTGTAATAGAAAAAGACGTCTTCAGGGCGCAGGTCTGCACAAATTACAAATTCTTTCTTTGCTTGTAATAACATGCCGCCAGCCCGGTGTACAATTGGCCTACGAGGTTAGACTCAGTATGATCTAACAGTTTGCTGATGATGGCAACATACTTTGGGCAACCTGCGTGGAACAACAGAGTTCAATTTTAAAGTACAGGTGTGTAGGGCTACGCACCTGTTGTGCCTGAACTAAAAAGTATCCACAACGGCCAATCAAAACTTTGACGACACCACTCAATTTCTCCTTCAGAAGTGCGGCCTAAAGAGCTGGACTTGCCCTTCGAAATGACCGTGTCCCATGAGACCCAGTCGGTGTCCCATCCGGGCACATTCCTTGCTGACTGAATGACGATCACGACTGGGTTCAGTGAACATCGCTCGGAGAGTCCAGAAAGAAGAGATTGCAGCTTTGGCAGATGAGGATGAACTTTTCCGTTGTACCTGTATAACCTAAACAACAACAAAACCGACTTTGCCAGGAGAGCGACCTACACGACAGCATCGACCGCAAAAACAACTCGAGGTTGTACTTGCTCAAATCTACAAATTAGCAAGTGCGCGTGTGATGGCATTTTAATAAATTCGCGCACCGCTCTAATACTCCCTGGGTCCCGAAGTCTGCTGCTGCACTGACCCAGATGCATCCTACGAAGGTTAGCAAAAAGCAGCAAGGGTAGAGATGATCTACCTATGGCAGTGGCAGCGAGACAAGCGATGACATTCTCCTGGCAGAGGGCGTGGAATTAAAAGTGGCAGTGTGCCTTTAGGTGGTAGTGACGTACAATACAATTCGAGGAGTACGAAGCCACTCGATCCCCGGGCTTCAGACCGAGCATCAACAAGGCAGAAACCAGGTCAGCAACTATCACGTAAAGTTCGGCATATGTGACGCGCTGATGAGGAGGATTCGGGCACTCGGGGGTGGGCTCAGCTAATCAGCCATGATTATCATGTTAATCAACGAATGGTGTATCGACATACTTGCTTGTATAAGCGCGAATTTATCTGCCGAACGACATGTTAACATATTCTCAGCCCAATTAATCCTCGCTTCGCTGAACCATGGTGGGTTTGCCGCTGGGAGAGTATTATTATCGACGACACCTTGCCCTTTGTAGCCGACAATAGCGACATCATCCCACACGGTGTCCCAGAATAAATCGATGCGATCAATAGACCATTGGTAGAGGTCAAAGTATGAATCTAGTGCAAGTCCGTATTTCTCGTTGACTTTCTTGAGGAATGCAACGCAACGCGAGGATATTGCGTCGGGAGGCACAAAAAGTGGAGGCGCAGCCAGGGATTCGGTATTCATGCCAGCCACTTCCAAAGAATAGCTTCAGTAAGACTTCGAAGCGGTTACGACGGTAAGGACAGGAGTGAACGAGATCCGGGAGGGTCCGCATCATACTCGGCTCGACTTAAGGTTTGGATTTTGATATCGCGTAGTCTTCGGAACCGAAATATATACCTATCTCTGTCGCGGAGTATATAATTTTATTATTTCAAAAGTAAATTCTTCAAAGGAGAAAAATCGCAGGAAACCAGAGCACAGATCGAACTGCTAGGAGAACATTGGAGCTAATATTTTTGATGCGAAAGAAAGCCTACGTACTGCAGTGCACAAGCGCATCATGCACCAGCGGATCCATTAATATTGTTGCCAAGTATGCAGTGTACGATAACAATAAACAAATCATGCGATATCAATGTTACATAATAATTAATTGTTTCAGACCGGTAAAAAATTATGGTGTCATCCCGAGGAGGCAGTTTAACCCCTACAAGTACAGGTTCAATTGGTGCACCTCACTACCATCAGATAGGTCGGTGCTACGTAGACTCGAAGGTGCATTAGGAGTTGTCTTTGCATCTATCCCGTCCGAATACTTTGCTCGTTGTTCACCAGCCTGATCCCCGTTAACGCAGAGATTACGACCATGGATAACTTTCTTGCCCCACATAGCACAGAAGCAATGGCACACTCCAGGCTCAGGTACGTGGCGTTGCATCGTCACAAATTCCACCTTTTGATTTTCCCAGCGAGGACTGGTTAGACTGGGACATCAGTCACCCCTCATTTGACGAATCCCTTGTCGCCCACTGTGCTTCATATCATGCGTTTGACCGTTATTTATCTGGCGAGGATCTCTTCATCCCCCCTCGTTTTCCGAGCGAGCTAGAGCGAGTCCTGTAAGCATTTCCACATGTAATATCGGCTACAGCAGCGCTAACACCGACCCAGACGTCGACACGCATACGACTCGATCCATAATGCAATCTCAAGATCTCGTCAAACACTAAAACCCGGAGGATACAGCAGGGTATGTGTGTTTCCTCTCGCATCCCCGTTCGCCCGCTGATTCGGAATTAAGACATGTCATCTGGCAGAGCAGTCCATCCGCAGTGTTCTAAACATAGCAGACAACGCGAGGAGATTGCTCGCCTGGCACAGGCCCATCACGGTCCCCTCGCCTGTGACTGTGGATATGACCCATACCGCTTTGATAATAAAAGTTTAACTCGCCTCACCCACGTAGATCCCGTTGGGTATGGGCATTCATTAATTCATTGCCGCCATCATTCGGTGTAAACACACACCATGTACACTACGCAACATTTTTTAGAACATAGATTTAATATTACCAGTGTAGACATTAGGCTTTCACCACTGTATTTTGATAGGTAGATAGATGATGATTATAGACTGATGGTTCTTTGATATTAGCACTGCAAGTTCCTAACACTAGTCTTATTCTGATTGATGGTGGATCGACTAGTGTGGGTCACAGCTGGTTTGGTGGCACTGTCACTAGAATGCTTTTGAACTCGATCACACTGCCATTAGACTTGAACTATTTGGGTCACAATCTTCACCAAATCAACTTCGAGGCTCAAGCATTTGATGGCACCCACGTGGTATAGTGCAGACCGTGTTGAGCCACGCTGAGCGCTGAGCCCTCGAGTACTATTGGTGTGAATGTCATACCATTCACCATCCAATCAATTGATGAATAAATTCATATCTAATTCACATCTAACGCAAGTCAACGTGTCAATCGTTCATCATTAATCAGAGAACCACCACATGCCTTGCATTTTTTAAAGCCCCACGATTGAGCGATTCCTGGTTCCCTAAAACATGAAGAAATGTATTCCGTGGCTAGCAGGCCTTTTGTGTGGGCAGGTCCTGGCTGCGCCGCCTCAAGTTGTCTTGAATGCGGCTCCGAGTAGACTCGATCGAAAACTTCATGGCCGTTTTCTCCACATCACCGATATTCATCCCGACCCATACTATGCAAAGGGGACTTCTCAGTCGTCCCAATGCCATCGAAAGGAGTCAGGCAAGGATCGGCAGGCAGGATATTATGGGACACCGTTCGGGTCAGTCAAAGTTCTTCCTTTGGTGACATATCCTAACCCGAACATATTTCTGCAGTATCTGTGACTCGCCTTGGACATTAACGAATTTTACGTTCGAGCATCTAGAGGAGCATTGGAGCTCTGAGATAGATTTTGTTATATGTACGCGCGTTCATCGTTTGGGGCTTCCTTTTAACTCGAGGTATCGTAGGGACCGGTGATAACGCCAGGTATAGTCCTGGCAGTCATCCGGAGCACCATTTGACGATAGATCATCCAGACATGACGAAGACCACGAGATACCTCGACCACTTGACGAGATATTGGCTGTTAATCGCGCCATCGCGAAGAAAATGGAAGATGTGTTCCTCAGGAAGGGAATACCGGTTGTGTCAAGTTTGGGTGAGTTCTTTGCGCCGTAGCTCCGAGATTTCATATTCATCGATGCTGTTGTCCTTCACGTCCTTCACATTTCTGTGAATAGGAAATAATGATGTTTGGCGTAAGTGCTTATATCTGAGTCTTTTGTGGCAAATGTCTCAGAGTTGTTGTTGACCTTGGCAGCACACGCGAGTGGTTTCTATCTCAACAATCCCTTTGTCTTTCTAACATTCACTACCACAGAATACTTTATCTCCAGGTGAGCGCCACCAGTGTTGACGGTTTCAACTCTCGGCTGACGTCGGTTAAGGTCCGAATGAATTAACAGATGAGTTTGCATCGTTCGTACCCCTCGACATCCAGTTTTCACTCGCTGAGCTGTATCGGACAGCATATGGGATGCATTTATTCCGTCAGCCTCCAAGACTTCTTTCCGAAAAGGCGCATATTATGCAATAGAAGTGATACCCGATGCACTTGCGGCGATTAGTCTGAGCACGATGTATTTCTATCATGATAACAAAGGTCAGGTCCTTGATGCCTGTCCCGCCTAATATGTTCTTTGACATGTAGAATTGACAGCTGTGAGAGGGTGTCCAGTCGGTGATGCCAGCGACCCCGGTAACTTACAGTTCGACTGGCTGGAAGAGCAACTTGAAATGTTTCGGGCTCGGCAGATGCAGGTATGGGGCATCATATTTTCTAGATGATAAAATAACACAGCGTTAATTTGACAGGTGTGGGTTACTGGTATGTCTTTATTGTAAACATTATATCCGTCTTGACGCCGAATTTTCAGGACATATCCCCCCGTCTGACTATTATTACTATCCCGAGTGTGTAAGTATTCCGGTGGGCTGCGCGTGAATGAATGATTGACCTATAATGTAGTATTACCGGTACACGGAGCTGAGCCTGAGATACCAAGATGTCATTTTGGGCAGTTTATTTGGTGTGAGTAATGTTTAGAAGTATGTTGCCGAGCAGGGGGCTGACAGTGCTTGTCTAGCACTTGAACGCCGATCATGTAAGTGGTTCCCTTTGTTCAATTAACTCTAATCGAGACTCGGCTATAGTTCTACTTTGTTGAGGCCGCTGATCTCAATGTCAACCCTGAAGAAAACAGGATGCCGTCTCATAGTTTCGAGGGTACAATCTTTGAAGCATTGATGACCGACTTTGAAGCGCTTGCGAAGAGATCAAAACATTTAAATTATGACGACTATGCAATAGTCAGCGTCAGCCCGTCGCTGGTGCCCAATCCTTATTTGCCCAGCTTCAGAGTGTTCAGCTATAACATCTCGGGGCTGGGATCGACGACTTTGGGTGCCGTCGGTGAAGACGAGTATCTCCTGATGACAAAGAAGGATCGAGCCTCCCGATGGAAGCATTTACCGTATCGTCATGGTAATGATGGGAACCAATGCATGGATGCGGGATATCGGGACTCGTGGAGGTGCAAGCTTCGTCCCTGGCGTTCTGACAACCACGCTCCGTCACGGCAAAATACCTTGTGGACACCTCTGGGATATGCGCAGGTACGATACGTGGATTTTTCTCTCATTTGGAGTTAATATGGGATTCAGTATTATATACCTCGACTCGAAGAATATGACAAGAAAGATGAACCAGAGTTCAAACTTGAATACTTAACGTTCCCGATTTCGAACCTATGCATCACGGATGGACCCGTTCCGCTAAGAAACCTGCCCAAGTCGCTCCGCGAAGCAGGGGTGACGAAATCGGAGCTTGCGCCGTATGGACTGCATGATCTTACGATACCGTCTTGGCTAGATCTAGCCTGCAAGCTGGGGAAGCCGCGGGAGAAAAAGCTCCGAAAGCAGTTCAAGAAGTATATGTATATGGGAGGTGAAGATATTTAAAAGGGGCGAGGCCGGAGTGCCCGTATGATTGATGATCAGTTTTGATACGATGGAGGAGGAAGTATTATTTTTTTTCGGGATTAAGTGAATGGCGGTGTGGGAAGTGCGCGGCGGCGGTGTAGAGGAGATGGATTATTATTTGTGTTTACTTGATCAAAACAGTTCAGTTTGTTGATTCTTAACCCGTTCTAAAACGGCGTTGTTGCCTTGACCACCGACCACATTTCTGTAGTAGTTCCTAGAAGATCTCGTCAGCGTTCCTGCAAACCTATTACTGCTGCGTCTTTCGAGGAGGCAAAACTCATCTTTTTTGCTTGCTTTGCTCTCTCTCTCCCTCTATCATTCGTATTGGCCTAGCTCAAGACTAGAGTCCTTTTGAGTCTGCTCTTTCGTTTTAGATTCAAGCAGATACTCATCTCTCAGACATCTCAAAATCTTTTCTTTTTTGCCTTACCATCTGCCAGCCAGTGGCGGCTTCTGTCTCACAAAACCCAAACTCTTGTCGTTCATTCACAATCGACGGCTGGACCGCCAATATCTGCCTTGATCACTATATCGGCATTCACCTTCATTTATTCCCTTTCATCAGCAACTCTCATATATCTCTATGGCTGCTGTAAACTTGCAGACTATGTCCTCGAGTATCCCTTTCGACTTTCTACCACTCAACCACCCACATTCAAGATCAAATTCTGTCTCTTCATCCTCTACTCATTCGCCTAATTCTCGTCCTCATTCTTCTCAAGGCGGTATGTCAAGAATGTCATCAGGTTTACCTACCTCATTGGACGATCACTACCGGCTCTCTTATATGAGTGCCGATCAGTCCCGCCACACCTCTTTCTCACTCCCTCCCTCCGACATGACTCCCCCTGGTCAATCCCCTCCAAACACTAATATTACTAATCCTGCGCTTAAAGGCCATATCCGTCAAACTCATCTCAGGGCCCGTGCTGCTGCTTCTCCGTACCCCCGTGATACTGAAAGTGTTCACTCTTCATCGAGTGAAACAGACGACATTTCCATGTTCCTTGGAAATCCCTCAGACTACTCTAGCATGTATGGGCATGGTTCTACCTTGCCCTCTAATCAAGAAACCATCCACACGGCCGGCGCTTTTGGCAGGATGTCTTTGGGTCCTGATCATCAATTGGAAAAGCTCGCTGCCAATGTCCGCGTCGCAACAACAACCAGTGCATCTGATCGAGCTAAACAAATTTTTGTTCAGGCTTGGTGAGCTCATCCTGTGCTTTTTACTCAAATACCCATCTTCTCATCATTTTACTGCGCACAAAGGTTGACAGCAAATTATGCGCCTTATCCAGATGGGAATGTACCCCGCCAGGGTCTTTACTTTTCGTACAGACGGGTGTGCGATCAGTACGGAATTCCTCACATTAATACGGCTACACTGGGAAAGGCTATTCGTTTGTGTTTTCCTACTATCAAGACCCGGCGCTTAGGTGTTCGCGGAAATAGCAAATATCATTGTGCGTACAGTGCCACATCTGATGGTGATCGGAAGAATTCTGATTGACGCCACGTTTGGCCAGATTGCGGCATTCGTCCCGCTACTTCGGCTGAAGCCGAATGGCTTCAGGATTACATCCGAAAATCAAACAATAGTGCTGGCCAGCAGTCTATCAACGCCGCTCGTGCAGCGCAAGAATCTTCCGACAACCCAAATAAAGGCGAAGATCGGTCCGACGAAGACGAAGACGAAGATTCCGAGGGGTCCAGTGCATCGAAGAGGAACTCGTTGACCCTTTCTGGAGACCTCAAGGCCGCTGGTCTCACTTATGGAGACATCAGTGACAAAACACCTACTGCTAATAGCTTGCTCTCTCAGGCACAAGCTGTTGCCAGAAGCAACACGTATCCCAGCCATGCTTCTATCCGTCGACATGTCAGCCAGTCGGATCCAAACCTCGCTGCACAATCTACCATGTCGCTTGGACCTGGCACTAGTGCATCCTTCGTACCGTCGCAGCAGCATCTCTCAGTCCGCCATATGCCGCATTTCCCATCCATCGAAGAGGCGATAGGATCTAACTCTGCATCTCCTCAGAGCATCGCCGCTCGTGAGGTGTGGGGATGGTTCCAAGACCATCTCGACGCCGTGCTCGAGAGCGCTCGTGCCTTAAGGTTTGACCAATTCGAGATGCACCTCCGAAGTTTCTGGTCTAGCCTGAGTGGGAATCATCGAGAAGTAGTGCATGCTCCTGCTATCGCTGGTCTAATGGCCAAAGCCGACGCAATTCTATATGATGTACGTCCAGCACGTTGCCTCATTGGGCAAGTCTTATTGACTTTTCGGTCAGGAAATACTTGAATTTTTAAGGTCCCAGATGCTTTCCCCGATTGCTCCCGCTGCTATGACTAGTCTTAGGACGTTGGCAAGTAAAATGGAGAAGATCCTGCTCGTTGCGCTGGACGGATATGGCAACACTTTTGTTGAGCCCAAGGTCGAGCTTGGAGCGCGGTTCGGCCATCTTGTTTGTATGTGACTTTTTTGACACTTTTACTGGCTTGGCTCATATTACTGTAGTGCGCTTCTTGGATATATACCAAGTTACTCAGGCCCTCAATACTGTGTTGACGAACCAGAAGCAGCTTTCCGAGATGCGCCGTTCCTGGCAGAAAGTGGACTTTGAATCTGTTCGCAACCAGTCTGCTCTTGTTTGCAATTGTCGTCACGAGGAGCTTGTTCAGCTTCTAGAAGTCGATTTCGTAGGCATGATGGACAGCTTATCAAAAACTCCTGAACCAGTTAGGGAGGTCATGGCCTGGGCTGACAAATGTTGCGAGAGGCTCATGGGACAGCGGATAGGAACTGGTGACGATCGAGGCACCTTGAGTTCCCGAAGTGTCTTGATTCGTTGGGGCTATGTGACCAGTCAGGTTATGAGAGATTTGGTAAGAACTGCCATAATCGTTCGCCTTCCGTTCACCGATAGCCACTAGACCATTCGCAGCGACCCAGCCTTTGGAGCCTTCCAGATCATGAAGCTGTTCTTAGAGTAAGTCGATTTAGTTTCCTTTCGTGGGATGTCGTTAACGTTTCACCCAGTGATTGGATTGCAGTGAATGTTCTGCGTAGCGTGGCGCTTTCCACCAACTCTGTGGCTGCATCCGTCGAACCAGTAATGCAGCAACAGTTCTTTTCATTATCCCCTATGGCCGGCCAGGAAAGTTTTAATACCATGGAAACGCGTTCTGCTCAGCACGTGATGAACCATACTCCGACCACCTCAAGCATGCTCGCAGCTTTGCAGCAGGACCCATTCCCGACCGGCGCGCTGGACGCATCATCTTCCGGATTTAATGCAGACGCATATGGAGGTTTGAATTATATGGATACTTCAGTTCAGCCGGATGATTCTATCCCTCCTGTCCACCAGTCAGGCCTTTCGTTCTCTGACTATGCGCCCGGGAATACGTTCGACGTTGCGTCATTTGCGACGCAAGATTTGGGCATGAATACTTCTTCAGGTGCTAATGGCGAGCAAGATCGCGAGACTGAGCCCGTCAAGACGGAGGCTGGGCCTTAGTTCCGGAAGCTCGATTGAAAATTATACCACTCGGTCAAAGATAGTATCTCCAGTGATTGTATATGTTCCTGTTCCATCATTTATTCATACCTTGTCAGTGTCCTATCTGTATTGCCACTTTTGCTCAGTCTCTTCCCCTACTTCTCGTACTCATTATTGTATAGGTCTTCATTCTGTCGAATAATACTGATTCCTTCCCGCTCCGGACATAATTTGCAGATATAAGTAGAGGCAGATTTGGTAGTATAAGTGTGAGGTATAAAAGATGTTCCCATTTAGCCTGTACCTAATTCTCCTCAGCGTCAACCTGATCCTCCTCAAGCTTCTCCTCAACCTCATCGTCAATCCGTGGAGGTGTGCCACCCGAAGGAGTGGGAGCAGGTTCTGGAGGCTCACTACCGCCATTCGGTGGGGATACGGTCATGTTCCGCTTGCCATTAAGCTTGGCACCATCTGTCAGACGTCGGATCTCCGCCTCGGCTTTAGCTACATTTTCCGCTGTTTGACGAGCTTGGTTAGCCTCAAACCAAGCTTTCTTCGTCTTCAAGTCCTCAATAACGCGAGGAACATCAGCCTGACCCGTCGGAGGCGGTATAGATAGCGAAAGCAGAGCGGATAATTGACCGTAGGGTAGATGGATGGCGCTGGTATCATCTGGAGAGGCAGCTTTGGGGGCTTTCTTTCCTTTCTTCCCTTTCCCAACAAAATACGATTCTTCCTCTTTCTTTTTCAGTGCCACCATGGCCTCCCCGACTGCATCCACCTGTCGAATTTCCAACTGCGGAACACCAGAAACATCCGATTTGACTGGTACTGATGAGGATGACAGCACTACATTGCCGGAGGACTTCCCAGAGAGTGCGTCAATGAGAGTCTGGCAGTCTTCAATCTGCGTTTGGAATGCAGGCATTGACGCTTCTTCACGCAGACCGTCGGCGATTGCCAACTTCCTCTGTGCTTCTTCTGCATCGCGTTGAGCACGAGCCTTCTCAAGACGTCGAGCGCGGTCCTCGTTCACCTTGGTCCAATACCGGTCATTCGCCTCCCGGAAACGATATGCTGCCTCACGCTTCTCATTGAAGAGAGCGGTTAGTTGTGCCTGAACACCGTCTCGCTCTTCAAAAAGTTTGGTTCGGCCTGCGTACGCCTCGTCAGATTCCTTTTTGAGTCCGTCCAATTCAGCTTTGATGGTGTCATAACGTTCAGAGATTTCCTTGGACTCTGGGTCATCAAGTAGTTTCTTCAGTCGGTCGGCTTCTTGGCGGTCAGCTTCAATCGACTCTTGGTCTGCCTGGAACTTTTCGACCATTCTACGCGTACGTCGAGCCTGGCTGATCTCCTGAAGGGCACGCTTTTCGTCCACAACTTTCATACTACCAGACTCCACTTGCTTTTCCAGGTGGCTAAGAGACGAGAAGCATCAGTAGAAGGCAGTGTGCTGTCAACGGAGTAGGCATACCTAATATGAGCGTCGACATCTGCTGCGGTTTTGTAAGGTGTTTTGCCACGAGCAGCCTGCAGGTCCTTTATCTACATGGCACGTTTCGTCAGGAAATGGTGAACGCCGGTCGACTCTAGGCGAACCTTTTTCTGAATACCCTCTTGAATCGTTTTGAGCTGCTCGTGTGTCTTGCCTCGGTTTAACTTGGTAGATGACTGTTGACTGCGTATGTTATCCAGTTCAACCTTAAGAGCTGCCCGTTTGTCATTTCCAGCGTTAGGCTGGTTTGCCGAAGATATTTTTTCCCGGACGGCAGCCTAAGCGTGGAGTTGTGAGCCTCACACCGAGTAGGAAGTCGAGTGAATCGCGTACAAGTTTAGTCTGCAAACCGTCAATCCCAGTTCTGATTCTCTCTTGTTCAGCATCATATGCAGCCTTATCTGGCTTTCCGGAGCCTGTGACCGCAGGCCCGCTGAGATCGATTTTGGAAGGAACGGGTGACGAGGGAACCGTGGAGTCAGGCGTCACTTTGGCACTGTGAATTTTAGCAGCACCGTTACTGGCAGACGATTTGGATTTCGGGGCGGGCATTTTAGCAGGAAGAGATTGTATGAACGAAAAAGACCAGGCCAAATGATAGAACAAGTTGCAACTAGTTGTGTGTGAACTTGAAAGCAAGCGTTTTTATTTTATGTATGTATCAAATTGCCGCCTCGAACTCCGGTCTCCTTTAGCACTCTTCTCATGCGCACTCATGAATCCAAGATAATTAATGGGGTATAAAATACACAATTGCCAGCACAGGAAAAGTTAGAATACAATCTTGTGGTCTAGCTTTGCCACCTCTTTTCGACATTCCTCATACAACTCTTTGTAGTCATCGTCCTTCTCTGCCTCAGCATCCTTCTTCTGGACTTTGCGTTTCTGGTCAGGGCAAATCATGACGCAACTTGTTGGTCGTTTTGTTGAGCTAGCATGGCCGAGCTCCTCCTTAGACGTCACAAAGACATATGGTATCTGAGCTTCTTCTGAGAGCACTGGGAGGTGAGATATTATGTCTATAGGGTTGATATCTGCCGCCAACACAAGCAGTCTAAAAAAATATCAATTGATTGATCAAAGACGAAAGCGAAAGAAGCACATACCCCTTTTCCCCTTTACGAATGCCCTTGACAACTTCCTTTACACCTCTTTTAACTTGCCGTGCTTTGGAGGCTGAGAAATGATGGGCAGATGGACGAGAAAGCAAAAATAAGTAGTCGCACCTTTCTTGATCGTTTTGTGCAGCTTTTTCACAAGCTTTTTCTGCGCCAATGGTTGTGCAAGAGGAGACAAATCTTCCAATGGAATGGTTATTTCTTTTTCCTTCTTCGCTTTTTTTGGGGACTAGCATGACATGTACATGAGAACACTTAGAAACATGCAAGGCACTCACCTCCGAAACACCAGCCATTTCTACATCTTCTGCTTCTGCCTCTACCTCTGCATCATCAACTTTTGGCTTCTTCTCCTTTTTCTCTCGCTTCTCTGATTTGGGCATGTTGCGAGAGTTGACGCCGTAGCAAGGGGATACTGCTGAAGACAAGAAAGTTCGTGCCAACCTGACAAATAATCCGTCACAAAGTCAAGCTGTCACGCTTCATATTGAACAAACACTTTGAATTCGAAATCCTTGTACCCGTAAGTGAAACGTTTCCTAGGTACTTGTGGTGACAATTATATGTGCGTGTACCACTATTAGGCCTACCACCAATCACCGAGTATTGGTTTCATCATTTCCTGATGGCACATCACCACTGCCCCTGAGTAAGCTAAGCCAAATCCAATTCATCCCTCGTACTTCGGCATCATACCACCAATTAAGAGCAATAGTAGTTGGGCCAGATTGCTGTACATAGTGCCACCAGCCAACTGGCAGGTACAACGTATCTCCTGCTTCGAGTGTGACATGCAGTGGGTGAGCTTCTGGAGGCAGTGACCCAGGAAGGTCCGGGTTGATCACTGAAGACCAGCGAACTTGAGGAGTATCAGAAGAGGGAACGACACTCAGATCATTACTATTGTCGGTATAGCCGTAAACTGCGTGAGGATACATCCGTTCTGAGGCCAATTATAACTGTGATTCGCATAGCATTGACAAGTCGTGTTACCTTGAAGACACCACCCTTCACAGGGTGGTAGGAGCGTGAAGTGTTTACTTCCACGTATCACAGTATATATATTCTCGTACGGATCTTGCCAACGTGTGAGATGTGGACGGGTCTGGTGGGCGCCATTCAATGAGTTATTACTTACCGCTATGTATACTCGTTATGCTTTTGCTATTCCCGATCCAAAGGTTTACGGCATCAGGATTTCTGCCTGTGCTTTACATTATGAGTGAAGGGACTCGGCTTAGTTGAGTTCCCACCTAGTGCTTCGGTGACCCATGGGATGTTACTTGGAACGTCTTCCCTAAGGGCACCAAATTCTGACGAATCATCGTTCGGCAACTCAAAGAAACGGCTGGAATATATATTCCCATTTTGCGATCGGAGATAAGAAGCGGAGAGGTTGTCATTGTCCTGTTCTGCTTAAAATGTGGATTAGCTCGTGGTCAATTTTAGGAGGTAAACGTGTGCAAGTGCCTGCGTTAAGTTGTTCAAGGAATTTCTCGATGGAAACTTTCTCGATAAAAGGCTCCACGAAAAAGAGCCTGCCTCCTGGGCCAGCTGCGATAGCATCTGCTTGCCTGCTCTGCCCTCAGTCACAGAAGCGATCAAATAAATGAACACTCGCCCATTGGGTGTGATTGCCACTGATATAGGTTGGTCTTGTAGATTGGTCTGCAAGTAATCATCGGTCCATCGTTTCAAGGCTGGGATTCGGAAACCTGAACTTCACATCACGAGCTGGTCTAAACTGTCTATTGACATGAGGGGACCTTTGATGACAACAGGCCTAGATATGTGGACTAGTTGTGCAAACTCCGCTGCTGTCGGAGGGCTTTCGAGGGTTTGAATTGACGAGCCATTCATATCTAAGTGAATTTTGGCAAAAGAATCAACAAGATCAGCCTAAGAATGGACTTCGTTACCATGATACTCTTGTGATATCCATCTTACGATATCGTGGGTTAGGCTGGGCGGTGTTACTTGATCCAACTCCAGGGCCATCTGTGAGGCTCTGCTCAAAGTCTGTGGCATTAATGTGGCTTGATCGCGTGAAAGTCCACAAGATGAGTGTTACTTAAAAAGGCAAGTAGTATTTGAGGTCACATGCAACGCGATCTTCGTGGTCAGACGCGTTTCTATTCTCGAAACTTTCGATCATTTCCGGTGCTCAAACTTAAAGTCTCCATGCTCTTTGCACGCCTTCAACTCCTTGCTCTTCACTCGAGATGACTGAGAAACGCCAAAGTAGAGTTACACGAAGCACGCGTGCAAAGCAGGTATGTGTGGCATTCATGTGACCCGTTCCTGACGTTGAAGGCACGTAGGCGTCCGCTCAGAAGACTCTCTATGACTTGTTCCAGAAGGACGAGGAAACGAAACCTTCAGAAGAAGGTTCGAAGGAACTGGACGGAGCCAACGAGTCATCTTCGATACATCCAGTAGATATCATTGTCATTGATGACGAACCAACCCCACCACGTTCTAAGGCACCCCGCAGTGTTATACGAGACACTGTCCGTCAAAATCACAGTGAGTAATGTTTGATGTGAGCACTCTTCTTCTTTATCTCTGGTTCACAGTCCAGCCGACAAAATTGTTTCCCATTTTCGGAACCCCATCCACAACGCCCATCCAGACTGCTCACTCAAGTTCTACAACTGCAAGTAAAGACACCGATGGAGATATTCTTGAACTATCTGATGATGAACAGCCACCGTCATCCTCTTCGTCACCTCCAGAAATGAATTTGCTTCACCAATCACCACCAATCACCGTCTTATCATGTATCGAGGATATAAACGCGCCAAATAACAGGCCCGACACAGCCCTGGTACAAGCCACGGCGCCAAGAAGTCGAATATGCGTTCCAGGAAATGACAATCCTCCGGTAAAGCGACATGTGCCCCCAGGCGATATGACGCCGGATGCGCCATATCCAAATAAGGAGATGCAACATGTTCGTGGACCGCAGAATACCTTCAGTGCGAATTCGGAGCCACCGAAACGTCACAAACGTAGTCCACCGGATCCCACAGACGACGTGTCTTCAGGTTTCCTTTCCTCCTTATTGCAGGGATACCAGGATTCTCCTCTTCAACCGTCAACCTTTCTCCGAATCTCCTCGCAGTCCGAACGTGAAGATTATCTTGGTGTTGACGGGCCTCGTGATGCCGCACATCATCCCGTAATATCTAGATTTTTGGTTGGCGAGCATTATTCCAATCGGACAGCTTCTGGGCCGCCACAGCAAGAAATATGGACCACCCGTTTCCGCCCCAGACAAGCGGATGAAGTGCTAGGGAATGAACCGCGTGCGCTGTATATTCGAGATTGGCTTAAAGCTCTCGAAATTCGACTGCATGCCACAAACCCCCCTGCCACGAAAAGTAGTGCAACTGGCACAGGCAGGCGAAAGGTCAAGCCGGACCCCCCCGAAAGGGCGCCCAAGCGGCCTCGTGTCATTCGAGCTGTGAATAGAAAGAGAGGCAGGAAACGACGGAGGCTGGATTCCGAGACGAGTTAGATGTTTTCATTGCTCGCAGTGACGATGAAGACGATACGATCCCGGATCAGCCAGGGGAAGAAATCGATGACGATGATTTTAATTTTTGCCTGCGGACGCTTTCCCGCCTCCAGCGAAAGGACAATTCGCTGCTATTAGAGCAGCATCCACCAGCCTCAGATGTTGGTGTCGACACCATCCCGACCAATCCAAATTACCAATCCTCTGACGCTAATTTTACCGATATTCTAACGAATACACTCATTATAACTGGGCCTCCAGGGTGTGGGAAGAGCGCAGCGGTTTATGCGTGTGCGGACGAGCTGGGGTGGGAAGTTTTCGAGGTTTACCCTGGGATTGGAAGACGCAGCGGCGCAAACCTCGATAACCTCGTTGGAGACGTGGGTAAAAATCACCTCATTCAACAGACGAGGCCAAAATACCGGACGGCAGCCGCACAATGTGACTCGAGAGCAAGCGCTGCTCTTTCGACGCTTTTCCCTAAAGCAGGGAAAGTCAACCCCAAACCCTCGCCAACACACTCAGATGCCGAGCATCCTAGTGATGTTGACACACACGTCCTCGTGGATGCTGCCAGTGAGTCCCTGCAGGACACGGTGGAACCACCTGTAGCCGTTGATGAACTAGTTGGCTCATTAAAAACAAATGGACCGGCGAAACCGTCCACTACTACTCGGCAATCACTCATTCTCCTTGAAGAAGTCGATATATTATTCAAGGAAGACGCTGGTTTTTGGCCGGCAGTGGTAGACTTAATCAAGGAGTGCCGCCGGCCCGTGATCATGACATGCAACGGTACTGTACTCTAATCGTGTCGATTTTTCCAGAACTCAATCTCACCTTGACAGACATTAAACTTGTCCCCGTCGCGGATCTTCCTCTGCAATCCGTTCTGACGTTCCAACCTTGCCCTTCTGAGCCCGCTGTCACGTTTTTGCAATGCCTGTGTGTAACACAGGGATACGCTATCCCAAGAGATAAGTTAATCCAGCTTTACGAAACCACGTACATCGTGCAGAGTATGGATCTTCCAGACGCGCCGCTCAACCCCAGAACCGAACCACCACCACCACCGGATCTCAGGCGATCTATTACTCAGCTGCAATTGATTTGTACTGACGCCACCCACGAAGCTAAGGTCCCTCAAGAAGCACAGGGGGCCGCTGAAAACTTTCCGTCACTCCCTATGACAATTTCCGCCCAAAGCAGTGCTGATGTTTCTGAGACATCGACGGAGGAGCTGTGGCGATGGGCTTCCACTTACACGGATTGTGTTTCGTATACAGACAGCTATCTCTGCAGGGCGCCATTAGATGGACATGAGGTGAGGACAACAGAGCACATTTTTCCCGCCGCTTTCCTGACAATTCACAATTTGAGGCCCTGTCGTACAACCCATCTGAATCTTTGCTTGACGATGAGTTGGGTCATGCCATACTAATCCGGTCGTCCCACGTCTCTGACACGAGAGATGCACTTGCCTTCTATCACAATGATGAGCTCATTGTGCAGGATGCCATCCACCTTTCACGTGGTAAACACGAGGTTTTGGGTGCTATTCCGATCACGACGTCGATCAACCCCGCGGCTAGTGGTTCTAATACTGACATGGAAACCAGGCTCTTCCGAGCTCGCGTGGAGCATCAAGCACAGATGCTAACCGCATTGCAAGACCTCGTTCAACCACCCGCACCTCTCATGCCCCAGAGCAGCGTGTACCTTGATTACATACCGTGGGTGAGACTCATGGTTAAAGTGGATGATATTCTTGAGCGATTAGCGTGGGATGAGATGGAGAAGGTGAAGTCTGGGAGATTAACGAGGAATAGTATGAAAGCGAGACATATACGGACTATTGATTTAAGAGAGGATCAACATCGGGCGCTGGTTGCTACTAGAATCCAGGGGCTCGAGGAGGGTGGATAGTTTACGAGAGTTGCTGTGTTGTAGCGTTGCGATAAGCCTGTGATCTGAATTCTCGTGTGATGGTATACTCAGGCATTTCACCGGTGTTGTAAACTTTCCCTCCTCTGAGTGAGCAGAGAAAGGTTTCATGAAGGCTGAAAAAGGAATAAATCTTGGCAAACTTCACTCGTTAATTTAGCCTTTTTTGGGTGTCTGCGTTGCCACGTGCTCGTAATCCACGTTGCTGTACGCCGTATCTGGTAACTGAGTTTTAGTTCTATAACGTCGACATTCACAAAGTCATTCACATCGACCATCCTTGGGCCGTCTCTTAACTCCTCTTCAACATCCTATTTACTCAATCTAACACAGGCATAATGCCTGCATCTACAACGACTGCTACGATCAAGCATGTCAATCTATATTCTCAAACGAAGGATACTGGCGGCGGCACCCCTGCACTCAGAGATGTGTCCAGACATTCCCCAGTCATTTCTCTTCCCCCTCTCGATTATTTACAGCAGCATCGCAGGGGCTCTATCACAGATCCATCTCTACATGCTGCTTCGGCGAACTCGTCTGCAGGTCCGCGTCATATAGATGGTATTGATTTTGCTTCCCGTGCTATCATTCAAGTCCGTCGCTAATGCACCGGCATCCTCTCAGGACCACGTCCAGCTGCCAACTATACTTTCGGTGATGGCGGAGGCTCAATGCACAATTCTGAGTCCTCAAGTAAACAAATGCGCAAGATATTACGTTCCCCATCTGCAGAATGGGAGCCTGCAAAGGGTATTGCACCTCTACAGACATCACTTCCTCCAAACGGAGGAACTAGTGAGTTTGAAGTATCATTTGTTGTACGCATCTTGTGAACATAGAGGTGGCAACGTTGTCAGAAACCACCGATCACATGAACGTGGATAGCAGTAATGAGAAACAATCGCCCAGAGTTAATACACGACAAGCAGAAGACAGTGATCACAGTTCACGAAGGCAATCGATTGCTGTAAGTCATTGACGTCATATTCGAAAACCCGATTTTGACAGATCTACAGAATTCTTCGGATTCCCAAATGCCACATGGAACGAAACGAAAGACGTCTACTTACAGAGAATCAAATGGAAGTGACGACACAGATTCGCAACTGGTAGGACCTGGGGTACCTAGTCCCATGAACATCGATTCAGAAGGACGCGCACAAAAACGGCGAGGGTCGACTGTCGAAATGAGCAGGATAGCTCAGCTGAGCATATGTGACCAGAGGCGACATTCAGTGCATTCTGGAGCGATAGCGTCAAGGGCGGGCCCAGGGATGTCGGGAGGAAATGGGCACTGGTGGTTGAATGAGAGACGGGATTCTCTACCTCCATCGTTCCCAAACGGGACCACTAGTGGCTACCCCTCGGCATTATCCGGCGATCAGCCACATGGTCGACCTGCTGCACCCTCGACGCCAGGCAGCATGGCGACTTTCGCGTGGTCTGCAGCACAACACCCGGACGGCTCGCAAGATCCTAATATACAGCACCACCCCCGTTCTTTCGAAACACAACCTATGCAGATGACCATGATGCCCCCGATGACATTTCCGCCAGACAGGCGGATGTCGGTGCCAGAAAGCTCGACTTCTACAATAGGCCCGACAAGAAATATCCGTTCACGGTCCCGACCTCCATCACGTCAATTACGCGAAAATAGCCAGACTGTCACTACTGCTGTAGGTCCTGCGCCACCTGCGGAGGAGCCTTCTTCGGCTCCTTCTCCGTCATCTAGCCTGAAACCGCCGAAGGAGCCGGGATCTACACCTTACTCTCGTTCACCTGAGCTGCGAGTTTCGCATAAGCTTGCCGAGCGAAAGCGACGGAAAGAAATGAAAGACCTATTTGATGAGCTGCGGGACCAGCTACCCGCAGATCGGGGCATGAAGGCAAGTAAATGGGAAATACTTAGCAAAGGTATGCAGACCGGGTTTCTACACGCACGGCAATCCTTGACATAATGCGTGCAGCTATCGACTTTGTCACCAATCTGAAACAAAATCACCAAGATATGGTTCGTGAGATCGAGATGCTGAGACACGAGCTGGACAGCATGAGACAAGGCATACCATCTTTTGGTCCAGGAGCACCACCCCACGCCATGGTATATGGGCAGGGCGCACCAGTTTCAGGACCTTATCCACCACCTCCAGGAGCGATCTCTCATCCTCCACCACACCCGCATCAGCAACCACCCCATCCGCCTCAGCCACGACCACCATCGTCGGAGAATCCATATCCAGCAGCATCCACCCTTCCTCCAACTCCAGCAGGAGCACCACCAGCGCCAACTACCAATGGTGTTGCGAGCATATCAGCGAACAAGTCAGAGATACAGCCGATGTAGTTGGTGGACCTGTTCTGGCCTTTCCTGGCCTCTTCCCCTCTCCTAAATTCTACGATTTCTTTAAGTTACGAGCTTGTGATAGTCTTAGCATGGTTGTTCTCATTTTTATGGACAAATTTTCACGATCACATGAAGTGTATATAGTCTTCTCCTTAGGCTTCCTCTCGTTGCAATTGCTATGATGACTATCAAGCATCCTTCAGATCATCTGCCTTGTCCCGATGAGAAAGATGTTAGCGCTACATGCTAATTGATGAAACTACCATGCCTTATGTCAGCATGTGAGCCTTGTTCTCCAACTGCCATTGCTGCTCCCTTGTGAAAACAAAATTATATACATGCTCTCTGGCGATCTTGTCCTTTCCGCTCGTTAACCCGTTGCTGTCCTAGTCATCTGCTGCGCTGATTTCCTGATACCATCATTAAGACTCGTCTTCACTCCGGATTCAAACTATCTTTACAATGCCACCAAAATCGGCTGAATCTCTTCTATTTCACAAGAAGAAGGCAATAAAGAAGGAGCCCTCTACGCCGTCGACGACTTCACAAGGCTCTCAACCATCCCAGTCACAGCAATCCCTCCGCAAATCCGTTACTCCCCGCGTACAGCCTATTCCACCAGCCGGTGATGCAGATGACAGTTCTAAGCTCCCTGATGGCGAGTTTTCCGAATTCAAGCTCATGTCCTCTGCCCTCAATGGATGGAAGTATGATGTTATGAAGTTCGATTCGAGAAAGACTATAGACATATCAACCTGGGAGGAGCCGATAAAGTTGAACAGGAAGGAATTGAGAAGAGAAGAGCCTGGTTCATCCTCTCAAGTGCCTGCGGGACATATGCTGGGGCCCGACGGGAAGCCTGTTGTTGGTTCAGATGGAAACATCGTTATGGTTGACGCAGATGGTCGGCCGATAGCGAAGGACGGTGTTGAGGCTCAGTCGAAAGACAAGGACAAAGGCAAAGCTGGCGGGCGGAAGAAATTTCAGAAGAAGACGCGGCAAGTGTTCTTGGTGCCTGAGGCAGTCCGTCAGCTGCGACGCGAGGAGCGTTACCCCTGGGTGATGGAGGACGCAAAGCAGAACGAGATGTGGGTAGGGAAACTGGAGGAGGTGGCAAGGGCAGAGACACATGCTCTCTTTATGCCAGCTGCACAAGAATTCTTCAAATTTGTACCTGCAAATCGCTGGTACAAGTTCCAGAAGAAGCCTAAACATCATGTCCCTGGATTAGAAGAGGCGGAGGCTCTGGTATTTTGTTTACTGCACATGCATCGCCGTGATCTGATGGTCCCCGTCAGATGGCCAAGATTCAGAAGAATAAGGACCCGGAACGCTGGTTGCTACACCGGAAAAAAGGGCAGGGACTCTCATCGGCAACATCAGAGATGTTCAAAGCGGAGGCAGAAAACCGTGTTGTGTCTGGTGGCTCGTCACTGGTCCATTCGTCTGGACAGAGTCAAGCTGTGGGTGGACGAGCGCTGCGGACAACGAACCGCGGGGCTCATGATGGCGGTGGCGACGACGACGACGAAGGCGGTCCCAGAAGAAAGAAGGAAGAGAATGACATGGAAGGAGACTTGGATGAGCAGCTTTTTGATGATGAATTTGCGGATGACGATGAGGCAGGTCCTGCCGATATGGACGAAGAGGAGACCAAAGAGTTAGAGGTATATGAGCCTTCCGTTATTCTCATTGTAGCGCTGACATCCTAACAACAGGAACGCCTCAAACGAGAGTATAAGAGTGCCAACAAGACCCGCGAGGGCTATGTTGACGAGTCGGAGTCTGAGGATGGGGAAAGTCAGCTGACGAAGGACGGCAAATCTCTGAAGAAACTCATGCGCAAGCTGGAGAAAAACGCAGCATACGATAGCGATGAAGAGCGCAATCCGTATGCGAGCTCAGTGTGTTCTTTTTCTTACTCCCGTGTATGCGTGCTAATGTTGTGGCAGAATGACGAGGAAGAAGAAGAAGAAGAACCAATTCCTCCCCAAGAACCACCTCAAGAGACTAAATCCCGATCAGCTTCTCAACCCCCAACTCCGAAACCATCGCAGCCGCCTACCAGCACTGCCCCAAATGGTTCTGCTGTTGGCTCTCGCGCTACTTCGCCGGCGCCTACGAGTATGGGTGGCCATTCTGTTGTTGCAAAACGCGCCACAAGTCCCAAAGCACCGAAACTTAAGACAACTTCTACAAACAACGGTCGCGTAACTAGTGGACAGGGTACTGGAAGTAGGGCAACCAGTCCCGTCACTGGTAGCAGAGCAACTAGTCCTTCACCACTAGCAAAGGGTCCAGGCAGCCCAGCACCAAATGGACAGCCAACGTCAAACAAACGCAAGGCCGCTGATGAGCTCGGCGGTAATGCGGCGTCGGCGGGGGCTGCAGTAAATGGTGCACCGAAGCCGAAGAAACGAAAACCGCTCCCCACTGGCCCGCCCCCGGACGGCGAATTGGAGGAGAAGATGCTCGTCAAGTGGTTACAGAATACGCCCAACGCGACGACGCGGGACTGTATTCAACATTTCACGCCTTACTTGACTACAGATGCGAAGAAGGCGAAGTTTACGGCGATGGTGAAAGAGGTCGCTCAGCTGAGGGGGGGTATCCTGATCTTGAGGAATAGCGAGGCTTCTGCAGCCGCCTCGCCGACTTCTTAACTCACTGTGACTTAGGGAATTGTACTTTAGATTTCTGTGAACGACGCCATCGTGCTTGGATTGATCTAGGTCCTATGAGGTTTTATGCAACTGGTTTAGTCAGATAACCGAAGTGGAAGAAAAACTGCGTCACATTTATGTTCATGGTCGAGGTCGGTCGACATCTTCCAGTGTATATCATAGATGATTCTCATGGTCCTCCGTAGGCACTAGTACTCTTCGGAGGTATCCAGTCGATTACCCGTTTGCCCCTGTCAAGCTGGCGGGGACCAATCATATTGCAGCAGTAGCATTAACTGCGACAATTCGCGGGGTGACCAACTGAGACTCTTCGGCATCCCCGCAGGCATACTGAGTATATCACAACGTTCGAGATGAGTTCACTCTACTGATCAATGATGCTGCTTTGCTCGCCTGTTTTTCAAAGGCCACGCGGGACGTCTTAAGATCAACTCGGGCCAAGGTGCATTGCACGGTGACCAGCGTCGTGCGCAAAGATCAAATACCAAAAAAGGAAGTTAGTATTCGTGTTGGGTGGCTAACCAGCAGAATTCCTTTACCCACCACATAAAATGGGCAGCTTGGTTCGTCTTTCTCATTCTCTCTTTCTTCCTCCCTCCATCACCTCGTTGTTTCCTTTTCACCCACTACTATACCAGTCCTCTCTTTTCGTTCGTCTTGTACATATAGCCATGTCACGTCTCTCTGCTATCCTCCTCCTCGCCACCAGTGCCGTCTATGCGTCCGTCACCCCTGCTCACGAATCTCATACCGAGAACAAGCCCCTTGGTAACAAGTGGTATCATGAAGACGACCATCCAGTACACGCCCTCTTCAAGCGTGGACCGGTCGGCGATGGTATTCTTTATTCCGCGATAGGAACGCCCGGTAAGCCCTTGTATCTAATTTCCTTCACTCCCGCTTACTCGACGCGCATGTTTAGAATGGTCCGCCGGCTTCCCTCCAGCCACTGCGGATACTACGATGCTCCCCCAGGCTTGGGTGGATGCTCTTAACGCAGCCGCCTTGGCAGGCAAGATTCCCGATATTCCCCAGTCTACAAGTACCAACGGAATGGATCCCGTATACCCCACTGGATATGACCCGGCAAGCGCGACTGTTTGCTCCTCAACTGCCAAGTGTGTTACGCCAGGTGACGTGTGGGATGCTCCGCCGGGTGTTATCGCCCTTAGTTTTGACGATGGTCCGCTACCGGTACGTCCCTAGTTATGAGAATGTGTTGCTCAAACGATAGTTGATCCATCGCGCATTGTCCAGGCGTCGGATCAGCTGTATCAGTTCCTCGCTAACCACTCGGAACATGTAACGCACTTCTTCATTGGCACCAACATTCTCCTGTATCCCGAGCAGTTCAAAACCGCCTTCGAGACGAACCAGGATGATATCGCCGTTCACACCTGGACTCACCCATACATGACCACCAAGTCGAACATCGAGATCCTCGCCGAGCTCGGATGGACGATGGAACTCATCCACAACTCGACGGGCGGGCGTATCCCGAAGTACTGGAGGCCGCCTTACGGTGATTCTGATATGCGCGTCCGGGCTGTTGCAAAGGAAGTATTCGGGCTCATAACCGTCATCTGGAATCAAGAGTGCGTGATTACTGAAAACGAGTTCATGTTTACTGATACCGACTTCATTTTAGCACTGATGACTGGACCTTGAGTGAGCCTGTCCCATTGACCACGCCAGAAAAAATCCAACAGGAAATGACACAGTGGTTGACCGGTATATTGTTGTTATTATCTGCGGCGTCTGATGCTGATCGTGCCACATAGGTCCAAAGACCCCTGGACTTGTCATTTTGGAACACGAGTTGTCTGATCTATCCGTCAAGTCATTCATAGACGCATACCCGATGATGGTTTCAAATGGCTGGCAAAGGTTATCTCTTGCTCAGATGGATGCTGGTTCAGCCTACCAGAACGCCTGGAATGCAACATCGCAAGTCAACCCAGCAAAAGTAGGTGACTTGGCCGTCAAGCCTCCGGTCCGTGCCAGTACTACTGCGAAACCGATAGCAACCACTGCCAAAAAGTAAGCTGCTTTTCCTTCAATGTCGACGCAACTGATTATATGATAGGCCGGCTTCGTCCTCGGCGCCGTCGTCTGGAAAATCTACCTCTACCAATAAGCCTCTTGGCAACCAGAAGAGCGGGGCGACTCACCTCAGCACCTGCGCCTCTTGCACTCACCGGCATCACTGCAGCCATCGTCGCAGCTGCAGTTGGAACGATCATGATATAATGGTACCGGATTTTTGCAAGAGACATTCATGGACTTCGCAGATTACTATCCTACTTGTACAACCGTACACATCTTGGTTACATTATATTATATCTCATTATTCTTGGCGAACATGGACTATTCACACTATCATACAATCATTATGGGATCTTATTTTCGACCGAGCGTATTGCTGCCTGATCGTGTCTTTGCACCCCCGGCAAACTTAACGTGGTCTGATGAGCAGATTATATCATCTTGGCAAGAATAGCGTTACAGCATGTCGCTTCCTCGACGTTGTTTTACCTAGTCGTTCAAGAGCTTAATCGAGACAGCCGCATGATGCAGTACAAATGAAATTTTCAGGTAATACTTGAGAATTGCCACATGAGGTACAATAGTGAGACATTTGTGTATAGCCAAAATCTGCTAAGTTACATGTACGGAAAAGGGTGATCGTGAAGGTCGTTCAACAATTCGTGATAGAATGAGGAACATGAAAAAACTCCATGAACAAGTAAACGCGGAGAAGCGGTATAGAAAGGAAGTCCAGGTATATGCCGTCGACTCAATACGCGTGAGCGCGGGTGTGACGTGTTCGACAAAGGTTGTATGCAGCGGAGACAGTAAGACTCTGTCAAAATGCAGTCCGCAATACAGTCCAGAGGCTCAATTATGATAAAATGCTGGGCCACTTAATTCGCAAGCCCTCTAGCCAGCGCATGTAGAGCAGTTCAGAGATAGGTGATTTGCGGACGGGCGATCCAGAGCTATCAGCTTTGAGGGAGTTTAATGATGAGGCACTCGAGTCCATGGGGAGTCCACTGATATCTTCCTGGACTTCGGTGACCACAAGACCCTTTGCAGTCATCTCGCTCTTCCGAATGACACGTTTGTGAGGGAATAGTCCCCGAGATGTTTGAACGTGTTGTCGGACAGCGGGGTTTCTAGCACAGTTTGAAAATAAATGAATGGAATCTCAGTTCAACCGATGGATACGCACTCGTTGATACCGGAGAGCATGTCGAGAATGACGCTGTAAGATAGGGCAGGATTCGCCTCTCTCAATTCGGAAAAGCCACGAGAGATCATACTGAGTGACTCGATCTCTCGAGCATCCATGTCATCTCGGATGGCCTGTCGCGTACTGTTATTCTCCTGTAGCAGTACACTTGGGAATAACTTACGTTTTGGAGAACGGGAAGGACGACATCATCAATCATGACCCTTCCCGCCTGCTCAGAATCAGATACCCTTCGCTTGAATGACGAGGAGGAAGGCCGGTCTTTGGATGGAGTAGTAGGGGATGATGGTGAAGTTTCTCTACTCCTAGTGCCGACGTACTCTGCAGATAGTCTCAGAGAACTGGCTGTGTCGACCTTTTTGACAGGTCTGATGGTGTCTACGCCGGAACCAAGATCTGCTTCCCGCATGATAGTACCAGCACCAGTCATCTTGTGTCTTGCAGCGTACGATGACCTCATTGCCGAGCGGACGGAGCCGGTGTACGCTGGAGGTGCGCCCAAAGGCATTTCATCATCTGCAGGGTGGGTAACTTGGGATGGCGGTGTTCTTGGTTTGGCACCATCTACAAACTCGTTTTCTAGACCTTCTGCAGCAGCGAGGAGTAATGAAATGTCCGGCTCATCAAGAGGAGTCTTGATGGCAACAGTGGAGTGCCCTGCACCAATATTTATTCCGATCCCCCCAAAACCGAGCGGAGTGTTTCCATTAACAGCTCCCCCTGTTTCAATCGAGCCTTCATCTTCCTCGTATATCGAGGGTTCTTCGTCACCCATGTCTTCATCGTCCATCTCAGGCATCAAATCCTTGGCAACACTACTAAATGTACCCATGATGGAAGTCGACTTGACGGTGTCGAAGTTCCAGTCACTTCGAATTGTGTCGTTGCTCTCCCACATCGCTGTGCCGCGAATAGTCGCTTGGTATACTGCAGGCTGACCTTTCTGTGGTGACTTGGCACGGAACTCCTGGTACCTCTCGACCAGCTCTGTGAGATACGATGTCTTCTTCGCACTTTTGATAAATCTATGTTGCAAAAGCTCCTTGGCTGTAGGACGCTATAGTGACTGTTAGGGCATTTTTAAGCATAGGAGAAAGAGGTCCGAGCTCACATCAGCAGGATCTTTTGTCAAACAGAGTGATACAAATTCCTTAAATGCAGCAGAGAATGAACCTTCAAGGACTGGTGGTTTCGCCTTTGGAATAAGGAAGAGAACCCTCATGGGGTGGTACTCGGCCAGTGGCGGCTCCCCTTTCGCCATTTCTATAGCTGTGATGCCTAAACTCCACATATCCGCCTTTGCGTCGTAACCCGCCTGTCGGATGACCTCCGGTGCCATCCAGAATGGAGTACCCACGAATGTGTGTCTCAGCGTGCTGGTAAGTTGTGCTGCCACTCCGAAGTCCGCAAGTTTGACCTTGCCGCTAGCAGAAAGCAAGATATTGGCAGCTTTGATGTCACGATGGATGGTGCCTTCCGCGTGCAGGTAATCGAGACCTAACAGAAGCTCCCGACAAATAACTGCGATGTGCGCTTCAGAGAATACGCCGCCTTTCAGGAGGTCAAGACATGATCCCCCAGCCAAATACTCCATGACGATCCAGAGCTTGTAAGCAACAACGAATGACCCGTAATAGCGGGTGACGTATTCCGAATCACATTGAGCGAGACTGGCAATTTCTTGTTGAATTTCTGAGATATCATCATCAGAGTCTTCCAAATCTATTTCGAAGATAGAGAGATTAGCTCCAATACGATATCAAGCCCCGCCACACACCAATCTGCTTGATAGCAACTATCTGCTTTGTTTCGTTGTGCATGGCCTTGTATACGACCCCGAAGCTGCCTGTTCCCAGCTTCTCGATAAGCGTATACTGGCTGGCTGGGTTGTTGGCTGGAACGGGGTAGGGCTCCCTGGGATATGTCTCCCTATCCTGGCTTGTCTGTGGCGACATCGAGCACGAGCGAGAGGCCGACTGTTCATTGCCAATGTTAGTCACTGAGAGCTTTCTGAGGCGACTACCAGGCGACATGATGGCCTGAGTGGATAGAGCGCTGACAAGGCCTAGCACATGTTGTTGTGTGGCATCAACTCATGCCGAACAAAATTAAGAAGACTTGCTCCACACGTGTTCGGGGGATCCCCGTCTCAAGTCTGTGAAAGGATTGGATGGAGTAGATAGGGAGGAAACGGACTGACCGAGTACAGGAAAGGACTTTGATGTCAGGCTAACTTGATTGTCGCAAGTGCACGAACTTGAAGAACCGCAAGGTCCGATGCTTATTATGATTCTAGTAGAAGATTTTGGAAATCCAGCGCCTAATACGACCTGACGGTGGCGATAGAGTATTGTCACTGATATAGTTTCGAATGGCGGTTGGCGATCCATCATGGTGAAAGAAACACGAGGCCGGTACCAATGTCGAGACGACAATAGTCAACTAGGATCGTCATCAAGTTTGACCCGGGGATGTTGTAATTGCACCCATCCCAGGACCGCGAGAGCGCTCATGCGCACATGGAGTCCCATATGATACAAGTACTGATCATACAATGGTAAAGTCACAATCGGTGCATTTGTCTCAAAGAAGTATGCTGGATCAACTTCCAAGGATAGGAGTCATGGCATAGCATGCATGTCGAGTTGATCAAGGCGTAGGGCATACAAATATGAAAATGCAAAAACAGACAAATCTCCAGCATGATGATGGGCCCTCTCACACCCAGCCAACAGCACATTCACGCTTATGCCTTAACGGCATATTTGCGAATGGGGAAGTGTATATCCTTCTTCTTTTGCTTGAGCGTCTTCAATGATTGCTCGCGCTAATGTAGGAATGTAGCATGATTAGAGCATATCTTGCATAGCGACTGTATTGCGCACCTTGGTCAGTCTCCGTCTGATCGCGCGCGTCTTCTTTGGTCGGAGATCAAGAGGGAGGAATTTCTTGTTCTTGTAGAATTCCCGGAGGTTTTGGCGTTGCTTCTGGTTCATCACAGTCAAGACCCGTGCAATCGACTTGCGCACAATGTTGCTAGTTAAGTTAGTCCTTTCGCACTGGACATTTAAGAATTCCAAACGTACATCCTGGTGAGTTTTGAGGCCGAGCCACCAAGAATCTTCTGTACGCGCAGCGAAAGAAGCTCGGTCTTGAGCTCATTGAGTTGCTTGGTCAAGTCATTCTTCGACCTGTATATGCCACGCAACAAAATGTTCTGCAATCAGCGCAATATCTCCTATTAGCATTACGGGCTCACTTGGACTGGAGCTCGTAGGCCTTAACTTTGCTGCTGGGCATTTTGAGGGATGTCTGTACAGTGAAATGGAAAGATGATTAGCACCGAGTTTAACAGATCGACCAAACGGATGCGGAAAAGAGCGGGACAAGGCCAATATGCGTGGAAACAGTCCACAATGTTTCAAGAACATGGTGGAGCAGCATGACGGCTAGATATTTACCTTGAGGGGGCTGTCGTGCGGTACGTCCGCGACGGGCTCGATAATTCTGACGCTACGCGATGTGGTACTATACAGTTTATGAGCCACATTTCACACGCCCATAAAAGGTAATCCCCTGTGGGTCACGGGTAATGTTTTCCAAAATCTAACATACGCGCTACATATTGATGCTACTGGTTGCTGGCTTTCACTAATTCATCAAAGCTTACAACCCCTCCAAAGATATCCAATGAACTAGAGTGATCGGAATGGGTTATCTATTAAAAACACCAAGGGATCGTGCTTACCTGCCATATGTCAAGTCCACTTGTCCTCCCGAAAGTCTATTCACCGTTTCCAAGTCGGAAATGCCTGAACAAGTGTCGAGTTAGGAAGCAATAGACCAAGGGATCTAACCACCCACTTTTAGCTCCTCCAGCATATGTGGTAGGAATCGTCACCCATTCGCCAAGCTCTGATGAAAAGTCAGCAGCGAAATGACAACGTCGAACGATGTGCAAACTTTGTACGAGCTCCTCGTCAATACCTTGGCATAATCCTTCTACATCAGCCGCATGGATGAGAAACTCGCTGCAACATGAAAGATCATCGCGACGGAGACAGAGTGCCCATGAGCCTCACTTGCAATACTGTGCCAGCATGTCGAGATTCTCTGGACACGAAAAATTCAGCACCTATTGCGCAAAAGATGATAAAGAGGTCGTTACTCTTTACTTACCTTTATTTACCTCCATTGTAGTAATATCCTGCCATTTATTCATAGCAACATACCACTTATCTCCTCGCCGGCGACAGCTGAAATCATCATGAGATCTTTATGTTCACCGAGTAAAGTAAATGACGTGCCTAACGTCTACAACAAGCTTATCCTTCCCAACAAGTGATGAGATTGTCTGCAAACGCTCCAAGTCGAAGTTGCCGCCGGGAAAGAGGTAGGATGTGACGATGATCTAGGGGAGGAGTTAGTTGGCGTATTGCGCACTTCACTACAGCTTGTCTAACCTTGCTCGCACCCGCGTCAAGCCATTCTTTGGCATTATCAGCGGTGATACCCCCACCGATCTGTAAGTGATCTAGAATTAAGAATACTTAGGTCAAAAGCATCATCTAAAGACAACATGATAGACACGAACTCCGCCATTCTGCCAATGCTCTCCTGGCTGCTTCGTCGTTCCGAGGCCCCAATTTTATGACGTGTCCGCCCTCCAGACTATTGTCACGATACTTTTCCGCGAAATACTCTGGAGGTTGCCTGCAGGGACATTCGTAAGTCAGAGAAGAGGCCAGAGGGTATATACGCACGTTGCGACAAAATTCGTCTTCAGTTCCTCATCACTGCGGTCCGAAAGAGTACCTCCGACGATTTGCTTTACTTGTCCTTCATGTAGGTCAATGCATGGGCGGAACCTGCTACGACGTTGCTCAGGAGCCATCCTCGGAATTATCCGAGGAGTTGCTAACTACAAGTACTACTCCAGAAAACGCGTCTGAAATTCAATCCACCACAGGTTCCAAGAGCATATTGTATCTTCAATTGATGGTATCATACATGTACACAGGTGTTTCCAAAGCAATCTCAAAGCGTGACGATAGCTCTCGTGTTTAATACTCGAAAGAGGCCTCCATGATTCTCGTCAGATGCTCTCTCCCATCCTCGCCTGCCACATTTCCAATGTTCGGAGCCAAATCCAAAACGCGACGCTGCGGAAGCGTGCCTTCGACTAGCATCGAGATGTCGCTCTTGTTGTATCCCACGGCCTTCAGTCCACGAGGAACACCGAGTCCGTCAAGGAAGGATGCAATAGACTCGTACAGATATGCACCAACCTCAGAGTCAGGGATGCTTGTTATCGAAGGGTCGGTAACAGTCACACCATTGAAAACGGCAAGTGCTTCACGATGACGGTCGGGGGAAGATGGAGCAGTGAATTGGAAGACCGCGGGTCCAGTCAAGGCGACACTACAGGATTCACGTTCATTCTCCGTCTTTTTAAAGTGTCAGTATTTAAATTACCTGATGCCGTGGGGGATGATGGGATGGTCAACCACGTATCCAGGGTGCTTGTACTTCGGGCCTTTCTTGTTCAAGCCGGATATCTACAGGAAAGCTACTTAGTCTTGATTCCTGACGCCATCAGCTCCACGTACCGGATAGCTCATTCCGTGGCACAGATGCACGCCAGCATTTCCGAAACCAATACCAGCAAAGGAAGCCGCGAGGCTAGTTCTGAATCAGAACAATGGTGTGGGAAACGGGTAGGAGACGTACAGCATCTGGCTTCTTGCCTCATGGTCACCGCGATCCTTGGCAATACGAGGCAAGTACTTTACAGTCGTACGAAGAGCCCACATCGAGAAAATATCTGCGACGGGGTTGCTTCCTTGGTAGGCGGGTCGCAGAATTGGATTTGCGGGGCGTGGTGTTCGCTCGGTGTAACTAAAGGATCACTCTGTTGTTTGCCTATCGAAAAAATTCAAGTGCAAGCTCACGGAATAGCAGTGTAACTCTCCAAACTGTGGAACAACACATCCAACCCTGCGCTGATGTGTACAGCGGTTGGGCAGCTCTCCGTGTTAGCCGTGTCCACGACGCCCAAGACAGGCTTAAGTGCACGATTTGCGATGCCAGTCTTGAAAGCACGTGAAGTGACATCAAAAATAGCGGCACCGGTGGTCTCAGATCCAGTACCGGCAGTGGTAGGAACTGTGAGTTCATGAGCGAGGGTCACACAATATTGATGCAAACATTTCAACCTGCAATGAGAGGCCGCAAGGTTTGGGAGATTGGAAGACCTTTGCCTACGGGAGCATTAACGAAGTCCATGAGATCAGCATCTTTATAAACGGTGAACCTAAAAGGTGTGAGGGAAACATAACACGAACGAAATATAAGCCTTACAAGTTCGCTGTTTTGGCGGTGTCGATGACACTCCCACCGCCGACACTATAGCCATGGTGAGTCGCGGTTACACACGGTCGACCGTAACTTACGCCAAGAAGTGGCTGAAATCATGTTGCCTCGCCCAAGCGATGGCCTTCCTCCAGCTCTCTTCTGTGGGTTCTGCAAGCACTTGATCATATACCTCGAATGAAAGGTCTTCTTGGGATTCCAAAGACTCGAGAGCCTAAGATCAAAATCATTATTGACACTGCGAAATTGTGTGATGAGAATGCTTACAACTTGCATGGGCTTCAACTTGGCCACGATTGGGTCCGTAAAGACGCCAACCTATTGACGATAATGATGATCATGGTCCGAAGACGTGGGAAGCCATCTGACCTTGCGGGCTTTCATATTCTTGAGGTCCATACCAACCTCGCGGGTGACGCCCTCTCCAAATCTCAAATTCGATGCCGCAACCTGAACAGGAGCTGTAAGCAGTTATAGCGTTTCTTTGGCAGGACGTGCCTCGAATGCATACTCCTTTTCGACAGTTTGGACGGGAGTTGCGAACTTCCTAAGTTGGTTCAGGGCAAGGGCACCGTGATGTGCATGGTTATGAGTTGCAGATCTGCAGCCATGACATGGACATGCTGAATGCTGGGATGCATTTATGAGACGAAATATTGTGCTCCTCGTTGCCGCTGGTGCCATGGTGTGAACTTGGAGGTCCAGAACAGATTTGGTGCCGCGTTGGAACGGAATGATAAAGCGCGAAGAAGACCACGTGAGAAGTAATATTAACCGATGCAAACACCTTATCATTTCCTTATCGGGCTTTAGCAAAACCTCATATTGTCCAGACCCTACTCTAATCACTCAGATTTTAACGAGGATATAATATATCATGTAGCTACTTGATTCAAACTTGATAACATGCATATGCAAGGTTTATAGCACTGATTGAACCTAGCCTGCAGTAATTGAGGAAATGTTTTGATGAGTAGGTTGACCCACTAAAATTGTAGCCAAAAATAGACACCGGTCAATGCAAAATTATTTGATATATCACAACTTGGACTCCCCCACGGCTTTTGTTGTTCCTATCATAGACTGCCCTAAGCTGCGCGCACTCCTTCAGCGTACTTACACTGGCCCTCGCCAAAGTCATTCCTTTCACCCCCTGCCATGAAGTCAATACAGGCTCTTTCTCTGGCAGTCCTGGCCGGAGTTTCAGTAGCTGTTAAAATACCTTTCATTCAATCAAGGCACACGACCTTACAGCGACGAAGTGGTGGCACAGACGTTTCAGTATCGCACCCACAAGTTCTGTCTTCGGTCTCCACCGTGCTTACTCTCAGGCAAGATATATCTTCATTCTCCAGTTCAACTCATACATACCAACTGACCACCGAAATAGTGATGTTCACGATCTCATTTATATGGCAAATGTAAGCATGCTTCGTTCGCCCTGCCATGCCAATTTATTCACCAGGTAATCAGGTTACCCTTGGTGGTGTTAGTAAGTAACATTCCCCATTCACACCGTAAGGTGACTCATCGATCAACCAGATTATCTGGTTCAACTTGACACAGGTATTTTTTTGCCGTCCCCTTTCCTTTTTCATATTTTACGTCTTCGTTAGGTTCTTCTGACCTGTGGGTCCTCAACAGTCCAACACCAATCCCTAATGCAAACATTACAGTGAGTGACACACGTTGTTTCTGACCATAGTTTGCTTACGTTCACTAGTCCCAGAACTATAATCTGACTGTGAGCGCATTTCTGCTTGAATAGGGATCTTCGGTCTGACTTTAGCGCACAAGTATGGCATCGGTTGGGCATATGGGAGTGTTTCCTATGTCAAGACCGAGTTTGCAGGGTAAGTAAGTGTCCAAGCGACATATCGTAAACTAATTCAACTTCGAATAGGATATCTGTTCCTTCTCAAGCTTTTCTTGACGTCTCATCTGCGCAAAATCCAGCATTATCCTATGGAGCTATTGGACTTCTAGGGCTAGGTTTTGACTCATTATCGAACATAGATGCCCTCGTGAACACCACTGGCGCGTCGACCGGCCGCAGCCTCCTCTACAATCTTTTCCAGGACAATCCTTCCGAGCCCAACTTTATTGCATTATCCCTGCAGAGTACATCAGATGACGATCAAATTACGGGCAGCTTCGCAATTGGTAAGTCTACAGTGTTACCCTTATATGCACTTGTTGACGCATCAGAATGCAGGCAAGACTGAGCCTCAATATTCAAATGTCACAAGCACCAACAAAATCTCAACTTGGCCCGTAGACTCTCCAACGCGTTGGAATGTGCTGTTGGACTCGTTCATTGTTGGCACAGAGACCTATTCAGTTTCCACTGGCGTGCAGGGAGCGCCATCGAACAAGGCAGTCGTTCTTCTGGATAGCGGGACATCGTACACGTGCGTAATCATTTGCATCAATGGTCGGACATGCTTTATTCACAAGGAGTACAGATACGCGCCTACTGATGTGTGTCAAGCCATTTATGGCGGCATATCTGGGGCTCAGTATAACTCTGTCCTTGGGCAATGGACCGTCCCTTGCAACGCAGAAATAGATATGGCGCTTCAGTTTGAGTAAGTGTCTGCATTCGATCACGTATTTCTTAGTCATTGACATTGTCATAACAGCAATCAAATCTTCCCGATACATCCCCTCGATGTTTCACCAACGAGTTTGAGTGATCCATCAACCTGTGTCGGCTCCTTTGTGCCCCAAAGTGTTTCTGTTGGGGCTGGCCAATTGTAAGTCTATGGTAATCATTCTGGAACACATCGCCAAATGATCATCTCCCTAGTGATTGGTTGATAGGTGACAATGTTTTGCGTTCAGTCTATACCGTGTACGACTTTGGCGACTTCGTTTCATCGGGAACTATGGGCAGCCCTTATGTCCAAATGCTCTCCCTGGTCAATCCTAACCAGGCATCGGTGGAGTTCCACGATATCCGGGGTGGAACGCCGCAGAATAACATCACTTACAACGTTTCAAGCGGTGATTCCGGATCAACAACCGTGACGTTGTCCACGGATGTAGCAGATACTATTGACAAACTCTCCAAATACCTCCCCGCCATGCTTGCCGTTATGGCTCTTAATGCTCTCGTTTTGGTCATTCTTTCCATCGTCGCCCTTATCCTGCTGTGCAGACGTCGAGGGAGGGGCGCGCGTGCGCGCAAGACACCCGGAAGACTGAGTCCCATGCCGATGAACATTACTACGACAAGGTATCCCGATTATGTGAACCCTCAAGAGCCACACACATATCAACCAATTTCAATGGCATTAACTGAAGACACACTTTTCGCTCCTCCATCGCCTGCCTTTAAAGGGGAGCCAAGACCTGGAGACCGCCCAAATTCAGTCGCATAGTGAACTGATAACGCCCTTCATACCCCCCTCCCGTCGCTATATCATGACTGTGCACTGTCCGCCTTACAATTCTCCTGTACTTATGCAGATGTGGTGGGGCTCCTGTAGTAGTCTCACGGGACAATGGACCTTTCTCTTCGGACACTATTTATCTATTTTCTGTCTGCTTGATCTATCACCCCATCCCCGTCATATTTTGTATATATAATAGTCACTGCTCATTAGTGTCATGCCACATAACTCCTAATGGAGTATCCTGCATCATGTGCGCGATTTGGTACTACGCGATACCATCTCGAAGGCTACATAGTTGTCCATATCAACGAGTGTCCGAATATTTCCTAACCTCTCCTCCTCAACTCCAGGTGTTGGGCTACCTCTCGTGCTCTTTAAAACCTGTCGTGCCAATGATCTGTACGAACTCCAGGTTTTTTCTTGCTCCTGAGTGAGACCCCCTGCTTCTTGGAGGCGCTTGGTGGCCTCCATCAGAGTAGAAGCAAGTTTAGACCGGTAGAACGCAGCCGTATGTTCATCACTGAGAAGCACGTCAACACGTGCAAAGTCAGCTAGCCACATTGCATGCTGAATATGAGTGACGTTGTTGGCAGCGAGGGCAGTGCGCAGAAGGAACGATATAGTCTCCACATCCGTCGGCAGGTTCTTCCCCTTGGACCTCTTCTTCACCGTCGGAGAACGACTTCCACCCGACTCGAATTGACCGGCTTCAACACCTGTCATGAGTTCATACACGCGGACGGCAGTTGGCCAGTCTGCGCTGCGGCAGCATGTCATAAGAGCGAGGTGGTACGATTGCGCTGTCGGCGTCAACTTGGGGAGATGATAAATTACGTCGTTCTGTACACTCCATTCCAATGCTCCAAGAGCTTCGTTCGACTCGTTGAGCGATCCGAGAGCGGCGAGTCCAGCATACGCTCTGAGGAGTTTGTGTATGTGGTTAGAGTCGATGAGGTAACGCATCCATACTTTGTCCCAATTAATCTTTTCCATGACTTGACGCGTGAAGTGAACGGTGAGTCTATGTTTTTGCATGGAATTGCAAAGCTGGAGGGTAGCGTCTAACGTCCATGCATTAAGATTGTTTGACAACCTTTTAGGCATATCTTCCCCCGGCTTTGAAAGACCCAATTGATCATGGATAATAGCGAACGCAAAACTTTGATCATTGGGGCTTCCCCGCGTAAGGGCGCGTATGGCTGTTGCAATGAGTCCAGGATCCAAGAAAAAGTCAGGATTCCTCTGCATAACTTTCTCCATCTGTATCCAAACGTGCTTCGCATCAGACGCAGCATCGTTACGAGCAGAAGCCTCTCCGCCAGTGACCGAACGCTTCTGACGTGCGGATATTGCCTTGAACATCGCAGTGAAGACGAACCTGTCAGGTGCGAGAGGTCCTTCCTGGTCCATGGCGAAGTAAACGTCAAAGATTTTATGGTAGTCTCCTGCATCGCCGAGAATCTGGATGTATGCAACAAGAGGCTGCAGGGACAACTCCTTCGAGTTGTCAGCCTCGTGAAATTTGACGGATTCGAGGTGTTTTAGGTAGGATTCGTAAAGAGAATGCGCGTTCTGCAATTGCTTGCTGTATTTCGGCCAGTCCTTGATGAGAGAGATACCGCTGAGCATCGTGGAGAAAGTAATGCTGTTGGGGGAAAATCCTCTACGCTTCATCTATCGCAGAAGCCCGTTATTAAGAGTGGTAGCAAACCCGGTAGACCCACTCACGTCAATGAACAAATCGTAGGAGAGCTGGTACCGTTCAGCGCTCAAGCATTCTGAGATCATCGTATTCCACACAGCTACGTTCTGCGCATCCCGAGGAGTCGACTTCAAACGCTCAATGGCACCGTCAAGGTCCCCTTCGCTGCACAGACGTTTGAGTTGAATCGACAAGTCGTAAGGTTTGAGTAGACGTTTCTTCTGCACCCCCTCGCCATGTTCTTGACGTTTGTCCAGCTGGGCGCGAAACCGAAAGTTCGACGGTCCGCCTGTCTGAGCTTTATCTGGATGTCCTTGATGCGTAGAATGCCTCTCAGATGCACGTCCGAGGAGAGAGGAACCTTGCTTTCGCTCTAAACTTGAGTCTGTCGTTATCCCAGAACCTATCGATCGCCACCAATTGTTCTGCTTCGACTTGAGAATGACATTTCGAGCTGTTCTTCTGCCTTGACTCGAAATCATGCCGAATTAGTATGGTCTCTGAAGATCTGGCAACTTGACAAGTCAAACTCATGAAATTACTAGTGCAATGGGAAAGTTCGACACAAATGGAGATTTGGCCCCTGTGAAACGGCCAACTCGGAGACTACCCATCTGATCGAACACGACAAAGTCGCAAGGTCGTCGCATCAAACGGCCACGTAGCTTGCACATAATGTGGACGACCGGGTGAACGTTCCGATCAACATCGCTTGCACTCCGCTTGTCTCTCAGTACAATTCATACACCTCGCTTCAGAACAGCAACTCGGCTCGATCTTACTACACGACCTTGGCCTTTCATGTCGTTCTCCCTGCTTTATGGGAGTATTTTGACAGCAGAGATGAGAAAGTTTCCTCAAGCATTTGCACAACCCGGCTATTTGACATATTACAGACCCAATTATCAGTGACAACCGATGGTCTCACTGGGCATCTGCTCATTATTTCTGTACACTTGGTGGTCATGAATAGGAGAACCTGACAAGCGCGATAATGTGATCGTGTACATTTCTGATCGATCATGACTAGCTTTGGCAGTACGGGAACTTGGATCTATATCCTCCCCAAACGTTGTAACTTGAGCCGATAGAGTTCACAACGACCCTTCGAATAATCCAAATGCGAAGGATTACGAGGGGCAAGGGACATGCGATATTATGATTTCGGCAACAGTCGAATAACTCAGGGGTTGTTCTACACGTGTCAGGACAGGGAAGCTTATAACGTGTACTTAATATTCTTGTGAGTTTGATCTTCCAAGCCTCATTTTCATGTCACCAAACGATGCGACGTAATTAGGTTTCACAGCTCACGCGGGAAGTGTTTTGGAGTCAGGTCGAGCTTTGAGGCACAAAGACTCAAATAGATAATATCACAAATGCCACCTACGTGCTTCAAGCAATAATATTTTTCATCATCAAGTGGTACTGTACATCATGCATCACTTCTTGTGTAGGTTCAAATCCACGCGCCTAGCCATGAAAGCAAAAGCAAAGAGACTGAACAAAGCAGCACCGACGGACATGACTTTCTTTAAGTGAGCCGAGACGGGAACCTGATACGAGACCTGGACAACGTATTAATTTGGTGCCTTCAAACCCAACATACAAGATATGCACTCACATAGATAATGCCTGTGTGCTTATAAGTCAAGTCCTTGTATGTGAAGGTGACGGCGGGGCGTCCCGCAGTATCGAGGTAGCTGATGTGTGTTGACATACCGTTAGAAAGTTCGGGGAAAGGTGAGATGAATTCGATATTACTGTAGGTCACATTAGTGAATACCCAAAGACCACAATCTCATTCGACATACGTTGCACCCTCCGGCAGTATAATCTTGACTTCAGCATTGTCCACAACAGTTCCAGGAATATTCGTCATGACAGGTACGCCAACCACGTATATGCCATTCTTCACATCATAGCCGACTGAATCTTGCAGAGGCGTGTCGAAGCCAATAGTGTAAGAGTAGTTCCAACCCCCGAGAACTGGGTAGCGTGGCCGTAATTCAAGCACACTGTACTGCGTTGCCTTGCTGCCCTTCGCGACCGATGGTACCGTGCGCAGATGGGATGTGGAGACATTCCCGTTCTGGTCATAGAAGTACGCATTGGTCACACCGGGCGGAAGGTGCAAAGTGAAGTCGGAGAGAATATGCGGGGCTTGCCTGCGGTGATAAATTTGGCCCTGGTACTCCAAGCGAGAGAAGTGGCCCTTGAGACTGAATTCGAAATTAAACGACATATAAGAAATGCGAGAGGCGTCACTTACGTGGGCCCAGCGTTATGGAGGTGAATCTTGTCCTCGATGTTCAAGTTGGAACCCCAGTGGCTAATCTCTGCTGTACGGCGGAGCGTCTCGACCTCAAGAACAGGATAGTCAAAGCTGTAATGAACTGAGATAGATTGTTGATGTTTTGCCACGAAATATGTATCCGTTTGAATGTCGTTATAAGGACCATAGGTAATAGTTCCCCCAGATCTGGTGACAGAACCATCTCTCACAAAACTGTCCACGTCATGTGGGGTAGTATAGGAAATGACGTTCGGCGCCATGGACCTGTCATGGCAGAATCAGATCCTCAGACATACCGCAAGTAGTAGATAGCACATACTTTATCTTTGTGCGCTGTACGAGGGTAACGTAAGGACTGATGGTGAAAAGGTCGGTTTCATACTTGAGTAGCTGAGGCTCCTTCTGAGCGGCCTGTTCAGGAAATGGGTGTGTAGCATGCGTCTGCACAGTCTCCAACACAAGGTTGAGAGTGCCGTTTACAGCCAAGGCTTTTGGAAGGGAAACAGATAACAAATGTTCTGTACTGCATGACATGAATATCGCGCACTGAACAACACACGACCCAACACACCTGGATTCATCCTCGCTAAGCTCAAGAGGTGTAGTCTGGCCCTTCACTTTAGCCTCGAGCCAACTTGTTTTTGCTCGCTCAGCCTTGCTGAGCGCGATTTGATATGTAGTTTGTCTTGGTTCGAGAGCCTTGACAGCGTAAGTTGTACTGACGTGTACTAGCGAACCACCTAGTTCGATGGTGCGGACGATAGCCGTATTTTCAAATGCAAGACCAGCTAATGAGAATGAAGGTGCAAGCGCGCTCACGAGGAGCAGAGGAAGTGTCCACCAGCGCCGTGCCATTTGGAGTCGTGGTCTGTTGTAGGAAGGAGCAACAACGTGTCATTACTTTGTTCTGCTATTTTTAGCAATTCATACTACTAGTATATATGATGAATAAATGAGTTCGGATTCATCACGATTCGTCGCGCTGGCAAGCCTCCGAAGAGCTCTCACAGGTTCACACTCGAATAAAAGCACAATTGTATATTAACTGAAGTGTAATCAAGACTAGAAACAGCCGCTACCACTGCCAGGTCCGAGCGGGGTTTCTGAGCGGTACATCCTCCCGAACCAACCCTGCAGAGACTATTCTCCTCAAACGCCGCTCGCGTTGCTCCTTCTTCAATTGCTCGAATGTTTTCCCTTCCCTTAAGATCACATGCATGCGTGAATCGGGGTGAATTCTAATACCAAACTTGCCACGTCCTCGAGGCTCAAGTCGTTTTAGTTGCTTGGGTCCCTTGGTCACCCATGCTTCCGCTATACAAGTATCAGAGAGTCCACCCTTGCATATATATAGTCAGTGGGACTTACAAACAATGAGTTTGGAAGGATCCATATTTTTGTATGCCGTCGCATGCAGTTTAGCCGTTGCCAACATGCTCTTTATCCGGCTTGTGGCTCGCTTCTCACTAAATTGCATCTGCACGATAGCATGGTCAATTGGCTTTCCAGATATCTGTCGGCCAATCATATTGAGTTTCCTATGTGAAATTTTGAAGTTAGCCGTGGAGTATTTGTGCTGTGCGATGCGCATAATCAGCGACGTGCGGCAAGTATCAGAGTGTGGATCATACTTGAGTGGCCTTCTTCTTGACAACAGTAGGAGCGCTTTCGACAGATGCCGTCTTAGGTCGACCACCCTTCTCCTGGCTCACAGCTGCTTCGAACACACTCTGCTGGCCCTGTTTCTCCTGCTCACCTCTTTTCTTCTCCTCCACTGGATCTGCTTTTCTTGCCTTCGGGGCAAACTTCTCCTGAATCCATTGCAAAGGATTATAGTAACTAGCGGCCCTGCGAACATGGAAAATAAGAAGCAGAACGCCCTTTCTGTTTGACCAACGTACCTCCGTTGACATTGCCATTGAATGCGGGATGAAGTTATGCGGAACTGCACTGGAGTACCTAAATGACTTGCTAACCGTGCTTAAGCTTTAGAGCTGCTATATCTGCAGAAATATTTACAACATACCGTATCGCACTTGTCTTGCGACAGATTGCATCCTGCAAAGATTCTGGCAAGCAGCCAAGGCCCGTTAAACAAATTCAGCCCGCGCTTGGGTCACATCACCTCTGTCACGGTCACGAGCAGTCACATTGCGCTCGACACGTTTGCATTGTGCAAGACAGAACCAAGTCCGCAACCCATCACTGCGAGCGGAACGATGCTCACACTCGGAACAATTCTTTACGTTTCGCTCCTTCTAATTAATGCAATGGCAGTCCTCAGTGAGGACCGATTCCTTGCGAAAAGTGAGAACCATCATTACTGCTGCTCCATTCGCTGACGCCGTTTTACAGTCGGCTGGTCCTCTGTTCAGAACCCTAACGCTGGTTTTCAGCCACCATACGATCAATCAGGGTACGGATATACCCAGCAACAAGATGCTGGTGTCAAAGTCCGATTAATCAACCTCATTAGTGCTGTGCGGACCCTCATGCGTAGTGAGTGGCACAAGCCTCGAGTCGGAACTGACACACTTATGTTTTCGCACAAAGTACCACTCATAGGACTGAATCTTGTCATAATTGTGTACGAGCTAATTCTTGGTGGCTGAGTGGTATTTACGTACGTGAACTGACGTGGATCATGAGATTAATGTTAAACAATATGTCTGGTTTCTTCAGTCAGCGCGGTTGAGTCTGTCATACTCTTGGTTGATTTGTCTGATGAAATCTGTCGGTGAATGACCGCCCTGAGAACACGTTGTAAGGTCTTGCACATTGTGCGGCAATGTTGTTCATTGCATACCTCGCAGTCATACCAAATGCCATCCCGTATGCATACTTGTCGACCATTGATGATGATTGTGCAGCTTTTCCTATTGCGAGCTCAGCTCCCATGAGAATCTCAGGCTTGAGGACGTACTGGATCCCAGCTGTGATGCTATCCCTGGCACTCTGTTGCAAAAGTTGTATTCCTTCTGTTCCACGGCCGTCTTTTCCTGCGCATTGACCAGCCTTGCCGTTTTCCCAATCGATTCCCGCTGCGTTAGCGCAGTTGAGGGCAGTTGAGGGCGTGCCGATGTTATCACTCCCCTGAAAGTTTTGACACTGCACAAAAGACCACCATTCAGAAGTAGGGTGATATTTGGCAGCGCACAATTCTTGCACATTTCCGGCACACTCCGTTTGACCATGCATGCAAGTTACACCGTAAAGGGGCTCCGAGGCATTTGGTCTATCACACATAGTGAACTACATGCTAAGAAGATGTGATGCTTGAACGTACTTGGCGATGAACGACAATGAAATCTCTACTTTCTCGCCTACTCTTTGTAATACGCGATTGAATACAGATTCACACAGAATTGCATCTGGACAGCGAGACATAACTCCTAGAACCACTGGCACTTTCATATTATCGGATATTGCTGTTGGAAATTGATACTGCACCATCAGCGGCGGTGCCAGAGCCATCGCAATACTGGTTAGTCCGAGTAAAGAGAGTGAGGATAGCATGGTATAGTGCATAGATAACGGTAGCTGCAGGCGAACAGGCTGTTCCAAGATGCTTCCGCTATTGCGTCATCATCATGATTATATAAGCAACTTGTTTGGTAAACAATTGGTACGACAAGGCTTCTAGCATCGTGTATCGCCTATGGCGATTCTTGGATGCGAACAGCATTCCACCACTTCCGCGCCTCAGCATCCGTCAAAGGAGGCGAAAAATACTGACACCTTGATTGAAACGCTGGATTTGACAAATAGAATAGTGTTAAAGATCAGTACGTGTGAGACGAGTCAACATCCTCACCATCAAGTGATCGTTGGCGTATGATCTTCTCTACAGCCAATTCATTGTGAACTTGATTTCTCTGTGCATGGGTTTATAAGGAAAGGAATTGCACCCCAAAACCCTCCTTACCTTCACCTCATCCGCAAACATGGCTGCTTGCATTTTCCTTTCAGCCCTGGCACCGGCCTCTTCGCTTGTCAATGACTTTCGCTTCCCCTCCATGGACTGATCGACAATATCGACGCAATAATTTATCATTTCCGTACGCCGTTTCCAATTTTCTAAGCACAGGACAAGCATGAGACCTTTTCAGGACGAACACCGAAGAAGCTTACCGACCAGTTCCTTCCATACGTACGCGCAAGCTTGGTCCTGAATATTGCCTTTGCCGCTTGTCCCTGCGCGATCTCGATCACGGAACTGTGCGTTCGTGCGATTCAATCGCATAGTAATCGTATCATCCAGTCTGCGATATTCTTTGAGAAGGTCTATAGAAATTGAGCCGCTAGAAACTCCAAATTACGATAAGATATTTAGAATGCACCTTTGAACATGCTAAGGTTGTGACATGTTGACGGCGAGACATGAACCAAGTGCGGTGTCAAGGAAGGCACTTGAACAGCTAAACTACCTAACGTTGGTGGTTGTTTTGAAGGCATGTCGTTCACGTGCCGGTGAACCGAATTTGCGGGCTCAAATCGCCCAGTATGGAATGTCGATCAATGATGTCGGCCGGAGGATGCCGGTACCATTTATTTTAAGTTTTCAGTCAAAAAGGAAGGTGTGGTCTAGTTCAGCAGATTAGCGCTCGCCCGCGCGACTGTCGGGGTTGTTTGTTTGATCAAGAATTCACCACATGTCGGCTGACATTGAGCCTACGTGTCTCGGCGGTGATTATGGCGGCGTTTACTTCAGAAAGTCTTCAAAGTAGTCCGTCTTCGTCCGCTCATAACGCGCTGCAGAAAGTCCCCTGACAGCCCTTATCAGCGTCACAAAAATTGGAACTCATTGTCAGTCACTCCTGTCTGTAAACAGTAGAGCACAGCAGTTTACATTATGAAGATGTTGGTTGAGATACTAGTGGACCACTTTTCCCCCACCCATTCACCAGTGAACACAAAAAGTACTTGAATGCAATGCCTTCCCGATCATCATCCGATTCTCTTATTTGAACGCATAGAAACAAATGATAGGCACGCAATATTGTGAAAAATTCCGTTGTATCATTGACAACGCTTCTAGGGATGGGATACTTGATCATACTTTAATAGTTTACGAGTGCGTTGATTTGTATCAAATAATGAGGATAAGAATTCGCAAGAATAATTCAGTTATAATAATAAGAATAATTGTTCCGAACATAGCAGGTCCCTAGGTCATGTCTCATCCACTCTGTGGAGAAAGGAAATGCTACGGCCCGTGATATACATATAAGCAGTCAACCGTAGACATGATAGATCGAACGCCGACATCACGGCGATATCTGTCAGCCAATGTCACATTGGCTTACAATATTAATGCTGACACACATTAGTCTTCTCGTCGAAGGGGCCAGGCACTAAGGGGCACTGGCGACATTCCATCGTTGCACAGATTCGAAGTCCAAAGTGTCTTGGGGCTGTCCGTTCGTGTGCTTCTTCTTAGACTGCTTTGGTACGTATTGGTGCTCGTCGACCATGTGTCTGTGTCTACGTGCCGGATCCTTGAACCACATCCCACAATTATACCGGCATGCGTGCGGCGTAGATCCAGTGCTGATGAGTTGATTGAGTTTAGAATAGGGCACCGATAAAGTGCTACTTACTGTCCGTGCATGTGAGTATCGAGAGAAGTTTTCTGGGGAAAACCTTTGCCGCAGACACCGCATACGAATGGCCTAGAAATGAACGAGATTAGCGAAGGACACTTGTGAATAACCAAGTCGCTTACTTATAACGCAAATGAGTCGTTTCAACGTGGCGTTTGACTAATTGCTTCTTGGACATGTATTTGCATTGTCCTCCTGACTCTGTCGACCAGGTGCACAACCATTTCCGTGTCGTGCCGTCCAGAGTAAAACAAGCGTACTTCTCCCACTCCTCTGAATCTGACTTAGGTGGCATTATTTGGCGGGTAATGTGTGATTGATCACTGGAATCACTACCGCATGGACTGTCCTCGTGTTGGCGGTGACGCTCATCGCCGCCGCTTGGAATGCTGTATTTTGCCGAAACATGGCGATCAGATTGAGACCTGTGCAACGGTGGGCTACTGATCATTTCAGGAGGAGTAAGCGTTCGCTGGTGAGGCCTGGAAGAAACAGGAGGCCGGCTATGATCAACTTCAATGTTTACATGTCTGCAAGTCCGTTATGTGCGAGGTTGCAAAGAATACTAAATGAAGTACCTGAGCGGCTCCATGATCTTCGTAACAGAAGATGCATGGTAGCTAATGAAAGAAGGGTGTCCTTAGCAGAAGAGATATGAGCAATTAAAAGTCACGTACTGTCCAGCTGGGGACGAGCTTCTTCGTTTTTGGGGGAGTAAAGTAGGTGTGGAGACGCTGCGGTCAGATAGTGCCGGGGAGCTGCCAAGGCGAATGCATTTTAACACGCTGTTTCATACTGTTTCTGATAAAAACGCACGGCATGCCAGGAGAATCACGCAAGCTGGAGATGGAGCTCGACGATGCCGACCGCGTAGAACTTCGGCCAATGTAATCGACATAAAGGGGGCGTGGATAGGGTATCTGAGATTCAGGTTCATAGCGTTCCCAAGCGTACGTCGCCGTCGGTGCGTTGAAAACCGATAAGGAGACGGGCCGTTGTTGCCGACTGTCATGGTAGGTCTCCAAGTCTGTGCAAGTGGGCCTTTTCAAAGCGATTAGCACTTCGCCAAGTGGCATTGAACGTGCATACCTAAGCTGCCCATCGTGTGCTGGCGAGTGGTCCATGAACTTTGTGAATCGAGAAGGTAGAGGACGGACATCTCGGTCATATGTTCTTTCGCGAGAGAGAGGTGGCAAGATGTACGGGTTATTCCTTACAAGAATGGCAATTACGGAGACAGACAAGTAAATTGGATGAAGAATTACCGTGAAGACGAAGGCAGTATACACCCTCTTCGCTCCGATTGTCGCTGAGAAGTTGACGGATCGCCATGCGAGTTTAGTTGGCGCTCGTCATGGTCGCTGGAATCACGTTCTACCTCAGGAAGTGAGTAGCGTGGCTGCTCGGAGTGTCTATTAAGACCGCTCATTTCTTGTTTCGGTGAGTCGGAAGCCCTGAAGGGTGAAATGAAGATGTGGTGAAGAATGTGGCGTCAGTAATTATACGTAGGAAAATTGTAAGCGAAGTGAACAAAGCAAAGCCGGCAAAATGTAATAGATTAAAGCACTTTGGGCATCGCCGAAACATGGGGCTCCAGCGATGACCCACTGGGGCCAAGAGAATGCAATGCCAACATAGAGTGGGAGATGTCAAATGAGCCACTTGCCATAAATGTTTCTTGGCTTTGTCAAAGGACTGCTGAGCGTTAGATGCAGACGAGAGCAGCGACATTATTTCTTGAGGATTGAATGGACTGGGGAGAGAGGGGTGGTTTTAAGACTCGGTTGAAAATGGATGGGTATAAATACAAGGCGATCTGTCCACTCCGGCTGAGGAAGTTGTGCTCATAGAAAAAGGCTACGAGATCAAGAACTAATTTTTCCCAGTATCGACTCCCCATTCTGGTCGGAGATCTTGCCAGGGCTTCTTCCAGCTGTGGGCAAACTGGATGCACACTGGAGATCAATATTCGCGGGAGATACAACAAAGGCATAGCCCGCGGCCGAAAAGGTGTATAAGTTGCATTCGCATTTGTGGGAAAGTGTTTTGGGGGGCCGGTCAGCGCGCACGTAGACACGTATCAGAAACCAATCCATTGTGGGTCCGCTCAAGATCGATTAAACCACGATTAAACGGCCCGCAACCGAAATGGATTATTACGTACGCATCGTCTGTGCTCACCACAAGGGCTCATCGTGCTGGCGGAACAACGCGCGACAACAACGTGGTTGAGGCAAGGAATCAATGGTCCACTCCTCACATCTTGACATTGTTCATGCCAGAGCAATTTGCTTGCCTGAGATTTCTGTAAGATGCGCGTGAGTGTTGCTAGTACGCGAATATATGTATATCCTTCATGTTTTGCTTGCCAACCCGCCGCAGCAAGGTACATACATAAAACGGTTATTCAACCTCTTACAATCTACCGACCGAGAAGGCGTGCAAAACACCTGTATAAATATAGGCCTGTCTTTGATCGTCCTGGAGCAGTGCAATTCGTAAGTTATGCTTGAGCCTCTTTGGTAAGGTGACTAACCTCCGGTTGCTGCAGGTCATTCGCCGTACGGCGTAGATCACTACATAGTTCAACGCTGCGCAATGTGGGAAGCTGACCCGACGACATCCATAATGGAATGCACGTCGTGTTCCTGCGCTACGGGGTACTTTTGAACACGAGTCATTTCCGCGCCGCCGGGAGGGCTGGTTAGTACGTGAGGCAGACCTAGTGCAGCCATCAATGTTCCTCCAGACGTCCGCAAGGGTTTCATGGGCCTCTCAACATCCATATAGTCATCTGATGATTCGCTGTCCGAGGAAATATCATCGCTTGACTCGGAACGTCTACGCTTTGCGGGAGATGACGTAGCAGGAGTATATTTGCCGGAGGTTGCAGATGCAAACACTTCCCGCAGCGCATCATTTGCCCAAGGGTAAGCTTCCTTTTCTACATGAGACGCTGATGTACACTTAGTTGGGGAGCTGTTCGGTGTGCTTGGGGCTGAGGGCTGTGTGCGGTACCCCTCTAATACATCTACGTTACGCGTGCACATACGCGTCATTTTACTTTAGCGACGCGCTGTACCTTGCCATAATAAAGCTCACTCTTTCTGACTCTCATTGCCGCATTGCGTATGCTCGCAGTCACGTCGGATGGAGTACTGTTGTTTGATGGGTCTATGCAATGCAAGGTCATGCAAAATTTCCGCTACTCACGCATCATTCCTGTGAATTTCCGAACCGATCTTAGAAACGCGCTCATCCTCCGTAAGTAGGCGTTTCGCGGGTGAGGAAATCATGATTTCTACGGTAAGCATGCGATGGCGGTTGACAACGGACACAGACTGTATTGACGCTCAAACAATAAGGCACGTGATAGCGGCCAGGTCGCGCCACCGGGCCGACCCTGAGCTAAGTTTCCTTCAACTTCGAAGATATGGCACAGCAACGTAAGTTACAAGTAAGTTGCCGAACAAGACTCAAACACTGGTACTTATGTTTTGGTGTTCAAACATTCAAAGTCAGACCATTGCAGACCATTGGGGATAGTTGATTTACATACATTGATCCGACACCGAGGTGGAGGTTCCTGCTGGTTGCTCTATTCGCACTTGCTCCGTATCGCCTTTGAATATTTGAATCATCGATCACATTCCCAGAGCTCGCGTCGCTAGCTATCGACAAGGTCAGACACCACCCGAGCTCATCCTGAAACACCAGATCAAATTCAGTCGGGCGTCACTGAGATGGCCCCCACAGGTATCATAAATTGCTATCACCGGCGGAAGTGTTTACTTAAAGCTGCGGTTCATATCAGCTGATTCGAGAATGGAAGCAAAGAAGTTGGCCTATGTCGTGATCGCGGGGGGCATGATTAATACTCGACATTGTGAAGTTTGATGCGGAGCAACCTTCCACGAGAAAAAAAGAAATTGGCTCTAGGATTGCACCCATGACAGCGCACAACCTTATCATCATGGTCCAGGTTTCGGGCGCCAGTGCACCAGATAACTCTTGTGACATGTAGAATATGCACTATACAGGTCCTAGCCCTCACCACAGTAAGCAGACTAATGTACATAATGCTCACAAATTCAGTGAGTGAAGAACGAGATCGAATTTTTACCGAGTATGTTGGTGCTAACTTCTCTGTTGGCGAATGATTTTAGCTGTACTTGAACATTCGTTGGAAAAATATGTTTTTGCTCGTTTTGTGAATAACTCCCGTATTCAAAAAGTTGATCTCCACGAAGAAAGACATCGACATATACATATCTTATATTGGGTCAGCTGCAGCTACTGAAGGCCAGACATTTCATGGATTCCCTTTCGAAGTCCGTCGATAGGCTGACCGCAGTATTTTCTATGTGTCCGTCATACCACTGAGTCACCATCATCAATCAAAACACAACAGCAAAGTTTCTGGCTATGTACTCACTGTCGCTGAACACCACGTCCCATCACTTCCCCGAGCGATGCAATGTCATATGCCGGCGGATAGATATTAATGGTTGCGTAAGTACATTGATGAAGGTTGCAAGGGGAATGCACATTCCTCTTACGGCCTTGTTTTACTCGTCAGAGTCGCGATTGCTACTTGTGTTAGAAAAACAAAGGGAACGAGATCGTCGTCGACTTCATCAGTACCCACACTGATGGTCAATTATCCTACTTATGGTACCATAGGCTAAATGATGCATAGAAGATCAATTCCCACCTTTGTCTTGGGGTTACACTTTGTCGTTTGTACTAGATCTAGACATCGATACGCCGACAGACAATAAACAGCTGGCAAACAAATCCCCATTGGTGCGGCCTCGTGCACACTCTTTTGATGACAAGACGCATGTTCGGAGGGATGCGGACGTCAATAGCATCCCCGGTCAACACATGGCTGAGCGGTGAGCCGTTGCTCCAAGTTATTAATTCATCAGACGAGTCGGGGGCCAAAACATCATTTCCGACCAAGTCGGGGGCAGTGGTAGTTGGGCGTCGTCTTACGGTTTGCTCAACTTGGGATGAAAAGGCGTAAAAATTGTCCCGGTTTTGGGCTTCCTGCCAATCACCCGAGGGTCTCCCAGAAGGGGAAAGAGCTACGATCTGCAAAAGCTGTTGTCCGAAACCTTTGTATCTGGAACAATTGATTTTGATATGAACCTGTGCCACTGGGGACCGTTATGAAATATCGATGAGGATCTGCGCAGCAGGCCCAAGTTCGGAAGCAGAGCATCAGATTAATTGTTACAGTCGAGTCAAGAGCATGCGGCGGCGACCAGAGATTTTGGATGCCCATTACCAGCAACCTCATGATGGTTCGGTAATCAAATTAAACTGATCGACACACGTCAGCTGGGACACTTGGTTAGGTGGAGAGCACAAAAGAGGTTTTGTGCAGACTCGAATATCCACATGCTTGAGAGTGAAACAACCAATGCACTGCTAGTACCGCGACAGCACACATCAAGTGCACAGCCGCCAAACCGCGGTAACATGCACTGGAGTACTGGAGGTACGGGAATAAGGGTACGTAACAGTGCTACAGACTAGCTGTTTCGCAGGGACAAGGTGGATGGGGCAATAGAAGTTGACACATCTAGGCGACCTCTACTAGAATGCATTACTTGCCGCGCGAGCGTGCGATTGAACGGTGGCTTATACTTTTCGACGACGCGGTCGAGCCAATGAAATTTTGGTTATTTCATTGGCAATGACATCTCTGGTCATGTAACAAGATTGCAAGATGCTGTAACACAGGTCAGTTCTGGTTGAACATCCAGGTTTCGATGAATCTGACGAATCCCAGGACTACTAGTAGTGCAATGTCCATCCTATGATATGTTGCACCCTAGAGTTTGGCCCCCCTGCGTAGATTATTGAAGAGCACTCACCCATTAAAGAAAATGGCCGATATAATTACACCTGTTTGAAAAAGTTACGGGATCGCGAGCTTCGGGAGCTCGAGTGGGCACATATCACGTTTGAAACTTTGACCGTCACTCATCATGCATCATGCGGATCTAGAGCATTTGCACTGACTGTTGGATATCATCGAGCACATTAATAGTCGGTGGGATTGCAAGACGCAAATAGATGGAGAGTTTCCACTGCGCAGCTGAAGATGGGGAAAATAGACATAGCATAAGCCTTGGAATGATTGAGCGGGCCGGAAAGCCACGCGAACTCAGCACACGAACGATTCCTAAATAGGAAAATTGAGCCGTGGATGGTCGGGGATGGACTTGTTGCTCGCAGCCACGGCGAACCAACGCCTTCAGGACCTCCCACCGGTAGTTCTGGTCTCCAATTCGCAGTAGTCGCTCACAACGAGCGTCAGCTCGCGATATACGACTTTTCAGCACCAATAACTTACACCTGACACGAGCATTATGGCAACCGATTTTCGTCAACGTTCTGCAATTGCTTGGCTTTTCTTTATACAATATATCTCGACAGCTTACGCCCAGAACCTCCCCTCCACATTCCCAGTTCCACCACTACAATGGCTCAATATTACCGGTAGCATACAGGGTGCAACACCGGCTGCCGTCAAATATCCATCCATCGGTTACGATCCAACGACGAATAACCTTATCATTTTCGGTGGTGAATCATCTAGTGGTATCCCAACAGACCAGACCTACCTGTATGTGCAATTTTCCGTGGATTCAAATCTTTCTGTGTTATATACGAAATATTTTCAGCTTAAACCTCAGCTCCCTTACATGGAGTATTCCTCAGCCTCAGGCGGGTCTACCACAAGGTTCACCCCCAGCCAGGTACATGGCTGTCAGTGGTGAAGACTTCTCCTCCAGTTAGTAAGCATCACGCTATTTGTTCATTTTCCTGTCCGTCTCATAATTCACCAGTCGGCATGCTCACTTGGTGATGGGTGGAAGGGAGATCTCTGGACAAGCTTTATCCGATGTATGGGTTCGTGTTGCTCGCAACATTCAGTCTATCAAGCCCGCTCATCTCCATCCAGGAGTTTGATTTTTTAAACCAATTCTGGTCCCAAGTCACTGTGACGACAAACAGTCCACCAGCACGTTGGGGTGCCTCTGGTGGCCGAGATGATACAGTAGCGCCCAATGCTACCACAACAAGCAACACATTTTACATGTCCGGTGGCACCGATGGTACAAACATGTATCCTTTATCAGATGTCTGGGATTTCACCATCTCCGGGACGTTATCCTCTAATTTGGCGACTAATTACACAAATGGTGCTTGGAGTCAGCAAACCGTTGGCAGTACAGGCTACAGCGTCAACCAGGCTTCCACAGTCGTTCAAACCAGCCTCATCTCTGTGAGCGGCTGTAATACGACTGATAATTCGAATGACTCGTGCGCCGAGGGTAACTCGTATGTCCTGGAAGTAGGATCAAACATGGAAATCAATCCTCCTTCGTGTCCCGCTCCACGATACGGAGGTTCGCTGGTTCCAAACTTGAATTCTTTCTCTTCTAGTTATGCGAATCAAGTGTTCCTTGTTCTTGGGACTTTCAACTCCTCATTGTGGGACGACCAAGGTGGGCTGCAGAAGGGTGAGGTAGCAGTTCTGGACATTGGATCAGGCGATTGGAGCAGAGTCCTTCCGGCCGGTGATCCAGGCCAGGATGGCATTCAGACGTATCCCACACCTCGGGAAGGCGCCGTTGCCCTCTCTTACTCTCAGGCGCTCGTCGGTTCGAATAAAAGTGTGGCATCCGACACCATTGTCTTCGGAGGTCAGGATGAATCCGGTGAATACCTCACTGAAGTTTGGATCTTGAGGGCGTACGATGGATCTATTTCGTCCTCAGGCGGCAACTGGGGAGCTCCATCTGGTACTCTTCAGACGGGCATCAACGCCAATGGTGCTGATGTTACCATTCAATACCTAACTCAATGTGCGGTACAGCTCACGTCTCCTGGTTCTACTACGCCACCTGGTTCCTCGGCTACACCAACCAGTGGTTCTCAGTCATACCAGTCGTACAATGTCTCTTTCGCCCACAAACTACTGGCACCCCTTTCTCTCGCAATTCTTCTTCCATCCCTCTTACTTTTACGCCTAGCTCTGCCTCCAGCACAAACGCATCGTCCCACGGATCGTAATCTTACTCTCTTTTATCTATCAGCTATTGTAGCTCTTGCCGCATATGGTGCTGGTGTTGGCGGTCTTGTCTCGTCGTTCACATCAATGAGCTCCACAGGGACCACAATGAAGCGCTCTATTCTACCGACTAGGCATGGAGTCGCAGGGCTCGCATTGTTCATCGCACTCTATGTGATGATGCCCTTTTTATATCTCTTTCATCTGTGCTGCTCGCCACCGCAGCCACCAAAAGAGGTCAGTCCGGAGGCAATGACTTCTCGCGCCAACTCCACCGACACTGCTGAGAAGCTTGCAGCATACACTACCACGCAGCACTCACAGTATCCCCCTTCCCAACATTCTCCTCGCACCCGTCTACATTCCTGGGGTGGTTCGAGCTTCTTTCTGGGCCGCAGGAGTCGGGAAGGAAGAACCTCTACTGACAGCGAGTCCATGCACTCGTCTGGGCCGCAACGAGCGTTTGAAGTTGTCAATCGCCCAGCGCGTATTCGTAGATCCAGCGCAAATGGGCTTGCGTATCCAAATACAGATGTGTATCAACGCGTGCCTGTTGCACCAAGGAGTCTGGGTGACGTAGACTGGCTTGATCGACGCCGCAGTCTGAACGCAGTGGTGAGCATAGACCTTTTTCTAACTGCTTCTAACAGAAGAATTTAATGTCATCCTAGAACGAACTCGATCTTGTTTCTGGCCAAGGTCAACGCAACCTCATCAACAGCTCTACTCCCAACACAGCTGAGATGTTGAGCACCCGTGCTCTCATGCCTACGCCAACATTCCCCCGCGTTACTCACGAGCTGCCTTCGTTGTTTGAGATATGCCTTCGTGTCCTCTTCCATACTCTCGTTTTAGCTCTTTGCATTCTTTCCCTCGTCGCGTTGTGGAATTGGGCTCATGTAGCACTCTTCGCAGTATTTCTTCTGTGGACTTTTATCTTCTATATTTGCCTTCTCACTCTCGCATGGCATGGTCGACCAAGGAGGTCCACACTTACTTACCTAATCGCCCGGTTTCGCGCGGAGCCTCCGCCGGTTGTTTCTCCCGGGACTCCGACCTCCCGTCCGTTGTCAGTGGTGGGCAACGAACAATATCCTTTTCCCACCGATGCTCGTGGCCCATACCTCCATGAACCTCCTTATCGCGCTGCCAGGGCTCATGATGATGTGTCCACAACTATCGGCGGGCCTCGCTCAGTCGAGACAGATTACGATGAGGAGGATCTAGATGAAGAGACCAGACAGCGGCGGATAGAAGAAGAGATGGGTAGACGAGAAGTGTCTATCGTCACAGTCCCCAAGCGCAGGCTATGGATAACGAACCCCTCATGAGCTTGTTGATCAACTATTCCATAGGCACTCATTCTATCTGTTATTTGCGTTTCATGGTACTATGTACTCATCGGCGCCTTCCTTCCCTATGCCATCGTACCATAGCTGCATATTCCTTAATCGATACCACCATTCAAGGATTTGTTCAATGCTCCACGGTATTTCTCACGTAGATCTATTCACACTTTTCGATCTCGACTTAGATACCGATGTATTTCTGTATGCAACGGACATTAAAGGACTGACTAGAATTGTAAAAAGTGAGCGAATGTCCAAAGAGTGTCCATAAAAATCCTGCGATAAAAAGTAAATATGAAGCTGAAGAAACACAAACCTAACCCAAACTGCTCAGCTCTCACTCACCCTCCACAGCAACATCACGTCGCCACCTGTCCACACGACCATACTTGCCTGCATCATGCGCTGGGGGAGGTGAAGGGGGAGCCATTGGTACGCCCATCATCATCGAAGGGACAGCCATAGGCGTGAAAACGCCGGATCCCATCATGGCGGGGTTGAAAAACATGCTGTTCTGTATTTGAGCTTGCATCATCATTTGTTGTTGCTGTTGAGCCTGGGCGAACATCTGGTACTGTGTTCGACGTTGTTGCTCAGGATGGAAGGCCAGTGGCTTATCGTCATCTTCTTCGCCGCCAACGAAAGGCAATGATGTCTGAGAAGCCAGTGGTAACCTAGAGGCTCGTAGACCAAGCGGCCGCTCGTCCTCATCTTCATCCGCACGGGATCGGCCATCGAAATTAACAGATCTGGCTCTGTTAATGACATCTACTAGAGGCTTGTCCTCGTCATCGTCGTCCGCATGATGTGAAAGTTGAGTAGCTCGTTTGGCAATCCTAGCTGCTGCTGCCGTCAGCGGGATGTCTTCTTCCGAATCATCGTCAATGCCCAATGACCTCAATTGCAATGCTCGCCTGACTACGCGCTGAACAGCGGCTGTCAGAGGAAGGTCTTCTTCGCTCTCATCGCCATTTGGTTGTGGGAACTGAGGAGATGCGTTGGCATTGGATGGATACCGTAATCCAACTCCAGTGGTCCGTCTGAGCTCATTTTCTTCGTCCGAAGACTCAGAAACCCAGCGGTCAGCAGCTTTTTCGAGGGCTGCCTTTGGCACAGCATCACCATTGTCGCTGTCGCTTTCACTCTCGTCGTTGACCTGAGGTGCGCGCTTAAGAATGGGCTTCTGGATGGCAGGCAGAGTGGGAGGGGCCGAACCTACTCGTGATCCAGAGGCGAGGTCGGGTGAAGAAGTGGACTCTAGCGGAATGGCACCCTTTCCTTTCGATTTCCCTTTTCCCTTTTTCTTATTCCGGCGTTCCTCTTCCTCCTCTTCCCGCTTCTTCCGCGCTTCAACTTCAGCTTTCTCTTCTGCCTCCATTTTGTTCAACTTGACCATTTCAAGATCCCACAACGTATCTACACCAAAAACAGAGCGACTTTTAGATAAGAGCTGCTCCGCCCCTGGACCAAGATTCGTGGGAGCTTTTTCTCCATCCATGTCCAGGAGAGGCTTGCTACCAGAGGAGTTTCGGCGTAAGAGAGATTGGCGAGGATTTGAAATGATCGCATTGTCAAGATTTTGTGAAGGGGGACGACCAAGGGTCTGGGGGTCAATGAGAGTACTTGATCGGCGAATCTGACCCCGGACCATCATCGATGGTCTTTCATCGCCAGTGAAGACACTAAAGTGATTGTAAGAACAAGACTGAAAAGATAGTTGAGATACTTACCGAGCTTTCTGCTTTATCTCCGCTTTGCGATGTTCTAGATTGTCTATCAAACTCCTTCCATAGAGCTTCCCAGCCGGACGTTTCATTTCCATCTCAGTAGGAGGAGGGACAGGAGGGAGGGGTATTGAAACGGGCACAGGAGACTCTTCTTCATCTGGTTCTTCGAACTTCGCTTGTTCACCATCTTTCATCACTCGAGGAAGACGACGGTCAATGTCAGAGTACGCAATATCTCTTTGCCCTCCGACCACAAGCGTGTTGCGAAAAGCGAGTTGAGACAGCGTAAGACTTGCTCGAGGATTAGGAGTGAAAGAATTAGATGCTATGGGTGCCGACGCGGGAGTCATGTAGTTCGTTAAAGAGGTAGACGAACGGTTCGCAGAGCGAGCACCTGGTGGCAAGGGCGGGCCATCTGTAGATGTTTCGAACCCAATTCTAGGTGTAAAAGAAGGAGGGGGAGGGGGAGGAGGAGCCACATTTTGCAACGGGCTTGGCATAACCAGAACTTTTGGCCTGAGTAACTCGACGGTGGAATAAGGCCGATCCCTGCGTGAATTTGCTTCGGTGTCGTTATCAATGAGAACCCGAGTGCCCATTGACCCAACGGACATTGTTCGCGCACGAACTTTGGGATCAAATCGTGACAACCGGGAAGGAGAGGGAGGTCTTACAGCAAAGGGATTCTCCTCTGCAAGCATATTCTTGGATGCCATAGTACCCATTGTTGCATTAGACGCTGTTCTCCCGTGATTGACTTTGGGATCAAACCGTGATGCACGGTCAGGTGATGGGGGTCGGACAGAAAAAGGACTGCCATCCATATCAACATTTGCGCCGTTCAGAAAGTTCTTTGAGCCCATACTAGTGTCGGATTGAGAACGGGTATGTAAGTCAGCACGCGAAGCAGGTCTTTCTCCACCGGGAGAACCATCTCGAATTGAGACAGACGGAACGGAACAGAATGAAGAGGGGGTGCGACAGACAATGTCTCGATGAGAGCGTGGCTGGATTCACGGCGACGTGGCATTGGACGCTGAGGGGACTGCATCCGTTCTAAGTCAGCAGAAGATCGAGGACGAGCAATGTCTAAACCAGCAGTGTTTTCAGCGTCCAAGAAGGCACCTCCAACACCAAAGTCGTCCATAGTCCCGATACTCATTGGTCGGGACGACCTTCCCCGAGGTCCGTCGTCTATAGCGCTCCGGGCATTTCGATGCATCATCTTTACCGGATGAGGATTGGGCAACACCTCTGACTTGGCTTTCGCCTTGCCCTTTGCTTTGGCTTTGTCCTTGATGAATTGGTCAAGGCCCCATGAAGCGAGATCTACCTCCCCAGCTTCCTCGTCTTCAAGCTCCTCGTCATCATCAGCTCCGAAAGGGTTCCTTAGGCCGTCAATGGAGCTTCTAGACCTTCGGTGTCCCGGAGTAGAATCGCCTGCTTCACTGGGCACAGATACTCCGAGGTAGTCAGTACTCTTACGAGACTGCCCTACACCTCGTCGGAGATGAGCGAAAATAGCGCTGTCATGGGCGGAGACCAGAGGCAAGTAAGGGTTAGTTGGATCATTGTCATACTCTGCAATTCCAAGAGACTTTGTGAGGCGTGTCCGTCGTCCAAGTCTGGTACACTTACCAAGCAGTGCTGCAGCTAATTGAAGGCGGGAGAAGGCTGCGGGTGTAGCCATGAAGCATATACAGATGGAAAACTCGCGTCCAGTCTAGAAACGATTGTGAAGGCCAGTAAATGCTCGGCGTCGACTGTCGTATATGGATGCTCTGACTTTGAATGGTACTGCAAACGGTGACACCCACTGCGGTGGCATCAAGGTGGCATAGCCGCTATCTTCGACTCCCACGTGGTCACCCGAGTCGTTTGGTCAGATGTAGATGCTTTAAATTTTATTATTGACCAGCCTGAACTGCTACAAGATCTACTGCAACATCACAGTTCATCATGATTGTGAACAACATTTCCATGTTCATCAATTTCCTCCATCTCGAACTCAATCTGGTTGCGTTGCATTTCATTAGGAAGATTGAACATCTCCTCATCATCCGCAGGTATGTCACTAGGCAGCTCTGGGTCAACGGGGGGAGCTGGTTTCACGGTGTTATCTGTCGGTGCAGTCTCAGAGACACCGAGTGATCGCCTGAGTACTCTATCCACACGAGTCAAAAACCTGCGTGGTGTCATTGTGAGACATTGTTGCATCAGTTTTGTCAGGACCTACATGTTGGAGTTGGCAACTTCAAACCCGGAACGAACAAGAGCCCCATCGATTAGGATGGAAGCAACCTCTTTGAGCTGTGCCTCAGAATCCAGGTCTTTGTCGTCGCCATCTGCATTCAATTGTTCGACGTGTTCCAGAAGGCCTTCGATCAACGGCGATCGCGGATTAATTTCCAGAACCTTCTGCTTCTTCATATAGTCTTGCATGGCATCGTTTTGCTGAGCCCCGCGGCTTGTGGCACCTGCAAATTTTTACTGAATTCGAACCAACGCTGCCAAGTCACCGGTCGAACGTACTCATGAGCTTCTGGACATTTGCTGTAAAACCCATGCTATCTGCGACAATCGCACAAGGGACTCGTGACGAGCCTATTAGAGACGATCACTGACGAATATGCAACCTTAGGCCAAAGTGTTATATAATCGTAAAGTGAGTACTCACCATTCTTAACATTGTCTCCAGCCTCAATTTTCAGCCACTCAAGAAGGGGAGCGTATTTGTCTGTCAATTCCGCAATTATATCCTTTTCCTCCGGAGAATCTGTGTGCGGATGAGAATAATGAAAACCTTCACGTTGATGGGAGCTTACCATCTCCAAAGTCCAGTCCAGCCTTGGCGACGTCTTGAAATGGAACACCCCTTGTTGATCCATCAGTGAGATATTCTTTCAATCATGGAGGTCATCAGTGGCTTACTTCCACTTTCGGATGCTTTGAAGCATAATCTCGTCCAAAGGCTCGTTCAGAAGCAGTACTTCGTACCCGCGGGCATGCAACTTTTCTACAAATACGCTTTGAGATAGGTGTTCGATGGATTTACCCATGTCAGCGAGGTAGAAAATCTGGATTGTGTTTTAATCATGTCGTTCCCTTTCTTCTCAATACCACTCACCTGCTTTTGTCCTTGCTTCCTGTTCTCCAAATACTGTAATTGTGCAATTCAGATCCATGCTCCCGTATGATCATAATAATAGCCACTAACCGAGTCAAATGATGCGACTTCCCGTTGGTTCGTGTTAAAGCGTACAAGAGCTGCCAGTTTCTGGCGGTTTTTGGCGTCCTCCGACGCAGCGAGTTTCAAGACTTGGCCAAAGTTCTTTGTGATCTCTGCATATTTTTCCTGGTCTTCTTCAGCAATTTTAGAGAAAAGCTGAATGAGGCGGCGTAATATAATTTGCTTGATCTGCTTGAGGAAAGAGCTGGACTGGAGGGTTTCGCGAGAGACATTCAATGGAAGGTCATCAGCTAGATGGTAGGTATACAAGTCAACACCAATTCCCTGGGCTGAACCGAACCGATTTACCGTCAATAATAACCTTCACCCAGCTAGCCCACTTCGGCAAGCCATGTTCACCTAGGTCAGAGGTGATGAACACGTGCTTCACCAGCAGCCTGACGTCCTTTGCCGAATTATCGAGTGGTTTGTTGAAAAACTCCTCAGTCCTTGAGAGACATGAGGTGAAAAGCACATCATCATCATCATCACCATAACTACTCACAAACGCGAGGGAATGTAAATGAGTGCACGGAAAGATACCCCGGATTCCGAATCACCATGGAAATGGTGCCATGCAAGGGGTTTCTGGAAGTCTTTGAAAGTCCCCTGGTACAGTAGCTCATATTCTTCATTGGTGACTGTCTTCGGATCACTGGCAAGAAGATGAGCATATCCTTGCGACAGCAAGAGCAACAACGCACCGCATCCAGAGGGGAGGTTGCGAGTTCAAGTGTTCCCAGTGACCAACTATAACCTTCTTCATCTTGGGAGATGCGGATTCCTTCTCCGCATCTTCTTCGACAACGGCTTCATCCTCGTCCGCGTCAGTAGGTTTTCCCTCCTGCTCGTCTAAAACAACCTCGTCGTCTACTTCGGGAACTTCTTCCTCAGTCTCATACCAGATGTAAATCGGGAAGGCAGTCGAAAATCCAGAGTGCTGGTTGCTGAGATACTTTTCAAAAAGATGCGCAATAAGATAGAGTGAGACACGTACACAAGCTTCATAAGGTTAGAGGTCACAAGATATTGGGAAGCATCACTCTTCAAATAAAGTGTAATCTCAGTCCCATGCCCGAGGGTATTTCCGCGTGGGTCGGGGTATATCTCGAATGATCCCTCATCCGCAGAAGAACTGAAGACATTCTGGGTAGGGTTGGGATTCTTAGACGAGGCGGGGGTAAAGATGCAACGGTGACTTTATCTGCTACAAGGAAGCTGTGGAGAGTTAACCATGTGTCCACGGACTCGAAAGTCACACTAACCTGCTGTAAAACCCAAGCCCAAAGGCACCAATAAGATTGCCATTTGCGGTCGAATCGTCACCGTCTACTCCCGCAAGAAAGTCAGAAGTTCCAGACTTCGCCAAAGTGCCCTAAGTATTTAGAATGTTGTATCACTCTCACACTTCGCAAGACAATGAGGTTCATACCAGGTTGGTTGTCAATTCCGCTGCATTCATGCCAATACCGGTGTCTGGGTACAACAGTAAGTACTGCGACAGACAATGATGCAGAGTGATACAAACCAGTAATAATGATACGGCCACCCTCGCCATCGGGATTTTTCTCCGCTTTGATAGTGAGGTTTAAAGGGGAGACGCCATCCCACATGCTCTTCTCTGTGAGCGCGGTGAGTCGAAGCTTTTCGAGTGCGTCATTGGCGTTTGAGATGAGCTCCCGCAAGAACACGTCCCTGTGGTGAGTTGCTTCAGCAAAGAGTATGTGTAGGCACATCTAGGGATTGCAATGTCACCTGTTCGAGTAAAGACTGCAGTACGTAGTACATAGTTAGCGCTCGACGTCGATTCCGATGTAAGGCTACTGCACCTGTTGACAACTATCTTGCGCAGGCGTGCAACATCACTCTGTCAAACAAATGGTCTGCTAAGGTGCACCAATACAGAACAGACGCGGGGAACCTACCTGGTAGTCATGTTTGACCTTGTGCGCATTAGCACCTGCCTCTTGCGCGAAAATGCACGACGAAAGGGCTGTAAGTGACAAGATTAGAGGACTTAGCAGACGCATTGTCGACTGGGAACAAGAGTTGGTCTCTTGGCTGGTGCTTTGGGGTCCGGTTACTACGCAAGTACGGCAGGCTATTTATTGAAGTAGGAAATCCTTGTGTGAAATTGAAAGTACTGACGTGTTCGATACCACGTGATTGACTTCGAGTGTCACCTGACGACGATACGCGTGTTCTCAAAAGTCGAGCGCTGAGCGTTGTAAAATCAAGTGAGGACCTCAAGGAGATGAGGGCTTGAGCCACTAAGTACATGAATCAACTATTCTACACATGAACAGATAGTTTAGGTGCAGTCAGACCTACAACATAATCCTAGCATGGATCAGACAAGGTTGCAAACTCGAAACCCTTCATTTAACTCACCCTTAACCATCGTTCTCGTTGTGCCGCCACATGTTCGAACATGATGTATCGCTTATCATTCTAACAAGTAATTAATTGTCAAATCTATTCCGCGAACGACTGGACATACCTTAAGCACTTTCTCGATGTCCGAAAGGTCCACACTCTTTGCAAGCGCCTTCATGTCGACCTTTCCACCAAAGCCTTCGCCTTCATCCTCACCCAAGTCATCTGCTTTGACCCCTCCTTCGACTCCTTCACCCCCAATTTTACCCAATCTTCCCCAGAACTCAACAAAGGAGTTCTCCGCGAGCATCTCGTCGAATGCTTTTCTGCATTCGTATGTCCGTTCGCGTTGCCATTTCTCATATTCCTGTTGGAGACCACTTGTGTCGAAGGCAAGTTTTGTCACCGGAAGCGATTTTAACATGGATTCAAGCGGAAGAGCAGAGAATGGGGTTGCCAAGGATGGAGCATGCGCTTGAAACAACGAATGTAGGCCGGTCAAATGTTTCATCTGCAACTGACTCATATGTGCATGGAAGAGATTCAATTGCTGATTTACTGAAAGAGGGGAATTGTTAAATCGAGGATCGGTTTGGAGTTGAGGACGTATCAATTCCCAGTTGGTCTGCGATTATAATGAGATGTGGGTTAGTTACTGCATCGAAAAAAGAAGTAGTCGTACCTGTGGGTCTCGTACCGCGTCTGTCAGCAGTGTACTAAACAAGAAAGAGGAAAGGGGTTGAGCGAGGCGACCTGGACCTTTGAACTGTGGAAGTAAAGGCGGCTCACCGAAATTCTCTTTCACCTTCTTCCAGGTTTAAACCCATCTTGGAGCGCCCTATTTCGGCGTCCATACGACTACGATCAGCTTTCACCTTTTGTTCACGCTCTTTAAGGGCTTGTTCCTTCTTGTGTCTGCGCCTTTGCTCAGCATCTTCTTCTGTGGCATGTTTGCACGCCTCATCTTTAATTTTGGTAGAGGCCGAATGCGAAGATGAAGACCCATGTGCCTTGAGGAATGTCTGGAAAAGTTCTTCACGCAGAGACGAAGACCCGACAGCGTCGTATCGTGCGTCATGGGATAGTCTTCGTTTCACCTAGAATGCAAACTTTTAATATACCTAATGATGATAAGGCAGACAGATACTTACGTCTTTCCATAACGAATCTGACCTGACCACACCACTCTCTCGCAGAAGAGTAAAGAAATCCGCTTCTGCCTTCTCAGCGGCTATACGCTTTCCTAGATCGAAGGTCAGCTGAATACATCGCTCATGAGGTATAACACAATTCGTACTTTCTCCAAGCTCTTTGAGATACTCCTTGAATCGCTTCTCTCGCTCTCGGTCATCTCTCCCCCATCCGTAAAATCGCCGGTCTTTCTTCCACGTCCGTCGAAAGTCAGACCAGGATGTTCTCGTGCTCTTCACTTCCTGGCTAAGGAGTCGTTCATACTCTTCCTTAGGATTTGCTTCTGCCTTTTCTTTCTTGACATTTTGTTGTCGTAGTTCGCGCGCTCGATCCCGACAGTATTCATCGAATGCATCACGACGTGCTGAAACAGAGGGGAGTAGAACATAGCGCGGATCTGATATAAACAAGGGCAATGAAGTATCCCAAGGATGCAAAGGACTGATATTCTTTTCCCTCAATAATGTCTGGTCGATGAAGTTAACCAAGGGATCACCAATCAACAGAGCTAGTGACAGACCTTGAATAATGCCTTAGCCTCCTCAATAGAGAGATCGACGCGATCGGGCATGTTAAGCTGAGACCTCTCATTTTCTTGCATCTTCTTGGCCTCTGTATCTTCTGCTTCCTGTGCGAGCCTGGCCTCTTCTTCCAGTTTCTTCGTCTCCTCCTCTGCTTCAGCAGCGAGTTGTGCAGCAGCCTCACGTTGCCACTCCTCCTCCCCCTCCTCGCTCCCATCGTCATCGTCATCGTCATCGTCATCCTCCCCTTCCCCTTCCCCCTCCTCCTCTTCCTCTTCTACTCGCGCCTTTTTTGAAATCACAACCTCGTCTAGAGGTTGAGGTTCTTCCGCTTTTCGCTTCACAAGGCCCTGCATTTCTGTCTTAATCCGTTTGAGCTCCTGCTCCTCCTCGAACCCCAACTTCTGGATGTCCTTTTCCTTTGCTTCCTGTTGTTGTTTCTGCGCTTCCACATGCTCCTCGGCACGCTCGAATGCTTCAACAGCATCCTTTATTTCCTCTGGCATGGTCCACACGCTCTGCTTCTTCGCCTTGTGTGAATAGAATATATTCCCTTCCGTCGTTGTTACGCGAAGCCATTCTGTGCCAGGTATCGGAATCTTTACCAACGGTTTATCTTTCTTCTTTGGAGGTTGGGGTATGATAGCTTGTGGAATGATAGGAAACGCGGGGAGCGGCCGAACGTAGGTAGACTCTCGTGTCCCGGCGTGGTAGTAGTATGGCTGGCCCGCAGGTCCTGTATGCAAGTTAATAACTAGAGTGCCAAGTGTATTTTGAGACACCTACCAACGTGCTCTGTCCACCCTGGAGGTAATGGAGGGGCATTAACTGAGTTCATCACGGTCGCTCGCGTTGATCAATGTGTTTGCAGCTGAAATGGCTTGGTAGCGCTCGCTGCTCACGTGCCAACCTAAGGTGCCACGGCGGCAGCGGCGCCAATTTCCGACATCGTTCAAGCCAGGTTCAAGTTGTATATTCCTTCTTGCTCTATAGATACAGGACCAAGGTACTTGCTGCCAGTAACGAGAATGACTGGTCTCGATAATCAATGGCTCTTTGTCCCGGTTTTAAAACATTGGATCTACTTCGTTCGTTTCCTCTGCTGACGATTAGCTACACCATCCAAAGCTCTTGCTTGTGATGCTTGTCTGAGACTTATTGCCGACCTCCAGTAGTATCCCAGTAATGGATTATTGATATATTATGGATCGTTGACCTCTCAAAGCCATCCATAACAATATTAGCCTGGATGCCATATCGGTGGCCCAATCAAGGTAATGGCGGTGCGGAAGGAGACGGTCGTTTCGGACTCCTACTATTTGTTGACAAGCTTCTAATCATGGAGCAGCAAACCTGAGGAAATTTCGCATTTGGTCTCTGGGTTTAAGAATTACTTACACCTCCGCGGAAAGCAGAATTTGAAAGTTGCATCTAGATGTAGTGCTAGAGTCAGGGCTTCCTTGAAGCTGGGGCCAGGGTTCACTAGCACTGGGTCCACTCGACGAATTTGATTCAAAGCGGGGTCGCCTAAAAAGGTTAGAATAGCTTGAGAAATATAAGTGTGACGTAATGGCACTGAGGCATTTTCTGAACACTCGCCAGCAAATCATCGGTATGATGACAAGCTTAAACCGACTAGCCAGCAAATATTTAGGTTGTTTCAAATCGCTATATAATGTCCTCCCAACTCCCATACATTTCTTCCCAGCTATCGTATCTCTATTTCACACTTAGTCTAATCACACAGAAATCCTGAGTCTCATGAGTACCGTGACGTCGTCTCAGACGCATGTCACGACTGTCCTCATATTTAATCTTCACTGCAGCAGGTATACATATAAAACAGCCCTGGTTTTTATTCCGCTAATGTTATATTTTTTCGCAGTTGTGTAAGTACAATTAATGAAGTGCTCTTCTCTCTGTCACCCCCTCCAACGAGGGTAGACATATCCATCGTCCACCAGTCAGTGACAGTCGGGCATGCCCCTACAATACCCAGACACACCATACATTCCATGCTCGAAGACGCTGGGTTTGATGTATCTGACCCAGCTTCTGAGCAGAGACTTTCACAACAAATGAGTAGCACGCATTCTGGAAAACGTCAAAAGCATATACAACAATGTTCATCGTGTCAGGAGGTGGCCGTTACGGCACTCGAGGACATGGTTCCACCGCTCTTGCGGGGTAATGCCGGCAACGTATCTTCCAATAGTGTTTCTCCAATGGATTGCTCCAAGCTAGAAAAGGACCAAGAATCGAACCCAAGACCATTGTACGAAGTTGGCATTGATGACGTCCCGCATCTCGTCACCATGTCCGTAGGTGGCATGACATGCTCCGCATGTCCAAGTACCATTACCGAAATGGTCTTGCAACTCCCTGGGATCTCCGAAGTGGTTGTTAGCCTGCTTAATCATTCTGCCACGGTTGTTGTTGCTCGAAGGGACCTTGTTGGTTCCGTGACCGAAGCGATCGACGACTGCGGCTACGAAGCCAGCGTTATTAAGGTCGAGCCACTCATCCCATCAACATCAGAAACTCCAACGGGTCCTCGAAATTTATCCCTTCGTATTGATGGGATGTATTGCCAGTGCGTCGATTTGCATTGTTGTCGCATCTAATGTTGCTGACATCCACTGATCAGAAACTGTCCAGCAAAGATTATGACTGCCTTGCAAAGGCTCCAGCCAGACGTCGCAATTATCAAACCGTTATCAAACCACTTGGACCCCATAATGGAAGTATCATACAAGCCATCGCCTCCAGACTTCACCATCCGCTCCATCATCTTGGCCATCATGTCCGTGGAGCCGACATCATACACTGTATCGATCTGTTGTCCGCCTACGCTCGAAGAGTTCACACGCAGCTTGCAGCAGCGCGAGCAACGAGCCTTACTTCTGCGCCTGTTTTTCACATTTATCATTGCGATGCCCACATTCATCATCGGCGTGGTTTACATGAGTCTCGTTCCCGGCAGCAATTCGACGAAACAATACCTAATGGGGCCCATGTGGAAAGGAAATGCGTCTCGGATTGAGTGGGCACTTTTCTTTCTAGCGACCCCAGTATACTTTTATGGTGCTGGCTCATTTCATCGTCGGAGCATCAAAGAAATCAGATCTTTATGGAGGAAAGAGAGCACGACTCCCATCGTCAAGCGTTTTACTAGATTTGGGAGCATGAACCTTCTGGTATGTACCATGTTACCCACGTTGTCATAAGGTGATGACATCCATAAACAGGTTTCTACCGGAGTATCTGTGGCCTACTTTTCGTCGATCTCGCTTCTCATTCTTGCAGCCACACAGCCACCTGCGAGCAGCGGTACAGCACAAGATACCACATATTTCGACGCTGTCGTGTTCCTGACCATGTTCTTACTTGTTGGTGAGTGAAGCCCATGCGTTGCATATCTTGTGTGATATAATTTAAATCATCAGGCCGTTACCTCGACGCATATAGTAAAGCGAGGACTGCCGACGCAATCACTGCACTCGGCTCGCTCCGCCCTGCCGAAGCTCTTCTACGGACTACTGGCTCTGCTTCTGATTCTACGGCCTCCGCGATCGTTCCCCGCAATGACCCCGAAAAATGTGACGTGTCATTTGATAACGGTAGCTTTATTGCGTCTCCTGGATTCAGGTTCGAGAAGGTACCTATTGACCTCTTGGAGGTTGGCGATGTGGTACGTGTGCAAAATGGTGCCACGCCACCATCAGATGGTACAATCGTGTCTGGTGCGGAGACGTCCTTCGACGAAAGCTCTTTAACGGGCGAGGCTAGACTCGTCAAGAAGAATGTTGGGGACGAGGTTCTCCTTGGGACAATCAACAAGTCTAGGGCAGTAGACGTTCGAGTGAACGCTATTGGCGGTGTCACAATGTTAGCCAATTATCTTTGATGGTATAAACATTGTACCGACTTAGTTCTACAGGTTGGACCAGATTGTGCAGATCGTCCGCGAGGGCCAGACTCGCAGGGCGCCGATTGAGCGTATTGTGGATCACATCACGACTGTGTTCGTCCCGATCGTTACTTTGCTAGCGATTGTTACGTGGTTGACATGGCTTGCCTTGGGTGTTAGTGGTGCCATCCCTAGGAGTTATTTAGATATAAATCAAGGCGGATGGGGTGAGTTTCTTCCAAGTGATTCACTGAACTTTGTACTGACATCAGCTCCGTAGTCGTGTGGTCTCTCGAGTTTGCAATCGCAGTATTCGTCGTGGCATGCCCTTGCGGCATTGGCTTGGCAGCACCTACCGCTCTTCTTGTGGGAGCCGGCCTCGCAGCCAAACATGGAATCTTGGCTCGCGGAGGCGGCGAGGCTTTCCAAGACATGGCTCAACTTGACATCGTCGTGTTCGATAAGACCGGAACACTTACCGAAGGTGGCGAGCCCCGAGTGTCTGATGCCGAGATCCTGCTGTCGTCGGTGCCTGAGAAGACGCTTCTCGGAATTGCCGCGGAGTTAGAATCTGCGTCATCTCACCCGCTCGCGAATGCAATCAGGCAGTATGCGGGGAAGCATGGCGCTACGTCTGTTGCTGGCAACGCGTTCGACGAGATCGCTGGCAAAGGCGTCAAAGCAGATTTTGATGAAATGCGTTGCAAGGCGATAGTAGGAAACGAGGCCCTGATGCGAGACCATGATGTACTGCTTTCTCCTGACGTCCTCCGAGTGCTCGAGAGGTGGAAATCTGAGGCGAAGAGCATCATCCTCCTCGCGATTATGGTCGCAGACCTGGACAATCGATTCGTTGTTGCAGCGATATTCGCTGTGTCGGATCCCATCAGGAAGGAAGCTACTGGTGTTATACGGCATTTGCAGGAGGAGGGCATTGGGACATGGATGATATCAGGGGACAATGAGACTACAGGCTAAAGCAGTCGCGAAATCCGTGGGCATTCCTGAAATGAATGTCATCGCTGGAGTTTTGCCTCAACAAAAGGTCTGTTCCTACTATTCGAATACCTGTCACGTTCTCTGACCTGTCCCCGCAGGCCGAAAAAATTGAATGGCTGCAGCACAATGGCAACAGACGTTCATCTTCACGATGGCAGCGTATGCTGCCTAGATCAGCCTCAAATCGGCGATGTATTGTCGCAATGGTTGGGGATGGTATCAATGATGCACCCGTGAGTTCTTTCTAAAGGTATTTGTATTTTGTATTGACTGGCGTCAGGCACTGGCGGCCAGTGACATAGGAATAGCCATCGGATCCGGAAGTAAGCTCTATCATCTGTTTAACGACGTACATACTGACATACTTCAGGTGACGTCGCGATATCTAGCTCTTCATTCATTCTTGTATCTTCAAACCTTAAATGTCTACTCACTTTGAGCGATCTCTCGAGAAAAGTGTTCAATCGCGTTAAAATCAACTTTGTACGTCTCTTCAGTCCCTTTACACCACCACTCGCCATTAATATAGTCCGTAGATATGGGCAATTATGTATAATGTGATTGCAGTCCCCATCGCTGCTGGCTGTCATATATCCTGCTGGACACGCGCGTCTGGCTCCCGTATGGGCATCGTTGGCCATGGCATTATCGTAAGTAGCCTGACCATGGGGTGTAAATTATGTATTGATTAGTTACTCTAGCTCTGTATCCGTAGTTTGCTCCTCGCTCGCACTTAAATTATATAGGAACCGAAGATACAGCTTTAAAAAGTTCAAATTTCTTTCGGCCACATCTGGTTTCTGTCATTCATATCATCACTGTATTCCTAGCGTATTTTATGAATGCACTCTCCTACGCTTGCGGTCACGATCTCTGCGCCGCAAGAACCTCCCTATCCTTCTTCGAACGATAGAACTCTGAAAACGAGAGTCGTATGCCAAGGAACCGGCAATCCAAATCTGGATGCGACTGTAAAGCCTGCACGATAGTTTGCATGCGCTCGCTGAATGCAGTGCTATATTCTTTAAGGAGTTTGCGAATTTGAGAAAGTGACTGGGTGTGAGCCAGCGAAGTGGGTGCAGTGTACACCCCACGGGCGGCATCCCGCACTTGGTCTAACCGAGCTGACTCGGATAGGGTGTAGTTGTAGAAATCATCCTGTGGTAATTTTTGTTAGGAAAGAAGCACGTGGACGAGGGAGGATAAAGAAGCGCTTACAATTACCTCGCGGAACTGAAGGATCGTCGAGAATACCTCCCGGACTTGGGTCAACAAGCTCTCCTGGCACGACGATAAGCACGCGACAAACTTGCTTGCAAGCCAAGCTCACCTCTCTCCCTGCCTTAGGGCTGATCAGCAACACCTTCTTGACCATACGATCAAGATATGATTGATGAGCGTCGATCATAGCGTCAAGATCACCCTCCCGTCTCGCAAAGAATTCCATAAGAGCTTTCCATGAGCATTCGATGACCTCGAGTTGTGTGTATGCCTGCATCTGACGAATAAAATGTATCATTTCTGAAGTCGTAATCCGGATCTGGTGCCAATCATACTCCAGTTCTGTATTGCGCGTCAACACCGCAACCATGGTCTCCGACAGGAAGAAAACATCGCAGCATGATTAACTCACCTTCCAACCGCCCTCCGACTCGTCCGGCACCTGCAACCCTCATCCAGCCACTGCTCAACGCGCCTTCTACACGCTTCATCGCCCACAGATGTGCAAAGATCCGCTTATACTTTTCTAGAGACCCGGGGTCGAGGAGGGTATCGAGCGGCGCGTCGACCTTGTATTCGAGCGTGAAGACGTCCCACCCGAGCTCGCCGTGCGTGTATTCTAGCATGCGAGCGTCGAGGCGGCGGAGAACATCCGGTGGATCGCTTTGTGCGCTTGAAGTACGGATCGCTGTCTCGAGTGTCGCTGTGAGGTTGTGTCGGTAGAGGGTGTTGGCAGGTCGAGCAAGAGAGGGCCTGTGTGCCCATTAGCATGGATGAAGTGACGGTATGGATTACGTACCCAAGCGATTCCATGAGTTGCTCAGCAAAGTCACCGTAACCAAGGAGGAGGTAGTGCTTGAGCGCGGAGAGGTGATCGAGGAGGCGGAATTTCTCAGTGAAGACTTCAAACAGGCGAGCAGAGGCGGTGTTGTATGCGCTGTCGATACTACGTTCCAATCCTGCGATATCGCTGTACTTGAGGACTGCGGGAAACATAAGTATCAATATAAAAGCGAGTAGAAGTGCAGAGCTCACTTCCGCCCGTATTGCTCATCTTCTCCCTTGTTGCTACCCAATCTGAATCGTGACAACTGTATCTGATAAAATTTAAGCTCTTGCCTGTCGAAAAGATCTTTCTTCCAAAGTTCTCGCCCACAAACATTGGGAGCATCTCTTTTCTAAAGTGATACTTCGCCTCCCACACGCGGAGACCGCCTCCGCCGTCACTTCTATCTGCGCTAACAGAATCCTCGCCGAATGCGTCGATGCCACCTGCAAGACTTGAGGGATGCAGTCCTTGAAGATGCGCAAGTGATGGGTCGACGGAGACGAAGAATTCAGAGTGGGGGTCGTAGAGTTCGCCGGAGAAGAGCCATTTGTGCAGCGTATTGAAGAAAGGAGTGGATACCTAAAATTAAATTAACATGAAGCAGTCGGTCAACTAACTCAAATAAAGATGTTGCACCTCTTCCAAAAGTTGGTCAGTAAATTTTCTGACGAATGGGTCCCCATTGTCGGTGTATGAATGGATGAGGTTAACGAGTGCCCCACCCTGTGCGTCATGGGCGCCCTCAACACAGACGCTCATCATGCGCATGCGGAGACGCCATTCTGTTATCCAGACGTCGAGGCGTTTAAGGGTGAGGCCAGTCTCCTCTCCTACAGGATCCGATTGGGAGTCAGGAGTTGAGTTGGGTGCGTTGCCCATCTGAGACTCTAGAACGGCGATGAGTCGGTAGTATTCTGTAAGTAGCGTCTGGAGGTGATGGCAAAGGCTTTGCTCGATCATGCCGATAGAAGGGCGATCTTGTGTGTTGACGAATGCAGCTATGCGCGCGTAGAGATGACCTACCTCAGAAAGGCGATGGATGAGGGATTTAGTTGGGGGAGGGATGATATATTTCTATAAGTAAGATGAGCACGATAGGACATTCATTAGAGACTACTTACAGAATCTTCGACAAAAACGAGTTTGGGCTGGGTATCATTGTCCGAGAGCGACAAATGTACATATTTTCCAGAGATTCCCTGTAAGAGGTATAACGTATCGCGAAGAAGTAAGTGTTCGGGGAGATGGTGTCGTCCTTCATCAGCACTTGAGCATTCCGTCCCACAAGCGGGTGTCAATAGAATTGCATACCAGTACGGGCGCGATATTCACGCAAAATTTCTGCTTTTGAATTGCCCTTTGGCTGATGTGAGCGCGGAATATCAGTGGGACTGGTGGTGAGAGTTGTGGATGGACGAAGCGGGGCCTGGAAAGACGCGAGGAATGGACTTGAGGTTGGCTGGCGTGGAGAGGATGCAAGGGAATAGAGAAAGAGGAGGGACTCGGGTTTGCGGGAGAGAATAGGCTATGCAGAGGTAAGACGCGTGACCGACACGATCGGTACACTCACTTGGTCTAGTAATCGCGAGAGGAGATTTGTGAACTTGAGTGATGCATTACTCGGAGATTCGGATTGTAACACTGCAAAAGAACACGGTTGCGACTAGTGGTACGCGATTTTGTGGTAATACATACAATGCCTTTTGATCTGTGCCGCTAAATGACCAGTGTCATTCTCGTGTGCGGTGCCAATGTTACTACAAAGCAGGTAAGTGACATATGCCGCAAGCTGAACTAGAGCGCTGTTACCTTGTAAGGATATCCTTGCAATGTGCTATTAGTTCTTCCTTGAGACGTGTATTAGACTGAATCTGGGGGACAAGGGATGTGACAAGGCTCTCGATTGACGCGCTCACATCGCGCATCGCGGTATACAGTTTTAGATCACACGGGTACATTAACAAAAGTACATGGCCACTTGCTTACTAAGCGAGCAACTTGGTTTCAACTTTCCCTTCAAATTCAACCGCCTTGCAAAACTCAGGCCCCTCTCTCTCGATATCATCGTATTTGAGTAGTGTGATTATTGAGAGACGTATAGTTACTCCCGATAATCACACATCTTCAATCTGATTATATACGCACAAGGCTCAGCTCGACCTCAGCCGGGACATACGCAGAAGGTATACCAGTGTTTGCACGCTGGTATTGAAAGAAATGTTCAAGGATGCTGTATACAGACTCTGTTGTATTGCACAAACTACATGTGCACTCCGGCAATTCCTGTATTTTCGCCCTGGTCGTCAATTGTGTCCTTCCGGAAAGGCTGCGACCACTAAAGTTCCTCTATACCCGGTGAGGTCTTCGTCATGCGGGTCGAGAATAAGTTATCTGGGTTCAAGTTTCTCTCGGCGTCCATTTATTTTGGTGTAAACCAAGCGGTATATCAAATACGCTGACCACAGTGACCACGGAGGCCGAACATTTTAAGATCTGGATCGTCGACGCGCATGTCAATCACGCCACCTTTGATAAATCGGCAGGGATACGCAAAAGATGATCTTGATTGCCATGATGCAGACATTGATCAAGCAACAACCAGTTGAACGGGCCCGCATTGGATTGATACATCAGGGCTATGCAGAGGTCGAGTGTGTAAATGGGGCAGAGAGGCCAGCACGAGACTTCTAGTAAGCTTCATTATACCACCTGAACGCTGGTCTATGGTCAATAAAGCGAAGCGCTGATCATCGATATCGATCATCTCCGAAGATAAAAATATAGTTTGGTTAGTGCATTACATAACAACTTATCTCGTGTCTGAGTGCATGTATAGGGAACTTGCTAATATTAGTATTTATATGATGGTCAGACGGTCCAGGGCGACCACCTTCAAGACGCTCCAAGTCAATGCTGATTACTTGGGCTTCATATTTGGTCTTGATGTGCCAACAATGCAGCAAAGCAAGCAAGGTCGACAAACTAGGTGAAACCGCGGACTTGGTTGGAAAAAAAATCGACTCGTTCGAAGCACTCGAAGCGCTGTGAGATGACACGCGGAGCGTAATATGGGGCGACTCGAACGATCCTTTGTAAGTAGATATCCCAAAGTCCTCGGGTGAGATCTTACCTGTCAGTGACGTGACCCAGGGGCCTCTAGGAATAAAGCGTAATAGCAATGCTTGCTCGGTCAGGATATTATCTGCTATATTTAAAGAATGCGTCCCCTGAAATGTGTTGATACCACCTTTATTATCTTCGGTCGTCTTCCCTGCCTGCCAGTGCAACCCTGGTACATGTCGAACTCTCCTCTAGGAACTGTCTCTTCTGTTCACGTACCACACCGAGATGGCACGAATTATCTTCATTTTCCTCAGCTCACAGGTAGCGAATGCAGGTCTGCCGAGGCCTTGGATAAGACAAACAACAAAATGCATGATTGGGAACACGACCCAGCGAACCCCAGGAATTGGCCTCTAGCAAAGAAATGGATAACCACTACAATCGTCAGCTCTTCCATTAGCGAGTTCAATCCACTGGGACTCATGTCGGTATCATGTCAGGTCTCGCTGTACACGCTTGTCACACCGTTAGCAAGCGCTATCACGGCACCTGGTTTACCTGACTTGGCCATAAAATTTGACATAACTGATCCAACAGTCTTAGCGTTGACGCTAAGTATCTTCGTTCTGTCGTATACCATTGGTCCATTATTTGCGGCACCTTAATCGGAAGTATATGGTCGTGTGTGGGTGCGTGGTGCTCTTCTTTGATCTGATCGAAGAGACCATTTGCCTGAATGAGTTCAAGGTGCTCCACCTAGGAAACCTGCTCTTTCTCGCGTTTAATCTCGGTTGCGCTTTGTCAGCCAACATTGTGTCCTTAATCATATTCCGGTTTCTAGGTACGTCGTGGAGCTGGAGCCGCAACTTTTCCTCACTCCCTACGAAGCTGGATTGGCGGGGAGTGCACCTATAGCATGCGGCTCAGGTGTCATCAGCGATCTCTTTTTGGAACGCGAGCGCGCTTCAGCTATGGCACTATACAGCATTGGACCCATGATAGGCGAGTCTTTCCCTGTTTTATGGTGTGCGACGTTGATTGACTTCACACAAGGCCCCGCTATCGGCCCCATCATGGGGGGTTTCATCGCAGAGTCAGCTGGCGTGTAGTATGTTTTCTATGTCATCGCTGCGATCTCTGGTGTTGCCGCAATACTTGGCATCCCTCTCATGAGAGAAACATATGCACCGGTTATCAGGTTCCGTCTTAACGCCACGGCCCAAGATTCAGAAAAGACATCTGTAGAACATCCTATTCTCGCCGCACATCACATGGACAAGTGGGCTTACCTATGGGTCAGTCTCAAGCGACCGGCCATTCTACTGACCCAGAGTTTTATATGCTTTATCCTGAGCTCGTATATGGTCCTTGTAAGTTTGATTTAGTGTCGCGCAGCTCGCTGATGTCATCTATTTAGGATGTACGGTCAGTATCACATCAAGTTATATCGGATATGGACTGAGATCGTATGTTAGGCATCTACCTCTTGTTGTTTACTACTTTCCCCGGTAAGATCACACCTAGTCAACACCACGTGGACCGTTAGTAACAACTTTCTCTCAGACCTCTTTGCGAACGTGTACCACTTCAGCATTGGAATCGGAGGTCTGACGTATACTGGAGTTGGTTTTGGATTCGTAGTTGCCACCGTGTTTGGCGCCAAAATTTCCGACAAGATCCACATATACGTATGTCTTCCTTCTACCTTGAATGTCTCAGCTCAATCGCTGGTTTCTATATTTAGCTTACTGCAAGAAATGGAGGGAGGGGCAAACCAGAGATGCGTGTGCCTGCTCTGATATTTGGGTCGTTGTTTGTCCCAGTGGGACTGCTGTGAGATTGACGCCTTTGTTCCTGCTCCCAATCTGACATGTATTAGTTGGTATGGCTGGTCTGCCCAAGCCGAGGCCCACTTCATGATGCCCATCATTGGTACCTCTATCTTTGGATTCGGAATATTGACATGTTTGTGGGTGTGCCTCCGTGCTTTGGCACTGTTCATGTTTGACCTCTCTAAAGCCTCCCTATTCAACTGTATCTCGTGGATACATTTACATATGCTGCAAGCGCTACTGCAGCCGCTTCTGTCAGTCTTCCTTTATCCCTGATGTCGTTTGCGTTCACTGAATACGTCATATTAGACCTTCCGTTCATTTCTTGGGTTCGCATTCCCTTTGTTTGGACAACAGATGTTCGCGACACTCGGTTATGGCGGAGGCAACACGCTACTTGCAGGTTTTGCCATCATCATTAGTATACCCTTCCCCGTGTGGATATATTTCGCTGGCGAACGTATCCGCTCGAAGAGTTCCTTGGCTTGTTAATTTGTTTGTCCCTTCCATCAAGGTATTCTCATGACCATGAAAATATGATAATCTTAAACCCTTCTAGAGCTTTCCCGAAGCACTGGCACCGGATGTCATCGTCCTACTATACCATAACATCTTTGTCACCCGGAATTCGTGTATTTTTTCCTACACAGATCTATCTGAGTATCTATATACATGGTAATAGTGTCAATCGAAAGTTTCAGCGAAACAGTGGTGCATTGGTCGATGAATTAATTAGTAGGCTCGGATTCTGCCAATTCAACTAAAAACAGCGAAAGGCTAAAAGTCATATCAGAAACTACTCGACTAGATCATGCACTGCAGATTAAACCTTCGAGTCGTCATAGATAAATCTTTAAACATTGGATATGTACTGGCCTTATCACAAGGTATGCCGCGCCCGACCCCCAACTATCCTGGCCATGAGTTAGGCAACCGAGGTGACTCCAGTAGCTTTGATATAGATCAACTTGCCCTCAGAGATCATTATCTAGTCGGACCATCACGGTTAGATTCGCAGTTTAAGTTGGTCAGGTGTCACGCTAGTGTACGGTGTTGTTTTTAGCCTAAAAGCGAGCCAGTGTACTAGCATATAACGAGTACCTGCATGCATGTTGAACGCTATAGTAGTCTTGTGGTACAAAGAAAGAAGGTTTGAACCAGCGCTTGTATCTTCATTACATCAGCTGTTCTTAGGTCGGTGACCTGCTACTACTAGGCTGGAGCGGCGCGTTGTACTGACGACTTCCATGATCTTTGACACGACATGGACAAACCAAATACGCCGCCATCGACCACCAATACTCCTCCATCGTCGCCATCTAAGCAACGAGATGCTTTCGCGTACCAGACTCGTCTGCTCCAGCGTACTGCTTCTCGCTCATCAACGAATTCTCTTTCGCGAAATTCCTCCATTTCATCGCGCCCAACGTCCCTCGTGAGCCCAAATACAACTGGTTCTAGTCCGCCCGTAGTTCCTGCTACTAGACGATGGACACCTTCACATCGACCGGGTACCAGTCTTGACACTGTACGCGACAAATGGGAAGAGCGCGCACGCGTAGAGGCTGTACTTGACGGACGTGGGTCGGTCAGTCCAACAAAGCAAATCGAAACTACATCCAGTCGTTCTAGCCTGGGTCACAGTGATAGTATATCTACTATTTCTAGTTCATCTTCATTTACAGATTCCAGTTTGCAACGCACTTCAACTTATGTCAAACGTCATACTTTTTCTGCTTCCCTTCCACCACACATAGTAGCAACTCCCTTGTCTCCGAACACAACTGGAATATCTGTCGAGAACCCTGACTCGTCTACTAACTCATTTTCGACCCCGACCCATCATCGCATACGCCTCCCAATTGCAGCATCTCTTCATTCTTCATCATTATCTGATATCAAGGAACTTGCTGATCATCATATACCTGCACCCATATCTCTTGATTCCCCCTCCCCACCCACGCAGAGACCGAATACCATAGATAGCAACACCCTAGATTCTGCTGCCCATGATCCAGTATCACGGATAGCTGACCCATTCACATCGACGGTGATCAATACTCCGTCCAGTCCCTCAAAGCCTTTGTTCACGCCTGCAACACCTACAATTATCCGCCGCCGTCCTACGTCGCTCTATGGTTCACAGTCATCATCTTTTCCCTTCCCAGAAAAGGAACCCTTGCCTGGTCGCATTTCTGCTAGCCAGGATCTTACCGACCATGCCTTACGACTTCCAAGTCGTGTTTCACGAGTGTCCGACCATGGCATTCCAGACCTCACATCCAAGTTGCCAGACCTTCCCTCTAGGATATCTGCATATACATCCCGATTTGATTCGCGTTCTTCTGATTCTACATCCAGTTCCGCTGAGAACATCTCCTCAGTTGTCCTGCCAATCGTGGACCGCACTTCCCGTGCTCCTGACATTACCGCTCGGGTTGCGGAATACACTTTGCGTCTCAATTCGTCTGAACGCCCGTCCCCCTCTCCTACGCATACCCCTACCTCTTCATTCGCATCCACTCAGAATTCCTTCACATCCACATCTTCTTCGACCCCTCCACACACTCCCAGTTCTTCCACTACATCGATCCCATCAACCTCTTCTGTGATGTCACCGGCCCCATACCGCTCCTCATACATGTCAAACAAGAAGTCATCAACATATGGACAAATTGCTGGGCACAAACTAGGACGCCATCTGCCCCGTATCGCGAGTGGGGATGCTGGTGATGACTGGGTTGATGAGCAGAAACCCAATCCCCCACCACAGCCTGAGCACACTCCTGTTCCTGTGGATGATTCACAGCTAGTGTCACGACGAGCACGTCGTAATTCCAGGTATGAGCCTCCAGCATCACCTATCACAGAAGAACTTGTAGCAGGGATGACAAACACCTCCGATGTTACTGGAATTCCGGGGCGATTGCGTCTCTCTCGGGATCAAACAGCAAGCCCAACTGCACCGACAACCCTCCCTTCCTCTCGCTTGACGAGCGGCCTATGGGCCGATGTGCAGAGACATTTACTGCAAGCGTATGAATATCTGTGCCATGTAGGAGAGGCGCAGCAGTGGATCGAAGGTTGTCTGGGGGAGGAGCTAGGCTTTGGGGTGGTGGAGATGGAGGAAGGAATGAGGAATGGTGTTGTGCTAGCCCGGCTTGTCAGGGTTTTCAAGGGAGAAGGAGGGTTCAGAATTTACGAGGTGCGCTGGCATTCTAAGATCGTGTGATCGAGCTTGAACTCCGATTGTTTACAGGCCCGAAAGTTAAACTTCCGCCACTCGGATAATATCAACCATTTCTTTGTTTTTGTTAGGGAAGTAGGATTGCCTGAGGTATGTCGCCACGCCTCTACATCAGATATGACGGGTAACAATTTGTATAAGGGATTTATATTTGAATTAACCGATCTATACGAGAAGAAAAACTTTCCCAAGGTCATTTATTGCATACACGCACTTAGGTGAGCATCTCCCGATCGGCAAATGTTCAAATCCGCCAATACCTCATAGTCACCTCCTCGCCCGTCGTGGTCTCGCCGAATGTATCGGAGATCTTCTTGGCCAACTTCAATTTTCCGATGACCAGTTGCAGAAGACGCAGAAAGGTCTCACCGACGCAGGTATTCCGATGCCCAACTTCGGTAATGTTGGCAGGGAACTAGCAAAGGAAATCAACGAGGAGCCTGATCCACCACCACCTGAGCCAGAGGAAAGTGAGGAGGAACGTGCGTCCTACTTTTTTTGCTTTCCAAATATCAATGGGGTGAATTTTATTTGTAGGGCGCGATCGTCTGCTCTTGGAGAACGAGGAGTCAATACGTTCGCTTCAATGCCTAGCTCGTGGCTTTCTGGTCCGCAAGGCACAGGCGACACAGCGCGTTCGTTTACGTCTAACCGAACGATACGTTCCTCGTTTGCAAGCACATCTCCGTGGTGCTCTCGCCAGACGCACCGTTTCCGTCTCCCGTCAGCAGACGCGTGATATGACGCCCTGGGCTGTTCGTCTGCAGGCTGCTGTCCGTGGCATACTTGTCCGTCGGCGATGGAGAGCATACATCGCTCGCATTAAGGCAGTCTCTCTATACGTAGTCAAGACTCAGGCCCAGATTCGTGGCGTCCTCATACGTCGGCGATTCGAGAAGCTGAAAGCAGCCCTGAGGAGTGCCCGTGCAATCGTGGTAAAGATGCAATCAACTGCTCGCGCCAAAATCGTGAAGCGGAACCACAACGAAGTAGCGAAGACGTTCGCGCGTGCGGAGGTAGCATTGTCTGTGGTGAATATCCAAGCTGCCGCGCGCGGCTTCCTCCTCCGGCAGGCGCTTGCGAGAAAGCTCAGACAACTGGATGCAGAGGAGGAGACCATCATGGATCTGCAGGCACAGTGCCGCGGTGTTCTTGTGCGGAGACGCATACGGACGCAACTCGCCAAGCTGGATGATGTGTCTGCAACTGTTGTGCGCATACAGGCAGCCGTGCGGACTTATCTCGCACGCAAACGTCTTCTTCAGCTCATCCGAGGTTTGCGGCGCGCGACTCCTATGCTTATCGGTCTGCAAGCGCGTGCCCGCGCGAGCCTGACTAGACAGCGGCACCGTAATGTTGCAAAGGCCCTCTGCGAGCTGAAGGTCGTAGCGAGTGTTGGAGGGTTCCAAGCTCTTGCACGAGCTGCGATCATGCGGAACCGCCACCGTGAACAGCAGAAAGAACTAGAATTTGTTGCTCCGGATGTGAACGGGTTTCAGGCGGTGGCGCGGGGGCACCTCGTCAGGAGAGATTATCATGCGTGGCGAGACCATTTGCGGCGGAGTCAGCCTGCAGCCACGATGTTGCAGGCTTTGTTCCGTGGCGTGCTCCAGCGGAAGAAATATCGTGCGAAGATTCAATATTATCGCACGAATCTTGACAAGGTTGTCAAGATCCAGTCGCTCTTTAGGGCGAAGGAGACTAGGGAGCAGTACAGGCAACTCACGCTGGGCAAGAACGTCACCGTTGGAACGATCAAGAACTTCGTGCATTTGCTGGACGATTCGGAGTCAGATTTCCAGGATGAGATCAAGGTGGAACGGCTGAGGAAGCGCGTAGTGGAGGGTATTCGTGAGAACCAGGCTCTGGAGAGTGATGTCAGTGATCTCGATGTGAAGATTGCGCTTGTCGTGCAGAATGTGAAGTCGTTTGAGGAGCTTATCAAGGCGCGGAAAAAGTACGGTGCGGACAGCGCTGCTGCTCATGCTACTAGGGCGTCTATCCTTGCTGCGCATGGAGACCCCTTTGCCGGCCCGAATACTCTTGACCATGCAGCGAAGAAGAAGCTGGAACTGTACCAGCAGTTATTCTATCTCTTACAGACAAGAGCAGAGTATCTAGGTGGACTCTTCGTTCAGCTTTCTGACGAGACAGCGGAGAAGCACAGGCGGTTGACAGAGCGGGTCGTGCTCACATTGTTTGGGTATGGTCAGGACCGAAGGGAGGATTATCTTTTCTTGAAGTTATTCCAGGTGCGCCTCACGCAGTTTGTGGTGTCTGGTTATTGATACAGCTATTTTAGCTTTCGATCCGCGAGGAAATCCTGGCTGCGCCATCGATTTCGGATGTTGTACATGGACATCCAATGTATATTAACATAGCAGTGCAGTACGTCCGCCCACGACAGGTTACGTACATCCGTGAAACGCTGCAGGGGATCATTCGCGAACTCCTGGAGGCTGTCGATCTTGACTTGGAACCTGATCCTACAGTGGTGAGTATTCTTGTGCTTCTAGTATGACGACGTTTCACCTTGTCTAGATCCACCGATCACGAATAAATGTGGAGGAAATGCGATCTGGAATCGCAAGCACGAAGCCCAAAGATGTTCCATTTTACGAGGCTTTGAAGGATCCTGATACTAGGGCTGAGTACATCAGACGCACGTGTTTGCTTCTTCCTGAAGTGTTGGTGCTTATTATGATAAGTTTACAGATCTCCAGAAACTTCAGTGGTGGACTGAAGCCTTTGCCGCATCCATATTTGAGTCAACTCGCAGGATACCCTACAGCGTGCGGTTCATGGCGCGCGAAACATTTCTTCAGTTGAAGGAAAAGTTCCCTGGAGCGCATGATGAAGTGTACGCGGCCTGCATTGGCAGGCTGGTATATTACCGGTACTTGAACCCTGCTATCTTGTATGTTTTCGTCTTCGGTCTCTCGTAACAGGCGCTCATCACCCAGATTTGCAGATCGCCTGAAAACTTTGATATGGTCGCATCGGTAGATATTGCAACCAGGAAGAATCTCTCACAGATCTCCAAGGTCTTGACGCAAGTTGCATCAGGCTCCGAGTTCAATGATGATCAACCTAATTATGTGCCTATTAACGAGTGCGTGCGCACGTTGATCATGCAGATGACAAATTGGCTAGTGCGAAGTGAGTTATTTTTTATTATTATGTCCAACGTGTCTGGTATTCATCCCCTTTGATAACCAGCGGTCGCGGATGTCCCCGATGCTGAAAGCCATTACCATGCCCATGAATTCTTGGATGCTACAGTACAACCAAAGCCTATTTACATCTCTCCGAACGAGGTGTACGGCATGCATGTCCTGCTCTCGCAATATCAAGAGAAACTGGTGGGTGTATTCAATCAGGAAGAATGCTTTGATGCTGAAGAATATACTGCAAGTCTCCTGATCGACACGATGCCTTGCGTGTTATCTTGCACGAGCTGGATGGCGTACCTCATCTTGATAACGATGAGCTCAAGGATGCCAGAGATCGTGCGGTTACTCTGGAGCTGACGAACAGGTTTGCTCATGTCCGAGGTAAGCTTGGAATACTCGATATTGACGACGTTTGTTGACGGGAATGTAGATCCACAAGCTGACGAGAAAGCGCTCTGGGTACAAGCAAAGCGTGGTGTGCTTGCAATCTTACGCGTCCAACCTGCGCAAGATCTTGTTGAATCTTTGATGCGTCCTGTGAGCGATGATGATGAACTTCGCTGGGAGAACATATTGGTCGAAATGGATAACGAACCAATGCCACGACGTATGCCTTCAACTTCCGCGGGCGAGTCCGCGTATAGGCTAGAAGATATTCGATCGTGAGTTACAGCGAGAAGTATGGAAGATATTGCTTAACTAAAAATCTATCAAAGGTTGTCCTTCAAAGAAGTTAAAGCTCATGCCATTTTCTTCCTTCTTGAACTCGAGAAACAAGGGAAGATTACACGCAACGACGGATTCCAGGGCATTCTGAATGCCATTGCCAGCGATGTCCGTAGCAAGCACCGCAAGCGGTTACAGCGTCAACAGGAGATGGATAGCATGGTAGACGCCCTGAAGCACCTTTCCGAACGGAAGAAGTATTTTGAAGAGCAGATCGACAGCTATCACAATTACGTTGAAGCTGCGATGGCGACCATGCAGCGAGGCAAAGGGTAAAGACCAATTGTGTTTGTACCATGCATTGCGCTAAACTCTTGAATAGGAAGAAACGTTTTGTTCTGCCATTCACAAAGCAGTACTTTCATCTGCGCGACTTGCAGAAGTCGGGGAAAAATCCTCAGTTTGGATCTTTCAAATACAGTGCGAGGGATTTGTACGAGAAGGGTATATTACTCTCCATCGATCAATTCTCTCCCCGTCAGTTTGATAAAATCGATATCATCATTTCCTCAAACAAACCTGGCATTTTCAGTATGGAAGTGTTCAACAACACGCTGGGGATCACCAATCGGATAGCTTCTACTGATTTGCGCATGGAAGACCTGTTGCAAGCTCAGTTCGAGAACCAGGCTTCCCTCTCCTTATTCAATGGACTGGCAAAAGTCAACATCAGTTTGTTGCTCTACCAGATCAACAAGAAGTGAGTGCCTTTCACCTTGCATGTCTCTACATTCTGACCCTCTTAACTTTCAGGTTCTATGTGTAGTCGAGACGGACTGATCTTATATCTACTGATTTTTTTTGCCTCTGCATCTTGCATCATATATCTTCGCATTTTTTACCTGTAGTCCATCATACAATCATGTATTTCTTTGCATACGAACTGCGATTAACGGCCGTACATATGATAATCACGTTAGCTTACTCTGAAGGTCTCGGCAGTACTGAGCTCGGAGATACCCGCTCAGTCAGATTTATCATGTGCAAGGGTCGAGTCGGCGGGCACTTCTCGTCTCTTTTCATCGTTGCTTACATCGACCATCGATGATCGTCTTATCATGATGAGACACTTTTCATTGCGCAAGTGCCAAACCTTTGTCTTTTGTCTGCTTCTTTGCTTCCTCCCTTTTCCTCACTCACGCTCCTACAAATACATACGAGCAGGTCTCTCCCAATATCTGGGTCACTCAATGTAATCCTCCTAGGGACCATACTATAATTGGCATGTCTGCACAAGCGATGGTGGTTCTGCTCAGTGTCTTTCTTGTCTCTATGTTCCATTGGAACGTTTCCCTATCGGCTGTTGTTCGCATAGCCTGTGGACAAGCCGTACTAGTTTCGCAGTCATGCGGCTCGATTGCGAAAGATAGTTTGAATCCCCGACGGGTGTGTTTCATCAGAGACACTCAGATGTCATAAATATGACCAGGCTTTCATGACATCTTTGAGAGCGTCTGCTATGCGATTAGAATAATAATCTGAATCCGATGACACTTCTGATCAGTTGTAAACTGTTGGTGATGTCGGTATTCTGCAAACCGAAGGCTCGGGGACTGCTGCCGCACAAGCATCCCAGCATGTCATTATGAAAATAATATCGGTTCTCTCAGCGCAGAACAAGTTGATTTCTGGCAGACTGAGTTACTAGGTAGTAGGTAGTGAGGAGAATGAGACATAACGAGATATATACGAATAAATGGGTTGACTGCAGAAAAGATTGGACTGGATTTGCTAAAGCTGTATCTTGGGCTCTCTGTACAGCTTGAGTGCGAGGGAGGAGCAAATCACAGATACAGAGCTAGGATAACACATCAGTATAGGTCATGCCTAGTCAGGAGATACATACGATAATGCCATAGCCAATGACGCCCAGACAGGAGCTAAACGCGCGTGTCCGACAGGGTATATGACGCCAGCAGCGATGGGGACTGCGATCAAATTATACATAAATGCCCACATCTACAAAATATGTTAATGGCGAGAGGTGGTGCAAAGAGAAGGAGGAAGCGTACAAAGTTAACCTTGACGCGGTTAAACACTTTTCTCGACAAGTCGCTCAGTGTGAGTAAAGTTTTGAGGTTAGAGTATAAGAGAATGAACGAAGCGCTAGATAATGCGACGTCGCCTGTTATCGAACTTGGTTAGTATGCACTCTATTAGCGGTTAGATGAACATTGAAGCTTACTTCCACATCCGATAGCTATTCCTATGTCGCTGACAGCCAGCGCCTAACGCCAGTCAATCCAAAACACCAAACGAAGACATGCATAGAGAACTCACAGGTGCATCATTAATACCATCACCAACCATTGCGACGACACAACGCTCATTTGACGTTGACCTGCCCAACATACGTTGCCATCGCGGAGAAGGACGTTTGCCACCATTACGCTGCAGCCACTCAATTTTTTCCGCCTACAAGATAAATCAGACCATGCGGGAAGGAAAGGGACGGGAACAACGACAGACCTTTTGTTGAGGCAAAACTCCAGCGATGACATTCATTTCAGGAATGCCCACGTATTTCGCGACTGCTTTAGCCGTAGTCTCATTGTCCCCTGATATTATCCATGTCCCAATGCCCTCCTCCTGCAAATGCCGTATAACACCAGTAGCTTCCTTCCTGATGGGATCCGACACAGCGAATATCGCTGCAACAACGAATCGATTGTCCAGATCTGCGACCATAATCGCGAGGAGGATGATGCTCTTCGCCTCAGATTTCCACCTCTCGAGCACTCGGAGGACGTCAGGAGAAAGCAGTACATCATGGTCTCGCATCAGGGCCTCGTTTCCTACCATCGCCTTGCAACGCATTTCATCAAAATCTGCTTTGACGCCTTTGCCAGCGATCTCGTCGAACGCGTTGCCAGCAACAGACGTAGCGCCATGCTTCCCCGCATACTGCCTGATTGCATTCGCGAGCGGGTGAGATGACACAGATTCTAACTCCGCGGCAATTCCGAGAAGCATCTTCTCAGGCACCGACGACAACAGGATCTCGGCATCAGACACTCGGGGTTCGCCACCTTCGGTAAGTGTTCCGGTCTTATCGAACACGACGAGGTCAAGTTGAGCCATTTCTTGGAAAGCCTCGCCGCCTCCGCGAGCCAAGATTCCATGTTTGGCTGCGAGGCCGGCTCCCACAAGAAGAGCGGTAGGTGCTGCCAAGCCAATGCCGCAAGGGCATGCCACGACGAATACTGCGATTGCAAACTCGAGAGACCACACGACTACGGAGCTGATGTCAGTACAAAGTTCAGTGAATCACTTGGAAGAAACTCACCCCATCCGCCTACACTTATGTCTAAGTAGCTCCTAGGGATGGCACCGCTGACACCTAAGGCAAGCCATATCAACCATGTGACGATCGCCAGTAGAGTGATGATCGGGACAAAAACGCCTGTAACATGGTCTGCAACGCGTTCAATGGGTGCCCTACGAGTTTGGCCTTCACGGACGATCTGCACAATCTGATCCAGCCTTTAGAATTAGGTCAGACAGACAATATCTTTAGAATCGAAGTTGGGTGACTAACAATGTGACACCGCCAACAGCGTCAACTCGAACATCTACAGCCCTGGACTTGTTGATTGTTCCAAGAAGAACCTTATCCCCGATGTTCTTCTTAATAAGTCGAGCCTCGCCCGTTAAAGAGCTTTCGTCGAAGGACGTCTCCGCACCGGAGACGATTGTACCGTCTGATGGTGGTGTCGCACCATTTTGCACACGCACTACATCGCCAACCTCCAAGAGGTCTACAGGTACCTTCTCAAATTTAAACCCAGGAGATGCAACAAGGCTACCGTTATCGCATGCTACGTCGCATTTTTCAGGGTCATTCCGTGGAACGACCATTGGGACCGTAGAATCAGGAGCAGGGCGAGGAGACAAGACAAGAGCTCCGGCAGGGCGAAGTGACCCAAGTGCAGTAATGGCGTCTGCAGTCCTTGCTTTACTGTATGCCTCAAGGTAGCGACCTAATGATTACTGCAGGTGAGCAGGCAAGATAGGCAATGCGCGGGTTCGACTCACCAGCAAGTAAAAACATAGTCAGGAACACGACATAGTCAAAATATGTTGTTTCTTGCCCTGTACCATCGCTCGAAGGTGGCTGTATTGCCGCAAGGACTAGAACCACGATCGATGAAAAATAAGCCACGGTTACTCCTGTAGAAACCTGCTCATCATGTCATTATCACATGACAATGCGGGTAACATGGTGCACACCAGAAGGTTCATACTCCCAAATCTAGTGAAGCGCTTAATGATGGGAGTCGTGCCCCCTCTCCTCCACAAAGCTTTAATCTCTTTGATACTCCGACGATGAAATGCGCCAGCGCCATAAAAATATACTGGGGTAGCGAGGAAGAAGAGTGCCCACTCGATTCGGGACGCGTTTCCATTCCACATCGGCTGCATTAAATACAGTTTCGTGTGATGACCAGCGGGAAGAAGGCTCATGCAAACGACACCGATGATGAACGTGGGTATCGTAATGATGAACGTGAAAAACAGGTGTTGTAGCAAGACTCGTTTCTCGCGTCGCTGCATGCGATGCGCGCGTTCTTCGAGGGTAGGTGGATGATGGATCGATACACTGTACGACGTCGGTTCCACAGACACAATGGTGGAGATGATGGAGCGGATGGTGAAGTCTGGGGGCGATGGTATGTACGAGACTTCAATTAGGGAATCCAAATGGTTTGATAATGGTTTGATAACGGTGACGTCGGGCTGGAGCTTGTTTAAGGCGGTCATGATTTTGGCTGGACAATGTCTAGTTCGTAGATATCAGTAACCCTGCATGCCACCACAATAAGATTAACGCACTGGCAGTACATTCCGTCGACACGAAGGGATAATTTCCTAGGACCTGTTGTTGTCGCGTTATTTGTTGATGTCAATGGGATGAGGGGCTCGACCTTGATGATGTCGACTTCGAAGCCGCAGTCATCAATCGTCTTGGTCACGGAGCCAACTAGATCCTTTCGAGCAACAATAACTGCGGCAGAGTTATTCAGGAGGCTGACGACTACTTTGGAGATACCAGGGAGTTGTGAAACTATTTCGGTAATGGTGCCCGAGCATGAAGAGCACGTCATACCACCCACGGACAGAGTGACAAGATGCGCCACGTCATCGATGCCTACCTTGTGCAACGGGCTTAGGCTCCATCCTGGGTCCTCTAGTTTGTAGCAACCCGTTGGAGGGACGCTGTTAGAATATAGGTGACCGGTAGTATTACCCTGCAGGAGTGGTGAAACGGTATCATTGAGTAAGATGGCGGCTGCCTCCTGACATGATGAACAATGTTGTATATGCTTTCGACGTTTTTCGGAAAGCATGGTGCTCATCCCCCGTGCTGCTCGTGAAAGCACGTGCTCTGAGGAACTGGCATCTGGGTGAGATACATCAAAGCCAGCATCCTCAAGCATGCAATGTATAGTGTGGGTGGGTGCTGTAGTAGCATGCTCGACTGTCACTGACTGGTGCACGATGGATACGTCTACCCTTGTTGGAGGGGGAGAAAGAGAGAAGAGCACTTCATTGATTGTGTTTACACAGCTGAGACAAAATCAACATCAGCAGAATAAAAATAATGAGGGTTGTATATACCTGCTACAGTGAAGATTAGCCACAGAGATGGTGGTGACATGGGTTTCGGACGGCGAGTTCATCAAATAATACAGCGGTTTTCAAGTTCGGTGCGATTAGATGAAGTGGGAGAAAAGATGAGGGGTGGGGGAACAGGATACGCCAGATTGGTCGTGGGTTCTGTGAGCACATTATATAGTGGAGGCATAGCAAGATATTTCTGGTTCACCAATATTGAGTGCATGTGTGCGCCACCACTGTCCACAAAATGCCTCATCGCGCACAATTGCCTCATAGTGTTACGTCAGCAGGCTCTTGTACGCATCTGTACAGTTACTTCAGTATTTCAAAATTTCACCGTGATCACATAGCATCACCAATTGACCATAGCTCCGAGAGGTATATTACCTATAGGCCCATCTAAAAATCCAACTTGGTGGCAATGTCTTGCAAGAGTTACTGTAAATTAAATACTTGGTTTTGGATATGTTTAAATGATTTATCAGCCAAATGTGGTGAGTAATATTGTTCAGGCGTCTCCACCAATCAAATGAGCGCGCTACAGCTGAAGTCGTAAGCGTTCGTAAGTATCCATGGCGCTCTCAAGCTAAACGTTCATTTCAGAGGCGGCCCTAGGTCACGGTGCAGAATTTACCAAGATTGACGTAGAAGATCCCATGGATTGTCTATATCGGGCAGATGTGACAAGGACGCCGAGACCCAGTTGGAGGATAGCATGGAACAGGGGAACAGGGAGACTAATTATACCTTGAGCATCTGAGTGGATACAAGTCGGCACCCACGCTTGAATGATTAAGTAAGCGACAAAGTGAAGGTGAAAATTTTAAATTGTACGTACCCCTATAAATCGGCTCAGCACCACATCTGCACTAAAGTCTCAGCTCTAAATAAAATATCTCACGCAGATTGGTATTACACTTCTACCATTCTAGAGAGGAGACAGGTTAATTCGACCTCGCGGATGCGCCTCACACGACCTTCCGATCATCGCAAATGTTCTATATGAGTCCTTTAAATGGTGGTTCGAGTTGGAGTATACTATAAATTCGTAACTTTGTACACTCTCGCAGCTGTGCATTTTGCGAGTGGCAGATCTGCCACCCTTGTTAGCACTTTTCATCCAAACTCGAAGTCTGTACATGATTTTCAGAAGAAACTCAATTGGGAATTTCCAAATGTTGAAATTTCCTGCTAAGGTTTAGATATCGATGAAGGACTTCAAAATTTGAAACAGGCTCAAGGTCCTGGTCGCGTGCTGTTCTCAAGTATGCCTGCAGGTACGTTTGCTCAATTGTTTTCACAGTGTACGCTGTCGTATCCGAAGTTCAAATTATTTGACAGGACTACGGAGCCTAACTATTTGAATTCGATAGGCTGCACCATCTTCAAATCTATTGATCTATCATCATGTTCAGAGACAGGCAATCTCGAATTTCAGCTTTTTTAAATTCTCCAGAACGTCAATCTCCTCGGTCTAGCTCAAATGTTACAAGGTCTTCTTCTTGTTCTTCCATTGCTTCCAGCGATGACCGGGCGCTCTTCCACGATACTAATCGCTCCCCTGTCATCCTCGGTATCTGTGCAATGGACATCAAAGCCAGATCAAAGGCAATGAGAGAAATACTCACGCGACTGGTGGAGAGAGCCCACGGTGCTATTGAAGTCAAGGTTTTTGGTGATAAGGTTATCCTTGATGAGGGTGTGTACCATGTTGTCTCCCTCCCTTCTTTTGCCGTTCCTTAATGCCCCCACTGCTTACTCACGCTCCTGTTAGATGTCGAAAATTGGCCCCGTTGTGATGTACTCATCTCTTTTTTTTCCACCGATTTTCCCCTGGACAAGGCCATATCTTACGTTAAACTCCGTCACCCCTTCTGCATCAACGACCTTTTACCGCAGGCTTTACTATGGGATCGTCGTCTGGTTGGAGCTATTCTTGACCATTTACATGTCCCGACACCCAAGCGACTAGAAGTTTCTCGCGATGGTGGTCCTCAAGTTGATACAGAACTCAAAGACGCAATGTCAAAGAAGCTTGGCGTCACACTAGGTGGCTTCAGAGTGACCCCTGAAGTCTCACTTCGCGAAGATGGGAACGCCATTGTCATTGACGGGCAAGTCCTAGAGAAACCCTTCGTGGAAAAACCTGTTAGCGGTGAGGACCACAACGTTTATATTTATTTTCGGGGTGGTGGAGGGCGCCGCCTCTTTAGGAAGGTATGTATTGGTTTAATGGTCCTCTCACACATTCTAACTTATCTCTTCCTAGGTCGGTAATAAGTCAAGTGATCTCGATCCTTTGTTGAATCATCCGCGGACGGACGGATCATATATCTACGAGGAATTCATCGACGTCGATAACTCTGAGGACATCAAGGTTTATACGGTCGGCAAGGACTACTTTCACGCTGAAACTCGGAAATCCCCTGTGGTTGATGGCGTTGTCCGCCGAAACACGGAAGGCAAGGAGATTCGGTCTGTCACTCGGCAATTTGTAACCCCTCATCGCTCATGGACGAATCAGATTTATTACTCATCTGAGTGAGGAGGAGAAGACGTACGCTGCGAAAATATGTCAAGCATTTGGTCAGAACGTTTGCGGCTTCGACATGCTTCGATGTGAAGGAGGCAAGAAAACTCAAATTATCGATGTTAATGGATGGAGCTTTGTCAAGGGAAATGAGAGTTATTATGGTAAGCGACGATACGATGTGACATCCTGTCTATTCGGCTTTGTGCCTGATTATCATCACTTAGACAAGGCTGCCGAGATCTTGGCTAACCTCTGCATCCATGTGTCATCCTCGCCAGAACGTCCGATACCCTCAGCGGACACTACAACCAAGGGGCAGCCACCAACATGGATCCTCAAGGCAAATGTAACGGTCTTCCGACACGCTGACCGCACGCCCAAACAGAAGTTGAAATTTAATTTTCCTATCGGTGACGTATGGACGCAGCCTTTCGTTCGACTACTCAATGGAGAGAAGGAGGAGATAATCCTTCGCGAGACATCTCAACTTAATCTTATCGCCCAAGCAGTCGAGGAGGCAAAAGCTCTGGGCGCGAGTGGCGATGACCTGGCGAAGCTCACGCAACTCAATACTGCGCTTTTCAACAAGATCAACCTTCCTGGGACCAAGGCGCAGCTGAAGCCTGTATATTCGAAGAGACAGGCTGGTCAGGCAAGGAGGTTGACAAAGCTGACCCTGGTCTTTAAATGGGGTGGTGAAGTGTGTCGATTCCTGTACGTTCGTACCATTTATGCTGATGCGAATTTCTTGGCACAGTTCACGCATTCAGCAAGATACCAATCTCGCGACCTTGGAGAGAATATGAAAAAGGATCTGACCATTATGAGTAAGTACATCACAATAAGGAGAACGGTACCGCTGACCTTCGTATTCAGATAAGGAAGCTCTTCAGAATGTCAAGGTTCGTTTGTTGCCCATAGAGATAGTGGTATTCTAAATTTATAGTCTAGATCTATACCTCCTCTGAGCGCCGCGTGATTGCATCCGCCGAGATTTTTGCTGCAGCACTCGTCGACAACATCTCTTCAAGTTTTTCCGTTTGTTCGTCGACTCCTAGCAGCTCCCTTTCTTCGCGCTCCTCTCAAGATGGCAGATTAAGCTCACAAGGGACGACACCTCCGGAACTGATCATCCGTAAAGACCTTCTCGATGACTCTAATGCAGCCAAGGACTTGATGGACGACGTGAAGAAGCGCCTGAAGATATTGTTGAGACCCGGTGAACCTGAGAAGCGTCCCGAGCTCACATGGCCAAAGAGCATGAAAAAAGAGCCGGTCGAAGTTGTCAAGGTCTGTCAACATATTGCACATCCAGAGGGGCGTCGAATGCTCACGCTACATCATTACAGGAGGTCATTGAACTTTTGAGCTCCTTCCGGGCAATCATGCACAAGAATTTCGAGACTATGGATGTGGACACGATCCAGGAACGATGGTATGAAAATTGATCGACCTTTGAACAATGTCAGGTTCACGAATTTCTTCAGGTGCTGTGATGATGAACCCTGGTTGTTCAGGGAACGCTGGGACAAACTGTTTGAGGATTTCTGCGATGTCGAACAAAAGAAGTTTGACCCTTCTCGTGTAAGCACCTTGTAATGTGCACTCACCTGGTGACTGACTACTGATCTTGCAGGTCTCCGAGCTTTACGATACCATCAAGTATTGCGCGCTGCACCACCGAACGTTCTTGTTCTCGATCTTTGACCAAAACGCTGGCCACGGCCAGGATCCGAGCCAGACTCAAGATCGCAAGTTGCATGAACTTTACGGGCGTGCTAAAGCTCTATTTGATCTAGTGGCGCCTCAGGAATACGGCATTGAGGCTGATGAAAAGTGTGACTTGATAAACCACGATTCGTTTGTATAAAGTTGAACTTTGTACAGGGAGCAGATTGGCGTCCTAACTTCATTACCACTACTTCGGAAAGTCGTAGAAGACCTCGAGGCTGCACGAAACAATGGCGCCAGTTCCTTGACCCTTTATTTCACCAAAGAAAGCCATATTCATACGCTTGTCAATCTCGTGCTGCACTCCGGCTTGCCAATTGCGAATAGGCGGATACCCGAGTTAGATTATTGTGTAAGTTCAGTTCATATCTGAGCTTGGAAGTATACTGATAAAGGACTCTCTTTGTAGTCCCATATCACGTAGGTTAATTCATCGTGTCCGTTTGCCGACTAACTTCCACCCTAGGTTTGAACTCTACGAGCGCAATTTTGGGCGCGGGAATTCTGATAAGGAATATTCAATTAGACTGTCCCTTAGTGAAGGTGCTCACTCGTCGAACGTCCTGGACTCTACTTTGGATGCACGTCATTCTTTAAACGTACAGCCCCGAAGGTGACACATTTCAGTGATCATTAGATTCGCCTCATGAAGCTAATGACACTTTGTAGGAAATTGACGCAGCACCTTCCATACAGCCTCGTCATCGAGAAACTCTCTAAGCACTTCGGCAAAATGACCGAGGTACGTTCCAATTAGTGTGCTGGAATATGTCCCACTGACGCTAGCAGGACGATGACACGGGAACGGATACCCCATTCGAAGCGAATAATTTCCGGGGGTATTTCCCCAGTATCCACGAGACTAATAGCAGCAGCGATGATAGATGAAACACCCTGTCGTCATTTTGAGTTCTAGACTGCGGGGCGGCGTCCGAACCATGATACAACTATCGCGAACAATCGCGCCTTAATGCAACTATATTATTAGACCCCCGTAGTAAGTTTGCGTACAATAGGTGTGTGGATGACTAGTATACCATACTCCATATAGTAGCTCATGCACCACGAGTGCTCATTTTGAATATTCTGTATGAACGGAGAGGGCCCTAAGCACTTCGTCGACTTCATTTGGTTTCAAAGGGGTGAACCGTAACGAGTGGTTCTTCTTTGGGCCTGAAGTGTCATAGAGAGCACTGGGGGATTGAGATAGCTCTGCGGATTGCTTTGCTAACGTCGCAAAAGACGTTCGATTGTCGCAATAGCTGTATGCAACATGAATACTGTTACCTAGAGTGGTAAGGCTTGTTATTACTTACAGCCTACGAAACTATCAGCAAAGGCAACTCTCAGGACGTTTGTAACTCACTTGAAAGCTTCTTTGTTCAAGACATCTTCCTCGTGGAACTTGTCCAGAGTAGGCTCCTTGAACGTGCTCTTGATAAAATGCAGAATATGATGTATCTGGTGCTCTTTGGGTCTGAACACGCGTATCAGCTCCTAGTTAACTTATGGCAGAACGTCACAAACCTCCATGGTCGGAAACGAGGTGCAAGACTGTAAGCTCCAGTCCGGGGGTCAACGAGGGGATGGAAAATGTCCGTCAGGAACCGCACCGTCGGGGATCGTTCAGGATAATCGTTGGGGAACGTTACGGTGAACTTTAGCACAGAATCCTGGTAATATCCTGATAAGAATATGAAACCGAACGGCGCACCAGTGAGTATTAAGAATGCTGACCTTTGTGTACAAAGAGAACGGCGTCCCACACCAGGATGCTCTCCACAGAAGGAGTGATGTACATGCCAGTTGGACAGTGATTGATGTTTCTCAGTGATGCATACTGGAAGTTGAGAGTGGCGCGGGTCGCTGGACTTATGATGGATCCTTCAGGATGTGCTGAGTCCGTAGCTTGGGCGATCTTTGTTGAAACGCTCCTGCCTTTAGTAAGACCAAGGTCGATTGTGGGGGAAGGAACGAGACTGGCACTCAGCATGTTTATGTGTCGACGGTTCAAGAAAGGTAATCTGCTTCCATATGGTCTTGAGCTTTAACGTTCTTAACTCTTGACCGTAACCAAGTTTACCAGTCAGGGCAGGTCGGAACAAAGTGAGCAGTGCAATATACTGGACGCATCAACGAAACTCAATTAACAGACAACATGATGAGGGTAATTTAAAGCTAACTTGAAGTACTACTAGGATCTGGTTGTTCACTAGGGACGCCGTCCCCCACCGTCATGTGCAGGATGGTGACCCTAGCATACAATCCGACTCCCTGTCAACAACACCCTAAGTCTCTTGTGAGAGCTCTGATAGCGGGAAATATATCGAGCCGCTCTTTTCATCACACTCCCAAACCGTCGACTTTAGGGTTGAAATCATCTATAGTAACCACCTTTATACCTGGGTCCACTGCTCCCCCGTGCTTGTCCCCGGTCCCGGTCCCTGCCTTTGTCCTTGTCCCACTCTCGCGAATCTCGTCGTTGCCGCTCTCGGTCACGACCTGAATCTCTACGAGAATACTCACCATCTCGGTCTCTAGCATTATGTGACGCTCCACGTATGCGGTAAGACTCCGGTTCCTTTGATGGACCATGGTAATCACCGTTCCGCCGTCGAGGACCGTGGTGAGGGTTGTCCCCTAACCGATCAATAAGACTTTTGCGAGGTGAATCTGATGGGGGTGGCATGAACTGGCGTCCGACGTCCTTCATCGAACTGCCGAATTTTAGAGCCTTTCGACCATTTGACGCAGGTTTGTCATTCCCGCGGTTCTTCAGGTTACGGGGATTATTGAACCAGTCCCCTGTGTCATCATCTTCTTGATCTCTGAACCTCTTTGCCATCTTTTCCTTGTCTTTGTTCTTCCCTTGTTTTCCGACATTTGTAGGTGCATCCATACCCCAGTCATCGCCTAAGGGAGGTCCGTCTTCTTCATTCTGCAACTCTCGTGGCCCACGGCGAATGCGAACAGGCTCGGATACCGGGTCATAGAATGGTCCAGACATGATATTGTGCGAGCTGAAGGCTGAAGGCTCAGCGGGTATGTCAAAGACGAAAGCGACCTCGTCGCAATCCTGTGGGGCTTTGTCAGAAGGCGAACCAAGACTGGCAAGAACACATACATCTCCCAGGTGTCCTGTATTTCCACAATTATAACAATACAGCTCCAATGCAATGTATCCCTCTCCTCCTGTTCCGAATCCAAGTTTCTTTTTTTCTTCCCTAGTCTGCAAGATTTTCACGCGATCCTCGTCTGTAACGTACTGGTATATTCTCCATAGCGTAGGACATTCCTTGTCGAAGTAGGAAGATGAACGGCAAAACGCGTGAAAATTAAACTGCTATCTTACATTCATCTTATGAACTTTCGATGCACATCGGCCACAACAATCGACCATATCTGCTGCGAGCCTTGAACGCGAGAAACGATTTGGGCAGGTCTGAAACCCATAAGATTGGGTGTGAGACAGATGACAAAAATTTTCACCTTGTTAATATGACCTTTCATCCCACAAGTGTAGCAAGTCTTGCTAATAGGACAGCTCCGCGTTGAATGTTCGTCACGAGCACCACAAGTCAGACACTTCAAAGCAGAATGAGCAACACTAGGCTGAGGCATTCAAAAAACTGACCACTTGAATCGGACATTCATACGTCTTATGCTCGCCCTCTGCACCACAATTCTTGCATACAAAACGTGATGGTTTAGCGTGAGCAGCCTCCTCTGCTTCCGTATCGAAGTAGCGAACAAGCCCGGGTGCCTACGAAAGACATGAGCGACTTATCGTGATTATAACTACTGATGGTTGCACACCTTCCTGTCTTCATAGTCAAGATATTCAATGTAATCTTCCTCCTCAGAATCCACAGGTAGCTGAGGAACGATTTCAACCGGTATTGCACCATCCTCGCCAGCAGTCAAGATATAGACATGAGAGGGTAGTAGAAGTCGGTCTGCTGCACTTTTGGAGCTTTCTGGTTGGGATTTTGGACTTTGTGCGGGTCCTGTGACCACGGGAGCAGGGGTGGCGTCAAAGAAGAACAATTCCTGGTCAGAAGGTGCTGGAGCTGGTGAGTGACGTTTTGGAGACGCTGATCGCCTTCTAGAAAGAGTTGCAGCGCAAGAATCCACGGTACTTCGACGCTCGAGAGACTGGTTTCTTGAGCTGTCAACGCCATCGCATGTAGGGCCTTTGGACTTTCTCCGTTTTCGTGGCTTCCGCTTTGACTTTTGCGAGGAAGGATCTTCCTGGTTGAGAGAGACCATAGGTATTTCCCCATCAGACAATATCTCGATAGGTTCTAGCGGAGGAGAAGAGACCGTTAAATCTATGATTTCAGGCATTATAATGGCGGATAACCAGTGGCGAGGTCTCGCATAAAAAGGTGTGAAAGATGTGCTACACCTTCAACCGCTGGCGGGCTGCAATTGCACCCGCCTAAATAAGGCAGGTCAATTGAAGTCACGCTCAACTCCGTACGTAAAGCCCTCCGTAGTCTGGAACTATGGCATAGGGTAGTACATAAATTTCACTGGATAAGGACGGAGAATATGATTGCAACTCTCGTGCTAATCACACCTACAGATTCGTACAGTATACTTACCCGGACTTGCAGTCTTACTTTCCTCACACATCGGACTCATCAGAAATATTATTCATGTCCAGTTGCGAGCGATCCTCTGGATAGAAAACGATGTATTTTAGGCGGTGCATGTTGAATACAGGTATGGCTTGTAGTGCTATTGCTACAGGTTGTTGAAACTAGATGGATATAATTATCAGATGATACGTCCACAATAGAACCTATGGCAGCGTGGTGGTGTCTCAATGACTATAATCATATCTTTAAACGATTGTCAATATTATAGTCAGGGATCAATTACAACAAATCACACCCACTTCTTGTAGAACGTCTCAGAGTCTGAAGGGACAGTCTAAAGTTTCATAAATCAACCAAATTGTTGCTAGATGAGTGAGATCAAAACAAACCTCATTTCTCGCACCGCGACTTTTTCGCCCCTGTTTCTCGAGTTCTCGGCGGTATTCGCGGTCCTCTCTAAGCCACTGCAGAGCAGTATTGTATAATGTGGGGGTCTGAGGACCGTTGGTAAAGCCTGATGGCCATGCAGTAGGCTCTGTGGCAAAGGAACCGAAACGCATGTGGGCGACGTGAGTAGGGAATGAATTGAGTCCGTCAAAAATATGCGTTGCATCTGTGTGAATAATCAATTAATGCTGAAAAACTACAGAACTTTTGACTCACAAATAATGGTAGCTCCACGGGCGATACTGTCGTTTCGAAGGAATGTAAGTAATTCATCACGAACCATGACGTCAAGGTCAACAGTGACCTGCACACGGGTCGCTCAGACAACCTCACAGATATGGCATGAAAGAACGTACTTCATCTAAGAGAAGAACATCCCATGGTGCCATGAGGCCCATGCAAAGCTGAATGCGGCGACGTTCTCCATCGGAAATTGCATGCATATGCCAGTCTAAGTCCACATCTAGAATGTCTAGAAGTTTGTCTCTCCTTTCCTTGTATTTATATCCTCCCACGGAGTCCAAGAAGGTGGATACCACAATATCACTCCGTACTACTGGATTCATTGCCCTAAAGAACAGGACGATTAGACCTTAAATGATGAATTGCGGTCATGATGAGAATAGGAAGCTACCGACCACTCCGTGCCTAGGAAGGTAACGCCAGGCGGGGAATCTCTGAAGACATCTAGGCCTTTGATACGTATCTCAGCATCTTTTACTAGTCTTTTACCCGCCAAGATCTGCAGGAGGGTAGATTTTCCGGCTGCGTAAGGGATCAGTACTAAAGGCGGGAAGGGTAGCAAGGTACACTTGCCTCCATTGGCGCCAACCAAGATTGTTCGAGATCCAGGTCGGAGATGAAAAGTGATGTTATCCAAGGAAGGGGGTTCATTAGGAACATGATGATAAGTCAGACACTCGACTACGATAGTGGACTCGACGAGGCTAGACATTATGATAAAGGAATTGGTGAGAATTCTTAAATATTAAATAGTAGAGTCTCACAAACTAAATAATTAAATAATTTTTTGGATGAAGTACTGCCGTGAGCGTGTTACCCAGCTTGTGCTAATAAAAGATGGTTATAGAAGAACAAGCAAGTCATGAGTACTAGTATTACCGTGTTCCTGGTTCGCTGGCCAACACCAAAATCGTGGGAAGACACTCGTCACTAGGCTCGTCTCTAGACTTTCAACTTGGCTAGCACCCAGTTGCAGGCCATCCCCATCCTCCACCATCGTTGCTTGTGGTGAGCAGCTGTGGTAGGAATCAAGTTAAACAAAACTTGGCCTTAAATTTCATCGAATCACACTCATTTATTCTGTTTCTCTTTTCTACTTCTCTCTGCAGATCATGTTCTTAGATACCAGACAATGTGTCACTTGCCCTGCAGCTCCTCCATCTTGCACTTGCTCAGCCGATCAGAGCTGCATTCAGATAACTAGGTCTGTTCATTTCAATCGGCAACTCTGATCATATTTGATACTGACTTCATACCAGAACGTGCAATGTCTGCCCAACATTTACTTGTCAGGCAAAGAGCACTGCCACCTCTAGTAACAATGGGGGTGTCAGTTCAGGCGCACTCGCAGGCGCAGTCACTGCCATAGTTCTGGTCCTTGTAGGGGTTTTGGTACTCTATTTCTGGTACCGTCGTCGTGCCACTGCCAATAAGGCTCTGGAGCAAGCTCAGGAAGCCAAGGACGAAGCTCCCGCCCCTGCAGAAACAGTTCTCAATCGTCCAGATCCTACCGAAAAGCCGCAGCCACCGATGCCTTCTGAACCCAATACCGTCAGAGTGTTCATTTCATCTTCGCACAGCGTTATCGACCTCGATCCGCAGTCTCGGGGTCCATCCGCGACCGGCACCCCTTCTCTCAATACCCCTACTACTCAACCTAATCCATTTGACGATGGTAACTCTATACAGACTACATCAACAGGTACAAATGGCACAAATGTCATCCCTATTGCCCTAGTATCCCCTGGCTCTGCATCAGCTAATTCTATGACACCTTCATGGCCTTCGGGATCTGCTGCAACTTCTTCTCCCGTCCGGCCCGCTCGGGCACCCGACTTGTCCTTGAATGACAACGCTTCTGCAGTGTCTGATGGATCTTTGCGTGGTCCAAACCCGTGTTACGCACAGAGTCAGCGCTCAGGATCGTCGAGGATGTCATACATGTCAAATGCCAGCTATGCCAGTGATTTCCTCAATGAAGCACCGATGATTATCACGCAAGGCCAAGGTGTTAGGCAGGTTTTGGGAGTTGTCAAAGCAGAAGTCATCCAGACCCCAGGTCCATCTACACCCGTATCATCACATCTATCCGTGAACAGTATTCCGCCTGTTGCTTCTCGGCCTTCAATTCGTTCGCCCCTTGCAGCCAGCTCTTTTGGCCCCGCTGATGCCTTGGACGAGACAGAGGAAGAGCAAAAATCTCCGCGCAGCGACCCGTTCGGGGATCACCATGAATTTGAAGTCCACGGTGACATCTCAAACCAGTCGCGCCCAGTCTCGGAAGTTTCTCTCCAATTACCTCGTCTCCCGTGGTCCACTAATAGCGGAGAGAGTCGTCCGTCCAGCGTCAGCACTCAGGCCGGGTCTATTATAGATATCAGCAGTGCCACGCGTGTCAATGTTGGACTACTTTGCCCAAAGAACCCCGAGAAGTCGCCCAGGACAACCATGGGTAGACTGGTATCATCATCCTCGGCGCAGACCTCTCGCCAGCCAGCATCCCTTGAGGAACAGCAGCAATTAGCCTTGGCACACGCACACGCACAAGCCCGTGCCCAGGGCTTGGATCGCAAGCGAATCTCGGGTTCCTCGGTTGTTTCTGCCACCTCAACGCGGGCAGATTCTATCCTCGAGTCGTTCCCCTTCGTCCCCCCTTCGCCGATCTCATCGCTTCCTATCCGTTCTCCGCCTCGTTCTCCTCTACACCAACGGTTCTCTGCTACACAGTCGCAGCCTCCAATCTTTGAGGCAACACCTCTTTCACCATCCCCTGCACAGGTACAGGATACCACTCCTTCAGACGTGCCAGAATCCGCAGAGACCCAACTGCCCCCGTTAGACCCCCCTCCCAGCCGCCGGACCTTGGGACTGTCCACAGCTTCTCAGGTTTCCACGGCATCATCTGGCCTCGGGCCATTCCCATTCCAGATTGATTCTGGAAGCAATGATGGTAGCACACCACCATCTGCTTTTCAAGGACGTCAAAGAGCCAGCTTGGACACGCTTGCACTGATGAGCGATTTGTCTTCATTTCCTCTTAGCTACGACCGGGATGAACGAGAAAGCTTTTCTCAACAAATTACAAAGGGTTGAAGAGCCGATATCCGTGTGCTCTCATTGATATGGATGCCACGCCTCTGGACCACTTCGACCAGCTGGCCTGACGGGGTTGTGTTAGGGTTCTGTATATGAATTGTTGTATTCTGGACTTCTTTCTCCTATGCTTGGTATGGGCTTTACCGCTCTCGATATTTCGGAAGGTTTTAGTAGTGCTCACAAATTTACTTGCTAAGTTCTGCTTCTTTGCTGAACGACTTTCTTTCTACCTAGTCAATTGAAGGAGTTTTATTCTTCGGGTCTGGTGGTCATTTATTTATACATTTTTATGGTTTTAGCTGCAATATTGGCTAATATCTTGTGACCAAAATGTCACATTGCAATATCCATCACACCTTTGAACTCGTACAATTAGAAGGTAGATCTACCACCATAACGGTATACATAGTCTCTTGCAGCAGCCATGGATAGAGAGGTACGACAGCTGGTGGAGATGGTAAGACCTGGTTTTGTGATTCCAGCCCAGTGCCATATTAATTGGCTGGTAGGGTGCGTCGGAGGCACAAGCTCAAGCTGCTCTTCGTCGGTACAAAGATGTAATGCAAGCAGCCGAGCGGATCTTCGAAGGTGAGTTCGCCGACGTAGAAGAGACGGATGGAGATGTTAGTATGGAGTCTGCTGCTCTAGTAGCGCCCATCACCCCATCACGAACCCCGCGTAGTGTTGTATGTAACTCATCGCTATTTGGGAAAATGGTCTTCATCAGTTTTGGTTAGACACCGGATGAGGACGGAGAAGGAGAAGACGACAATGACGTAGACATGGACGAAGATGAAGATGGGGGTGAGTGGCTTCCTGGATAGTTCCCTCTGATACATTAATCGCTCCTCAGCGGATGATTATGTCGACTATGACTCTGATTACGACGAGAAGGCCAGAACTGTGGTCGAAGCTGATCCATATGCTGGCGAGTACACCTTTGTGTTTTGTTCCGTCGGTGTTTCTGATGGTTTCGAAGGCGTCTTCTTCTCAAAGGATCGTCGTGAAGAAGTCATAGAAGTTGAAGAGGAACCCGAGACAGCATTCATGCCAGACACTAACGAGCAGGTGAAGATTATGACACAAGGTCAGTGGATGAAGGGTTGTCCAGAGGGCGGCGAACAGGGTTTCTTGTTCGGTCTCTACAACGAGCTAAGCAGTGGTGACTGCCTTTGCCCCCAATCATGTGGACATAGAATCCAGAGATCCAAGAGTAACTTCTTCGCCATTTTTGTGTGTAAAGCTGTTTTCTTTACAAAGTCGAGAGCTGATTTACATATAGCCAGATTTCTTGCTGTACATCCAACATCTTCGTCGTGTCGTAAAGCGCACTTGTCTTTCATGCAAGGTGGATTTTTGTTTCGCGTGCGGAGAACCTATCAACACTGGAAGCAATCGTGACCCTTCCTCTTCGGGTGATGATAATCTATTCCATTGTTCCAATCTGCAAGGCGTTATATTGGGCATCGGGCTCGCTATGTTGGAATCCACGTTCTCCGAGCAGCGTCAACAAACCTCCGAAGAGAGTTCTCAGAAATCAAAAACGAACAAGAGACGGAAAACCGATCTGCACTCTTCTTCGTCTACTCCGAAAGGGGATGATGACGAAGATGATAGCTATTATATGTCTTTGCCAGTGGGGAAGAAGTCGAAAGGAGGTATTGGTTACGCTGGTGATGTGAAGGAAGATGTGAGTTTTCATGTGAACATCATCAGTAATTGTTTTCTGAGAAGATGCAAGACTTCTGGCCAACTAGAAGCTCAGGCTATCCAGCGCCTCAAAGATGAGAAGATCGGTACGATACTTTCCCAGATCCGCGAATATCTTCCGTCCCTGCGTCGAGAAGGAGGTGCACGAACCAGTGACTACATGGTTCACCCGACGGCTCTTGCGCATCTCCGCAGACGCTTTAACTATCTCTGCACCACTCTACTCAGGAATGATTCCCTTTCAGACATGTCAGATCGTTCTGTGCTGTACTTTGAGTTATTTGAGTGGCTCGAGGTAGCGCATCATCGCATTATACGTTCAACCACATTGATTGACACCCCACTGCAGACTATATCCAACCATGAAGCATTGGCAAGTATGATGGCGATGCCGATCATGGTGGTTTCTTCTGTGAAATCCGTCGCACCTAAGAAAGTAGCCAAGGGTAAGGCACCCATACGGGAACGAACTATCATCTATGAAGGTAGTGCTGGCCCGCGAGAACTCTTGGAAGCAATTGTCATCCAAGCGCAAGCCGCTATCAAAGGATTGGAAGGCATTAAAACACCTGATCCAGAGGTGCTTGAGATGACAGAGGAGCAGAAACGCATGACATCGTCCGCGAAGGGCAAGGAGAGAGAATTAACCCCTTCTTTGTCTGATGAAAACCAGAGGCTGCTCTTGTTCTGTCAACGGATCTTGGCGACTGCAAGTGCCATCGATCGCTCACTGCGCGAAACCAAAGGCGACGCATTTGTTGACCGATTACATGCTGCACTGCCAAAGATCTCTTCGGAACCGTTTGATCATTCGTCGATTACTCTTGCTACGACAGATGAGGCACGGAAAAAGGCCTACGTCGACTGGGCTACTCAAGTTCGATTCGAATATTGTGACCTTACTGTTCCAAGAGAGGAAGACAAGAAAGGGGTGATAGAAGAGAGCTTACCCCATTACAAGTTTTACTATAATAGCGAGGCCCGAATGCTTGCCACCTCCGACATCCCTAAGCGTTCTCTAGCTATCGCAAAAGAGGTTTTGTGGGGTTTCTTTCGCCAAGGTTTTTTTGACTTAATGAATCACGCAGCTCGCCGTTTTAACGACGAATCTACCTGTTGCATGGGATTCCTCGGTCTTCTTGAGAGTCGACGAGAATCGGGTAGACATCATCAAGGCGCTTATCATAGGTCCAGAAGGAACTCCGTCAGTACCTTTTTCTCGGTCTGTTGAGCTTCTCTTACTTTTGTTTTCCAGGTATCAAGACGGCTGGTGAGTCACTAACAAAGCAATTTTTTTCGTGCTCAGAAATTCTGCAGTTTCTTGTTTGATATCTTCCTTGGACCGAATTATAACCAAGCTCCTCCAAGCGTCAAATACATGACGGTGAGTGACTGCCTTAGTTCGAATATACATGTGGCTGAGATTCCTTGGTAGACCAACGGTGGGAAGTATCGTTTCAATCCTAATCTCTACGCAGTGAGTGCAAAGATCCGGGAGGTAGATCCGTTCTCATCATATTTTAGGATGGCAAAGTCTGCCTGTCTCTTCTCGGTACATGGTCCGGACCAGGGTGGGTCTCTGGAAAGTCGACATTGCTACAAGTTTGCGCCCCTCTACTGTCTCTCAGTATTTGTGCTCACATCCTGCAGGTCCTTATATCCATTCAGTCCATGATCCTTTGCGAGGAACCTTATCTTAACGAGCCTGGATGGGCGAACGACGGTGGTACTCCCCAGTCGAGGCAATGTGAGTGGCGAAACTCGATGATAAGCGTATTCCCTGACGTTTTCGTCAGACTCTTCAAACGTCCGGAGGATGGTCATCAAGACCGCGGTAAGATTTTTGCATGATTGTCCACTGTCGTTTCTTACCTTTGATGTTGCAGATGCTCGGTAACCTCAAGAACCCTCCAGAGCCCTTTGGCGACGTGATCCGTACGCACTACCGTCTGAAATCACAGGCCATCATCACGCAGTTGGACAAATGGCTCGTGCTGGATGACGGTAAAGCAACTATTGGCGACTCGTTTTCCACAAGGCAGGATTCTGGCGGCAGCTCTAATGGCTTTAAGAAGGATGTCGAGGAGATGCAGCAGTTGCTTAGACAGTTGCAGGATAACATGTTCAAGGTCGACAAGTGAGGTTCGATGCCAAGCATGCCCAACATCGCAGAACCAGAAGCAGTGAACCCCATACGTGTATTTAGGTGACTAATCGCTACATGCTGTTCGTCAACTTGTCTATTCATCAAGCTCAATTGAAGTAGATGTTGTATATTAGGCGTCAATTGCGGAACGATGTGGATGCGCGTCATGGTCATTACATCAACCTTCAAAATTTCACGACTCAGACCCGCACTGATCAGTTTAACGTGGCTAGCCTTCCATTATGGCAGCCGTCAGCTCTGACGAAGTTCGACTAACCCGCCCGTGGCATGCTGTGAACACGAACATCGTGATAACTTAGACTTAATTGAAGCGTGCCCGGACTTGCATGTTTAGTCCGGTACAACACGTTTATTACTAGGCTACAATTGGTAGCAAGTTGAGAACAATCACATGATAATATCGATGTCAACGCCCGGCTCGACAAGTTTGACATTCGCTTCACTTTCCTCTAAACACCCTCCGTGCCTCCAAAGCCTTTAGTGTTCCAAATTGCAAAGCCGCTGATCAAGAAGTGAAACGACACAAGGTGCCAAGCTCCTTTCGATTAATTTTCTACTACTAGTTCCAGAATACTACGGACGACTGTTCGCTTCCAATCTTTCTTTGCACGACGCACGTAGCATAGTCTCGCACCATTCGCATCATGGTAAGCGACTCTGCCATTCATTCACTCGCAGGCGCTGCCGGTGGTATCGTCGCCATGTCCGTAACATAGTACGTAGCATCCTATATGTGTGTGAGTGCAAATTCAAGTAGTCCTCTGTACTCGTAGCCCACTCATAGTCTTATCGACACGTGCTGCAGTCGACGTGAAGAATGACTCCAAGGTGACTACAACTCGAGATGTAACATTCGCCTGCGCCTCGTGCTCACGCGTGTTGACAGAATGTAGCTCAGAATCTCCTCGAGATTGTCAGGCGCGAGGGTATTGCAGGCCTTTATAGTGGCTTGAGCCCAAGTTTGCTCGGGATGGCTGTCACAAATGGGTAAAGCTTCCCGGGCGCCTCGCGCTGTGTCCTGCTCACACTCATAACGCTGACAGGGTGTATTATTATTTCTATGAACGTTCCCGAGGGATCATTCTGAACTCGAGGCAGGGGAGCAAGGCGCTTACTATGTTGGAGTCGATGTTGGCAGGCGTTATTGCCGGTACGCCAGCCTCGGTGCGCATGAGTGGTGTCGTGACTTATCGTTGAACGTCCCACATTCTAGGATCGGCAACCACCACCATCAGCAATCCAATTTGGGTTGTACAGACATCCCAAGCCGTTCGAGTGGAACCCTCCCCTTCCGAACCATCCAATTCACGTGCAGTACTCAGACGGCCAAGTGTTTTGCAAACCATTCAAGCCATCATCGCTAAAGACGGGCTGAACGGGTTCTTCCGTGGGCTCGGCCCTGCTTTAGTGCTCGTGATCAACCCTGTACTGCAGTACACGGTGTTCGAGCAGTTGAAGAATTTTTTGATTAAGAAGAGGACCTTGAAGCTAAGGGTGGGGGGCTCTGGAAGTGCTGTTGCAGTTTTGTCCGACTGGGATTTCTTTGTCTTGGGCGCACTTTCGAAACTTGGTGCGCTCTCTGAAATATGGGTGCTATTGGAAGTATGTTGACAATATACTATGCAGTCGCAACGGGCTCAACATATCCTTACATGTGAGCTTTTGCGCTTGACCGAACCTTTCAGGCCGAGATCTGACTTGTACCCAGTGTCCTGAAGAGCAGGCTCCAAGCTGGGCAAGCGCGCGCAGAGCAATACAAATCTTCTCTTGATGGTCTCGCTACCATCTTGAAAGAGGAAGGTATACAAGGCCTATACAAAGGTGTCGGCAGTAAACTCCTCCAGAGTGTCCTCACTGCTGCAATATTGTTCGTCGTACAGAGGAGGTTATATGAGTTCACGAAGAAGGTACGTGTTTGGGTATCTCGGGTAGCATTGAATGTTTGACTGAAATTTGCACCAGGCTATCACATCACTGTCATGATGGTCCGTGGGACAATGGTGCTACCGTGAGTGTGTCGCATACGACAAGTAAGGTGAGGTCTAAGCAACCAGCCGACACAAGCATCATTCTATTCTAACAAGAAGATGAATGATGATTGCGAGAGAAAGGACTAGCGTTGTCGAAAGCCACCAATTCATACAGAAGTCCTCAGAATGCCGAATCCATGGTTCGTACATAGTATCTTTGATCATGTTTACGACCGTGAAATCACTGTCAGCGGTAATGGGGAAGATCATAACATTCTTATCCGTCAGGGGTGTGTAGGGGTGATGGCTCTCTATGTCAGAGAAGACATTAATATTCACTGCGGAAACTTGGGAGAAGACTCATGACTCATGAGTCCGCCCGTGATAAGGACACCGAGCAAGATGAATCGATCCTAGTTTGGGAGTCTACCTCAAGCGTCCAACTTTCCTTCCCTGCGATTAAGTTGTCTTTTGCGTGAGGTCTCTTATGCACACGCCTCCTTCGAACTGCTAATTCATGAGAATTTTCAAAACACATCAGCCGCCATCATCTGCATAATTAATGACAGTATACAACTTTAGTTGCAACTGTTGCCTTCGTAAAAGGCAGTTGCCAGCTGACTGGGTCATGAGAATGGATTTGTGAAGCTGAACCTACTTTGACAAAGTGACCTAATGACCAGCATATTCCTCGAGTTCCCATCGTCACGGTTAGCCAAGAAAAAGTGTAATAAATATCAAAAGATAATGAGCTGCAGTCATTATCTTAATGTAATATCCAGCGTTGCGTGCAGGGTGCCATCGCAGTCCGTATATATGGTATTACTGTACGAAGCAGTCAGTTCAACTCGTCAAAAAGAAAAAGAGTCACAAAATAAATTGGTCGTTAAGACCACAGTTCCAACCACCTACTGTGACACGGATAGAGCTGAGGAAGCATTAAGGGAAAAGGCTCACTCGTACAGAAGCCAATCGCTTAACGACCAAAAAATGTTGACAAAATTGGATAGGCCTGTATATTTTTGAGATCTAAGTGGTCGACATTGTGCCAAAAAAATATTAGTATATTCCGTATTTGAATAAATCAGAACAAATTCAAGCTTACCCCCCAGGTACAAGAAGTTTTGCCTTGTCATAAGTCATTACCAACCCTTGAGGTGGGGTTGTACAACCAGGTTTTGTGTGACCCTCGATCAGAAGTTTAGCGTCTGGACGCGCTGGAAAACTAGGCTGAGAAAGACTAAGCCCGATGCGCCACCTCCCATCAGGTCCCATGTAGAAGCGCAACATCCATATACGTCCTGGAGGGATTGACATCATCGCAATGTTAAGAATGATGATAACATACCCCCCGCAACAAATTCTACACCTAAATCCTGTGTAATGTGCAAACGTTTCCGGAACATCCCAATGCGGATACAAGCAATGAACTGGTTCTCGCCCAGTCCATCTCCTTCATGCACCCGAACGTCACCAGGTGGACAACCCAAAGAGCGTCTCAAAGGCTCGTCCTTGGCTGATTAGCGTATAGTTAATGCACTTTCAGGACAGGCATGACCATGTACTTACGATCACTATATCCCAAACCCAACTGCGCAAACAGGGCCTGGTTGTGAGTTGCCACGCATGCGAGACGCAAGTCGGAAGAGCAAACAGGCGAGAATTTGGTAATGAATACAGCAAAGGCCGAAAAGGCTTCTTGCCGCTTATTGACAATTGCCCAATACAGCGCTGTGTGACCCTCGATGTTGGGAGATTGCAGGAGGTCAGAGAACTCTGCAATTGAAAGAGAAGCAGCGCAGGCATCGACGGTTAGGGTAACAGAAGGGGTGTCAATAATGTCGGGAGCGGAGACAATATCACGGATACGAGATAAGACAGTAGCATGATTCTGGCATTGAACAGAATCTGCTGATGATACAGATGTAGAGATTGGGTCTTTCGAGGGAGGTGCATGAGTAAAGGACTTGCTAATCTTCTGCTTGATATTTAGAAGGGAAAATATAGATGACGGTCTATCTCGGACGAATTTTGATGTAGACGTGGAAATCGAGTCGTACGGCGGAGGTGCGTTAGCAATTGCAACGGACTTGCTATAATCAAGTACTACGTCGGTCTTGGTAGCCATTATTGTGGAGGGGCAAGTGACGCAAGCTTGGAAGGTAGTACTGTAGGGCTAGACCGTCAGACTCGGACTGCTTTATAAATAACTTGCTTTGCTGTGTGAAGCACAGCCTGCACTTGCTGCAGTTTCGGCTTTGACCTATAGTTAGTTAGTCTCCTAGTCTCTTGTAGTCAGGCCTTGAGATAGGAAAGACTTGAGAAAGACAATCTTTTTCAAGCATAGTCAGGTGTTGAGGAAAGACAATATTTTTAAACCCGAAGATGATACGTTTAGGCTGTAACGGTCATGGTCACACATAGTATCAGTGTCACATCACTACCGAGGCTTCGCGATTTCTTCCTTGAAGTTCCTCCTTTCAAGGTCTGTTTATATGGGCCAGCTCTTCTAATCTGCAAGTATTTTTCCATTAAAACGCTAGAACAATAATATTGTAAGATGGCACCGCCGCTACGCCCGAATGCAGTCGCGTTCATATCGCCCCAAAACCACCCAATCCTCATCCGCACATTCGAAAAAGGGGATGAGCTGAAGTACCACTATGTAGCCCATACAAGCCTCGATGTTATTGAGGAACGAAGTCAGTGCTCCCCACCGTCTACTTTTCATTTCCCCACTGATAAGAATACCTCATCCGACATTTGGCATTAGCAAATGGCCCAACAAAATCTAACGATTGCTACCTCGGCCTTCTCTACGCCATGGATGACATAGCTACTTATGGGTACATCACGCCTCTCAAAATGAAGATTGTTCTCGCTCTCCCACTTACAGACTCTGTCGTGCGTGATGCGGAGGTGATCATGGTATGTCCTTCTAAATCTCGCCGTTTCTCCTCATCCACCACATCCATACGGATGTATATTTAGACCTTTAAAGCCCTCCACCTAGCTTACTATCATGCCTCCTCGAACCCCTTCATCCGACTTCATGATACGCCTGCGGGCGTGGGGAGCGCCAAGTGGAAGCGCTTCAGACGGAAAGTAGACGAGATCAGTAGGGCTATCGGCGGTGGGAGTGTGCCCTCATGAACTATGCACCAAGGTAATGATGTGAGAAGAATTGAATTGAACTGTCGATAACCACACATGTCTGATTGTCATTTTGTGTGGCCCAGGTTCGCAGCTCACCGCGCTTTGCAGGCTTCGGCCATCCTTGTGACAGCGCGTGGTCATGCTACTCGTTTGTTACGTGTGAACCGAAATGGATCAAACCCTTCTATTGACTCAGATGTCTAGCAAGCACCGCGTCTGAGACAGATACGGGGTTGATATAATTCATCGTCTGTTTTCCCTCACTAGCTCCTCTTATATATTATGTGGAGACGTGTCTTGCAGCACAATAGTTAATGATGTATGGTCATCGGAATATTCCCGCTACCTTGTGGAGTTGCGGACGCCACTTTCCAACTCGCGCGGGAAATTCCGATACAACAGATCGATCTAAAAGTTGCTCAGTTCCAGCAAGCTCTGCTTCAAGTTTTTCTTCCTGTTCGCGAACCGACCAAGAACACGCTGGAACGCAGGTCGGCCGCATTACTTGCATATACTTATAGATGGCGCGAGCTAGTGTATGAAAAATTTCTGGCATATCACCTCACGAACGTTAACCGAAAGGTAATATTAATTCCTCTGACTGGAATTTTGTCCGGACTCAATTGACAATTGCGTCGCGCAGGTCTCCCATGTCAATGCTATCAGATCCCTTGGTCGATGTTACGCATAGAAGTGCCACCACTCTCGTTGAGCAGTGTTGCGTCCGCATCGACCAAGACCTGGTTGCATTAGCGGAGTGTATGCGCGTCCTTCGTTCTCGCCGGAATGGTCTCGCCCGTATATCTTGTCTCCTGCCTGACATCCTCGTAATTGTCTTCAGACATTTCGAGAGCTTCGAGAATCATACGAACACATCTCACCATCGCGGTGCCCCTATTTGTTTGATACTTACGCATGTCTGTAAGCAGTGGCGCCAGCTCGCTCTCGATTGTCCGACACTCTGGACATCCATCAGCTGCGTCTCTCCTCGTTGGCTAGGCGTCATGCTTGAAAGGTCAAAGAATGCTCATTTAGTTGCCATATACCATACACCAATCTCGCTACGAGGTTGCCTGGAGTCAGTTCTTTCCCATCTACGTCGAATCAAAGTCCTCCGAATTTGCTCAGTTTCATCGGATGTCAATCGCATTGTGGAATTGTTATCATCACAGCCCGCACCATCTCTCCAAATATTCGAATTCACAGTCATAGGGAATGTCCATCATTCACTGATCCCCATATCAGACACCATCTTTCAAGGACAAGTACCCCTGCTTCAGAGCATTGATCTTGTGCTGTGCAACTTGAGCTGGACATGGAGCATCTTCAGGGGCTTCGATCTCTAAGTGTGAAAGGAACAACAGGCGCCCTTCCTACCCCGGCGCAGCTCCTGTCAACTCTGAGATATATGCCTGACTTGGAGCAGCTTACACTTCAGTCCCTGTCCACGACCTCCGGGGACACAGGGCTCTGCGATAAGGTGCCGCTCACCCGGTTGAAGAGTATAGCGCTAGACATTGGCGCCACCCAAACCGTTATCTCTATCTTCGAATGTCTAGCCCTTCCGGCCGGTGTCAAGGTCGCCCTATGCATTCCACAAATTGAAGGCTCTCAAAGCTTTTCTGATATATTCTCTGCCATGGATAGGGCTTCTGACGGACCTAGTCCCGTTGTTCGGTCCCTGCGTGCCATCCGTATTTCGAATAATGGTTTTGTTGTCCAGTTTAACACATCAGTAGCATTCAAATCTCATCATTATGATTCCTGGAACCCTGCTGATGATGACATACCACTCTCGATTCAATTCACATGCAACCCACTCGCTCATGTTCAGCCGACCATCATATTTGAATTATGTCGAATCGCCTCGCAGGACAGGATTCACAGCATGTTTCTCGAGTTATTATATGATCTCCCAGAACTCTTCTGGCGCACTGGGTCGGCCGGCCTTCTGGATCTCCAAGTTATCCATCTCAGCAGGAACTCCATTCGTGGCTTAATCGAAGCGCTTTCTATCGATGACATCCAGGGCTCAGTTGTGGCATATCCCTCGCTCCGTGTTCTAGAGCTCGAGGGTACCAACTTCAGGGATCATGAACCTGAAGACCTCCAACATGTCATCGAACAGCGAGCCGAACGCGGCGCCCGTATACACGAGCTTCGACTTGTGGGGTGCATAAAAAATTTGACGGTTGATCAAGTGCGGCTCCTTGAAGAAGTGGGTGTGAATGTTGATGGACATAAAGAAGAAACCTGTGCTGATCCTAGCCGTTATGGATACGCACCTGGAAGATTGTTTTAGTGTTCTCACTCTGATCCCTGACCCTTCTGCTTGGGACGAGTGGAAATAATTCACCTAATTCACCTCACCCACCCCAATTCATAGTACATTTGTCCAAATTCACCTGTAAAACTTAGCGTTAATTTACAGACATGTAGATTTACGGTAGTTCACACTGAAGGCCTCTGGGCGCATTGTAAATTTACCCTGTGAATCTCGGACAATTCCAAATTGACCGTCCACCACTGTTTTGCGCTTTGTATATACCAGGTATCGGACACCCTGCCATTATGTCTTGTTGGTCCAATCATCAATGGATCGGGCCCAAAGGTATTCCGGCTTTTGGGACAATTTATATCTCAGGTAGTGATTCTGGTTGCTAAGGCGGTTCTTCCATGTCTGGCCAGCCTAGTTGAACCCGCATCTGGAATTTCAGTATGAATCAACGACGTTGGAAGAATCATCTCAATTGCTGAAAACTACGTAAGAAAGTGTACGTGGAACGACATCTTCCACGAGTTTAATTTTCTTTCCCAACCGAATCACTGCCAGTCGATTTTCCAGCTTCAGTGCCATTTGTCCAGGCATTCACAGCCCGACCAAAGCCTTCTCCAGCCCTTCCAGCCCCTCCCCAACCTCCCTTGCCATGACCCTCACAACTGTATCTTCATCCACAGCTGCGATATACTCCAACACCGTGCGAGCGCGTCTCATAAATTCCCGGGGTAGCGGTTCCCCATCATATGACGCATACGTGCCTATTTGCCCACCATATATGCCCTTGATTCGGACGCCGCTCCAGGAGCCGCCACCGCGTTCATACGCCTCCTGAGTAAGCACCCGCATAAGAAGCGCGAGAAAGTGTAGCGCCGCGCGTCGGAGTGCTGGAACTTTGGAGGATGGGCTCAGGGGGGATATGTCCAGCGGGTCTAGGAGGCGTTCAGGTTGGGATCGGGATGTTGGAGCAGGTTCACGTTTTGCTTGTTCTGTGCTTACTTCTGTGTCCGTCTCCATTCTCTTCTCGTTTACCTTAGCTTTGGGACGAGGAATGGGAGTAGCCACAGTCATCTCGACTAACACTAAGTCCAGCATCCCCTCTGCTATTTCTTCAGTGTAACATTCCACCACGCGTGCATAGGTGTTGATACATTCGGAGAGCAGGGAAATCGCTGACGTGCGTAAGATAACCGGTGCGCGGGGCTCACGGAGGAGGGAAAGGAGAGGTGGAAGGAGCGTGTCCGCTTTTTTTACACGGCGAGTGATGATAGGATGAATGAGAATAGGATAGAGAGCCGGATTGAAACTCACCATATAGCCCCAGGGCGTCTCCACAGCGCCTCACAACAACTGCGAGGGCTTCACCGATGCGGAGACGTGTGTCAACTTCACTCATTCGTTTACCCCTTGCCTTGCCCCTTTCACCATCCTTAGGTTTTTTATCCGATTCTGCCTCATCATCAGCGAAATCATTCGCCCCCCTCGCATACGCATCCAGAAGCGCTTTCAACACTTCATGTCCCGTGCCAGATCTGGAATTAGGGCCAGGGGCATGCACCAAAGCAGCCAGTCCTTGCACCGCATTCAAAAACACATACGAATCGTCCTCCTGAATGGCTTGTAAAAATATTGAGAGGATAGCAGGGTGCAGGGCACGTATTGTCGCTTCCTTCTCAAGCCTCTCTCGCTCAGCCTTACTCGCACGAGCTGGGGAAGATACCAACTCGCGTAGTAAGAGCAACCCGTGCGCCCGTACGGGTAGGAGCGGGTCTTGAAGGAGCTTGAGTGCTTTTTGGTATGTCTCTCGCGGATCTGTGTCGTCATCCTCGCTTTGACCGTTGGACTTGCCCTTATTTTTTGTATTTTTTGGAACAGACCCCAATGCGGCTAATGCCCCCTCTGCCATCCTCGCCGTCAACACTAATTGTGCCTCACGTGCGCTTGGCCGGGTTGGCGTGTGCGCCTTGAGAAAGTCGAGGACTGGCGCAAGGGATGGTGTGTTGTTCGGGGTGAGTGATGGGTTGGCTGTGTTTTGGAGTGGTGGGGAGTAGTAATTTTATTTCGTTGAGTAGGAGACACGACAGAATGTGCATGAAATTCACAGTGAGGAATATAACGCAACGACATAGGAAAGGAGAAATCAATTATTATTTTTTCTCAATAAGAGACAAGGACGAACCTTTAAGTACAGCCAACAACAATCCAACAGCAGTCTCTACCATATCTTCCCCCTCAACCTCATTGTCCTCGTCATCGCTATCTGGCCCAATTTCCAGGTCGTCCTGCTCCTCCGGTACGATTCTTAGATCCTCCCTCAAAAGGCCTTTGCTACGTTCATTGTTCATGCCTCGATCTGACATGCCAGATACAGGTACGGAGGAGGGCGTATCTAACACCTCTAACGCGTGCCTCACAAATTCCAATACATCTCTTGGGCGACTCAGGATAGCGGTGTTGTCCAGCTGAGATTGGAAAGCTATGATGAGTTGGAGGAGGAGCATCACTCTGTTTATCGTGTGCATCAGCAGACATGACTGGGCTGGCAGGTTGGGCTTACCGAAGTGGATCAGATTCCTTCGGATCCATCAATATACTCTGTATCTCTCCTTTGATGTCGCTGTCTTGCGTATCATGAGCAGAACCAGACCCCTTCGCAGTGCGATATGCCTCCAGCAATCTTACGAACATGCCCCCTGCGATATCTGCACGATCGAGGTTCTTGATGTAGGAGACAAAGTGCGCAGGGGGTGGGTATAGTCCCAAGTCCAATGACTCTATATCCGTGTCCTCAGTGACGGAGGCATGTCGTAGGTCTTCCGGCGTAAGAAGAGCGAGTTTCTCTTCTCTGTTGACCCTGTATCGAAATTGGGCTGAGACTTACATGAAGATGAAGGAGCAGCGGTGGGACGAACCTCCTTACACGTTTTAGATCCTCTGCACTTCCTCCTTCCCACCCTCCTGAGGAGCTTTCGTTCTCATCCACTAATGACCACAACACTCGAACTCCTTCGCCCTCCTCTACAACTCGTCCCCATGTCCTCATCAATGTCCAGACATCCTCTTTCAGTATTGGATCCGCGACACCCATTTTACTGAGATGTGCATGAAGGGAATACAGAGAGGGGAGGATGGGTGAAAGAAGGGAGGTGAAGAGAGAGGGCGATGGATCGATTGATAGCAGGAGGGTGTGAAGGGTTTGGAGGGATGATGATGGGGTAGGCAGAAGGTGGCTTTGACCTGATTCCCTCTGGTCGTGTGAAGTCTCATCGGAGACTTTGAAGAGGGGGTTGTGTAAGATGGGCAAGGCTACGCTCGCCACGAGTGCGTGGTGTGCAAAACTGGAGTCCAGCATGCGCGAGAGAGTAAATGCTGCAGCGCGTTTGAATGCGGGGGGCGTTACTGATGTTGAGGTAGAAGAAGGCGGAGACACGAGAGCAAGGATGCGCGATGTTATTGTTTGGAAGTAATGCTGCAACAGTATTGGATCAGAAATTCATTGAAATTGATTTAACCCAACCTCCACACCTTGGGTTGCATCCCTCGAGGTACTGTTCCTAGCACGCGTGCAACGTGCTCCAGCTTATCGAATTCTGGTTCGTCTTCCGAATCAAGCTCGCCAAATATAGCAGCACAGAGGGCACCCACACCACCTGGGCGGAGGAGGTGTTGAGTGAGGAGGGAGGAACAGAGTTTACGGACGTGGGGTGGTGTTGGGGAGGTAGGGGTGGAGAGGACTGTAGCAAGGGTTGTCATGAGTTGGGGGAGGGGGATACTGAGGGCACACATTTTGTGGGGAAATAAATGAGATTACGAGCTACGACTACTGTAAAGTACACGCACAAGACGAGGAAACGGAGCACGAGGGGGCGGAGAGGCTCGACGGGTTCACTAGGTAGCCATCCGAGGGCCATACTTGGGCGTAACAAATCAACTGCATGTCTTGACAGTAGTGTACTGCTAATGAGCGTCTGAGGTGGCGTGCTCTTTGGGCCATTTGGGAACAAGAGACCCATGAGACGCAAAAGCAGGTCAGAGAGTGTAGCGTAATCGGCGGGCGTGTTCGTAAGGTCGATAATTTTGGGGGTGCCGGGAATTGGTTTAGACGATAACGAAGGGATGAGACGCGTGTAAAGCGTTTCGGTTCCCCAGCGAAAAAAAAGAGATATAAGGGTGCGGAGTGTGCTGAGGTCGCGAGTCCCTATTGCCGGTGCGCTTTTCAGATCATCTTCATGATGGAGATCTGGAAGGTTAAGAAGAGATTGAACGCGCTCGATAACGTGCAGAGCACATTGAGCAGTTTCAAGTTGGGCATCCTCCGCTGTATCAAGGGAAGGAGCGGAGGATCCGAATGCTTGGTGATATTGCGTTAGTCTGCGCACAAGTACATTTTTGAGATCACGTTCAGTGGTGCTAGATGTGTCGAGGAGAAATGAGCCAAAGTGCAAGACGTTCGCGAGCTCTTCTTGTACCTCCGTCGTCATCGTTGAGAACAGTGAGCTCGACGGTGCCGAGATCCGAGTCTATAGATCACATGACTTTTGACTGATTGACTTACTTAAATTCTTAATCAGTGACCACGACATCGTCGCTGATCAGTTCAACGATGAGCAAGCTTAACGCAGGCGCATTCGAGTTCGTTCCAGGTCGCGCATTCGTGCTACCTCAGAAAAGTCAAACACCTCCTTCAAAACCTCCCCTCGAGCGCCCTCTCCAAACTGAAGCTCCACCTCCAGCTCCTACCATCACCCTAAACATCGGCGGATCAAACCCTCCTCCTGCTCCTAAACCTGCCACTGTCCCTGCCCCTACCCCTACCCCTACCCCCGCCACTGCCCCTGCCCCTGCCACTGCTACTGCTCCACAGTCAAAACCTGCTTTGCTACCGTCTGTATCTGCGAGCACCGCACCATCACAATCTTGTTCTCCTGCGCCACCTACTAACAAGGTCTTTTCCACTGAACGAGCCAAGACAGACACTACATCTATTGCAAAGGAAGTTCAGGCTGTCGCAGACCAGGAAGTCCTTAAGGATCTTTTCGGCGATGGTGCGCATCGTACCTCACCCTCACGTAACTGTACTCATATATTTATAGTCAAAGAACATCTTAACATCGTCTTCATCGGCCATGTAGATGCTGGCAAATCAACTCTCGGCGGGAACCTCCTATATATCTGTGGTGGCGTTGACAAACGCACCATGGAGAAATACGAGAAGGAGGCAAAGGAAGCTGGCCGTGAAACGTGGTACCTTTCCTGGGCTCTCGATAGTACGCCTCAGGAGCGCTCAAAAGGGAAAACCGTCGAAGTCGGTAGAGCCTACTTCGAGACATCTTTTCGAAGATATACCATTCTAGATGCTCCAGGCCACAAGACTTATGTTCCGAGCATGATTAGCGGTGCCGCTCAAGCAGACGTCGCAATCCTTGTCATCTCCGCACGGAAAGGCGAATTCGAAACTGGTTTCGAAAGAGGTGGTCAGACCCGCGAACACGTCATGCTCGTTAAAACCGCCGGCGTCAGCAAAGTCGTCATCGTCATCAACAAGATGGATGATCCGACTGTTAACTGGGACAAAGGCAGATACACTGAGATCAAGGACAAGTTGACCCCATTCGTAAAGTCTGCTGGCTTCAATCCAAAGACGGATGTCACCTTCATACCTGTGTCTGGATATACGGGTCAGAATCTAAAGGATCGCGTAGCAAAGTCTATCTGCTCATGGAATGAGTGTGTGGTGTTTTCTTTCCTCCATGTATATGCATGCTTATGCCCGTCTTGCAGTGGCCCCTCCTTCCTTGAACATATGGACAACATGCCCATGGTTGACCGCAAGGTCAATGCTCCTCTCATGATGCCCATCTCCGAAAAGTATAAAGACATGGGTGCCATCATCGTCGGCAAGATCGAATCTGGGCACATTCGCAAGGGGGACTCTCTAACCCTCATGCCGAACAAATCTGCTGTCGAAGTCGCTGCCATTTACAATGAGATGGAAGAAGAGGTACCCAGTGCGATCTGTGGTGACAACGTGCGCGTGAGACTGAGGGGCGTGGAGGACGAGGATATCAGTCCTGGATTCGTCCTCACAAGCCCGAAGTCTCCTGTGAGAGCGGTGAGGCGATTCGAGGCGCAGCTCGCAATTTTGGAACACAAGAATATCATTTGTGCGGGATACTCGGCTGTCATGCATGTGCACACACTTTCCGAGGAGGTTACGCTGCCTGTGAGTGCAGCGTGTTTTACTGGTTTATACAGTCCTGACGTAAATAGGCTCTACTACACTACTTTGACAAAGCCACCGGACGCAAGTCGAAGAAGCCGCCCCAATTTGCAAAGAGGGGTAGGTGTACTGTGCACAGTGCAATCAACTCTCACTGATGTTTCTTCCTCATCCATTTTGTTGTGGCGTTAAAAAACTTACTGCCGTAACAATCATCCCCGCCCCTCCTGCACATTTTTATAACCATACATCACTTCATTACAATATCCAGGCCAAAAAATTGTTGCGCTTATAGAAACAACTCTCCCCATCTGTGTCGAGCGCTTCGTCGATTACCCTCAACTTGGTCGCTTCACGCTGCGTGACGAGGGCAGAACAATTGCTATTGGAAAGGTGCGTTTTTTTACGTATCAATTGGCTGCCGCGTGTAAACTTTTTTTTTCCTTTTTTTTTTCACTGAACTACTTCTCGGTTTTCCCTCGGACACATTATTAATCGAATATTCTTGTCACCTTAGATCACAAAACTTCATGATGATCGCGTCGATGAGATCACAGAGGGCGTGGCACACGTGTCGGTTGCCGCGTAAGGTGCTTGCGTGTACTTGCATCATACTTACACGTATGTATTCTACGTGATATCATTATTGAGCCGCAACTCACGTTCCTTCATCCTTCTCACAATACGTGTCCCATATTTCGGCCCTTCTCTGGTCCCTACACCTTTAATGCGAACACGGCATATTCCGGATAATCATCCATACTGCGTTCCAATAGATTGAGGGGGGTACGATACCAAGAAGGAAATCAGAAGCCTGGCAGTCTAACGGTTGCAGTCTGCCAGTAGTTGTAATAGAACTATGCTGTAGACATGTCTGTTGTGCTTTAAATGCTTTCATTTATTATGTACTATCATGTAGTTGTGTGCAAGTTTATTGTTCTGTTACGTCCACAGATTGACCACCAGTCCACAGAAAAGTCATCTCTATAAATCTCAAACGCGCCACTCACGTGATCAAAGGTCACTTGCCTTCCTTTCTAGTGCATGGCAGCTAGTTCTTGATCATACAGCCATGACGCTTAAACTCAAGCGGACGAGCCATTCCCCTTCTCCATTCTCATGGGATGCTCTCAGTCCACCACGCGCGGGCTCTCCAAATGCGCCTGAAGTTACCGGTCTACCTCCTCCGCCAACATCATGGCTCTCTGCCCGCGACATGAAAATATTTGGTGCCCAACCACTGCGTGCTGACATCGGCGTTGTGCGTTGTGCAGACTGCGACAAACCTATCTTACGTAGCGCCATTTCCGAACACATCAGTATGTCATGGCTTTCTACCACTGACAGATATTTAGCTCATGCGCAGTCAGGCAACTGTAATGACATCCGTTCAGGGAAGAAATGGGTAAAGGGCAAAACGGCAGATAGCGAAGGTATTGTCTCCTGATATATTTTCCTGTCATCATATATAACCAGCCCCATCAAGTTGAGCCGAAGAAAGGCAAGAAGCGGGCTGCAGACGGCGAGGACGGGGATGAAGCCGGCGAGCCGTCCAAGAAGAAGACAAAGATCACAAAGGGGCGCACTAAAGGCCCCGTGGACTATGACAAGCAGTGTGGAGTGATCAATGATAAAGGCCTCCCGTGCTCGCGCTCCCTCACGTGCAAAGCTCATTCCATGGGTGCGAAACGCGCTGTTCAGGGTCGCTCGAAGGCATATGACGAGCTTTTGCTCGAGTGGAACCGTGCGAATAACCCTAACTGGGTAGAACCGGTAAAGAAGGAGACGAAAGCAGAGAAGAAGGAGAAGCGCGAGAAGGAGAAGGCGGAGAAGAAGCGGCTTGCACAGGAAGCTGCATTAGCCGCTGGACTGGAAGGGAAGGGCATACCGAAGAAACCTGGTAGGAAGGCGAATACGTCCGGCACTGCTGCGACACAACTGGATGTCGATGAGGCTGCTGAAAACTTGGATGATCTTGACTCAGAAGCAGAGGTCGACTCGCTGGTGAAGGCCGTGCAGAATGCGCAGGCGCGTGGGATCATTGGAGTTCCATTGGCTGTCCCATCATCGGAGAGTTCGTGGTTTGTATTACGGAGGGAGCGCCTGCGAAATTGCCGAGATCTGCTTGTGAACGCGCTTGCTCCACCCAGCGGACGTAGCAGCATCGCAGCGACTGTGTCTAGCATGACGCTTGGGTAGATATGGCATTACCTCTCGTTGTCGCCCATTTATATCATCTACAGCATATTATTCACGAGTTACTAGCTGGGACATTTCACCGTGCCATTTATTTCTCGAGCTATCATTATTGTCATTCTTAGCATACGTGTAGCAGTAGATCCTCACGAAGTTCATGAAATAGCTGTTACCAAGTTTCTCATTGAGCGTCACGTGAAAGCAATCATCTCACCCTTCTCCGTCACTGCACCCACTGCCTCGTTTTCCAACGTCCGCTGGTGTTTCTGTCTAATAACTGATCACAACTAACATATTATATAGGTCTTTCTCTCACTGCAGAGTAATAGCAGCAGAGTATTCCTAAAGTACTAGCACACCCCATCATACGCAACCCCGCAGACGCCGCTACACCTTCTCCATTTCTAGCATTTAAGTTGGAACCTCCTACCGTTCACCGCTGATGTCAGAACACGAGCAGTACCTTGCAGTCCTCAAGGCCTCTTATGACTACGAGCCCCAGTCGGAGGACGAGCTTGCGATCACTGAGAACCAAATCGTCCTTCTCCTTGAACGTACTGATGATGAGTAAGTAGTTATGGCATGCTTTTGGTCTAACGCTCATGCCATATGAAGTTGGTGGAAAGTGAAGATAAAAGGCGAATCGCAGGAGGAAGATAGTCCATTTGGCCTCGTCCCTGCTGCCTATGTCGAGCAGGTCCGTCTCATACCTTTGCGTTATCCACAGCTTGTCTGATAGACGCATGCGGCACTAGGCTGAACACACGTCTCTTGTCAGAGCTATCTATGACTATGATTCCGCTGCACCCGGAGAGCTATCTATCAAGGAGGACGAGGTTCTAATGGTCTTTGACCGTGAAGAAGATTGGATACTCGTTCAAAGCAAGGAGGGCGGTAAGGCTGGCTTTGTACCAGGGAACTATGTTGAAGAGGTATGTATCTGCATCGAACATGTGGGCTTGTATTCATCTCGTACATAGACTACTGGCGTGGAAAGCACCCCAGCGCCGGCTTTTGTAGCACCTCGAATTATCATTCCGCCATCGGTACGTCGACAATTTGAGAAGCTAGCGAAGTCTTTCACTGACATACTCTCTGCGACATACGTAGCCTGAACCTCCAGCTCGTCCCTTGAGCGTGTACGTGGACCCTGCCGACAGAGTTGCCCAGTCGAAAGCCCAAGCCCGCGTGAGCGACGAGATCAAGACCTGGTCCGTGTCTGAAGTGGACAAGAAAGGCAAGAAGAAGAAGGGTACTCTCGGCATTGGCAATGGCTCCCTCTTCTTTGCAAGCGAATCAGATAAGGTATGCCCCAAATCATCCATTTGTATAATCACCTTCCGAATTGAGTGATCGAACTCTTGCATCGCATAGACTCCAGTGCAGAAATGGCAAATATCTGACGTTGGGGACATATCCGTGGAGAAGAATAAGCACGTGCATATTGACATGGGCGGGCCCAATGCAACAAAGTTGCACTTCAATGTTGGAAGCAGAGACACGGCTGATGCTGTTGTCGAGAAGCTGGAGACCTCTCTTACACTTGCGTCCGCCGAGCAAAGTGCCGCCATCTCTCCGCCACCGCGCTCGGAGGTAAGCAGCCCGGTGAAGAAGAACGGCGTTTCTGTGCGCTTTACAGAGGAATCTCCTGCAATTATACCACCACGCGAACCCTCAGGAGAGGAAGAGGAAGAGACAGAGGAAGATGTACAGGGTACTGATGATGGCGAGGCTGCCGTCGCATTATATGACTTCGAGGGCACGGGCTCAGATGAATTGACCGTGCAAGAGGGTGAGCGGCTCTGGATCATCGAGAAAGAGGGCGAAGAGTGGTGGAAGTGCAGAAATGAACATGGAATTGAGGGAGTTGTACCTGCGTCGTATCTCGAGGTCAGTCGTTAGTCACCATAAGAGTCACTTACTGACGTCATGCTCAGACCACTGGCGGAGCATCTGTCACTGCCGAGCCAGAAGACGACGGTACTGCCAAGCGTGAAGAGCAAGAGCGTCTCGAGGCAGAAAGGAAAGAGGAGGAACGAAGGGAACGCGAGCACACGGAAAAGGAGCGAAAGAAGAAGGAGCAGGAACAGCGCGCAAAGGCTGCCGCAGCAGCCGCAGAGGCTGATAGGAAGCGGCGCGAGAAGGAGGAAGCCGCCGCCGCTGCAGAAGCAGAGCGCAGGAAGCGTCAAGAGGCCGCAAAGCGTGCTCAACAGAAGGCAGAAAGGGGACAAAGCTCGTCGCCGTAGGTGTCGCCCTCAGCCTATGCTCAAAGTCCTTTTGATATATTGATCTCTCAGTCATCCTCCGATTTCGCAAACGAAACCCAGAGAGTCAACGTCTAGCGCAGGACGCAGCTCAAGTGATACTCACAAGAGTGAGTGTTTCACGATGACCTTCAATCTCTCCTGACCTATAAATCGACCTCAGATGTGCCTTCCGCGGAGTCTACACGTATATGGCACGACCGCAGTGGGCAGTTCCGTGTAGAAGCTGCCTTTCTTGGGTACTCCAACGGCAAGCTACGTCTGCACAAAGTCAACGGTGTTGTCATTGAGGTCCCCTCGGAGAAAATGTCCCTCGAGGACATACGCTATGTTGAGCGACTTAATGCCAAGAATGACAACTCTCCTGCAGCGCCACGCCGTCACTCCGATGATGACGACCAGCCACTTGCGCTCAAGCAGAAGGAAGTGGTACGGCGGGCGACGATGTCAGCGCAACCAAAGAAGCCGCAGACGGACTGGTTCGAGTTCTTCCTGAATGCAGGCTGCGACATTGATGATTGCACGCGATACGCAGCCTCCTTCGAACGTGACAAGATTGACGAGGCAATCCTCCCAGACACTACTGAGTCCACAATGCGTTCACTGGGCCTGCGCGAGGGCGATATTATTCGCGTTACGAAGCATATTCAGCAGAAGTTTGTGAAACCCAAGAAGGACACGTCACAAGAGCAGCTCATTCGCGACGAAGAACTGGCACGGCAGCTACAGGAAGAGGAGAATGGCACGAGGAGTAAAGGTTCATCAAGTCCTGCGCCCAACCTCTTTGCTGGTCCGGGAGGCGTTCTCAAGAATAATACCCAACGTCGCGGGAGACCGCAGCCTAGCAAGTCTTTGCCACCGCCGTCCGTCGACCTCAACGCCATTACCACTGCCTCTGACCAGATTAAACGAACTGGTTCGCCTCTCGTCATGAGCCCTGCCACTTTCACGCCTGTACAGCCACCTCAGAGGTCAAGCTCAACGGTGCCCGTTACTAGTGGCTTTGAAGATGATGCTTGGACGAACAGGCCGGGGTCTAAACCTTCGGTTGCTAATTATCGTGCACCATCGGCACCACCAGCTGCTGCTACTGCACCTGCAGTTGCGCCTGTCTCGGGTGCGCCTGCTGCACCGACACCACCCCCTGCACCACTAGTGGCGCCAACGCAGGTTGCAGCAACTGGCAATGGCCTCGCAAAGACTGATGCTGACATCTTCGACCAACTTGCACGCCTGAGTCAGCTGAAAACAAGCCGCCCTTCTCCATCCCCAGCGCCTGCCTCGGCTCCCGTTGCGCCAAGTCCACCAGCAGTGTCCCCACAGCCACCTGTCTCATACAACGGTGGCCTTGGAATGGGTTCTTCTCCTGCACCCATCGGGCAACACCTGCAGATCCAGCAGACAGGTGCACAGGGCCCTCGCGGACCATTCGCTCCTGTTCCGGCCAATCAAAGTCTGTTGCAACCCCTTGTACCCACTACCACAGGGTTCAATAACTTTGTACCAACGCGCCCGTTCAACGCATCGCCTTTCCAGGGCCAAGCACCACCTCCATTCCTGTCAGCGCAACCAACGGGCTTCCCCGGCACACCACAAACACTCTTATCACAGCCCACAGGATTACCAACATCGGGACCACTGCTCTCGCAACCAACTGGTATGTTCGGGGGGTCGTTTGGCACATATGGCGCTCGCCCGCCATTCCAGAATACCACAATGCAACAAGTGCAACCGAGTAAGTCCTCCTGCTGTGCATTTTTTGAACATTACTTAATCCCGATCAGACCCAACAGGAGTGTTTGCCCAGTCTCCATTCAACAATGTGGTTTCTTTCCCATCACCCGTTCCTTCCTTATACTCTCAGCCGCCACCGCCCGTTCCTTCCATATACTCTCAACCAAACACTAGTTCTAATACAACACCAGCAAACATATTTGCTCAGATGAAATCGGGAACGTTTGCCAGTGGAAATGAGCATTCTGGACCCCAGCAAGCAGGTCAGCGCTACCATTCTGTGACTATGCATTCGTGACATCTGATTGATAATCTCAGAAACATATAATGCTCTGCGCGTAAATCGTAAGTTATTATGTCCAGGTTGATGTCTAACGAGTACTGACTAACGCCATCAGCTATCGCGCCTCAACCCACAGGATTTGTTCCACAAACGACTGGGTGGGGATTTCAACCTAACAACGGATTTCAACCGAGTGGATATACAGGATACTAGACTTAGTTTTAGCTCTTTCTCTCTTTGACCAGATTACAGTCCATTGGATGAAAATAATTGAACCTGGGCATAACCAATATTGTATGAGCGATCAAATCTGCGAACAATGTGCTATGATGCCTCTACTACTACTATGCCTTGGGTCCGTCCAACTCTCTCGAAGTACATCTTCAATCCCAACCTGATTTCCGGTGCAACATCACGAGCAAGCAACCCGGTTGCCAACGGGTAAATTGCTGGAAGATATCTAACGAACTGCATATCTCGGTCAGCAGAGAAAATACAAATTCCAGGGCATCACATACAGCCTTGTTGTCAAAACGACAGAACCCATCCAATATCTCCGCGACAACTGGTGTCCAAGCGGTTATGTTCTTGGCCTGTGTATCAGCACGCAGCTTAATGTAGTCCTGTAGCACGCTCAAACCAAGACTGCCATCTGGGTCAAAAAGGTAATACAGAGTTGATGTCGTACTTACGGCAAAAGGCGTTCGGCAATCTGAGGGCGTGCGTTCTGGTGCTCTGGGCGCTCATCGAAGTACATCCTCAGTAAGACGTGCACCAAGGTTGCTGCACTGCTGGACTCTTGCTTAAGAAGATTAGGCAGGTGCTTCATGAATCCTTATGACGGCAATCAGAGGAGATCTACTAGCACCACCAGAAACACACTCACCAACTTTCCAGAGTCCAGTACGCAATTCTTTATCATCATTAAACATTCTAGCAAACTGATAGCTATGATCCAGAACCCCCATGAGACGTAGGAGCTGTTCTGGAGGGATGGTAGTGTAGACAACATCGTTCCGAAGCAAGTCGTTGGTAGTTTCAATCAGTAGTAACTGAAGGACACATTTGACAATTATTTGTTTGAAAATGCGACGTCGGTCACCCAGGGTGTGTTTGACGACTTCTTGAGGCCGATCGCCGGTGGGAGACAATGGGGCAGGGACGATTGCTTGGTCATTAGAATCTTTAGAAGTGAATTAGCTTGTGCAGATTTTCCATACACGGAACATACCGTTGGCATCCGGAAGATCCGATAAAGTGCTCCCATCGATTTCCACACGTAAGCCTTCATCAAAAAGTTGGTGGGGAGTAGTCGTTCTAAAAAGCTTCACAAAAGTAGCTGCTACTCGTTCCCACCAAGCGGCGCTGAGCTTCTGCACATTATTTTCCAGAAATTGTTGCAAACACGATGTTCCAATACGAGCCAGGGTGTCGTTTTCTGCGTCGAATATATGAGCAAGCGCTCGGCAACGCTGCATCAGCCTACCTTGGCATATACAAACACACAGAAGCTCCAGTAGTCCATCGAGGAAGCGCTCCAGGGTATCATAGAAAAACGTGTAGAGATCGATGAGGTCACGTAATGCCTGAATCATTGTAGTTGACAACCACACGCTCATATCCTCTTGAGTGTTGAATCGAGACATATCTTGACTCGATTTCAAAACGGCGAAGATCGGAAAAAGTATTTCTTTGCAAACTGTGTCCCAAAATTCCACGGTGAAAGATGATCCATAAGTTTTCAGCGTCGAAAACAGAGAATCCAGTGCGCTGTAAGTCGGGTGAGCTTGGTTAAAAAGTTCAGACCACGTAAGGACCCACAGACGTCGTACTTCAAGGTCCTCCCCATTCATTATAATGTCATAGAACCCAAACAAGACAGGGAACCAGAACTTAAACATGATGTCGTCGCCTTTAGGTCCAACCCCCGGACTCAGAGCACACTCAGGGCAGGTGAGCATGACTGGAATAACACCGCGCAGCATGCCAATCGCTAACAAACTTATCTTCTGATACTTGCTGACCTTGCAAAACTCGGTAATGCAAACAGTCAGATCTGCGAAAGCACCATGGCGGACAATCGCAGCAAAATGTTCTTTGTTCAATCTTGTTACGATTTCGAATGCAGAATTCGCAATGCGTTCTAAGATGAGGGAAGGATGATCAGAATTTTGCACCACGCAGGGGCGTTGTGTATCATCCTCACCGGTTAGCACTTTTGAAGCAGCAGAGAAGACACCAAAAAGTGTACGCCATCCTGAACGCATATTCTGTACTCTGGCTTGTATCATTTGTTGGAGACATTGTAGAACCTATCGAGAGCATTAGTACCATAAGATTTGGTTGGCGCTCTGCGTACCATATCGCGAATATCGGGATTGGCATTGTGAACCATCGTGTATTCGAAGGGCTTAAGGAAGTCCTTTTGGAACTTAAAATGGGGCAGCTCCTCCTTTTCCAAAAATCGCATTGATAACTGACGGAGGGAATCTAACGCAAAGAAACCGACATGGGGATTGCTGTGACAGCAAACCTGCAAAGCTTGAGTATATGCCTAAGTTGAAATGTTCAGCATATTACCTGGTTGAAATGTTCTCCTAAAATATCCCAGAGATTCGACCACTCGAGACGGATACGGTTCATGTTGTAGTATGATATCTCCACGAGCTTTTGGAGACTGAACAAACGAGGATGTTGCGATATTCCAGACGACTGAATCTCCTCCCATGAAACATCACAAAGAGCCCTTGCGAAATCCACGATAGCAGTCTATAAATCAATAAGTCAACATCACGAGGCAATCGAATTGAATTAGGAAGATGACCTCACCCCAGACAGGTAGTGGCTAAGTGAAAAGACCATGTCTGCAGCCACGGTGATGTGAGTCGACCTGCTCTCGTTAGCAAGTTCTTCTGCTGGAAGCTTCTTAGATCGACTAAGGAATGGTCAGCCAATACTGGCGTATATGGACAAATCACCTACCCTTTCTTTCCGCCGTCTGGAACCTCCACACCGCCACTGATAAGTTGCATATGTTCTAGCTGTGACACGCACGACAGCACGTCGCGCCATGACCCTTTCAAATTGTTGCCTTCATTGACTGCGATATCTAGCAGCGTCTTGATAGCATCCATATTCTTAGTTTTCATTTCCCCAAAGTTGTTGAGGAATGTGAACTTCGCAAGAGTACTAACAAACGCATTGCGTTCGAGGTCCAAATCGAAGAAGCAAACTATGCGGATAGCATTCTTGAATCCGTCCAAGCAGAGATCGACTATTTCAAGGTCATCCGTATTTTGAAGCGGGCCAGACAATCCAGCCAAGAAGGGTATCCATGCCACCTCAAACATCGGCCGAACATGGACAAAGTGTGACGCGCTGAAGTATTGGTCTCCAGCACGAGATCCTCTTCGTTGAGAGCGCATAAGCGTTCTGAAGAGCGCCTACAAGAGATTAACCAGCGCTCAATCGGAAAACTGGCAGCTTACTTCAGTCTTGTTGGCCATCCCATTGGACTGCATCACATATGCTTCCCTTTGAAGGTCCCTCCCCACATTCGCCAACACATTGGCAAGACCAGGACCCGTCGAGGGCAAGTTGATTGTGGCATCAACTTCGTCTTTCATCCTAATCTCGTTGTTCTGGATATCATCAAAAATGGCATTTAAGAATTCCTCCGGAAGACTCTCTCCATCATTGATGCCACGGTTATTCTTGATGAAGCCAGCTTTAGTCATGCGATTTTTGATTTGAGGACTGTGAGCATCGGTATTGAGCAGGATGATAGAATACGCGAGAATATAGGCAGCATCTATTCGATGGCAGGTAAGTGACCCGAACAAATTGGGCAGATGCCTACAAACCTGCATTCTTGAAGGGTGTTTGAGAATTTCCGGCGATGTAGCGTTCCGCGAACTTGAGCATGAAGCGATCGATCTTCTGAGCTTCTCCAGGAAGGCGGAATGCCTGCAAAAACACACGAACAGCATCCACGAAGCCCAAGTTCCTGAAATCCAGAAAGTCGACAAAAGCATGCATGATAGCAACATTGTGTTCATCTCTGCAGTGCAATGAGAATTGTTAGGGGTCACAATGTATTGAAGATACTTACCCTTCACCAAGGTACTCGCCAATCATACTTTTGCTGAGGCCGTCAGTGGTCAATAAAAACCCTGCGATATCGCGGGATGACGAGCTTGGAATAAGTTCCGTCTCGACCAAGAATTGAATACCCTAAGAGGAATTAACTTTGCTCGCTTGCAAAGAGTGAGAGGACAAACCCGTTTGGGCTTGAAGTTAAACTTCTTGATGCCTTCGAGCAGGGTTGTCTTTTTTTGCTTCGCACTCTCAAACCTGGAGGGATCGTCTGCAATGTCTGGGGTTGATTGTCGAAAGGCTTCCGTGCTTCCGGCAGAAGCAATCAACCCATCTAACGAAGGATCAGGTGTCATAGTATCAGCTGCAATTTCTTCCCCAATCTGACTTCTTGGGGCAGTATCGGCAGTTGCAGATTCCGCAGGCGTTTTCCCAGCGGCTGTTCCCCAAGTCACAAGAGATCTAAGAACAGCCACTAAGCATTCGAGACCCTGCCTTCTAAGTTGCCCCTCGGAAAGACCCATAGTGGACGTGTCCATGGTACCGGATACAGCTAGTGCGCCTGACACGTGCGCCGTCGACGCTGAGCTCTTAGTCTGTGGCGGGAGCGCCGGGCTTGCAGGGTCGTTCGTCTTTTGTTGCGAAGAAGTATACGGTAATGTAGCAATCTTGGAGATGATGTTCATGAGACTAGTCAACATGTTAGCCTGCAGCTTGGATCCTTCATCCTCTGACACTTACTGCTCGTATATATTATCTGTAGCTTCGCTGTCACAGTCATAGTTGAGATATATCTCTACCAAAGCCTGCGGGTCCTGACAAAGCCTGGAGAGCATTCCAATGATTACAGCCTTCTGCTTGAGAGTTGAAGTCTTCATTTCTAGGATAGGAACGAATATCTCGTGCAGTAAGACTTCGATTTCTTTCTGTGCAGGAACAAATTAGTTGTGTACAGTTCATGAATAATGATAGTACCTTGAGCTTCGTTCGCATTCCTGATAACACTCGCCAGAAGATCTCCACGCTGACTTCGAACACTTGAGGTACAGGGCTGACTGCGTTGCGGCTCAAGCTGAGGCAAAGATATTGATTGACAGCCTGAACAAAAGTAGTTGCCTCGTTCGTGGAAGAAGAGTATATTATGGCTTTCGAATCAACGAATAGTGCCATGTGTGAGTTAAGGATGGTGAGCACGAGATGCAGGGACAAGAGTTTAGACCTCATGGCATGTGATTTGAGATCACGCTCGCTACGCCAGGTATTAGCATCATCACCCTGGATAATAGAAGTAATAGAAGAAAAAGCATACCTCTCTGTGTTCAAGGGCTTCATTGTCAATTTGCACAAGGCTCGGAAAACCAAAAACGCGTCCTTGATAAACATATCCTGCGTGCTCAACTCCCTTGTAGCGTTTTCATTTTCTGCGAGGTCGTGTATGGTAGGGCTGAAGACATGTTTGAATAAGTATCAACGACTGTTACAGAACATATGCTTACGGCGCAGGACTAATTGTTCCTTGCGGAACGTCAGGATCATGAATAGATGAAGGGGGGGTAGAAACACCAGGATGCAAGGACATGTCAACGGCAGATTCTAATGGCGAGGCCTCTGCCGTCGATTTCTCAGCTGCATTTTCTGAGAGGGCAAAACTACTGTTTTGGATGTCAATCTTCGGCGATCCTGGTGCCGGAATTGATGTAAACGTGTCGGAGGAGACATGCGAGCGTAGGGTTGTACCGTCGAGACTTCTGCACCGCGAGAATATATGATGCACCATTTGGGTCAGTCCTCCTTGAGCGACCATTTGATTGACCAGGTCCGTGCTGAGGAGAAATACGTTATAAACCGTGCGGATTGCCTTTAACAGTGACGAATGGTGAACGTAGATAGTGGGCGAAAGTATTAGGGAGAGAAGCGCTTTAACAACCTGGAGAGAGACCGTTTCAGGGGAGGTATCATTATGGCATGTTGTGACGGTATGGACGACAAGGTCGACTAGGGAAGGTTGTGGAAGGCTAGACTGAGAAGTACCAGCTATCGAGCGTCTTCCTTGCAATGCCGGTGACGGAGGTGGCGAAGGAAGTGCTTGCGCAGATGATGGCTCCGCAAAGAACGAGTAAGAGATGAGCTTGGATATACAATCCAGACTCGCTATCATGAGTTTTTCGCTGCGCGTCTCGCATGCCAGCCGTAGAGGTTCAAAAATTTCACGTGGACGATCACCACCTTGACCGACACGTATCATCTCCAAGGCATTGTGTGCGCTCTCGCGAAGAGGTGTGGATCGTTTGGCCTCCTTCGAAGCCAGAATGATCTCTAAGGCAGAAGAAATGAGAACTACAGAAACAGTGTAACCCTTGGAAATCGTGATAGAACGTTTGTGAGACGAAGCGGATGATGAACTATGAGCACTAGATGGCGTCTGAGGTCGGAGCTCGTCGTGGTCATTTACTTTTGCAGGTGTGCTTGGCGTCGCAGGACGAGGTTGATGAACTTCTGTGGAGCCTCTGGCTAGCTGCAACCGTGGACTCTTCGCTGGCGGTGTTGGCGGTGCTTGTTTCGAAGGAAGAGAAACATCCACGACTGTGTCTGTGTCCTGAACTTCTGGCTGAGAAACATGAGACACGTCAGACGCGGTTTTGACGTGTTCTCCCTCTACTTCGGAAACCGGAGGAGTAGACACGGGCCTATCTTCATCAGCATCAGCTGTACTTCGGACTGCAGCAACTGCAGATGGAGGTGCATTCTCAACGTCATGAATAGCGTCGGCATCCACAACGATAGGTTTCTCCTTGCGAACACCCACCAGCTCCTCATCGACCATCGAGTTTGTTGGCGGTCCTTCGGATTCAGTGACGGTGTCGTCCACCATATTCAACGCGGGCAGTACTAGTGACTGCTTCGCAGAGGTTGCAGTTGCTGAATGTAGCGATTCCGAATCCCAAACGCCGAGTCGTCGGAGTTTGCCGTGAAGCCTTTTTTTGTCGGTTTTTTTGTCCCCAGATTGTACAGTATGTCTACCGCCGTGCCTGCAAAAGCATCTGCAGCAGTGCTACAACCTTCTGAGCCCATTTCAGATTCGGCGATCTCTGTACAAGGGCCTGATCTCGAGAAAAATCTATCCCTTCAGGAACTTCTTAAAAGTTACGAACGGATCGGATTTCAGGCAAGCAGTCTCGGAAGGGCAATTGACATCGTTAATAGAATGGTGTGTGCTTTCATGTTGCAGAGCCTATGTGATGTGCTCAAGATTCGACTCCATTTAGCGGAAATGGCGTCTATCTGACGAGCCCATCTCAGCTGACGAGTCTGAAGATTACCTTTCCCCAGAGATCAGGGCACAGACACGATGTGACATCTTTCTGGGGTACACATCCAATCTAATTTCATCGGGTTTGCGCGAGATCATGCTGTACCTCGTCAAGCACAAGCATGTCGCTGCGATTGTCACAACTGCAGGTGGGATCGAGGAGGATTTCATCAAATGCCTCGGCAAGACTTACCTGGCCGACTTTAATATGGACGGCGCCGACTTACGGAGCCGGGGAATGAATAGGATAGGGAATCTCGTTGTTCCCAACGATAATTATTGCAAGTTTGAGGACTGGCTGCTGCCTATCCTGGATACCATGTTGGCTGAACAGCAGGCAACTGGTGAGGTATGGTCCCCAAGCTCATTTATCCGACGACTGGGAAAGGAAATTAATAACGAAGAATCTGTTTACTACTGGGCTTATAAAGTGAATGCATGCATAATTTCCTTCCACTCGCACCAGCTGAGCCTAAATTCAGAACGACATACCCGTGTTCTGTCCTGCTCTCACTGACGGCTCACTGGGGGACATGATATATTTCCATTCCTTCCGGAATCCCGGGCTGATATTGGATATTGTTCGCGACATCCGGGATTTGAACGAACTCTCCAGAAAATCAAAGAAAGCCGGGATGATTATTCTTGGTGGAGGAGTTTGCAAACATCAAATCGCCAATGCAATGCTGATAGTGAGTTATACTGTCCGTGACATTGATCGAAGTCTTACCTGTCTAGCGAAATGGTGCCGATTACTCTGTATACATAGTTAGTACTCAAACATAGATACTCAACCACGCCTGATGACATTCTTCGCTCATAGAACACAGGTCAAGAATTTGATGGCTCAGACTCCGGTGCCCGGCCAGATGAGGCGGTCTCCTGGGGTAAAATCCGTGCCGATGCGGAGTCTGTCAAGGTGCTCTGTCCGTTGTTTTGTCTCGTGACAATATCTTATGTGGAACCTCAGGTGTTCGCTGATGCAACGCTAGTATTTCCGCTTCTCGTGGCTGCAACATTTGCTCAAGATTAGCTCCTATCATGCGCCGAACCGTATGTGTCTGAATGCATTACTTTAATCGCAAGACAAGTCATGTGATATAAATAGGGTTCCATGACGGGAGACTAGACTAGACACTATAGAAAAAGAAAGAACAGTCCCGGCGTAGGGTCACTTGCTAACGGCGTCTACACGTTTTAAATCAGTGACAGAACATTGCATTAGGAGACAGCCTTTACCTCTTTGCATCTCACTGGACCATATTACAAGATCGTCTCTCAGAAGCTGAAGGATCATCATCGAATCACGCATGACTTGCATCGATGATGAATCGTCTAAGCATGCGACTGCTTCGTCGAATGCATGTTTGCCGAGGTGACATGCTCTCTCCGGACTCTTCCGGACGTCGTGGTAGTAAACGGCAAAATTCAGAGCCAAACCCAATCTTGTTGGATGTGTCGGCTCCAGCATGGCAAGTGCATGCTTGTACGCGAATTTGTATGCAGCAAGTGACAGATCCGAATACCGACTGCGTTCTTGTTGCTGCGCGAATTCGGCGAGGTATCGGTAGTAATCACCCTTCCTGGACGCAAAGATGGGATGGTCATCAGCATAGATCAAAGAAGGAACTTACAACTTATAATAGAACACAGTCTCTTCCCCAGCTTTGGCTGTAGCCAAAAGACTATCGTTTAGCAATTTCACGATGTCTTTGCAGGCATCTGTGAGTTCCTTCTCAATGCGAACCCGCTGACGACGAATCAAGGAGATCTGGTGCTTTGACTGTGCAGAGGGTCTAGCTGACTCGAGCTTCTCCATGGAATCGACCACTCTCCAACTGCTACGAAGTGAGTTTGTGATGTTTTTGTATGCAACGGAGAGGAGATTCCTCTCCTCGATGGTCAATGCTCCGTACGTCTGCGTCAAGCCTTTGATCTGCGCCACGAGATCTTATGAAAAAACAGCCTAGATAAGAACAACATGAAGGAACGCTGCATGGACAAACCTTCATAACGCTCCGCCTCCTCTGCGACCTTAGCGAGTAGCAGGTACTCTTCCCTGGATATTATGCGCGCCTTGAAGAATGGTTGGATATGCTACCGCGACACCCCAGAATGAAACACTCACAGGCATTTGTATTAATTGAACAGGATGGGGACAGACAGCAGACGTTGCTGTGCATCCCGCTGCCTTTTCTACGCCCTTTATGGGGTTATGGGCAATGAGGGCACTGGTTTGCGCTCCACAGTCTCTGAATTCACCGCAGCCTCAAGGCACGACGAAGGACCGATGGGACGCATCCTTGTGAAGAGTTGATCCTAAAAAATTTACGACACCATACCCTGGGCATAGGGCAAGTCTTGATTGTGGCAGTGAAAAGGCTGGGTTCAGGGTTCATCATGCAGTCTAGAAGGGGCGCCTCGTGTCTGATATATAGAGTATACCCCCGGGTACTACCCCAGCGTGGTGACCTCGCTGGCGACCCCCGCCAAACCTAAGCGGAGTCACCACCTGTGTACATGGCTCGTCGCCGGCGCCAAGTCGATCACGGCAGCGGGACCGATCAGGAACGAGGGAAATATGGGTCTTCCTTTTTTTTTTCAAACCCCAATCGATCTGCGCCCCTCGTTGTGCTCTACGTCGTCCGTCCCGTTCCTTTCGTTCTGTGTCCGTCTTTGGCTCTGCATGGCGCTGTTGCGATGAGCGCTGATACTGACGATCCTAGCTGTTGGCCCTTCGTGGTGGATCTGCATGACATCTGTGTGTGCCCCTTTAACTGTTGGAGTGACATGTGAAGGTGTGCATTGTGTGCCCACCATACAAACCAAGTTTTCGAACCTTTCTTTTTGCACACTGAGCACCAGCAGCCCTTTTTGTTTGTTCTTTCATTTGTAAGTATCTTTCTCGAGCTGATCTGCCTGTTGAATCATCATTGTTGTCATCCTCATAGCACATTTCCTTTCTTGTCTTTATCACATGCATTCACCTAATATATAATATGCACCGTCTCGTTGTATCATACCTCAGTTGTTGTCTCCAACACTGAGGTATGCTTTCTGGTTTCCTGTTGTCCTGCTGTCTCTAATTATGTTCTCTTTAGCATGTCTTGTGTCTTAGGTATACATGATGTCTAGTTGTTGTCTCCAACACTGAGTGTGTCTTGTGTCTTAGCTTCTAACAGGTTATGAGCCATGATTTCTGATGAAATCCTAGCAAGCTTTTACTGACACACACCTTGTTCTGTGACTCACTGTTTCTCTTAACTGAGACTGTTCATCACCTTCCTTTGACATGGGGAAGTTCAACCACATACTGGAACTGACAGGCCCAGACACTTACTTTGTGTGGAAATGTGAGGTCACCTATGTGCTGGGCACTGAGGACCACTGGTGTCATGTTATGGATACTGTTGATCCTGACGACATTCTGGGGAACACCTTCCATAAACCTACTACAGTAGACCCTCTGCATCCCACAGCTGATGAGACTAGGTCCATATGTGAATGGCTCATCACTGATCTCAAGGCTAAGGCCATTATCACCTGTCGTCTCTCAGTCTCTGTCCAACAACTCATTTCAACAAGTCACAAAGTCACTGCATGTGATGCTTGGAAGACTCTTGAAGACCATTTCAGTTGGATGGACATGGGATCTCAGCACATTGTTTGGCAGAGCCTGTATGCACTCCAAATGAAGGACTCAGCTGATGTTGCCAACTATGTTGGTAAGCATCCAGTCCTTTGAGAGCAACTCCTAAGAATGGGAGTTGTCTACATTGACACTGAGGCTGTCTTTCAACTCCTACAAGGACTCCCTCACACCAGGACATGGCCACAGTTCAAGGCACTGTTGACCATCACCCTCTCTACCATAGCACCTCCTGCTACTGCTACTACTGTCATCACTGCTGTTGTCTCCTTGGCATTTGCTTTTGGTGTCTGTGTGGCATGCATTTCAGCCAAGGCTGCTTGTATCCTTGATGAACACATCCTTGCCAGGGGTGGGCCTGGCTCTGAATATGCCAATGCTGCCACATTGTCATTGACTTCCTCTGGGAATGTCAATCCCATCACCAGTTTGGATAAACATCAGCACAACCCAGAGGGAGTCTTCTGCACTACTGCTGGATGCAACAAAGGTGACCATGATTATGCACATTGCTATGGTAAGGGGGGTGGTATGGAAGGCCAGGCTCCCTGGATGAAAGGCAAGACAAAAGGGAAAGAGAAGGAGATGAGTGTGGCAGCAGTAATCACTCCTCCTGCTATAGAGACTCACATCTCTGTAAACCCATAGAGCCCTATGTATGTTGATGTCATACTTACAGTTCCATCGTGGATGTTAGGTATGTTGATTCAGACAAAATTCTACAACCTCTTCAAAGAGGCCTTTCCAGACACATACAAAGACATTCTCTCTGTCCATGATGAAGTGAAAATGCTATTCACTTCCCCTCAAACTGTCTCAGAGTTTCAAAAATACTACTGAAGGATGTTTAGTATTGTAAGTATACTTCCTTGATGCCTCACTGCTTGCTGTGCCCTGACTGTTACAACCATGTACACCCCTATTCATTTTCCCTTCCTTACTGTGTATTATGTCATGAGCTGCATGATGTCGCTGCTAGACTTATCTCTGACTCATACCTTGTATTACATCACAATCGCCATTGCCGTTGCTAGATGACCTATTCTTGCTATCGCTTACGCATTCCTTATTTCTGACTCATTCCATTCTCACACCTGCCCTAAAGCACAGTAGTTCACTATAAATAGTCCTCCTGTACACTTTAGTTCTTCACTTTAATCTTACTAGGTTTTACCTGGAATATCCTTCACTTGAGACCTCCAATCTCTTGTCATCTGAATCATACTTTAAGTTAGAAGCACCCCTTCTAACTTAGCTTACACTGAATGCTTGACTTATCATCTTGTGTAGAATCTTGGCAGAGGTCCTGACTCTTATTGAGTTGTCTTTCATTAGGCCTATCCTAGTTTGTAACACTGACCATCTTTGTTATAGGCTGATAGTGCTGCTGCTAAATTCGGCTTTGAGACTGCAATGGTCATCTGTGGTAAAATCATCAATCAAGATGCCTCCCTTGGTCAAGTTCATACTACACCAGGCGCTGCAGAGGTAAGTATCTTGAGAGTGGTATTCAATACTGAGATCACTCATTCTGGTCTGCTAGTTCTGGAGTACACGATGCCAAGCTGATGATGACACTATCATTGGTCACCTCAAAGCTCATATCTAGTAAGTCTCAATCTGCATCTTACTATCTCTTTCTTATTCATCTTCAAAACAGCAATAAAACCTCACTGGCAGTAGTTGAAGATGCCTTCAATGACTTGCCTGAAGATAATGAAGAAGCCTCTTCTTGGGATGCTGACTTGATTCCTTCCACTGAAGTCAAGGGTTGTGATGAATCTCTCCGGTGGCTCAAGAAAGAAATTGTGAAACAAGTCAGTAAGTAGCTATTTGAGTTGTTCTTCAGTTCTCATCCTGACATGCTCATATAGCTAAACTTGGTGGGAAGTTTGCATCCAACAAGAATTTCCCCTGGAAGATGATGCCCAGTGCCTTAGCCTCTGGTGGCCTGAACATAGAAGGGTATCCCGCCCACAAGTGTCTCATGCTAGGTGAATCCCATGATCCGACATTGAAGAATAACAAGGGGATAGGTGTATTGATGTTCAAAGAGGTTGCAGCACTTGTTGATGCTTACAAGGCTGGCACCATGTGGGTGGTCAAGTCTTCCAATACACACAGTAAGTTTTGTCTCTATTTAGTAGTCCAATTTTAACCAATTTCTGTAGCATTGTTGATTAAATCAACAGAGCTGGTTATCATTGGAGAGGCTCCTCCATCCACCTGTGAGCACACATTTGCTTGTCACATGTTTGCTGATTGCCATACAGATTATGGTGGTCCGGAATGTGTGGGGATAAGTGTCACACAGACCAGAGTCAAGAAGGGAAAGAATGTATTGAGAGCTTGTGATCCTGAGCATGGAGAGGCAGTCATGTCTCCTCGCCCCCCTGCTCATCCCTTTAAGGTTGTTGCCAAGCCCATTTCTAAGCCTCAAAATCCTCCTCCCACTTGTCCCTTTTGGGTTGTTGCTAAGCCAGCTGCGCCAATGGTTCCTAAGGCTGCCATGCAGGAGGTCATTGAACTCACTTCAACTTTGGAGGGCTCAATGGATGTGACAGCTGAGGTGGACACTGAATATGAAGATGATTCACATGGGAAGAAATGGAAGTTAAAGTCAAGAAGCTCTTCTTGGGTGTCCAAGAAGCGTGTGTCTACAGAGGTTGTCATTGAACTGAAGAAGGAAGGTGTGTGTTCCAAGGTGAAACCATCACCATCTGATGCCTCTGTATTGAAAGGGGGTCTGCTGTCACCATTAACTGTGGGGTCATCTTCTGTTGACAAAGAGCACTTGTCTGGCAATGAAGGTTTGTGCTACATACATCATTTGTCTTTACTCACTAACCATCTTATTCAGCTGCCCAGCCAGTTCAACCTGCAGCTTGCATCCGGGATGGTCCTTCCAATGTATAGCCAAAATCCAAGGGTATGTATATACATTTTAGGATCTATGTATTGTTGACTTGTTTACTCCAGCACTACCAAAGCCAAAATGCATAACAAAGGCATCCTGGGCAGCCATGTGCCTTTGTGCAAACACAACAATGGCTAGTCACTTGTTATAGTGCCTAACTGAAAATATTGTTGTAGGTCAATGCTCTGCCTAGCTGCTACACTTGCAAGCAAGAATGTTTGACCCTAAAGGGAATTGCTACTGAGAATGGCTGATGATACTAAAGACCCAAAAGTGTGCAGAGCACGGGAACAAGTGCACAGGTATGTAGAGTGTGGGAATGTGGAAGTGTAGTCGATGAGTGGTTGATGTGGAAGTGTGAGATGCTAGGGTAAGGGGTAGGGAAGTCTTAAGGAATGGCGCAGGTAGCAAGTGAGGGCAAGGGTATTGATTGCACAGGTAAGGAAAGTCAAGACAAGGTGTCCAGGTATAAGGTAACCAATAGGGGCTAAAAGCACGCACTAATGGTGACTGCTCCTAAGTAAAACCTAAGGGAAGGAAATACTGTAAAAGGGAAGTAAATATGAAGTAGTCACCCTAGGCACTTTATACTAGCTAAACCCTCTCAGAAATGGAAGGGACAGGACAGACAGGCAGTAGGAATATGTAAAGACATGTAATAAGACTGCAACACTTGTTACAACACACAAGGCAAGGCAAAATACATACCAATGAGGTAGGATGGACAATGGACTGACGTGGGACATCTGTAAGGTAGTCCAAAGGTGTGGGAAATCAACTGCAGGTATGCATGCAGTGCAGGAGTGAATGCACAGGTCCGCAGAGCACGGGAATATACGTCTGGAGTGGGTTGAGTGTGGGAAAAGCGGTTGATGGTTTTGTAGCTTTCCATCACCTATATCAAAAGATGGCCATTGCAAGCCTAGTGGGAATATGATCGTCACACCGTGTACACCAGATGATGTATGTGGTTGATTCAGAAGAGGAGGATGCTCCAGGTCAAAAGGACTCAGAGGCAACAGCAGATGCTGGAAAAGGTGCTGTTGTGCTTGTGGACTCTTAGCCTGATGCCACAGCTCAGCTGGCAAACCCCACCCAAATTGAACCACCAGCTACTGTGGTCACCACATTTTCCCCACTGGAAGTCACACCCAGCATGGCTTCACAACATGAGGGCTCTGAGCAACCCCAACCCTCAAATGGTACACTCCAGACCATGTCTCCCCTTTCAACACCTGGCAATGATGAGAATGGAAACCCCCAAGCTCAATCCATTGACCATCCATCTTCACATCCTGCTGGGGAGCAGCCCCTTCCACAACCTGAGCCACTTCACACTGATCCTCATATTGAGGTGGCCAACTGCTATGCACATTCTCCAGTGCTTCAATGTGATGCTCCCATCACACATGAGGCTCCTTTACACATGCATGAGCTCCCCAGACATCCTTGTGAGCCTTCTGTACTGTTGCAAGAGCCTCTGCTTCATCCTTGTGCACCTTCTGTGCCATTGTGAGAGCCTATGCTTTATACTTGAGAGCCTTCTGTGCCATTGCAGGAGCCTATGCTTCATCATTGAGAGCCTTCTGTGCCATTATGTGGGCCTCTGCTTCACCCTTGCGAGGCTTCTGTGCCATTGCGAGATCATCTGCATCGTCCTTGTGATCCCTTGGTGCACCCTCAGGAGGGACCCTCCTACCCACATGATGCCGCTCACTATTGTGAGGCGCATGACTCACTCTATCATTGGAACAGTACCACTCGCACCCACCCCCATCCTATTAGTGGTCTCAATCCCCATGGCCTTTCACGCACCCATAATCTTGAAGAAGCTTGGTATGTTCATGTACCTATGAGATACAACCACCCAAGTTATCCTTCTCATTACAACTCACCTGCTGAAGGTTATGACAACCACTATGATGACTGCAGGCATCCATCAGACCTTTACTATCAAGACATGCATGGTCATGATGGGAGGTACTATGGAGATACCAATAGATGGGCAGACCACTGCTGATACCTTTTTTCTTGTGCTTGTTTTTGCTAGCATTTCTCTTGTGCCCTTTAGTGTAGGCAGACTGCTGCTGATACCTTTCTCTCTCACCTTTTTAGTGTAGTGACTGTCATTTTGTTACCCCATGCTTTGCTGTCTCAAGTCAAATGT